GATAATAAAATCTTGGCATAAAAGAAAAATCGTTAGAGATTCTTTTAAGCAAGGTGAGAGTGCAGTAACGTTTCCAGATAAGTGTTATTATTCGTTCGAATTATCTCCGTTTCTGTTCGGGCTAATCGCAAGATTGCGTTTATCTTACGAGGATGCAACGGTCAGAGGCTACGAGAGAAACTTCGAAATGAAACGATCATCGAATTTTCCATTCACCGCGTCCGCGGTTGCCACGGTGATTCATTTCCGTCGAATACGATTGGCGAACTGTGATAATTAACCGAGACGGCGCGCGGTCGCGTTTTAGGTGAAACGAACGGTAACGAAACAGCCGTCGTTTGTACTGGCAGTCGATACTTCTATTTTCGAGGACGTTTAAACGAGAGCGTTCTACATCTTTGCACAAAACGATCGATTGCACCTATTTCGAATAGAATGTATCATTACGCTCTGACAGCCAGCGTAGCGATCGTTAATATCATGAATTAACGGAGAACTTATTTAAGGCTATGGCGCTGCTTTCTTGGTGGAAGTGATGAGAAAGAAAAGGAAAGGAGAGGAGAGACTTTCTAGCAGGCTCTGCCTCGGACAATGGGATATTGGGTAGTCGGTAGAAAGGTGTACAATTGTACAGCAACGGAGGTGACGGTCGAGCGCTTGCGAGAAAGACGAGAGCGTAGCCCTCTGGTGGCGAGTACGGGAGGTAACGCCACAAGATGATACTCCATTTCGCATTAAACTTCTTTCTTTCTTTTACTTTTGTCCGATGTATCGATGATTTGTCGATCGCGACGTCAGGAGATCCAGCGATATTCGTGCAATCGTTCGCAGATCAAAATTCAAAACAAGTACTTATCGTATATATAGATAGGTTTTTAAGCAATACACAGCCAGATGTTATATTCATGACGATTACGTATCGTCTACCTTTTCTTATTCATTTCCCGTCACTGTGTCGAGACGAACGGAACACACTGTTTCTGTCGATTTCGTAGACGGACACAAATAACGAGAGAATCGAAGAAATTTAAGATAAATACAGACTGGAAAACAATAGGAATCGAATCGAGAACGTCGAACGATTTTACGGATTTTATCAAAATTTTCGGTCACTCGACGCGTCGAACGGTTCGTTGGCTTAAGAGAGGAAAGGGTTAGCCTGACGACACACTTTTTTTTTTTAAGTTTCGAAACGGACACGCGTCGTCCGATGATTACACGTGCTGCAGCCCCTATCAGCACGCTTACTTACAGTCTCGTTAATAGGAAAGAACACTCGTATCGATTCGTACTGACGTTATATCGCCATGGAGACTCGCGAAAACATATCCACGCGATTCTTGAGACCCGATGACCCACCGTTGATTTGCGAGAGTTCAGTGTGTCGTGTACGAAAAAACGAGTCACGTGCGCCGCGCTCTCGAGGGTTCCTCGTAACAATTTCGTTCGATGTTGTTGATTAATACCGCTGCTCGACAAAGTATATGCATTTTGTCAAATCGATTTCAGTTTTAAACGCATATACAGTGACTGTTACATAAAATCGTACACCTACAGGTTCAGGCGATATCTTTACGATCAAACATGAAAATTCTACTAAATTATTGAAACTCGTATAGAGGCATATAGTGTAATGTTTCTATATTTGATACATAACAACGATATAAAAAAACCTTTAGTAGTGTACCCCTGAAATCCTATCTACTTTCGAGAAAAAAATTCGAATAGGTACTGAAATTTTTAGACGAAATTAAAAAATTTCAAATCGTACTAAAAAAATTATATTTACCTACAGGGGTCAATTACAATAATTTTTGGTCATTAGACATACCCCCGAAATCCTACCCACTTTCTAGAAAAAAATTCAGTACAAACGGACCGTATTGAAAGATAATAATAAAAAAGTAATATGCAAATACGAATACGCTTTTAACATCTTGGTCGAGTGTACCAGTGAAAGAAACGTTTACATTAGCGTTAAAACGAACCGTATAATAAACATTTCTGTTCAACTCCATAACAAAGATACACGTATGTGCATAGTTTGTCATAATAGTGAGTAAGGGTACAAGACGAAACGTCGATGACTATGACTAAGTACGATGGTGCTAGCGTTCATAATTTCTCCAGTGAAGGTTCATGTTCGCCGCGTAGTGTAATGGTTTCAAAGAAATTTTCGTTCCGTACGACTGAAAAAAATCGCCTATTTTTAACATTGTCCTTTCAAATAATCTGACATCTATTTTAACTATGTAGGTCAGTGTCGCTGGGAGGTCGGTTAATGCATTCCGCCCTTTTATACGCTAAATTTATAAGAAATTTTGACCGCTTGTCGCGAACAAGACGATACACGAAATAGAAATATCCCGAAATATTTTTATTTTTCAATTCGATTTAAATGCCTTAAACCTCACTCGTTTCGACGTGTTCTATTTTATGTGGGTCAATGTAGTCGATGTTAATTCGTCCTACTGTTAATATACATATAAATCGATGAAGGCGAACTGTGTCGGTCAAGAGGGAACGATCTTCGAACGTAACGGTAAAAATACAAATTTCCAAGTGACTTTGTAGTTCCTTGTTCCGCGCGGAAGAGAAAGGAAACAAGGAATAGGATACTCCAATTAACCGCGAACGTAATTCGTTCTGTTTAAACGTCGAGTAGGCGAGAACGTTATTTTAAACTGAAATGTATAATCTCGAAACGATTCGGCTTTATCCCTCGCGCGATGAAATATTCATGCACGCGCCAACGATAATACATACATAAATATAATCAAACGCCAAGAGTCGGCTCTTCCATTTCGAACAAAGTGCAAGACTGTTCTGTTCTATCCTTTGTTCGCTGCGCGAACGGATAATCGCTTCCGTTACAAATCGAAACTCTAGATATTTTTCCGAGACTAACTTTGCTACGATTGCCGGAACGAGCGCCAAAACCGTTCAACGGTTCACTTTTTAGCGTATAAAAACAAATGAGTATTTATTTCTTAACAACGTATGTTTACTATATTAATTATTATTATATGCATGTGCTTATTTTAAAAAAATGGTAGATAAGGCATACTGCTTTATTTTAGAACGACTTAGGTTTCAGGACCCATCGATAGATGGCGCCCGGAGTAAGGTCCCATGAGACATTCCCATGAGTACATTCATATGCATACATAGATTTTGCACTCTAAATTAACCTTTTTCCAAATCAAATTTCACCTTATTACAAATTAAGTTTTTCCTAGGCCATTGTGATACAAGTAAAATCGAATAAACGAAAAACAATATAAAATATTTGACGTTAAAATAAAAAGTGATTCTACGAACACGTTTAGATACAAGTATCCCTAGCTATTTGTTTAAAAAGACAAACGATCATTTTGTTCGACGAATGTTGAAACCGTTCAAATATTCGAGGACACGCATAATTGTACAAGTCCCAGCCCTATTGACGAGCCCTCTGGCGGGCCTAGGACGAAACACAAAAAACCTTTCTTTTCCTTCCCGTTTCTCTCTTCCGTCCTACTTTCCCGACGTGTTCTACCTTCTGCATCGAGAAGACTGACACCTGAGAGATACACGGGACGGATCAAAAACCCTAAAACAAATAACCACGGCGGTACTAAGCCAATTCCCGAGAACACGCGATATATTACGCAGAGTATCTCAGAAATAGGTCGTTAAACTTTGTTATCGTATTCTACTTTTCCTAAGGATGAAAAATGGTCGTATAAACACAAGTACGGAAACGTTTCCTTTTCAAGATACAAGCACCTCTTGCTCGCTTCGAAATATTGTATCAATAGTTGTTATAGAATCACGAGCACCGTCAACACACTTCTCTGTTAGAAGTAAATATTGCGGTAAAGCAAGTCATCCTCAGAGTGGAGGCAACTTATGTCGTAATAAATCTGTTTTTATCTAAACGTTTAATAGTCGGAGTCTTATTTGGATGGGTAAATTTAATGTCAAGTAGACAGAGACTCTGTCAAGAGACCTTTCCTTTTCGCGTGCGATAACATTTCGCCACCAATTTTTAAACGTTTTGACAGTCTTTGAAAAAATCTCTGCAAGCAAATTTTAATAAAATCTTAAAACGCTCCATCGTAAACAAAACGTGTTTAAAAGGAAAAGTTTCTGTGATCTATGTTTATCTGGCCTTTTTCCATCTTTAGGGTGACCAGAATACAACACCAAAGTTTGACGACCTATTTCCGAAGCATCCTATATATCAAAATAGCAAAATAACGTGCACAAATATTACTAAAATATACTAGAAATATGTCACGAATATGATTAATTATTTGCATACTATTCAACACGTTGACTGCCGTGCCAGTTTTTCCTATTTAGAGACATTCTTTCATAATTATAGCACGGCAAATAACGGTTACAATTGTTGGACATACAAACTTGCCAAATTTTAGAAAAATCAGTCAAGATCGGCATTGACATTTTTCTGTCAGTGTATAAGATGAATAATCGGCAACGTCGCAAGTTCCCGACCACGCATCTCGCGTATTTTCTCTGGTAAATCGGGGTATACTTGCACAAAACAGCAACCGAGAACGAGTCCAAATTGAACTTGACATTCTCGACACTTACTTTCCGTAAACACTTCGATTGTCGTTTTACAAACACTGTTCCATTCACTGTTTAATACCAAAACCGTGCCGCTATGAATGTACACGAAAGCAATGTTATATAATAGAAAAACGAACCGAAACGAACGTGTAACATAAACGTCCAAACTTATGCTTCGTAAATCCCGTGGCAGGCCACCTCTAACCTCAGTCACCGTAACAAACTCGAGTTACAATTTCATCGAATCTTTGACACTTTTTAAAACCGTTCGTGCATTTTGAATGCAACGTTTTGTTAGTGTTGGAAAAGATTATACGAGTTTTTCCGTTGTTCCGTTTACTCGTGCAAGATTCGGGTGAATCGATTTGATCCGCGATCGATCGGACATCGATACGTGCAGTAAAATTAGTGTTCCTACTCACCGTTGCTTTGTCAGAGGTCCAACGAATATGCGCAGTACCCGTATCTAGATGATCGTTTGATCGATGGTCGCAGCGTGGTCCTATCGTGGTGCGTCGCGTTCTATCGGTGTTTTGTTGCAAAAGAGTTAAAAGACACTTATCATGAAGGCAACGAGCGGCTGATAGCACGGCCCGTATCACTACCGTGCGAGCGTGGCTGCGATATTTATGTAGAGGAGCGTTTCAGCGCACGCGCACTGTTTACCAGACGACGGACCTGTGTCATGAGGAAACTGCCCCACCATTCACGCGTACTAATGCGCAGCCACGTGAACGTGAGCTCCAGCGCTTCGGGCAGCTTCGGGGAATTGAGAAAGAGGACGAATGTTAGTCTTTTCTTCTCGCTCTTGAAACAGATGAAATGCGATTTTGCGTCAACCAGCGTACGATTCCAAGTCTCGACTGCCCAGATATTTTTATTTTCCGATCTATGTAGGTATCGGAAGAGTATCAAAACGAACGAAAAATTTCGAAAATTTGTTTCTTAAGGGGAATACTTGCGGCAAATAATCGTAGTATATGTGTAGATCGGAATATAAAAAATGCTAGGGACAGTCGAGATTCGAAATCGTATGCCGATTGACGCAAAGTTGGATTTCAAACTGTTTCAAGAGGAAGACGGAAATGCTCACGTTCGCCTTCTCTCTCGACTCCCCGAGAGTTGTCCGAAGCACCACAAGTCACATACGCGTGGCTGTGCGTTAGTATGTGCAAGTAGAGGGGCAGTTTCTTCGTGACACCGGTTTGCAGTCTGGTAAGTGCTTGCCCCGCGTTCTTCAACTGCTACGATGCCCCACCTCCGACATGAAAGTGATTATCCGTTGTGATCGTAGATCCACTCGATCATTACATGCCGGAAAATTCTTCTCTGCACGCATTGCCATGGCGTTTGCTAGTCACGAACCACGATGGAAAATTATTCACGATTCTCCTTCGATGACGTAACGTGAACTTATCCAAGGACGTGGGACCGTCGAGCGAGCTAAAGCTGCTGGCTATCGATCATCGATAAGTTATCGATATCCCACTAATATTTTACGATATATCGATAATATCTTTAAGATCTTAGGTATATGTATACATGCTGGAGAAACGCAAAATGAAATATACAAGTACTTTTATCACATTGATCATCTAATCATTCTTGTTTTTTACAAGTCTTTAAAAAAGTATTATAATTAACTTTCTATTATCGATATATCGAATTGTCTGCAACATTTCTTCCATCGAGACGGGTTCGTTCTTCGGAACGATCTGCAACATAAAAAATTAGTGTTAGCGGCTTAATCGCATAATAGATAACATTGATCATTGATCTTTCAAATATGATCCACGTTACGCATAAATAATCGTATGCAATAGGAAAGCCTTGTTTACATTTATTCGAACCTAACCTTCGTATATTTCTTCGATCTGTTTATAGATACGAATGCTTCTGTTACATGAGCGTAATTTGTACCAATTTGCTCGTGATCGTTGCCGTAACTAACTTGGTTATCCACATAGTTTTCATATAATTATATAAACTGGTATACGAATATATTTGTGGAACAACGTTCGATTAAAAACAATAACGATAGAAAGACAGATACGGTTTGTTAGTCTCCGGCGAAATAAGAGCTGTTTTCCGTCTCGTGTAACATGTTTTGTCAATGTAGGTAAGTAGAGTAAACAAGACTCGTGCGGTAGCATGAACGAGCAAGGTCTCACCTTGGCAATACATTCTCGAAAGGTATAAACATAATGCAACCAAACGCAGATTGTGTATCGTATTTTTTTTAACAGACTGTCGACAAAAGTATTTGGTTGCATTGTCGTTAATACCGGACAAGGAAGAAAATCAAATTCCTTTTATCTCGTTAGAAAAAGGAAAAACAAAGCTACATATTTTCACAGTTCATGATCAATTACGCAATTGTTATGTTAATACGTGATAAGACGGTACAACAAATACAAGTAATCAAGTAATAATTGCTATTTATCGATAATGTAATTAAAAATAATTCAGACACGACCAGTGACAGTCCAGTGACAGTCCAGTGACAGTCCAGTGACATGCGACGAAGTAGACTAAACGTTCATACATTGTAGGTCACTACCTTAACCATTATCTTACAGTAACGGATACAAGGAGGCAGAGTCGAGCAAATTTCATTCGCGAATAAAATAGTACATTACAAAATAATAAATATTCTAGGTTATTATCTGTTGGAATTACGTTCGAATGTTAACTCTTAATAATTTAATATACAGGGTGTTCGGCCACCCCCGGGGAAAAATTTTAATGGGGGATTCTAGAGACCAAAATAACACGAAAATCAAGAATATTAATTTGTTGATGGAGACTTCGTTAAAAAGTTATTAACAATTAAATTCAAAAATTTCAAATCGTTCTGGAAAAATTATTTTCGGTTGCGGGGGTCAATTATAATCATTTTTGGTGAATAGACATACCCACGAAATCTTGGGCATTTTCGAGAAAAAAAATTCAGTACGGGCGGAACTTTGAACGTTAATAACTTTTTAACGAAGTCGCCATCAACAAATTGGTATTCTTGATTTTCGTTTTATTTCGGCCTCCAGAATCTCCCCACGAGTGGCCGAACACCCTGTATTATTTTAATATTAATAATTTAACAACTTAAATTCTTAATAATTTAATCTTGTAGCTGCTCGGTATTTACGTAAGTACTATTACATGTTTGTTTCGAGGAAAGAGTATATAATTTGTAACAAATATTAATCACGATTGATAAAAATATTTAATGTGTTTGTAAAATAACAGTTGTTTGTATACATAGGTTAATGAACCATCTATGTATATCTTAACACGTAATTAATTTAACTAGCACTATTAATAGTAATAACAATAATAATATAAATTTCTTATTAATTGAAAAAAGTCATAATTTTCACGATGCGAGTGATATTCTTACTTTGACGCCTGAGAAAGGTGTCATAACAATGAGCGTCCTCCTTTCATTTCCACAGAGACATCTTTGTTTCATAAGATTCCATACCCTTTCGAACATTCCATGAATAATTCTTCAAGACTTTTTAACGTCATGTAAATATTTCGAAACATACTCTTTTTAGACATGTATTCACAATTGTATCAATTGACTTTATACACAAAAAGTTATAAAAACATTTGCAAATACTATACGTCGAAATGTGCTTACGATAAACACCAGACTTTCGTTTACTTATTTGGTGCTATTGATTCTTGTTACGCGTATCTTTCTGGAGATAACATCGTCGTTATGATAAAAATATAGTTTCTGATTCGATACCGTAAGCATACCTCCACGTAAAATTACATAAACATTCACGGAGATCGTACAAATTATTTAGATAATGTTAATTGAAATTGAAACGCAAAATAATTAAATACTCGTGACGATCGTATATCTTACGCCTATAATGATTATTAAAACGACCTAGTGTTGGCGTAAGCTTGCATCAAATATAATAATAATTGATAATTTAATGAACATAAGATGTGGTCATCGGGTTGGACTTTTGTTTATATTTTGTTCCTCGCTTTCCATTTCGTTTAGTCAGATTCGACCTCTATTTCTTATCTCATAATAGAACTGGTTCATGGGTATTGATAACAGCCCCCATACTAACAATAACATTGTTGTTTCTTAACGCTCGGATCATTTATTGATATCTATGGGTTTACATGCTTGATTTGGAAAATAATCGTGTCACAAAATATTTAATTATCTCGGTACATAAATACGAGTGACATATTTTATAAAATAAGATGCACGCGGTGTGACCGAGCCAGAAAAAAAAGGCAACGTTACAGCTGATAATATCATCGATAGAGATAATTCGGGGTTTATCAAATCCCTACGGTCATAGATCGATATTATATGTATAGATGTAGTATCATAAAAGATTTTAATTATTTCTGTTATATCCATTCGATGCTATCCGTGTAATTTCACGGTTCAAACAATTTTTCAAAAATTCCTTGCATTTTTTTTTACACACCGCGCGATAAAATTTAACAACGACGCTTCGTAGAACAATGAATTTCATAAAGCAACCGATTATGTACGCCATTCATCGTACCGACCGATATTCATTTTGATTAAATTCGTCGATCACGTTTCAGAATTCCCTCTACTTTTTTATCTCCTTGGAAAATAAAAATTCAGTTCTTAACCTATCCTATCCAGTTCTTAAATAGGCGGGAAATAATAATTCCCGCGATCCCGTTCGTGTGCGAGATCATTCGAAACGCGCGTGCCACGAACGAGATATTGCAATCAATTTGTAGAAATAATTTGAGGAAAATGCAAGGTTAACACGCAGGCGGTTTATTAACTGCATCTTCGAAGCAATTTCCAAATCCGAACCGTAACCTTTTTTAACGCTCGTTTCTCTGTACGCTTCCGATGGCAACTGTTTTTATTTATAAGCTATACAGAAGGAAAGTGATCGAAAAAGAAAAGAACACGGTTCGGTCTTGTCACCTTTAAGCTGACCTACTGAACCACGATAATCGTTTATATTTAACGCCAGTACATCGTTGTGGATATGCAATGTCCTCTGGTACATTGCGACAATCATATTCCGACCCCTCGTGTAACCGAACATGCGCCCATAGTTCCGATTATATAATAATTTTAAATAAGTTTCGTGTGGGGTTCCCTAGCTGAGAGGGAAGTGATCGAATGACGGATTTCCTTCGTTTCTAGGACGTTATACATAAATAATAGATGATCTACAGCGCGTACAGTATATGCATTAACAAGTAATTTGGCATTGAATTAATTTACATTCGGATGTGTAAACGATGGTATCTATAACAATGGTCAACTTTGGTCACTTCTAACAACGGAACGGTAAACAAAATTGTACGAATCCGGTTCGTTTCGTCGATTTAGGATATAAGAAAAATTAACTGCATTCTGATATGTTTGTTGTGTATATTTCACTGTTTACCGCATGTTCTTTCGAGTACAGTATTTTATTAGTAGAATAATGCATTTATCGCGACTACCGCTGCGTAAAGAAAAATGGCAATTTAATCGCAGTTAATACTTTTAATAGAAAACATATTCAAAAGATATTCGCTTAACGATTATAAAATATAAAACTGCTAATAAACCAATATATTGATGTTGTTCGAACGTGCTATTTATAAATCGATATTATGCTTAATTTACAACACTTTTTTTCTCCATAAGGAATAAATTGTTTCGCAAATACATACATTTTGTTTAAATTATATTCTTTGTGAGCTAAATCGCAAGAAACATTTGTTACAATTATAACGTGTATCTTAATATAGTAAGTAGAACGTGTTGCACAAATGTTCACAGTCTCTAATACCATAATTTATAATTTCTCAGTATAGATAATAGACTAGAAAAATGGAAATTGTTTCAGTCGGTGATGATAGCTAGATGAATTTGTTTTGCATTGTTCTTCAAATAAAACGTACATTAAGATAAAAAAAAAAAACAAATTTAAACAAAAAAAGTACATAATAAAAATACGTTTACGTACTTTTATTGAACATCGCTACTAATCAGTTTTAAATAACCTTATTTTCTCTAATTATGCATTCATAGTTCCTAACAAACCTCGTACATATACTAATGCTGTTTTCTTAGATTTTAATGAAAAAATGACTTATAATAAGATCCGCATACGCCATGCATTTTTTGTATACAAGTTAACAGTAGCAAGAACAAATAAAAGTTGCATTTTATTCAACAATTATGTATTTTTGCTAGTTGAGATTAAAACACCTAAAATGAGTAGCAATTAAATATCCCAAACTATCTCCTTGTTCGCGTCTACAAAAGGAGTATTTTCATTAATAAAGTAGACCACAACAATAATGTTAAAACAGTTCGTTGAGCAACAACTTCACAAATACACATATGTATATACACATTTCATTAATGTTTCAACTCAATTGGACAAAACATTTAATTAAGAATGCATTTCATAATTTAGTTACTATTTCAATATTTTTTATTATTGCATTATAGAAATATCTAATGAAATTGAAACGTTATGCTATTTATTTAAACTTTTCGTGCATTGCTGGATTTACTTATTACGTTGGAGCAAGAAATAAAGGATTCTTACGATAAATTAAAATAATAAACGAAACTGAAAATTTAAATGCTTTTTCTCATAGATTTGTACATTTAAATAGAAACAATGGAAAAGGTTGTTAAAAATTATGCAAAGTTAATCTACCATTAAGGAATGTAAGGTCAGCAAATAACAATAGAGGACTCTGTTAAAAATGCGTGGATAATTTATCTGTTTTGTCTTGCATTACTCTTAGAAAGTGATTGTACTTTATATATGTGCAAATCCATTTTTTACCATACACAAAATTTTAATTATTAAACAATTTGCAACGTATCACTTCGGCTAGGACTGCTGGAAGACATAAATACATATATAATTTTATGTTAAATTATAAGAAAAAATCATGTTTTTTTACATACATATTGATCGCACACAAAAATCCTGTCATCGTATGAGTAACTGTACGTGATTTCTAATACGGGTATTAAAAGTTTCTATTTTTGTAAACATATATCAGCAAAACAAAGAATTTTTTTCAAAGGATTCAATACTTTATTTGAAATTAAGCTTCTTTATGCTGTTCGCTGGATAATATGAATACCACTATCTGTATGCACAGGTGAAGACAATTCACCGACTTTAAGGGCAAATGCTGCTTGTTCAAAAGGCTTTTGCATTGCACCTCGACTAAATGGTCCCAAGTCCCCGCCTCGTTTAGCCGAACTACAATCGCTATATTTTGAAGCAAGTTCGGCGAACGTTGCTTTTCCAGATACAATTTGTTCTCTGTAAGCTAAGTTCATAAACACAAGAACAATTAATTTATGAAAAATGACCAATGCACATAATGAAGTACGTTCTAATTAAATAATACTAATATATCAATAATCGATAACTTACATTTAATAAGTTCAAGAGCTTCTTCCTTAGATCTTGTAATATTTTCTTCTCGCCAAGAAGATGGCCGCCTAGAACTTGAATGTTTTACCAATAAATGAGAACATTGGACTTCTTCGGGACCATCTCCTTTATTATTTCCAGATGGGTCGGCAGGTTTGTCTGGCCTATCCCACTGACTTTCCTTAGTATAAATATTTAAATAATAGTGCTGTCCTATAAAAAACATATTTAATAATACGAGTATTTCAAATTTCTGTTTATAATATATTTCTAGACTCTATACATTACGATTCTATTAAAAATATTAAACTTACATTTGAACATCAATAAAATATACACTATCATGAGACAGTTTGGGATACGAAAGAAAGTTTAAGAAAAGAAAATTACCAAAATAATGACTATAACGTAATAATTTCCCTCTAAATTTCTAAAATGATTTAAATTTTGACAATAAAACGAAACCTCGTTAAGTTGCACAAATTACTGTCAAATATCAGCGAAACAAAGTACATAATGACCAAAATGTTACGATTTCGTTGTAATTGCATTTATAATAACATTTTAAGTAGCATAATATTAGTTATACGAAAAAATGCCGGCCCACACTATTGACTGCACGGCGCAAAGATGTGACTTGTAAGATAAAGTAATTACAATTATAAAAAATAGTTACGTCAAAATGTATTTCTATGCTATTTATCAATTATTAAATACAAATTATCATACCGGTAGACCTGCTTAAACGCTTTTCCCAACCCGCTGGAAGCTCTTCGTCCGCCATTGTTATCCAATATTTTTCTACTCTTGACTCACGTCAAACACATCGAACACGTTTTCACAGTATCTAGTTATATACTAATATTAATCCTTTCAGGTTAAGCAACGTTAACGACGATAATAATATCACTAATATTTTTACAGTAGTTACTCTCTAGAGGAACTAGATGAAAATTTTCACTGAACGTAGCTTAAAGACTAGTTTTCACGTGGCAGTACAAGCCACGACAATTTTTGCCATCATTTTTCCACAGCAGTAATAGCAATAGCCTTTCCAGCCTTTTTCACATACAGTTCAATGTCATGACATTTATTTGGTTGATTTTCAATCTTCAATGATATTCTTCACATGTACAGTTCAAGACACTTGTCTAGTTATTTTAGTTACTTTTCAATCCTCAATGATCTTCACTCCATACATTTTATAAATATAAATCAATTGTCGTAGTTGTATTTATAAATATGCACGGGAAAGAAGCGTATGGAGAACCAAAAAAATACAGAGCTACAATCTTAGTTTCATGACACTTATACAATAATATATGTTTCTGATTATCTATTAAAATGTTATTCACTTTGAGTTTCGTTTCTATTTAGTCGACATTGTTACGAGACTTCAAAACTACCTTCACGCACTAGCGTAACTTAACCTAATACCACATCCACGATATGCACCTACTCCATTTTAAATACTCTACTCAAATGTAAACATTTAAATTCCTTCGTTAATAAAATTGTAAATATACTCAAGACGAAAATAGAATCGAGCATGCCTACAATATTCATGTTTACTCGTTTTTTTACGTACTTGTGATTCTACGTTTGTACTTCGCATACGTACTTACTTTAGTCTGACATTTGCTCGATCGAAAATGAAAGCACAACGCACAATTGATTACAGAGTTATCAAAGAATGTTAATCACGAATTATAATCTATTATTAAAATTTATACAAATTTATTTATTTAAATATAATGCAAGAATAATACCGAATTTTTTTAGGTTAAACCATTAAATTCGTTTTAACCTAAAATTTTGACAATGAGAAAAATAAGTACGTGCGAAATATTGAACGAAATTGATAAAAAGTACTTTAGACTTTATGTCGAATGGCTTGATTTGTCACACTTTAAAGTAATATTGTTTGAACCATCAATGCCACCGCTAATTGGTGAGGTTTGTACGAAATTTATTTTGACAAACTTATATTTTTAGTAATTTATGAACCTTTTTTTAACAAGAACAATTTGGCATTGTAGATGAATATCAATGACATAAATTACTTTTGCGACGAATTATCTAAATCGACCGACGAATATCTTCAGGAGGTAGAGAGTATACTTTGTGGCAAGGACAAAGATATTCAATTTTTTATTCAAAACACAGCACTAGAATGGAAGAAAAAAATATGGACTCGTGGAAAAATTAAGTTGCGTTCCGATTTAAATGTTGACATTATTTCGAAACATTTTCAACGATCGTTAAAATTTTATCAAAGTGTACAAGAAAAATTGACTCTGTCGGAAAAAGAAAATGAAAATTTAATAGACATAAAAAATAAATTATGTTCGGATATAGAACAAATGATAAAAGTTAAAACTAATATAGAGCAAAATCTTTATAAAAGATTCGTGTTGATTTTGAATTCAAAAAAAAAGAAAATAAGAGAATTAGAAAATGCAATAAAAACAAAACAAGGTGCAAAAGATTCAATTTTCGATGTACGCACGGATGAGAGCGCAGAATCGGACACAGAAGATAGTAAAATAAATAAGGACACGATATATACCAAAGATCAAAAAGAAAAGACTATCAATAATAGGAATGCAAAAGTTAAAAAATCAAATTCTCTTGGAAATACAGATTGCATAGTCGATGACGAAATAAGTCATATAACGTCTACCTCTAAAAATCTGACAACTAAAAAAAATGAAAACACGAACGAACAGCAAACCTGTGTTTTTGGAACCAGAACCTCAAGAAATTGGAGTTTTATTGAAAATGACTCGGAGGAAGAGTTATTTTCGCAAGAGTAGAAAATTATACATAAATTTGAAATGTTAGAAAACTTATTACTTATATTTTGTAAGTAGACGAGTGATTTAATTTTTATCTATGGAAATGATCTATTAGTTAAAGTATGTTTACTTAATGAAATGTATATAAAATGAATTGTACCATGAAAATGACTAATTTCTAATTTTTAAGTAAAGTAATTTACTTTAGGAATTCACAATTTTTATTTTTGGTTCGACGATATAACATATATTCAAATAAATGGAACAGAGAATATATGTATACTGCTTATTAACAACACTTAATTGTCTTTTTTTTTTTTTAATACATTTATAGTATATGTATATTTAACTTTCATTGTCATCTATGGGACATGTTTCAAAAAATTTGGCAAATCGTGTTTTTGAAAAAGAGAGATAATAATACAGCAAAAGGTGAAGATATAAAAGAAGAATGCTGACTCTACTTATGTTCTCTAAGGTTGTTCCGTTCAATATGTTTCTTTTTCTTGACAATTCAGTCATGAATTTTGAGTGTAATTTCTTCTTATCCGAATCACCAAATATTTTCTACTGCGCAATAGTTACAAATAGCATTGTTACTTACGTGCACAGAACGTTATTGATATTCTTCGTCGGTACAAATTGTTATTACATTGTTCTACTACATAATAATTCTTACTTTGATATTAAATGCTCTTCCGGTGTTTGACAATTTTGGCAAATCAGTTATATTTTCTGTAGCAGAAAGAATTGTAGTAAATTTCTTCGTCGACCAAAATAAATATCAAATGCTAATAGAATCGATAAATATATTAATTAAAAAATAACAATGTCAAGGCTTACTTAAGGTATAACACCTTAATTTTGTACCGTTTCTTGGTATTATTAATTTTTTGAATCTCACTGGCGTGTATTGTGTTTGTGGAAAATTTCTGATGCCAATTCCTATTGGGTGATCAAGGTCTTGCTATTGTTTCCAAAAACAAATATAACGATTGTACTATCTACATGAAACTCACAACATAACCGAAAATTGTATCTTTTTAAATATTTTGATGCTATAAAAAGCACATTTATATTCTTATTCTTACTTTGTTTCTCATGTTTTCTATGTCTATTAAATTTCCATTGAATTCTAAAATCATAATTACAGGGACAAGAATAAATTCAAGAATAAACACAAGCTTTCCATTCGATAAAATTTCAATTACCTTTCAATGGACAACAGAATTGTTTACGACATTTTCTTTTTGCCGGTGCTACGTCTGTAATATCTGAACCCTTCAAATTACGAATTTAATATGTTAATGAATTCGAAAAGTTTAATCGAAAGACCCAATATGACAATACAATTTACCAATTTAACGTGAGGTACACAAACGCAACCTTTACCGCCACGTAATCGTACCTTAGAATTTGCTTCGATAGGAATAATGAAAATAATCAAAATACTAGATTATTAAACTTATACGTCTGTTCGATAGAATTGCATATTAATGAAACTACACGAGTTTTGTTCATAATTAAACGACATTTAGCGAAGAAAAATTCAATGAAATAAAACAGGCATGTAAATATAGTTTGAGGTTGAATTATACTTCGCTTTGTACAATCCACAGCAAGATTATCGCGCGATTTATAAACTCCGCTTTTTAAAACTGTTCTCGTGCATTGTTGAATGTCTTGTAGTTTACGAACCATGAAGTATTAATAAATTCATATAATGACTATAGAGAAGTAAAAATGATTGATATATCAACGTTGATCATCCTTTTTACTTATCTTTTGTTTCTACGTTTTGATTTCAACGATATTAAGCTCTTATTACATACATGAGACTCTTACGACGAGATTTTATATGGCAGCCATTCGTCGGCAATTCGATGACGCAGACTATAGCGACATTCTGGGAATTCTTTCTAGATGGAGCTCTTATTTTTAGTAGTTGGTAAGAAAGCACTATCAGATGTGTGGGAATAACGAGACTAAGGAAATTAAAATGTCTTTGTTCAACGATAACAATAATTTCGACATCCTGTGCAAACTCGAATAGGACTAGGACCTTCTTCCTCTGCGGAACTAAACAATATGGCGACACGCTGGGACAATTTCTCAACTCTGCCACGCCATCTATGTTAGTAGCGGTAAACTCTGGTCACCACCGATGAAATTTAAATATTTTTTTAATTATATTCTTCGAATTTGTGAAATGAATTTACATATAAAATTATTAATACACATTGTTATTAAAATAGTATTTCATACAATAAAAATTATTCTTCTAATTAACTATATATTTGATAAAGTTGCTCATTATACATTACTTTAAGAATATTTAAAATATATACATATATGAATATATACTATAAATATATCGCCTGTATTTGATATAGAAACTTCTTCTATAAAATTGTAATTTATATATATATATATATATATATATATATGTATTATTTAATATACATATATAAACTGGTATAAACCACAAACTCGAGGATTGTAATTAAAACAATGTTCATTAAATCAAACTTATCGTGACGCAGACGAACTATACACACAAACATTAGTATTATTTAATATTTACTTATAGAGATATATTTTCTATTATTATTTTTGCCAATTTAACGAGCACGATTTATTGCGTATTATTTTTTTTCCACGACAGTAACGATAACACGAGATTATAAATTACGTAAATTTTAAATATAACGAGACTTGACTTCGTGTATCCTCTATTAATTTATTATCGCGGATTGTATTCGTGAATTAAGTAAAGAATATAACTAAATATATACGCACACACTTTCAAATATACCGTGTAAATTAACAAGTGCGTAAATAGTATAATACAATAAATTCTGATCCTCAGTTTATAATTTCATGCGATTTAACTACCAATGAATGATAGATTAAATGAAATCATTGTTATTTGCTGGTGACCTTTGCATGTATTAACATAGTACCGACCTTTGCCCTGTAATGAAAAGCAATCGGTCGATATATTTTTGCAAAAATGGTTTTTCGTTAGTTTTATGAAACGTTGGATTAATAGTTCCGTTGATTTAAGTAGCTGGCAACACATATTATATACTTTTAAAAGATTTTTATCGGTTTCGTTTCATTACCAATTGATAGTATATTCCACATTCAAAGTGTCGCAAAATTTAGTGTTTCGTCATTGTAAACACTTTTCTTATATTGGCTTTCTTGGTAATGCATTTCAGTGCTTTTGTATCTGTTGTGACATTGACAGCTATGTTACCCCAAATATGTTTTTTTGGCAGATCTTTTAATCTATGTGGAGCATAGATTAATTATATTCTATTGGGAACATCGTTAGGAAATATGGATAGCACGGCAGTGAGTAATGGATTTCATTTCCAATGAAAAAAACAACGGTTTCCCTAACCTTATGCGACACATTAATTTATCATATTGTATTATTTTCTATTTTTCCGTGTTTATACGTAAATTTTCATTCGTACCTAATATATATATATTTTTTCACAAAAATTTTTATTATATAAATATCAACGCTACTTTACACATTTATGTAAATATTATTGAATATCGTTCGTAGAAAAATAAATTGATCCACCGAAAATTTAAACAGCCATGCCTTTATGTAATAATGTACTCATATATGTCGTATTATAATTTTAGGGAATAATACGTTCCATATATTGGGGATTTGTAGACAGCTTAAGGGGAGCTATCGTCTTATTTTATATGGACAAACGTATAAATGAAAAATTACACAAACAATCTCCTTCTAAATTAGAAATTTATGGAAAAGATACCGTAGTCGTGCATAATACCACAAGGCATTACAATGAATTAAGGTAAGAAGAGAAACAAACTTTTGAAACTTTGATATTACGCGAATTATGAAATTTCTAATGCATTTTCAGAAAATCAAAAGTGTTAAAAAGAACGGTTCAGTGTTGCGCGTTAAACGGCGGTGTATTTTGGGCGAGTATATCTATCTTTGAATGCGGTCTGCTTCCATTTCTCAAGTACTTATTGACCATTATATTTGGCCACTCGCCGGGCATGGGAATGACCGTTTGGTCCTGGACAAAACCATTTTTATCATTGACATTTGGCACCGTATGGGTGCTACCATTATTTCTACTCAGTAGGGTAGTTAACTGTTTATGGTTTCAGGTACGAGTTATTTCCTATAAACCTTTGGTTATTAGCTGTAAAAGGGATCGATGTCAAATCTTATATATTTATTAATCGTGTAGGACATTGCGGACAGTGCTTATAGATATAGACAAGGAAGGCCGTTACTTTTGTCTAGTATGAGCAAACTGGTAGCGGATACACTTTTCAGCATAGTGGTTCAAGTGTTATTTTTGGGTCAAGGAATGTTGGTATCCAGGATTCCCATACCTCTTGTAGGCGACATCCTAGCTCTTGTACATATGTGCCTCTTATATGCTCTCTATGCTTTTGAATACAAGTGGTTCAATATGGGTTGGGAGTTGCATAAACGATTAAGCTTCATCGAAACTAATTGGCCGTATTTTGTGGGTTTTGGTCTGCCCTTAGCGGTACTTACCCAACTACCCAATTCGTATGTAATAAGGTAATCGATTATATTTCATTTAATCGTTGTTCCATGAAAAGAATTTGTACAACTAAAAATTGGTATTTCAGTGGCTGTGTATTTTCTATATTATTCCCAGTATTTATTGTAAGTGGAAACGAAGCGGAACCGGTGACCGGTGTATGGTACATATTTTTACTTTACATACGAATTGTGTGTAATTTGGATAAGCGATCTAACTATATAACGTTTACTATGTTGTTTCAGTGATTATCCGCTAAACCTGTTTTCGCCAGTAATTGCTATTGCAAATACGCTTTTCAATAAAACAATCGGACCAGTGAATAGACGGTGACAATGCAAAATATAATCTGCAAACACATTTGGAATAATGAATGTAGTAATAAACTATTTTTCAGGTTTTTACATATTTTTTTATTTTTCATTAGTCGTATAGTTGGTTCATTCTCTTGCATAATAAGATCATTGAGAATATAATTTTTATTTTATGTATGACTGCAAACGAAGTTTAAGACATAATTCGTATGTCATAAATTGTTGTAAATATAGGTACATTCACGAATTGCAAATACGAATACAAAAGTAGTAAATTATTACATTAACAAAAATGCATAGAAAGTCCACAGATTTGTTAACATTTATGAAATAAGTATACATGTTCCTTGCTGTATTATATTGTACCAGATCAAAATTCAAAATTTTATACATTTCTATTGATCATTACATTGTACAGAATTGATATGCATAAATATACAATTTAAAATTATTGTTGAATAGAAGTTTGCACAGTTTTATTAAAATGAACGTAAGGACAAAAAAAAAAAAATATGTCCAGCTATTTCTATTACCGTATAAATACACGTAAACGGTAATATAGATAAGATGCAAAAAGGAATGCGAGTAACTATATCGTTTTAACGCATATATATTTTATATGTATTTACTAAACTTGACGAATGTACTTGAAAATTTTGTTGCGAGAGAATTTATTATCCTGTTTTATAGTTTTGAAGTGTCAAATTTTATTTAACTGCAACTAGTCAATTTTAAGACTCTTGAATTGTAACTTTTTGATGACAATGTTTATTAAAAAAAGTTTACGATTACAAAGAAAGTCAATATATTTAATTATATTATTCACGCGATAGCAAAGATTGTATAAAATAACAAAATATAAACCACGTACTCGTACTAAACTAATTTTTAAGCAATATTTCTTTAAAGTATATGATTTTGTGCTAATTAATGTAATTAAATTTTTAATATGCCGATTACGTATGTACTTGTAAGATTATGTCTTTAAAATAATTATTATTTTATTGATTATTCTAATTGTATTTGTACAGTGAATCCTTGAAAGGGGTTATTGCAAAAATAATATCGATATTAAACATTTTTATGAACCATTATATCAGAGCTATTCTTTTTTACATAGTTCCCTATAGTTCCCTATACGAGTACCTTGCTGTTTATTGACCAAAAATAATTGTAATTGATCCCTGCAATCAAAAATAATTTTTCCAAAATGATTTGAAATTTTTTAATAACTTTTTAATGAAACTTCAATCAAGAAATTGATATTCTTGACTTTCGTCTTATTTTGCCCTCTAGAATTTTTCATAATTTTTCCCAGGTGTGGTCGAGCACCCTGTTGTATAATTATGGAAATACTTGGTAGTTTATTGTTGCAGTGTAATTTCTTAACAATTCTGTGCAATATAAATTGTTACGTACAATACCGTTTCGTCGTGTTATTAAAGCCTTTATGTAAATCCGTATCTTCAAAACCGATCAATAATGGATCGATAAAAGTCTTCATAACTGTTAATCGGACTAAAGATCGGGAGAATAATGAGCAGTTTTCCTTGGCAATGGCTTTTCTCGGATCGACAATGAACAAAACAGCCTTGACATTAATATTCCAGATCCTTTAGCAGCATTAAACCATCAATGCAATAATGTTACCCTACCATAACACTAACGTAACACACGTTACGGAACGAGGATTTCTAGATTTAGATAAACTTTTATTGATTTCCATATGGATTAACAAGGATTCTGTTTTCGCGTTACAGCACGTTCTCATCCTCCCTATTTTTATTCCAATTACAGTTATATGGGATATTGTTTCTCCTAAAAACGCGTCTGAAGTTTCTAAAACGCGTTGAAAACTTATTCGAACCTTTATCAGGTATATTTTGTTTATTTGTACGAATCGAAGTAAAGTAATAATGATCATTCGTCGTGAAAATGCTATATTTTTTATAATTCATAAGATAATAATATGCAAAATAAATTTCTTTTAAAAGCCGTATTGTTTCTCCGTAGTCGTTAATTTTTATAGTTGGTCGTGTGTTATGTGTCACGTGTCGAGCTGCTTATACAAATAGTCACAGTGAATTAAAATGTCAAGGGAAACGGAATTATCATAAATATTAAACTTGTTAAATTGAATGAATAAATCGAGGCCGTTTTCATTTTTTACCAAAAATTTCATTTTCACTAGGTTCACCCGCCGATACATTTCACTTTAACTTATTTTAAAGAAACTTTATTTGTTCACTCATTTATTTGTATGATATTTGCATATAAAACTGTAGAAGTTATATTATATATTTGCATTGAAAGATCAAGGTACTTTGATACTGCAAATTACAATAAAAACAAATTTCATAGCTACTAATCCTGGCCCCCCGTTTTACACGATTTTAAAGTATTTCTTTTCATCCGAATCGTTTGTTTCAATATTCTGTGTTCTTACGAACGAACTAACAGAGACCTTTTTCACGGCTTTCGAGAAAAAAAACGTCAAAGACGATGCACGTCAAATAGGATAATCGTTAAATGACGATCCTTGACCTCGTGTCACTTGCTACTTCTCTATTTCTGAGAAACGTTGTATGCATAATTATGTCATCCGGTTCTGAGCGATTCGATATTTTTAGACAACCTAATACAATATTCTGCCTCTTAAGACTCAAAACCGTTTCAGAACCCCAAATACATACATATAAGAGGTGAATAATAAAAGAACTTTAATCAAAACCAATATAGCCGGAAATTTCGAATAAAAAATTCTAATAGGAGATTCTAGAGGCCAAAATGAGACGAAAATCAAGAATACAAATTAATTGATGGAGGCTTCGTTAAAAAGTTATTAACGTTCAAAGTTCCACCCGTACTGAATTTTTTTCTCGAAAATACGCAAGATTTCGGGGGTATGTCTAATCACCAAAAATGATTGTAATTGAACCCCGGAACAGAAAATAATTTTTTTAGAACGATTTTAAAAATTTTTTTTTCGCCGAAAAATTTAGGCACCTACCCCCCTGTCGATTTTTCTTAAGAATTCGTTTTTCATTTTTAATTAATTTGTTTGACGCTGTACGGAAAAGTTGTCTAATACTTTTTTGTAGGTACCCATGAGCTCTACTTCAGAAAAAAGTTTCATTGAAATATATTCACTATTGTAGGAGTTATGGTCGTTTGAAGTTTGAACCACTTTTATCAGGTTTTTGTCATCTTAGGAGATTAAGGAATAACGTTTCGAATATTTTTACAATTTCTACATATTCCTCTTCAAATTGCGCGTAGTTTGCTTTTTTAAACATTAAAATCGTCCAATCCGTTCAGAAGTTATGACGTTTTAAAGATTCGCATGAAATTTCAGAGAAGCATTTCTGGCCTCAGGTTAGATTTTCGGTAAGGAATTTTTTTCTCGAAAATGCGCAGGATTTCGGGGGTGTGTCTATTCACCAAAAATGATTATAATCGATCCCCGCAACCGAAAATAATTTTTCCAGAACGATTTGAAATGTTTCAATTTTGTCGAAAAATTTCGCACCTACTCGAATTTTTTTCTCGAAAGTAGGTAGGATTTCGAGGGTATGTCTAATAACCAAAAATTATTGTAATTGACCCCTGTAATCAAAAATAATTTTTCCAGAACGATTTGAAATTTTTTAATTTAGTCTAAAAATTTCAGTACCGCTAGGTGTACGATTTTAAGTAACAGTCGCTGTAAATATTTGTTAATGGAAGATCTTCGTAACAGTATCGATCAGAACTTTTCTATAACGGTTCGAAAGAATTGTCCTTGGACATCTTTGAAACGGGGGAAGGCAGAAAACCGATGGAACGAGATCGATTTGTCCGAACGTTATAGATCGGCGGACGCGTGATCGGTACCGGGCCCGCCGCTGCATCTATTGATATTTCATTTCTCTTTGTTTGCAGTCGGTGCGCGAAAAATAGGACAAAAGTTGAACGCGATTATCGTCCATGAGTTCTCTCTCTATATCGGGGCAGAAAACGCTTTCACAGGCAAGGACGGCAAAGACAATTACGAAAACCGCATCTGCATGGACCCGTTGGTCGCTGATGACGGTCTTTCCGAAGAAACGCAAATCAACTCGTGATCCATCAGAACTATAAATAGTAAACGAACCCATATTGTCTGCTCGATAAACGAAATGCGAAACACTGCGTCGTCGACCGGCGGCCGTTACCTGCCTTTTTCACCATTTTATAGTTCGAGCCTCTAATGGCGCAATTATTCGTCGAAGAAAGTCAGACCTTCATTTACAAACACTTCGAAGAAAAATACGATACCGAATTAGACGCAACTTTGTGCTCGACTATTTCATACACCAGAAACTCGATATTTATTCGTCCTCTGGATAAGACGATTTTAACGATTATCCAGAGATGATATATTTTAACACAACTACAGTAATCCCCCTACAACACGGTACTCTTATAACGCGTTTTCATGTCCCTCGTATAACACGTGTTTTCCCCCATGTAACGCGGGGATTTCCCACGTTATATTTCTGCACTGTGAAATTTATAATGATTTGTATAGTTCGTAATCAATTTCGCGTTCGCTGTTTTTTAGTTACATATGTAGAAGTTTTTTATTTAAAATGTTCTTAGTTTGATTTTAATAAAAACGATAAAATTTTTAACGAGAAAAGTTAAACGTGAATCGTTTGTACATAACGCGTTATACTATAACGCGGAACCAATCTACCGTGTTATGGGGGGGGATTACTGTACATTGGTCAATAGCAAACATCTAAAACACAATGGCGGACTAACTATTTTTCATCTGCCATCCATGCTGAAGAAGGGATGAAATCTGCCCTTGGGAGGGGGGAGCAATGAAATGTGTTTGCTCCAAAATCTCACAATCTATTAGAAATACGCTGTTGTGACATACATACTTTATGCAAAATAGTATTTTTATCTAAAACGTTCATGTTTCCAAAATGGAACCTCGAAGATACATGGCGACGAACGAGACCTTCGATAACATAAAGCTCATTAACATTTTCATAGACGAACCACGTGTTATTCGAGAATTACATCATTCCAACGGGTTCAGTAAACTCTCTCTTAGCCCAAATCTCCGGCATGCCTCGTTGTGTCTTTGAATCGGGCCACGATCGACCAACAACTATTCCGTTCGCCTGCTTCTATTTTTCCAAATAAACGATAGCTGTAATTAAAAAAAGCATCGATATCTTCTTTAATAGTCCTTTCTAAATTTGAACGGGACATTGAGATAAAAGTTGCGTCCTTGTTCCACTATCCATCGACCGATACTCCGATCGAATAACATTTTAAACGACCTAATTAAGCAACAAGCAGGCAAAAGTCAAATACTTCTTATTTTCAAGAATATTCGGGACGTTAATTATTAAGAAACACGCCTTTAATGAAATGTTTAGGATATTGTAATGACAACGAGTGGAATCTTCTTTCAAGATAATTAAATTTTTCCTAAGGTTGGCCGAACACCCTGTGTATAGGTAGATTGGAAGGTGGGATTGCATATAAAACTTGATATTTCTATTTCTATCTGTAATTTTTAGGGATTTCTCGCAAGCCCTCGCTGTTCGAGCTCATCTAGACTCGCCCACTGGAAGACGTATTTAATTATTTTGTGGGAAACTGTAGATTGTATTTTTTAAACAACATCCGTAAGGATTTTGCGCAACGGCAACCAGGACAATGCAAACTAGTTGCTTACAAAATACTACGAGGCTGGTGAATCCGGTTTCATTAACGAAAGATCGTGACTAACGAGTGGATCGGATAAGTTCTGATTTTATTTAGAGTCATGCCAGCGATATCGTTCCCTCTAATAAATAACAGCGATCGAACAACGGGGAAACAAGCTATCACGGCAAAACTAACGACACGCTATTATTATTTATCGTCGAGAAAGTTCAATTGGCATTCGAAGCATTTAACGTCGCTGGAAAGATTCGAGTTCCAACCATTTTCACTTTCCGGACTATATAAACAAGCAAAGTGCAATCGAGGACAATTTATGGAATCGACGAAACTTTACGCTCGACTTCGAATATTTACATTTTGTCCGATGTTCCAGGATCTTGCAATGAATGCAATTAGAAATCTCTGTCCGCCATTGAAATGATGAAATGATAGCGATTCAAGGAAAAATATAAATTAGCGTTACAAATATACTTCATTTAGATTCTGCATATCCATCGTCTATCATGCGTGTTTACAGCTTCAAATACACGATGTGGTAATGATTTATACAAATCACAAATGTACAGGATGTCCAATAAGTTTTCATACTTCGCGAATACATTCTGTTGCAAAAATGAGACGAAGAAGTTGGAAAATTATCACCAAGTAGCTCGAACGTCTATCGTTCCAAGCAAATCGTTGTTTAAGTTGGTTACAAATAACGCAAGAGCAGTGTCCGGAACATCGAACAGTTTTTTTCATTTTCATTTCAAATAAAACTTCCCCGAGCCTATTACGGATCAACAATGAAGATTTCATTTTTCCTCCGATCTTTTAGCTAAAATATGTAATAGAATTGCGCGCGTAAAACAATAAACATTGTCTCTCGAAACAATGATGTGAATTATTATGCATCTCGATAGCACGATTCCGCCTCAGTACGCTAATTACGGAAGTCGTCGCTCGAATTGTACGTTTCCTTTGCACGGGAGATCCCTAAAACGTCTTGTTTAAATGTTGTTTCCATCTTGTCTTGTTATCAAGCTTCGATGATCAATGTATTAATAGAAAGAGACGGTTAAATTATCCACATTTGTCCGCGTTAAAGTTTTCCTTTTGGGATCAAAAGAGGCCAAAGAAACTATCAAAGAGGGTTACAAGGCTTTTGGTAACAAAAAATTATCTGAATTTCAATCGCTCGGAGGAATCCTTTCGCTCGCGGTAGAAAAATGTTTCGAAAATTCCTTTGAGCAACCATGGTGACTATGTAGGGGTAAGCGTGGGTCAGAGATGACCCGGAATAGCGACTCACAATAAGATACGATAAATAATTAATTACCGGTGCTATCGTTGAATATTCCTTGAATTAAAGAGGTGTTCGTCATTGGGAATGATAAACGAGCGAATCGATGTAACAAGTTGGCAAATACCTTTACTGGTTCGTCTCAATCGGCGCTAGCGAAAGGCTTAAGGTCACGTGGCTTACGAAATACAAGAAAGCATTTGTTTTCGCCCCTCGTACCGTTAAATGTCGCGGTACTTCATTCGGATCAAGTACGTCCAGCCAGCAGGACATTTTTGCGTAGGCACACGACGACCCTACAGTATGTATATGCCTTTTAATGGACATTCGGCACAACGCCGAATCACATCGGATAAATAAATTTTCCACTCCACTTACCATAAATTACTGTCCTTCGTCGCGACTCTTTGCTTTTCTTTACACAGCCGATCTTTAATTTCTCGCTTTCTTCCTTTCTCTCGCGTCCTTATCGTACAACCTGCGGCAAAAAATTTTCTATCAAAACTACGTACTTGTTTCTTTATAAATTTACAGTAACGAATACTTTGATCCGGGACTTGTGTCGAACAAATGAAACAAGTTACTAGCTGTCGTACGTCGTCCGAGCCGAGTGAAAAGATTTATCGACCCTGAATTAGATCGATTAGAAAATTCTTCTTTCGACGCACACGCGTCTACGAGAAAGCGTAATTGCAGAAATTGAAGAGCGTCGGTAATGGAGCCGGCGACATAATGATTTGGGGTCCCGAGGAGTCACGATCATAGTACTTTCAGCAAGGACAAACACGAGCACGATATAATTAAAGTTTGAAATATTCTGCAAGAAATTTCTTCCTGGAAGATTAATAGTTTTGTACTTCTTGGAAGACAAATTTAGCAGCAAGGATGCGACCAACAAGTACTTTCGTTTGCTAAGGATACCTTGACGCTTTTCAAGTTTTTTTTTTGTTAAGAATAGCTTCCTAGTTTGCTCGTCGGAGCGCGTTGAAATTAATTTTTAAAGGAATGAAGCTAACCGAACGACAGGTACGCATAAATATTAATACGAGCGTGTAATTCTTCGCGTGCCCATAGCCGTTATGTAACGCCCTATCGAATTATATTTCCATTTTAATTCACCAGATATATATTCGATGTAAATTTGCAAACTTTATGCTTGTATTATTAACGGTTTCGATTCCCTCGTATGTTGACTTTACGCTTTTAACAGAATTTACATCGATACTTTTTTCCCCCCGAAGCGCGAACATCGAAGCTTCCCCCGAAAATACATTATGAAAAGCAAATTTTTTTACAAACTTCGCCACGATAATTCCTTTCGATCGTCTTTGATCAGCGTATCGGCTCGAACGTTGAATGTTCGAAATGCTTTTTTTGTTACGTAACGAACGAAACACTTTGGATTTGAAATTTTACGGACGAATAACGAGCGTTACCTGACGTAATGAACCAAATATTCTTAACGCGGTGAGCGTTTCTCGAGGAAGATAAAACGAGAAGACTCGATATCACGGCTCCGAGCGACAACGTTCGAATTTCAGAAGGGAACGTCGTCTGTTTTGCGGCTCATTGCTTCTTCATGACCTTGAAGATGCACCTCGTTGTTAACTTTCACCGTGGTAATCGAAGATACCGAGGCAAACAAGATGGCAGTCAATGTCAGCTGCAGCTCCTAGTTCGGTCCAACTATGTTTCCCATCTGCAATGGAAAATACAAGCAATGTAAATGTGAAACATAAACAAACGTAAACATAAAAATACCGAGGCAAACAAGATGGCAGTCAATGTCAGCCGCAGCTCCTAGTTCGGTCCAGCTATGTTTCCTATCTGCAATGGAAAATTAATAAAGTATCGTTTACAAAACGAACAAACGAGCAGTAGATTATCCTTTTAGATAGCTAGGCAGTGTACATGCAAAATGAAAATAAACTATACGTTCTTGCCCTGTTTTCATTACCGGGGATGAGAGACAGTTTGCGAAAGACGTACTCGTCACACGTGATGCGTTAAATTGATCGTTGTAATATTCTTTTTGATGGACGAATCAACTTCAATTGAAATTTCATGTATAGACCTCGGTCTGAATTTGTACTCGTCGAGCCTTCGAAGATGGCCGAATTCGTTCGAGACTTTTCGAAAACAGAGAATATCATCGGTTATAAAAGAAATAGATTAAAAGATGCTACATTGAATAAAATTATAATAAATTGATCCTTTCTTTCCAAGTAACTTTTTCTTCAAAATTGACCAGCGATAATCAATGGTCGAACGCGATACCAAAAAAAAGAACAATCTAAATATATTTCGTAACCAGTCTCGATCTTTACGATTGGAAATTATAATCGCCCAATTATTAGACTAATTATGAGTAAGGTCACGCTGAAGAAGAGTCTCGGATGGGTCCTTGTAACTCAGAGTGGAACGAGCCTACCACCTGGGAGGGGGGACTATTTCTATATAATCGACGGCGAAGGTGCCCGTCTCTTCATATTCTATCAGTGACCACGTTTCTTCTTTAACCGTCCAACTCGTAACTTATTAAGGAAAAAGAAAAATTAAAAAAAAAGAAAAAGAAATACAAGTGAGACAAGGTGAGTGCTGGAAAAAAAGAAAAAAGTAAAAAGGGAACGTGACGCGCCGCTTCCAAAACTTTTCGATTATCGAAAATCTTGATGTACACGATCGGAATGTCGACTGTCGCGTGCTCTCTAAACGAACCGTAGAGAGAGTGTTTCTCGATGTGTAAATTTCTCGACGAGCGTAACCGGTTGTAAGTGATTTTCGCTTCTGCGTGACCGATCCTCGAGTTTTTATAATAAAAGGTCGCGCGCCTCGCGATCGTTTCGTTAGAGAAATACCGTTCTGGATACAAACGGTCCCGGTTTCGGGAACTTTGCGACTTTTTCCTACGATACTCGGTACAACCGTCGTTTTAACTTCTCGAATCGCTTCTCGCGTCGAGAAATCGTAACGTGGGAAAGTAGGAGAAACGTTGACAAAATTAAGAAACGAGACGGTCATAAAAGTAGCCAATGAATTGCACGATTTACAAGATCTTGTTGCTTGTTTAAAAAAAAAATAAAATCTCTTCGTGTACGAACCGTTTACACAAAGTGATTAACTCCGCTTTCGGAGCTTTTACAAATTTCAGTGTCGAGTGACGTATATCTTTGCTTCTCCTTTTGTGGAGTTAATCGATTTGGCAAATGAGTTCGTACGGGTGACAAGACTTTTCATTGATAAACCAAAAATATTTGAAGTCTGTGATGGTGAGAAATAAATGTTAAATCTCACACTTTCCAATCGTCCAAAAACAAGATTTCCGACCGGTGGAGAATTTTACAGGTTTAGTCTGGCAATCATCGTGTTAAAGGGATATGAAATCAATGCGGTACTGTTTATTTTTAAGTAAAATAATGTTTGATTCCGTTCCGATACTTTCACATAGTTAACTTCTTCACCGGACGTTAAAATCGATAAAAGATGATCGATTACTTGCTTTCTTATAACATGTTTCTTAGCTTGCTAAATGCTTTGGCTTACTTTAAATAATATTATACGGAATAAAACTTTAGCAGAAACTTTGAAAAAAAAAAATATACTTCTCCTAGGTTCTATGCGTGACAACTGATTTAGTTTTGATTTTTTTTATGTAACAAAGATTTGTTTGTTTCGTTTAGATCGAAAGAGTTGCGTCGATCTATACGTATAAGGAGACATTAGGTTCGTTAGCATGCCCATAGAAAAATGATGTCCCGTTATGTAATTACACTGCAACGTAAAACTTCTCTTGTATCTATAAAAAGTGCATACCACGAAACTTCGTTATGAATCGACACTCCCTAAAGAGAAACTCTTGTTGACTTAAGGCAGCTAAATGTATATTCAGAGTCACGACTGTATCTTCGCGAAAGTCTCGCTTTTCAAAGAGCAGTGTACAAACAATTGTACCTACCCGCAACATTTTACAATGAAAATTAACTTTCCCGGTGTTGGGATGCATCTCAAACACCGATAGAATGATTAAATTACGTCAGGGAAACTATTTTGTTATTCGTCGTTGTTGTCTTTATAAAAATGTAATTGATTTTTTAAACAACCTCGGGTCTAAGTGATACAGTAACGTAGTATAGGAATTATATTCGAAATTAGAAACAGGAAACTCGTATATTTTATAAAATGAAAATAATTAATTAGTGGAAGATGTTTAACGAACAAAGTATTTTAATTTCGCCGGGTAAAATGAAATTCACGTAACGAAGAATCGAATGGAAATTGCAGGAGGATTTAGATTTTCCTAAAAAGAAAATGAAATTGATATTTCAGATGATTTTGGTGCCGCTGGCCGTGGTACTTTTCGCGGCGTTTGTCAGCGCCGAACCAGCGATAAACGAAATCCGGCCTCAGAGCAACAGACCAGGAAGATTTCTCTCTCTTCCTATACCACAGAAGTGTGCAAACCGTGAGTAGACACCTTATTCTCAAGTTTCGACATTTTCCTGTTTAAGTGCGCACTTAGGCAGCTTCACAATCGATTTTCTCGATAATAAAACCCTACAACGACTCTATTCGATGCTAACCGCTGTTACCCAACGACATCAGAAATGGAAAATATCCTTTGAATGCAAATAGTCAACGCTACATTTACAGACACCGATCGCATCTTTTTTTAACGAGTCTCGTCGTGTTGCTTTTCTTTCGATCAGGATGCATATTCGTATAGATTGCTAATATTTGTGAGTCCCGGTAGCTTTGAACATGGAATCCGAAACTCTAAGCCTAGCGTTTAGAAAGAGCTAGAACCGTTTTCGCTTTTGATCGGTGCAAAATTATTTTGGTACTTATCGGTAAGGACCGGTTTAGTTGTATGACTAACAAACTTAACAGTAAATCCCATTGGACGAAAACTGTCGACAACCAACAACCTATTAACAGGCTATCGATCGATAAAATCTTATGACAGTTTGAAGAATCGTGACCAACCCCGTGTTTTTTAAACGCGTTGGGGGAGTACAGTTTGTAAAAGTAGGAGTTTGTTCGCGAACGGTTTGGAGAGTTTGGGACATTTGGATGCCCCGACACGTTCTCCCGGTCGAGTGAAAAAAGAATCGAGGTTAAAGCGGCCGATACACGCTAAGGAGGCTCTCTCGCGCAATCGGACGATCGTATGTTTTCAAAGGCGGGCACGTGATGGCTAGGTAGCCGAGGAAGAGCCTGTTGTGCAACTACGCGCCTGGCTATTCACTTTTCATGGCGGGCACTAAACAGCTCTGCCTTGGCGTCGCGTCTTCTCGTTAACGGGCCGCCGCGCCGTGGCCACGGAGAATGCAAAAGTCTCGTTTCGTTCGCGTTTCATGCACTTTCTCGCGGCGAGGATCGACGAAACTGAAATTCCCGGGGCCTCCGGGTCTCTCGAAACGAAATCGACGAAACAATTCCCCATAAACATTATACATACAGCGAGAACGATGTCACAAGTTTCATAATCAATTGCTCGGTAGGTCGATTGGTCGCGGATGTTTCAGCAAGGATCTTTCCTACGCCAAAGAAAATTTGTTAAATTTTTAAATTGCTACCCTCGTATCTATTAAGACAACAATGACAAATCATTGAACAGAGTTTTGATAATTACCCTTAAATACCTTCAGTAAAATCTGGAACGTTGTGCGTATTGTTTTCATCGAATGCTCATTACGCTCGTATCCGTTGAACCTGAAAAAATATTTCCGAATTAGTTTGAGGCAAACGTTGTGTAAAGGAAACATAATTTTGTGCGATGATTCACCCCACAGAAATAGGTTGATGTTTGTTTGTTTTTTTATACAAAATAGTAGCGTGTTCTTGCAAAAATCTCGTTCGCTGCATTCGAAAGCGATTTCGAAGCGAAATTACGCAAAGGCTCGTGAGCAAAATGTCAAGACGACGATCATCAACCGTGCAATAATGGAAACCGGCGAATGAAACGTCGGAAATGTAAAAATTTGATTAAAACGTGCAGCGAACGGGCAAGGAGAATTTCAAAATGGTCGCGTTTCCACGGTATTTAATCACGTGAGAGGTAGGAATAGGCCGTGGGACTAAATCACCTTTACCGCCGTTGCAGCGGCAATAGCGGAATTTAACGATGTTCGAGACTACAACCACAATCGCCTTTAATCCTAATAATTACATGGCTGCCCTCCTGGAATGTTCGATCATCCGACTGCCAATCATACAACACTCCTGCGTCCGCTTGCTGACGTACAATTGGCCAAAATTAGATACTCGAGTCGGCGGTGGATGCAACGAAACGGTCTGAAATAAGAATGCCTGTTAGACGGAACGTTAGTTAGAAAAAATTTCAAACAACAGCATAGGTAACTCGAAACGTCTTGATTCTCATTGCCAAACAACGGCTCTTTGTGATAAAATAGATTCGGTAAAGTAAAGTGCTTTGTTCTAATGCAAAGTTTCGCAAGTCGACAACTTCGACGTGTACTCTACTTTCCCATTGCGCTTAATTGTCTTGGGAAGAAGCCAAATTAATAATAAACGCAACTCCGATAATTATGCACCACCCGTTCAACGTTATTCCAGATATTAATTAAAACCGTTCGATGCATTCTTCTTGTTATAATAAACTTTTTATGAAAATAACATCGACGCGTACTTAATAATAACTTTCCAACTATAACAATTATTGCACAAATTGCTGTTACAAAATCATACGAAATGGTAGTAGCCTAATGAGACTATGAATTTACCGGATGATTACTTTTATGTCGCAACGCCGAAATTCAACAACCAGAACAGTTTAACGATCATTAGCCTATCGTATTTAATAAAACGCCTGATGCACGTGTTACTCAAGGGTTTCATTTTTTTCTCGTTATCTTCCATCAGGATCTTCCTCGACATTTAACTTCAAGTATGTCGTTAATGGCCGATTATTGTACAACTACCGTAATATTCTATGATTTTATTAGAGAGAAACCATGATTGTTGAAAAAATGCAATCCTAAATAAAACTTGGTAAACTATTTAGGCTGGGAAAAATCTATAAGTTTAGACGTAAACGTAACGAATACAAAAATAGTAAGAATTATTTAGGAAATTGCACGTTGCTAACAATTTATTTTACACGCATGGGAATAAATTTACGCATATACTTGACACTGACGGCCACTGGCACGTGTTATTATATCCGTTCACTGCGGTATATCTACTCCTTACGGTTTCTTTTTCTATTTTCGTAGTCGTTTACAGTATGAAATACTTTTACTATGACGATCCACCGCCAGAGACCGATGAAAGACTTTCCACTGTCTTTAAAAGATTCTTTAAAATTGTTTATTATATTTTATTCCATTTACAACGGTATCGAAATAAAATTCACGAAGAACGTCTGCGAACGACGAGTGAAAGTAAACTGCCTACCTTAAAAAATATAGGGCGCGTTTGCTTATGCCAATCTTAAGAACAAGCTGCTAGAAAGTTAATGAAAGTCTCCGCTAATATATACAAAAAATGTCTACTTCGTTAAAATAATACCTTTGGTGAAGCTATATCTCTGACAAACTATGACTCATACAAACTGAGTGTAATTTTATAGTGCGGTCTAAACTATACATAGAGTTTCGTTCAAAAAAAAGAAAGGATGCAACTGTATTCTTCGGATGCATCGATGCATAAACATATCCATGCTTTAATTTACTACACTCGAATTGAATAAATGATTATATTTTTAAAACCGTTATTACTAAAATAACTCGTTGTGACATGAATTGGTCCAAGAAAAAAAATTCTGGCAAGAAAGATATCTGAACGTGTTAAATAGTCTTTAATAAAAATTATGTAACTTTAATGACGGCGAGGAGACCTCATCTAACAAATTGCCGTTAAAGTACTTTATGACAGCGCTGAACAATCAGCTGTCGCAACGTGGTCTTCGTAAGGTTGTCCCGACTGACAACTTCACAAAAGGCCGATGTTCCATCGCCATGGAAATGTCAAGAATCGTTGCGAAACAAAACAACGCCGCACCTGCGAGATAATTCTCTTGTCGCTCGTTATACGTGTGTATAATGGCCAGTCTTTAACGAGTCCTTTAAGATCGCGTCCATCTCTCGCGCGAATCCCACTTTCTACCGTGCATCGAATTCGATATTCGTGCTATCGCGCGTGAATGTCCTCGTAAAAGTCTGGCCAAGACGCGCTGTCCGTATCCTGTTCGCGTGTCGCGTGAACCAACAAAGTTTCCGCCGGGACCGTTTCGATACCGGTTTACAAATAAATTCGCTGTAACGCGTAATAACGCGTTATTATACCTAATACGAGTGCATTAGAATCGACGCGTTCGACGCGTTTAAAATTGTTACCGCGGACACGATAAACGGGTCGTAGTCATTTCTAAACAGAGAAACCGTTGCAGGCTTCGAGGCAAAAGGATTGCGCACACACGATTAAGGCAATTATCGTAAGAAGTTCCTTGACACCATCGCGAGACGTACCAGCGCCTCTGAAGGCGCATCGGTGTTTAATGAACGATGATATAACGATCGTAAATTGCACGTGCAAGAGAAAACGGTGGGGGGGGAGGGGAGGGAAGGGAGACGAGGCTCCTTTTTCTAACGGACATTTGTAAGATGCGAGCGCGTCGGTGCTTGGAAACGGAGAAAAGATAGCGTCGCAAATATAACGGTCGACGTAATAAAACAAATGTCTTTTCTCCCTCTCTTCGCCGTTTTTATTTGCATTCGAGAAACGAAATCCTATTAGTCACCGTTGGCGTCGAATTCTATTCTCGGACAACGAGCACAGGAACTGCCGGAATATTTTGATGAAACGTGACCTGAAAAATAAGAGAATTAGTCGAAGGGTACGGTGTAGTTTAAAAACGGGCAAACTTGTATCGAAAATTATCTATGCGTACCATTGCGAGCGTGTCCGTTGGTTTCAGTGAGATTTCTAGGACGTAATGGGGGGATAATTATTGAACGTTACGCGAAAAGACGGGGACCCCCCGTCCAATGATTCAATTATCTTCTCCGCCACGTGCGTGACTGGAGATGGATTTGTAATTTGAAGCACGTATGATTATACTCCGCTTAAATGTCAACGGTTTTACACTTTTTCATAATATTTATGCAGGAATGCATCCTCCCGTCGACGATTTACGACGCGTATCTCATTATGGGAGTCTGTACCGGCGGTTGCGAAAGGGTTGCTCGTATCGAACACTGTTGCGGATGCTTTTGTCCATAAATTACATATGTTCTTCGGCGCACGATTCGAAACCTCGATTTCTCTGCTCTAGTAATCTTTCTGTATCGTCGGAAGCCTCGATATACAGGGTGTTCGACCACCCCTGGGAACAATTTTAATGGGAGATTCTAGAGACCAAAATAAGACGAAAATCAACAATATCAATTTCTTGACCAAAGCTTTATCAAAAAGTTATTAAAAAATTAAAAATTAAAAAATTTCAAATCTTTCTGGAAAAATTATATTTAATTACAGGGGTAAATTACAAGCATTTTTGGTGAATAAACTTACCCCCGAAATCCTACCCAATTTCTAGAAAAAAATTCAAAACGGGCGAAACTTTAAACGTTAATAATTTTTTAACCAAGTCTCCATCAACAAATTAGTATTATTGAATTTCGTCTTATTTTGGTCTCCGGAATCTCCCATTCAAATTTTTTCCCATCCTGTACGCAAGTACATACGTTAAGGTCCGCGAAGAAATACTGGATGGCAATAGCAATGGACGACTTCAAGTGTGAGTCGGTGTGTGAATAGGAATAGAACCGTCATTGTACGAGCATTTCTCTTCTGTCTGCGATAAATTTTCTGTGTCAAGTTGTACAATAGATGTCCGCAACAATGAACGCAGGAACAATTACGGTATCTTTTGTGATCATTGCTATTGTGTGCATCATAATATTTGAGAAACCATTTCCGCCCCCCTCCCCCCCACCCCCTGCAATCCGTGTTTCATTCCTTTTTATTTCTCGGCGAATAGCGGCGTTCCGTTACTATGAAACGCTATAGAATTTTGAAACGTGCAAAGAGAACAATCTGCCTGTAACTAATAACGAATAATTGAATTTTCGCTCGTTTTGTTCGCAGGGCCGAAAGAATTCAATTACAGGGGCCACAACTACTTTTACAGCGGACATATTCCGGCTCACGCCAACCAGAGAGTGGATTGGCTAGATGCTAGAAATATTTGTAGAGAATACTGCATGGATCTCGTGTCGATAGAGACTCAAGATAAAAACAACTTAATCTTCAGACTCATACAACAAAGTAAGTAGCCGAAATCTCCGGAACTTTGTAACGAAAAGGGACATTCAACGCGTCTACCTAGGCTTTGAATCTTCGTTCTGCATGTTGCTTACGTTTTTACGTGGCCTTATACACGCTCTTGGAAGATTGATGCGTTCCGTGATGCAACTATGTATATATAAAAAAAAATTAAATTCCTCCTCAGCTTCAACCTACTTAATGATCCTGCGTCTCACCTTGAGGAATCTCTTGTTAACTCACCAGCTTAGAAATTCTGAAGCCTGAACGACGAACAAAAATCGTACTTTGTTCTTAAAGAAATAGAAGCAAAGTTTAAATATCTTCACCCATTGACATTCAAACAGAATTGCTACAAAGAACTATAAAATAAAATAAATGAACAAATTTTATATTACAATAAACGTATGCAAGCATAAAAATTCAGAAACGAATTGGAAGTTCAAATACAACTTACGAAAAAAGTTCCAGTAAACAATTCGAAATATGCTATTCAATAAAAATTAACGTTTGCTGTTTAACAAGTTCCTTCTAAATACCTGTGAGAAACGGTTTTGCGCTAATCGCCATCTAGTATCATTTCCTAGAATTTTAACTGTATTTCCTATACCAGTGATGAAACTTACTGGCATGCTTTACTTTTATTAAATATTATCATTTCCTGCAACCAAACGTCAAATGGGAAAACAATGCTGCGATATGATCTGGACGATCGATCGCATTAGCAAAATCGGTATTACATTTTCTCACGTTCGTGACGAAATATCGTGGGTAGAGGTACGACGTTATAAATTACCGAGAGCGAAGTTGAAGCATCACTTCGTGTCGACGGAATCGTTTGTTTCGAAATTTCTGAACTATCATCTGGCTGGCGAGAATGAAAGTTACACTAAGTAGTATAATAAATTGCTCACGAAGCCGAGTTGCTTCTGTGCCGTCGTTGACGGTTCGGTCTCGGCGATTGTACAACTTTCTAAGCCAGTTACGACAGGGTTAAATAAATTTCAGCCCAGCTGTGGGAATAATACAGTATCAATAGCATCGATATCTGATAATTAGGTACCATTTCATACCGAATCGTTTTTTATTCGATCGATGGTACGCCGCCATACTAACCTACGATGTCAGTGGTTCTTAACTATTTGCTTTCACACCTCTTTTGACCATTTCACGAAATTCGTGGATCCTTTCCTAAAATATTTTAAACCGGTGTCGAAATACTGTGCACCAAACAGGATTAATTCTTCCGCAGTCCCTCCTGGAAAAAGAACATACGCTTGTTGCAAATTTTTAGTTCTAAATGTTCGTCTTCCCGCGCGAACGTAAATCATTTATCTAGTTATTCTGGTTACTTTTCAATTTTTTGCAACATTCGATCAGAATTGGACAAATTTCATTCACGAACAATGAATACAAATTTTAGGTTTATTCCAAACATGATTTTTCGTGCCACGACTTTTATCATTATCATTTTGTGGCAACAAACTTAACAAAAATGAAAGATAGTCGTAATACTGTAAACGACGAAAGTTAACGATCTTTCCCGCGTTTTTTTACATCGTTTTCCCTCGGTTGAACAGAACTGCAGAATTTAGAAACTTACGTGGAGCAAAGCTAATTTGAAAAATAACGTTTCTTCGAATGTTCCTTGTCCTAACGCGTAAATGGATTATATTTTCTACAGACGACGTTCCCTACATCTGGACTTCCGGACGTCTCTGCGATTTCAAGGGTTGCGAGAATCGTCGTGACCTCGAACCAAAGTCTCTCTACGGATGGTTCTGGTCAGCCAATAGAAAGAAGATGGCGCCGACCAATCAGGTCCCCGAAGGGTGGAACTTTAATCCGTGGTCGCAAACCGGACACAAGAAAGTTAGGCAACCCGACAACGCTGAATTCGATATAAACGGCACGAACGAATCTTGCTTGTCTGTTCTTAACAACGTTTACAAAGACGGGATTAGTTGGCATGATGTAGCATGCTATCATCAAAAACCTTTTGTATGCGAAGATTCCGATGAACTTTTGAATTACGTCGCCAGCACCAACGCAGGCCTGCGCCTCTAAAGGCATCCTAAATAAACAATCCGCTCATTAACACTTGTCCTCTTACTCGTCCCTGTTGCGGCTTAGGCGAGACACCAACCAAAAGAAATAAAAATAAAATGATTGTCAAAAATTGTCTATATAAAAGCTACAATATTTAAGTATAGTAATGCATGGTTAAATTACAATTAAATTAAATGTCTTCGACTCTCTATCAATTCTCTTTAAAGTACGCGAACTCGGTCGTCGCCATTCGATCTAGTACTTACAACTCTATCACATATTCGTAGAATAAAATCGTTACCCGATATGTGAGATTTACAATGCTACCCCCCAAATTTATTGGAATTTAAGCATGCATTACTGTACAAATTTGTTTTCTACCAATTTTCGTTTCCATACTTACTATATTCATTGAATTCTACTTACTACTTGCGGTGAAATTAATTCACACTAATTCGAAACGAGCCATAAAAAGTAAAAATGTTCATCAGAAATTGCATACGTAAAAACTACAATATTTACGTACAAATTTGCTTTCTACGTTCATAAATATTACGTTAATAAAGTAAAAAGCAATGAAATATATCTTAATTGTCCGAAGAATTTAATATTTCATCAACTCTAAACAAGAAAGCAATTGTTTATATCGAACGCATGACTATGAACATAACGAAAAGAAAATTATCTTTATCAAAGGGAACTTACGATATTTATTTATATTTAAACATTTCACGCGACAACGGTTTTTTAACTAAAAACTAAGATTGCAATTTTTCAGAAGGCACTTAATTATTTCTTAGAACGTAATACAAACATTGTTATAATGTAATATAAGAATTAAAATCATTGGTTCATGATCAATACTGATAGTATAAGTCTTGTCGTTCCACCTCCACTGCACTCATTTGTTCAAAAGAATTCAATGACACCTTTTTAATACAATTAATTTGTAATTACAAATTTCCATCAAAGGATAATCAATGGTCTAAACATATTTATTAATAAATATTTGACCAACGGTCTGCCTGCATACGTTTACGAATAAATTCTAATTCTAAGTATTTAAAAAAGTCCCATTTATTTATCAAATCTTACAAACTACACGTATGAATTAAGAATCATACAAAATTTATTATAAACTTACTTTGCCAGCAAATTTTGCTAATTTCCTGTCGGAATGTAGAATTGGAGTTAATTCCATTACCTCTTATTTTTCTTCGCTTTCTTCCGCGCTAGAAACCGATTCGTTTTTTTTCTTCTTTCTACTTTTAAGTTTGTTCAGCTTTATTTTAATACCACGTTTACGTTTTCCAGGCAAAGACGTAGGATCTGCAAACGAAGTATAGTACTTTTTCTATAAAATATACTTAAAAATCTCATAAATACATACGATCTTCGGGTATATTCATTTGCTTCCTCAAGACAGTTCGGACTTGTTTGTTAATAATTTCTCGACACTGTACGTCGAAACCGCTTGGTAACCAGCCTCTTTTTTCGTGACACCTTGTACCGGGTAAAGGATCAGGTAATTTTGCTAACATTTCTTGTATGTCATCTACAAGAACGTCGCAGTACTGAAACAAATTTGAGATTTGAAATCCTCAACGTAACATCGAAACTTCGATAACGGCGAATTGAAAATTATAACGAACTTGATAAAACATTTGTCTCGAAGGTGGTACCGTTCCTTCTCGATAAATGTACACATTCTCGTTTAATTCTTGCTCCTTTTTAAGATTATGCTCTTGGCTCGAAGTTCCACTTAGAATTGCTTTTTTCTTTCCAGCCGGTGTTGATTTGCATGGCAACAAATAATCCGAATAACTTCTTTTGCACTTAACGGTAGATCCCAAACCATCTATATTGACAAAGATCGTTCAGATAATTGTTTATCGAAATTTGCAAAGCGTAACTGAAAAGTTTAGAGACTCTACTGTGTTTCGTTTCAAATTAGCGCGAAGCAAACGTAATTGTGTACGATAAAAGTAGTTCCAGTGAAAATATTGTAGAAATACTCACGCATGGCTTTCAGTCTATAATCCAAGGTTTGGTACTTCCTTGCAGAAATGTCTTTCCTCGGATCGTAGCCCAGTTTTACCCACATGATTTTCCATGGGCCAGTCATGAAGTAATACGCCACCGAGGGTAACAAAATTTTCAACCGATCGTTAGAGAATTTAGTTTCGTACATTATCGCGTTTTTCGACCATATTGGTCGTTCCTCGAAAATTTTATGCATCAGTTCAAAGTGTTTGGTTTGAATGAACTTAACTGTCAAAGCAGTCTCTATGCCGATCGGCGGCTTCGTAGGAACCTCCGGCGTTGAGAAGTAAATAAAATTCGAGAATCCAGTCTTTCGTTTCCTATTTTTTCCTATTATATTTTCTGGGTACGAGTTGGCTTCAGTTTTCGGTACGTATTGCTGCACCGTGCCCATTCTGCTGAACGCAGCTGGCGGCAAGAAATAAGGCACGTCGTTCTTTAACCAAGAGTGATGCGGTATGTTCGTTGGGCAAATCTTATCGTATATGCATTCTAACTTTTTCGGATCTGCTTTGCTTTGTGTCATCGGTAAATACTGGAAGTCGCAAAGATCTGGAAAGTATTGTTTCCAAAATTTCTGATCTTAATATATAATGATAAATGAGATTGGATAATTGTTTCAAATTTCACGCAATACGCACTTCTGAATCGAAATTCCGTATCGATTCGTCCCAGAATTTTCAATTTCGGCAATTCGTAATCCTTGTCTTCGGAAAGGTCTTCGTATTTAGCGTGGTCGAACGTTGGCATTATGTTTTTCTTATGTTTTGTAAAATGTGTATTATTATCTGTCGACAAAGCATGCAAATCTTTAATGCTTCCGGAAGACAAGATCTTCCGAGAAGAATCGCCAATGTCATCCAAAGTACTAACACTGCAACCTTGTATTTGATCAACTAAATTAGATATAATTTGTTCTTCTTGATCTTTATTTTCCGTATAGCTATATTCTGACTCTGTATCTTGCGTATCCATATTATTTTGTTCATTAGTATTATTTTGATCATTCTTTGAATCCATGGTTCTCGTCGATCGTTCCTCCATTTGCTTTCTTTCTGTTTCTTCGATCTTTTTTATTCTAGATTTTTTAATCCTAACTCTAAGCAAGAACCCTTTAGTATTGTATCTGTCGCCGCAAGCTGGTTTACAGTAAGGCTCTTCCGGTCTAAACTTTAACTCTAACCGTCGATTTGGAGTATTTACTGCCTGTTAATACATTATCACAGTTAATAATCGCTATATGCTTGTCTATCGCAATAAGAAGAATATATTTACCGTACAAATGCCATGAATACCACCTAAAGTATTTATAGCTTTATCCGGATTAATGACATTTCCAGGATATTTAATGGCAACAAACTTTCTATCAAATCTATGACCTCCAGGAAGCACCGGTCCGATATACTCATTTTCTTGTTGCTTATCCGCATCTTGATTATCTTCCAAGGTCTAAATAATAACACAAATAAAGCCTTTCATTTTCAAAAAGTAACAAAATTTTCTAATTCAAAGCAAGCATTTACGTCTTGCGATCTTACGTTGTTATCGTCGTTATTAGTATCTGGTAGATCGCAATAAGAATCATCACTGTCGATCTCCTTTTGATAATCGTCAATGTTGAAATCCTCGTCCTTCCCGTCCCGAGCATCAAAAGCTTCATTCTCGTCACTTTCGTCGTTTGGTTCACTCATATCAATTTCTTGTATCAAAACCTTGCTAACCACAGGAGTACATTTTCAAATACCATATTCTTAAAAAGGACATTATGTCAGCGCGTGAAATCATGAAAGTGCTATTATATTAATGTAGACTATCTTATCCGTGTACATCAACAACTAATTCTTTTATTTCTTGTGCAATTATAATACAATTTCATGCGTGTGCTCAACGTTCCTCAGACGCGATTGCAAGTTGAATCAAATTTTACTATACGCAGTTTATTTATCGACATTACTATATTCGATACATGTCACGTATTCTAAACTAATAATTTACAAAAAAACCGTAAATGTGTATATATTAAATTATTACTTTTATGGTTAATTTCATGACGCAATCTTTTGTTCGAGGTTAGAAATCTCATGCAATCTCGCTACTGGTCTTTATACTTACACCGATCACCCTAGATAAGTAATAATTATTGTAGATAGGTGTCTCTAGAAGTCTAAGGGAACTAGTGTACAGCGCCACTGGTGACGTGTCACAGAAACTAAACGAGTTGAATTTTATTTCAAAATCATTTTCCTGTTTCTACTTTCCTTCTTCTAAATATTACTTGTAATTATATTAATCATGTAATTATTATAGCATTTTATACTCTAGGCCATTTGCTTTTACTCTTAATAGTGACCCAAATTAAATGCAACGACACTTACAGTACAGAGAAAAATTAAATACACAAATAAAATTTTATTCAATATTCAAGTATAGAATATGAAAGTAAAAAATACGTAGTATTATGTACAATGCTTTGGCTTTCTATGGAAACTATCAAATTTGTATTGCTGTCATTATTTTGTCTAATACAAATTTTCTTTATCGAATAAGTTTTACAGTGTGACTGATTTTCAATAAACTTTTGAATTTTTGCAGACTTAATATTTGGTTCGTGAAAACATAAAACGCGAAGGTTCGTTTTCATATTTATAAGAGACGTTTGATGCATTTTCCCTCCATTTTAATGCACAACTGACATCTGCAAATTATACATCGTATTATAATACATAAATTTTTTATTCATTGCCGTAGGCCCATTGTACTATTTATAAAAGACAAATAGAATAGAGTTTTCGATAGTTTCCATAGAAAGAAATCTAGAAGCCCAAGTCTTTTGTTCGCGTCTACTAATAAGAGATAATTCCTAATTTTGAAATGTAAAAAATTCTGAAACTGAGGTTATCCGTATAATCGATACAAAATAGTTTCGAAAACGTTTTTGTTTATTTAATGTTACGGTGAGAACGGCGTTTGAGCGGAAGAGGTAGTAAATATTTGTTATCGATTGAAAATAGTATATAAAGTATTGAATATGAAGAACATCGGTAATTGAAATATCGAATATATTGTTGTGCTAAATATTAAAATGCTGTCGCAATCTAATTTACGTCAATCACGTATGAACAGAAAAACGATATAAACTGTTACTGTAACATTTGAAGCAGGAAAATATGATGTAAATATTTTCTATGTCTCTTAAAATTTGCATACGGGTGCCAGTCTTCCGCGCGATCGAACTTTAAGGTTAAGGAAAACATTAAAAAATTTATAGTAAAATATAATTCAGATACACGTGCCCATATAAAAATCAGTATACAATACTTGATGCTTTAAAAAGAACAAAGTAAATGAATCTATTGGTAACGATATCTCTGTTATTTATGGTTCTATGAAAAAACTCTTCGGAGGAAAGTTGTACTGCTCGAAGGGGCACGTGCAAAGGTAGCATTATTTTTTCAAGGTCATTTTTTACGAGTATTATAAGATTATCGATATTTTTTCAAACCGCACCCTTTAATTTATTTTCGATATCCTTTTAGAGCATGAAAAAACAAATCCAACGACCTTATAAACCATGTTTGTTATACTATCCCCGAGACATAGGAACGTGAAAATAAAAAGTCCGATCTTCTAGTTCCAGTTCTTATTGTAAGTCTTTACTTCGTGCATAAAAATATATCGAACAGAAACTCGTCTATCCAGCTATTAAATTATAATTCAGGAATTTTAATAATTTAAATAATTATAATTCTCCAACGACTGTTGATGTCATTTGTCCTCGACACGCATAAAATAACAAAGGTAACTTGTTAGTTGGTGAATGGGAACGTCAATATTCATGCTATACATAAGCCTATAAGCCTAAAATTCGTGTCTCGAATGTTTGTTTTTTTAGATTTTCTACAAATCAAGTTTTCCTTGAGTTTTTAACACGCCACTAATTTTGTTAACTTTTTAATGCCCTTTAGATTAAAGTGCACAATTTTAGAGATTTTAAACTCTTTTAATTACCTTACAGAAAATTAATATTTCTATAAAATTACGAGTGAATCTCGGTTTCAAACTATTTTGTTTATAGCGTGAATAAAACAGTTTTTTTTTTTAAATTCCATACGTTGGTTTATTCCTTAATTATTTCTTAGCATTTTAGTAGGGTCTTTCTGGAAATTTCGACCACGGAAGTCCGGAACGTTAGGACGCGTGGTGTAGTGTGCTCGAAACGGAGGAAAATCGTTTTCAGAGGAACAACTGCACGACACAGGGAAGCTTGTCATTGGAAAAAGGGCGTGGATACCTAACTCGCTTACCTTGCAGAAATTATGTATGTATAGACATATGAGACCAAAGCAGCTGTATGATGGATAGAGTTTTAAATAATTTAATCGATGTCGATGGTACCGGCCGGTTACCAGCTCGTATATTCGCATGCTTTCATCGTTATCGTCTGCGCGAGGGAGAGAGGTTACGATTATTAAACCGTGAACTTGATAGTGGGGAACGATTTCCAATTGTGAAATTGTATACGTACCACTCATTCGTAAGACGAATTTCTGAAATATTCACGGTAAATACTTACCGCGAATCGAGTTATAATTTTTGCGCGATAGTTAACTCTAGCAAACAATGACGTGGACTTGTTTCAATGAACAGTTACAACCGATCATTTGGTCTAATACAACGGTATCTTGGCTCTCCTTTGTTCGACCAACGAAATTTCTATGCAACTTCTCGAACGAGATTCGAAAGGGTATAGCCGGATAAGATGGTCAAAAGTGCCCTTGAGCCAAATTGATTTACTGTTCATTCAACAGTAAAATTATACTGTTTATTAAGTAGTCAATTTTAAATAACTTTGTTGCATTTATTATTAGACGGTAAATAGAAAATTGTCGTAAGAATGTTTAATATAAATGTGTGTGTTTCCATTGAAAATGTGAAATATTTCTAGTATTTAGTATCTAGTGATACTAGATGGCGATTAACACAAAACTGTTTCTCACAGGTATTTAGGGGGAACTCTCCCAATATATAGGAACTTGTTAAATAGGAAACGTTAATTTTTATTGAATAGCTTGTTTCGAATAATTTTTTCAGATTTTTTGTGGAGGTGTATCACACACAAAATAATTATAAATCAATATTTCCTAACGCAGCTGAAGTTAATGTTAATATTCGTGGCTTGCAGGTTGCATCATCAGGAGCAAGAGACTCTGACACTGATCAGAATCGGTATGACGATAATATCCACGAATGCAACGCTCCAAACAGGATGAGAATTTGCACAGATCGTTCTACGATGCTAGAGCCTTCGAGGAACATCAAACTCTTCAGAAAATTTTAATTTTTGTTTCCAAGATCAACGAGTTTATCCTTGGCTGGGTCTGCATCGTGGATAACATTCGTATCGAAGAGGAAAGGATTAAAAATAATTGTTGAAAAGGGTACTGTATTGCTCCCCTAAGTGGTTGCACAAACGAAAACGTTTATAAGTTGATCTTGATCTTTCAGGCGTTCATTCGTAACGAGAAGACTCGAGGATAATCGTAATGCGATCGAAGAGGGGGGTATTTAACGCGATAGAATAAGTCGTAAATGTAAAATAATTCCTGTTCAAAGAAATCGAATTTGAAAATTTAGGGTTTACTAATTACAGTGTTAAGATGTAGGTTTCCTTTATCAAGTTATTCTAGGAATAAAAAGAAGAGGTCTTGATGGTGTCTGTCGGTGGTAGTTTTACCATAACTCCTGCTAGTTACCCTCTCCTGGTCTGAAAAGTGCCTGGTCACGAGGAACTTGACATTGAACCTGCATGTCACGCATGCACATTTGCATACGTTAAAGCACGGAATTCTGCCCCATTAACTTGAATGCATGTAAGACAGGTGTATGGACATGGAAAAGTCGACGAAAGGATTAGCTGCGCATGGGCGTATCTATGGAGACGATTGACTCTTGCCACGACCTCTAGTCGTTTTCTATCAGTCCATTACAACGTTATCACGCCGCGACGAATAAACCTCTGTCCGCGAAACGCGTTCTGAACCGGAAGTTTCCCGGCGTGTTGGCCGCGCATTTCGTTGTTTCCTCGTTGCTTCGTCACGAATCGCCGCGATCGGCTCGACTAAAGCCAACGGGCCTTGGAACAAAAACCATTATCCGAGGAACTTTTATTATGTAAGTTCGCGGTCAGTGCGCAAATACCCACGCGACAACTGTTCTCGATCGTGTTTCGCCTACCACCGAAAGGGAAACCGAGTCGAGGAAACTGCAAACGATTTCCATTCAGGGGTTCACGATTCTCGTCGCTCGAGTGTCCGGGGAGCTACTTTTACCATGATCGTTCCTCTCGCGTACGTTGCCTTCTCCGAAAGATTGCTCGATCGATTTTTCGCCGATATTTCGTGGCCTAGAGTTCCGTTTGAAAATTCCTATCTGTCTCGCTTCACGAAACTAGTGCAAAGTACGCAACGGACGACGACAGGGAGAATCTATATTTCCGAACTAGTTGGAGATTTAGAAAAAAAGAAAAATATCATGAGACAAAATTAAACCGAATTGAATACAATTAAATTACCGCTCTAAAGTTTGTCAAACTATTTTTACAACTCAAGAAATGTTAGGTTCGGGGCACAAATACATATCAAACGAAATTGTAGGCTTCGACTTGAAAGAAATATGCGATATTCAGATGCATCGATGCAACTGCATTTTTTTTAACGAAACTCTATAGTTGTTTAATACCTGAATCTGATAGTTCAACAGCCACGACGCTTTATAACACATTGTCGTCTTGCAGATTTCTCGATAGTTTGCCAAAGTGCTGAGAGTGGTCAATGTGAACGTGTGCACCGATATTGAAAATTATGTGCCTCGTAAATTCTACGCCGCGCCGGAAATCGTCGACTACATGTGGCTGGTGTTGCTGTTGACTCTCATGCTAAGGATCTTCTTGAAGAGATTTCAACGATTCTGCTCGACACCGAGGGAGCATTTAATAATCGGACCCCTGCCTTCCGTTGGTCGCCGACACGTTAGACCTAAAATCAGATATCACGGCTGATCGAACCAACGTTTAACGACCCTTCTATCACCGAAAGTGCTATTCCATCAGAGACGAGAGGGGAATCGGTAGCGGACAATTGAGAACGTCGAGACTCTTAAGAACCGAATACGAACAAGTAACACGTACGGAAGGGTTTTTGATGCGCGAAGGAGGTCCTTCTGCATGGTCCTTCGAGGACTCTTAGACCGACGTGCCGGAGAAAATGAATTGGTCAGTTGGAAGCATGTGAGTAAATGGCCGTGACAGGATCTAGCCATCCTTCGAACGACCTACTATGGGCATCTGCCTGGACACTGGTTAGTATTTCCTGAAAACAGATCATACACATTAAAAATCAAATCCAACGTAAACTTATTATTATGAAATAACAACCCTGAAAGAATATCAATTTGTCGATGGTGGCTCCGTTAAAAAGTTATTAACGTTTAAAGTTCCGCCCGTACTGAATTTTTTTCTCGAAAATGCGCAGGATTTCGGGGGTATGTCTATTCACCAAAAATGATTGTAATTGAACCCCGTAACCGAAAATAATTTTTCTGGATAAAATACTTTCTCATTTTTAAATTCTACTAGAATTTCTATAAGAATTCTCAAAGACTCACGCTTTCTATCATATGTATATTAATTTGCATACAAACAGTCGATCCAAGACCAAAGGAGCAATTTCTTTTCCGTTCTATTAAATAAATACCGTCGTGAATACGGGCGACTAAATTCTTAACGAAATATTCCCCGTTATATGGGTGTTGTCGAAACATGTTTCATTTCAATTCAGAATGATTAATCACAATGTGGTCGAAACACACGTGTGACCCACATACACCTTGTACTTGACATTACACATATTACTCGATCAATAAGTCTTCCAGCGATTTCCCAAAAGGGAAATAAAGACATATTATACTTTACAATACTTTTCGATGTACGACCGCAGTGAAATTCAACTATAAGTCAAATATAAACAAACATTCCAGATTACACGTACATCCCTGTTAAATACAATCGCTCGCACTGAGAATCTCTTTTACTTTTATCACTGTAAAGAATTATTTAAACTATTTAGACTATGTCCATTTACAAAACTCAGATCGCAATTGCAAAACAAATGTAACTTAATATTTTGTATTTATAGCGATATTCTTGACTTTACAATGTTATATAATAAAGAAAAATATGTAATTACAGATGTATGTATAACGCGACGTATAAATATCGACGGACGAGAAAAAATGATTTATTTAAGAAAAGTATAGCTCTGTTTGAAAAAAATGCAAGTTAGGTGGAACAGCCTGTATAATGAAAGCTTTGCTTCGCGTCGACATCAATAGCAATCAATTCTTATTATGTTTCTATTTTCTTATAGCTGAATTCACCCGTTACGCGACATTCATAAAACAATTTCGTACGATATTCAAATCCTCGAAATAGATACCCATACTGTTACGTACACAGATCGTCTTTCGTCTTTTAAAACTGAGAGCGTCTTCGCGAATTTTTTTATTCTGCCTTTTCTTAATCAAAAGATCACGTTTCGTTTTAAATTAAGCTGTAATTTTGAAATATGGTCTGCCTTTTCTGTAACTGGACTCGAATTAAATTTTAACATTCAATTTAGAAAATTAGTATATTTATTCGAAATACTGTTCCCCAAGTACATATTACGTATGTAAGTCCAGAACTTCTAATGTTAAAGAACAGAATTAAAAATATTTCCCATTGTTAAACTGTTTTTGTTTACCACGAGGGATCGACAAACATTGACAGAAAAGTAAAAGGGATTTTAAGTATAATACACAAATAGAAGCTTTGCGACAATAAATTTTGTACGATATTATTATACATATTAGTATTAATTAACGCTTTAAGCATGCAATCATGGCGGTACATTTTACGCAAGTTACGAATAAATCGATAAATGAAAAATGAATAACTATGAAATAAGTATAGGCGACGTATCGATTGCTTTCACGTTTTATTATACATAGCTTCGCGGAAAAATGAAATTTATTGTAACGAAGCCAAGAGTTTTTCATACAAGCGAACGTCTTAATGGGTACAAAGAAAGTTCCGTCAGCATGAGTCATCTAACAGAATCAATATTGCAACTAACTTTACGACACTTGTCGTTAGCCTGATCGTACGTATTCTTTCCAAGTGTAAATAGTAACGTGAAAGATAGCTTTCCAACGTAATTAGTGAAATTAATTTCTTATCGCGCGAACAACCTCTCAATTCTTTTTTATAATTAATTTAGAAATTATTAACCGAATGAACAGAAATGTTCCCGAAAAATCCTCAAGTTCCGTAGATCCCTAATTCTTTTATTTTCTAATGGCCAATTTTCGAAATAGTATACCTGTTACTGGATAGATTTTTTAAATACTAAAACCCTATTACAATATCTATTCGTTCCCTTTGCTCTGTAATTGTCGATACGAATTAGTGTATTCTTGATATCATGTTATTGAGAAAGAATGGTGAAGCTTAAAATTTTAAGCATTTAATCCAGAATAAATAAAGAAAAATTGTACTTCGTCCAACGCTGTCGAGACCTTTTAAAATTTCAACCTGAAATTATTTTTTTTTGAAAAGATTTCTCTTAACAATTATTTCCACCACGGAAACGGTGTTAAGTACACGAAAGCCTGGTATGAAACGGTAGAAACGAATGTCGCTACGATCAAACTTTTATGATTCTTCGGGCAGTTAATGGTTTACGTTACGAAAGTACGTAGTATTTTTCTCAGAAGTCTATCGATGTCGATTTCATACGTTTCTACATACATACGTATAGATGTTCTAACCCGAGGGCCGTTTCTCTACAGTATCCATACCTTTTCCTTTTCTCGAACCACATAAAACGAGAATTACTTTTAACAACTATTTTCCATTGTTTCTCAAAATGATTTACCATTGGAAATATCTTGTTTCTTCTTATTATTCGCTTTGTCATTATTAGCAGGTTAAAGACAGAAAATTTAAAGGAAATAGATTCTTTGAATCCAAAGTGTTGGGCAAATGTCTGTTTTTTCAGTAATTTCTCCGATAACACAAAAATAAATTCTATCATCCACATATAGCTCCTGCAAAATTTTAATAAATTATATTAATTACAAAAATACTTATCACCCATTTTTAGTATACACGTGTTGAAGGAATTCTATACCATTAAAATCATCGTATAGGAAAGTTTTAAAAGAAATGCCCCGTCGTTGATGCGTTAACGTCGTTGATCCGTATTTCGGGTCGAGTATGGTTGCTCTAGAGTGGAAAAAAGGTTGCAAGCAATTTACGCACACAGTTTAATCGATATTGCGGAAGCAACGTTACATTGTGACATAGTGGTTCTATCGTTGTCGTATCAAACTTCGTGCTGAAAATGCGAGTTTACGGAGAGTTTAATTTTATCGTACATCTTTGCTAACAACGAAATTAACGCTTAAACATGCACTTTACCGTCAAACGCAAATATAAAAGTCGCGAAAAGATTATGAAAGTACACCGAGAGCGATGATTTTAAATTTGACCTTAAAATAAAAATGACGTACAATACCTAAACGAAGACGCACAATTGCAAATTAATCTTTTTATCGATGCTTACAATGTACAATAATAACTAGCATATTTCAACGACTAAAATTAAAGTTAACATTAACCTGTTACAGAAGAAAATAGAACTAAAGTAACACTACTTAATCTCTAGTCTTAATTGCTAATTATTACTACCCCATTAGGAACATTCGAAAAACAAGATTCACACCTTGGTAGATCCACCGTTTCACTTCCGTTCCGTATGATACACCTGTTGAGCGTGTCGTCAAGACGTTCAGGTTGCCACAGATATACCCGCTTCACTGTTAGGCGAATTTTATTCAGGACGAATTAGAAATTTTAGACTTGCTCGTGAACTGAATTTCTTCCTGTAAATTTTAATTTACCAAGATATTAGGTTATTGAATTCTAATTTACGAGTAAAATATCTTTGTTTTTTATTTGTAAATAAATAAAACCGAGTTGAGAATTAAATTTCAATCAACAAAAATTCGGTAAACAAAGGAACGAAACGTTCGGGCGAATGACTCGTGCGATACTGATCGGCGGGGAGGCGAGGGACCCGGAAGAGTCGGGATTCCGGTCGGATCTGGTCGGGAAACTTCGGGGAAAATCGGTTCGGTTCCAGCAAAAGTCCCGAATTTTTCTACGCAATTATCCTATCTTGCCGTATCTAGAAAAGGGCAACAAATGAATTTTTTAGTTTTTACTTTACATCAGCGAGACCTCTACCATTATATTTCTGAGATTTTTCTGATTAAAATGAGACCAAACGCTATAATAATATCGGCCATATTTGTGTATTTAACAAGCGACAACAAACAATTGATATTTATATTAAACTATGTAGTTCCTAAAGAATAATTAAAGTGGTTTTGTTTAACATTTAAATATTGTCTATATTTATTCAATCAGTTCCTATGCAAGAGGGGACCTGTTATTTTTCAACAATTAATAGGTAAACATTATTTAAACAGTATATCGCGTTTAGTCTTCTTTTAATCGTAAAGATCTCAGAAATACTTTGGTTAAAGTTGCATTATTACAAATTAATATCACTTGAACGACCACCACGATTCAATAACAAAGCCCTATCGCTCTTATTGGAAAATCCTATGCGATTTTACACCCAAATTACACGTAGGAATAAACGTTGCGCGGCGATTTCGTGGTACTGATTGTAATTCGATCGAAAATTAAATTGCAGATCAACAAAATGGATCGCAGGTGTTCGAGGAGGCTGATGCTCGAAGCGCAGGAAAATGGAGGGGGGAGGCTGGCCTCTTGGCAACTCCTCCGAATGGATACTTCCCGCAACAGAACGTCGGTCCGGTTAAATTCGAAATACCAAAAGTGCCCGTCATATTTGTCCTCGGTTTGTATTCGTTTCAAAAATTCGTTTAAAAATGTTAAAAGTCAGCGACTTAAGAGCGATCATACTCCTGTTGATCGATCTTTAAGTAAACCTTGGATAACAATTATTTCATTTCCGTTGGACAGCGGTTGTTTCTTTGTTCTAACAATTTTATGGCGTCTTCAGGCGGTCCCGGTAGCGGCAAGGTGACACATTGCGACAATTTGATCCAAGAAAAGAAAGGCATAACGCATATCAACATGATGGACCTCCTTCAACAGTACGCGCTCGGAAACGGTGAAAATAATATAATTTCTAACACGGTAGACACCTCCATTGTACATACAGGCTGTTCGACCACCCCTGGGAAAAATTTTAATGGAGGATTCTAGAGGCCAAAATAAAACAAAAATCAAGAGTACCAATTTGTTGATGGAGGCTTCGCTGAAAAGTTAACAACGTTTAAAGTTCCGCGTGTAGCGCGCGCAGCTGTATGCAGGTTGCCTATCTACAGGCGCGAACTTTAAACGTTAATAACTTTTTAACAAAACCTCGATCAACAAATTGCTATTCTTGATTTTCGTCCTATTTTTACCTCTAGAATCTCTCATTAAAATTTTTCCCAGGGCTGGCCAAACACCCTGTATAAACTCCCGTTATGTGAACCTTCTATCAGGTATATTTATAAACATCCTATTGTTTGAATATTCTATTATACGAACAGTATTGTTAATTATATTACTTTTACAAAAACTCTATAATTATTATTACTCGAGCGTATAAACCGTTGCTAGAAAATGTGTTTTTATACCGTTCGTTCCATCAACAGATATGCAAGATTTCGGGCAACTTAGCAGCAAGACTGTTACCGAGGTCCTCATGCTCGAAATCAAAATGTCTCCAGGGTCCAAAGTCTTTCTCGTCAGTGGATATCCGCGTAATATGCGCGACGTGGTCGAATATGCTGAGAAAGTAAGTTGCTCGATTATCTTTAACGAATAGAAAAAACGAAAGGTCTACGTAAATAACTGGGTAATAAATTATCATACAAATCTGTATTCCCGATTGACGCGCTTTCAGATTAAAATTGTTAACGGCGTGATCCTCGTGTCCTGGAGACAAGAGATTCTCGAAAGGCAAATCGACTTTGGCGCGCAACTCGGCCAGGTGGTGATCGAGCTGGCGAGAATGGAACTTCACAATTTTTATAGAAACGTTATGCCCGTCGCGGAATACTTCGACCAAAGTGGAATTTTACTAGAAGTAATTAAATATAGATATCTTATTAGATATACAACAGGGTCTCTTTAAAATATCTTTATAAGATAAAGTCTAATAAAAAAATATTCCATACAAAAGTCTGTTCTTCTTTAGCGTAGAATAAATATAGATTTCCATTGAAAGAACAAAGTTAACATAACTTATTTAGATCATAATCTTCTTGGAAACCCAAATCGATAGACTCTATTGTCTGTAAATTTTAAGAGATAACGTTTATGACATCAATTTCTCTCACATTGTATTTCTTGAAGTTGATCGATTCGATTTCTAAGGGGTCTCGGTTATTATTAAAAATCTCACGCGTGATAACGACTAATTTTTTTCAATATTTTTCCAGGTGAACGGAGAAAGAAATCCGAACGACGTTTACGTCGATTTTCGGGAGACGGTGTTCAAAATACTTGGACTCTCGGACGGCGATGTGCGAGAAAAAACAGTCTCTCAGTCTTTGGAAGCCGAAGTACGTTGCATTATTAACACGACGATACATCATTTCCGTTAATTTCCAAATATTATTTGAAACAATACGATTAAATAATATCGCAGGTAGAAGTCGAAAGGAGAAAGGAATCCATTTCAAAATCACCGTCCCATAAAAATGGCGAAGTACCGGAAATGACGCAAGCGCCTGTTACGATTAACGTGAACCCTTCGAAAACTGCGATTAAACCTAGAAAGGGATTACCTTTGTTTATGTGGGTCATAGGTGAGATTCTGAAACATAGAAAGAATTTAATTTTTTCTTAACAAATGTTATAAATGTATTTTATTTTAACGTACCGTGATCTACTGCACTTGAATTAAATAAATCGCTCGAACCAGTATTCTACACAATTTGTTGCCTAGCGTGTAATTTAAATTTTGTCCTGACGTTTGTTTAGTATCTCTTTTCTAATTATTAACATTAATAGGTGGTCCTGGAAGCAATAAGGAGAATTTATGTACCCAGGCTGTTCGCAATATGCCAGGTTGGGTCCATGTGAGCATAGGTGGATTGCTCAGGACAATGGCATCGTCGAACACTATCGTTAAAGAGGCTATCGTTTCTGGAGAAATGGTCCCACAGGACATTGTGATGCAAGCAGTCGAACAACAGATAATTTTAAATCGTGATACGGATGGCATAATAATCGATGGCTATCCAAGGGGATTGAATCAAGTTCAAGAATTTGAAACCAAGGTATAGGACTTCCTTTCTTGTTCTTATCTCAAGGGAGTAGAACCATATCAAATAAATGTTACGAGGTATTAATTATTATGATTTCAGTTCGGTCAACAACCACCATTAGTGCTTCTGGATTGCTCCAAGCTGCAACTTGGCAGAGGAAGACTGGACGATAATGTTTCGGCGTTCAAGAAAAGATTGGAGCTATTTCGCGAAGTATCGTTACCTATGTTGAAAGCATTGGATAACGAGAATCGTTTAACAATTGTAAGTGTAACCGCGAACTCGTTCGTTAAATAAGTAACTCGTGTTTCGATTTGGGCGTCGCAGGCTATCAGAATTTTGACAAATTTGATGAAAAAAGAACGTCTTTTAACGTAGATAGACGGCGATACGGATGTGCCAAGCGTGCAACAAGAATTTGCAGCAGCTCTCTATCAATTGACGCAATTGCAACGGACAGGAATGGAAGATATCCACGGAAGATCTAGATCGCTAACGGAGAACGAGAATGGCACGAACTCTAAGCCATTGATCTCTAATAACAAGGATCTACCTGTTGTGTCGAACGGTGTTTCTAAACAAATGTTCGACGACAAACCAAATATAGAAAACATGATAAACGCCACGAAAAGCATTAACGGAATCAGCCTACAAGGTAAATAATTTTTCGATGTAATAATCATCTTTTCGTTATTTTTTTTTTTAACAATATTAACAGGTACAAGTATTCGAAACAGAATTTATTTTTTCAACTTGTTATCTACCTGAGAATCCTCTTTCCGATGATGCAAAATAAAAGACTCGTTTCTTTTTTTTTTACACAGGAGCGGTACAAATTACCAATGGATTAAAGAGTACTGCGAGGCAGGTTCAAAAAAATGGTACAGCTGCTGTACAAAATGGCGTAGCGAATGGTGCTGCGCACATGTTACAAAACGGTGTAGCACATTTGGCCAACGGAATTGTACCAGGCAGCAATAAAGTTGCCCCAGCCGTACAAAACTATTTGCCGAACGACACCAAAGATGCTGTGAGAAAGATGTACAACGAAGTGGAGGGTTACCAACAGAATTTACATATGTAAACTATTTGTCTAAACAAAAGTATCGGAAATATTTTTACTATTGTCCTATCTTTTTATAATGTTATTCACTTTAAGAGTCACGTCGAAAGGTATCAAAGGTTCTTTTCGATAAAACTTATATACGTTCGCATCTTGAGACGAATACGACTTAAATAGAACTAACGAAAGATTTAAGAAAAGCCAAACACAAAAACTAGTTTTGTAGAAATATATCGAATGTAAGTACCCAGTCTAACGATAAGCGTTGAAGTATTTAAAATATCGACTCAAGTGTTGAAACATACAAATTTCGATTCTAATTACATTCGAATGTAATCGGAACGAATAAGTATTTGTTTCTTTTGTTTAGACATTATATGAAACATGTAGATTGTAAACAGGAAATCTATGTTTCTCTGCTCTACTTTCAAAGCAATATTTTAATAGTTCCTTCCTTAGTTTTGTTGTTTAAGTGGGAATGTTGATTGTATAATTTTTCAAATTGCATGCAAATTTACTGACCGATAAATCGTCAACACAGCCAATATAAGGGACCATTATAACAAAAATTTCAATCGTGTCAATCCTGAATGCAAAATTCACATTCTCGATCAAATTTCTTCTCATGATTTCTATCATTTCAGTAAATATTTATAAACTTGCACGGTACTGTACGAACAACTTAAACTTGAGATAAATCAGTTATTTTTTTGACTAGCGATTTAATTAAACGATCCTTTATAATTCTATCTTAATAGAGTAAAATATTAATAAAATAATTTCTTATATTTCGTTTCTGTACCAGTTTCTTGGTAATTTCTTTTGAAGTTTGAATATGTAAAAATAAAATTAATTATTTAATAATGCTTTTTGTTGTTATTTACGTTCAGCATTCGTTCTCCATCCTCCATCCTATGGAAAGATTATAATATAATAAATTTTTTAAATAGTTAATTATATAGTAATAAATTTTACTATTATTTATATCTGTACAAACACTATACAATAATCGTATCCTCGCCATAACATTTGGCTGATCATCCGCTCTCAGAATTAAAAAATGGAATAAGCTGGCATACGAAAGTAGAAATCATTCCTGACGCGATTCGTAGCCAGAAAAATGATCTTTAATGGCCAATCGATATTTATACGACGCTTGATCTTATATAGGCCAATTTTTAATTAAGGCTCCACGAACAAATTTTCCATAAAAGATGACAAATCAAATATATCCGCGGTACTTAATAATTTTCTTGCAGACACTTGTTCGTTCAAGTTCGTTGCGGCAGCTTTCAATTTGTTCTTCCATTCGGTAGAACCATGCTCGTTTATAGAACATATCATAATTTCGTTTACTTCGTCTTGCACGAAATAGCACGCTATATGTTTGAATACAGACTTCAAATCGTTTTTCACTTTTTTCTTGATACTCTCATCCCGGCTGACTAGATTCAAGATAAAAAGCCCCCCGTCCATTAAACACTCGGAAACCGACTTTATAATAGACATTTCTAAAAATTGTTTCGGTGGGCAGCTTATCCCGACAGTAGTGTCTTTACTATCCACGTCGAAAAGTATAGCTTTGTATTTCTGACCGCTCGCTACACTGTCTTTGATGAATCGAATTCCATCTGCGATATCAACCCTCATTCTGTTATCAAGAATCAGGCCAAAATAGTCGATAGCGATCTTCAGCATCATTTCGTCGATGTCCACCGCGATAATTTTCAGCTAGAAAATCGGTTAAGAATATCGGTTTAAGTTGAAACCAGAACTTATCTATAAAATTGGTTTCAAGTACTATACGCGTACTTTAGGAAAGCAATTGTACAGAAATGTGCATAGACTTCCTCCGCCCAATCCCACGATTATGATTTCATCAGATTCTTTGGTGTTTATCGCGGCGCTGACGCCAATGCTCATATACAAATGATGATCGCAGGCTAAGAAACCAGGGTCGATAACTTTTTTCATTTTGCCACGTCTTGATTTAGCTGCAGAAGAATCATGATACCGATGAACATTGTTAAAATAAGGAAACATTTGAAGTAACAAATCCAGTACCTTGTTTAAGACGAGCTTCGCTCTGGATGACGTACGGATTGTTTAAAAATACCAGTCTCCTGAACTCGTAACCGTCTCTTTCGACCTCCTCGACAACGAAAGGGCCGCTGAGATCACTTTTCCCTTCATAGCACGTGATTCTTACACCTACGTCCGAACCTAACGATAAAAATGGAATATCATTTTTACCGGACAAACCTTCTGGCGCTAAATTCAAAATGCAATCCTCAAGTTCGCTTTTCACAGCATCCCAGCTTTCAAATTTGTGTTCCCTGCGCAACGTAACGATTGCAAGCCTATCCCGTTGGACGCTTTTAAGAAGTTGTTGTCTTCCTTCTTTCGTGCTGAACAGCCAATCTGTTTCTCTGTTAAAATAAAATGTACATTAATAAAACATTAATATCAAATACTTATTCAAACTAAACACAAACTTACTTCCCTTGCGGCACTATAAACGCCGCGTATGTTTTCGTCCCATGTATTTTAGGCCTGTCTAAAACGTAAATTGTATAGCGCGGATGCTTATCGTCAGGACGATGTAAATCTAATGATATCTCTCCAATGTCGGCTACACTGCGTTTTTGTAAACTGTTGCATATTAACGCCGACTGTTGCGCCGACAATACAGCAGATATCACTTCATTCGTTAACGACAGTCGCTTTGGAGGACCATCGATTAACGCTATTTCCAGAACCTTTTCCAATTAGAAATTATGTATCGTCAAAGAAAAGAAACATAATTCGTATGCCAAAGATATTTGAGAAATACCATTGCAGTAAAATACTTGCAGTTTGTGATAAAGTCGTAAATTTCGTAGCAATCACCACGAAAATTGGTATCAAGCTTCCTTCTTCGATTCGTGCTTTCGCTTCTGCCTCGTGACAACGTACTATACGAAACATAAATCCAGCGCTTGGAAAATAAGATAGAAGCTCTCTTAGAATGTGTTCTTGTAGTAAAGAGATGCAGATATATCTACCGCCGTTTCGCAAAACTCTCGTGATTTCCTAAAACAAGTAATTCAAAGTGTATTATACATATAATATCGTCGATACATTGTTTGATACATATCCATTTACCTTGAAGTATCTATTAACTGTAAGTATCGTTCCTTCCTTAGTATCTGGCATCAGAGCATCCAAAGTACCTTTATCCAAGATAACGCTAAACGTATCATTTGGATACGTCATTTGAGTAGCATCCATTTGCGTGTAAATTAAATCTGACCTCACGGATGCATTAATATCACGCATTTGTTTAATAACAATATGCGATATATCGATATTAATAATATTTCTACAAATAGAAATAAATCTTGTTAAATTCTAACGCCGATAACAATGGTTATAAAAGTTCATACAAAATCTCACCTGTAACCAACATCGTATAAACACATGCTAACTGTAGAGTTGCCACAGCCAACGATTAAAATATTATCTTTTATTTTTATGTATTTCAAGAGTATACCGCATAATTCTGAGTACTCTCCGTACCTAAATGGTAATGTAAATATTATAATATATTATAAATATTATCAATTTATACGAAATTTAATTCACAAATAGCCTAAAAAGAAAACAAATATAAACACTACGTACCATTCGAAATGTTTTTTACCACGTTTCTTGAAAAACGTATTCCAATACTCGACTTGGCTAAATTCTTCATGAGTTTTCGGTAATAAATTCATAGCTTCAACTTTCAGATTAAATTATAAACTCGATGACATAATTACTTTATGTCATACGTTATTGCGCTTACAGAATTAGGTTATTATAAACATATCTGTGATATATTTTAATTAGATACTGTAAACACGTTACTTTAAATCATATGAAATATTTTAAATGTAACTAGACTTTCGTATTTTAAATTTTTTAATATTGTCAATTAAATTTTCTATTCGTTTGTTATTTTTATGGAATCTTTCGTTATCAACATTGCCTCCTTATTACTACACAAAGCATACCCGAAGTAAATAAGGCCCGTATGAGACCAGAGCATCGACGAACCCACCATAAAAGAATAGGTAAGCAAAGGAATTCGTTCTTTCGCCCTTGGCTCTTTCCCGACAAATTACTTTCTAGATGTTTTGCTAGGTTATATGTATTTGTCCATCACCGTTCATTTAAAAAATTTTTTCAAATGCACCCAACTAATCTACAGTACAGTATAGTCAAGTACATACATACTTGATAATTTTCATCGATTTATTCAAGATATTTACTTAAATATCTTCGTATAGACTCACTCCAATTTTGTATACCTTGTTTAACTTAACAAAAAATTACAATTTAATTTTTGTACGTTTTTATCGTATTTTTATAAAAACAATAACCATGTAGCAGGTACATGAAGATTATAACATGTCAATTTATTACAAACAAAGTCAATACATTAGTATGTACAACTACTCTGATACATTTCATATATATATGTACATAATATATAAAGAATATGCACACACATTCATGACTCGCATTCACGTACTTATATATCATCGATACAAAAGCTTTTTCTATATGAATATACAAATATAAATAATGCTATTGGTTTTGAACAATTAATAAAGTTGGAACACAAACAATACGTTGAGATTATATTCGATCGGGAAATACATACACAGCCTTAATCAAGAAGCAAATGTACTTCAATTCGTTCTATCACCATGGAAAATACTATTACTTACGTATAATTTTCATTCAAACTAAGTTTCCTTTTTAACTTGCAAAACTTTGGTCTAATTTTTCCATGTAAATCTCCTTCGATACCTCACCCAAAAATAACACCTTTCACAACATTTATACAATATACAATTTGTACAATATAAAAGAACATGCACGCACTGCACATTTTAGTTTACTTGTAATAAACTTATTTATACATAATTAGATTATATAGTGACAAGGTATAAAACTTGTGATGTATACTATCCGCCTTTGCTTCGTATGTAATAACATTCTTCTCGACTGTTTCTGAACTATAAAACATGATCATAAAAAAGCAGTATTATCAAAGATATTCAAAGATCATTTGACATATATAAATTTTTCTTTTGAAATACATTATTGGTATTATAATATCAAAATTAGGTTTGATTGTAAACCGTTAAAAGCTGAAGAGAAATTAAAATATTATGTAACTTTTTATTTTCTATATAAATTAATATGGTGCTTTTGAAACTTTTTCTAAAGATAATAATTGCTAAACGTATTACAACAAATTTAGCATTATGATTGCGTCTAGTATTTAAACTGGTAAGACTAAAAATATTAGCAAAATCATAATTTACTAAATATCGTCAATATGCAGCGATTGCTTTGTCAAAGCATCGAAGAACTACCTTTTTATGCATGCAATAGAAAAAGCTGAATGTGATCGATTAACTTCAACATATACACAGTACTGGCGACAGATTCAGATATTGAAAAAACACAATATCAATGAACATAGTTCGCTAGCGATTATACAATTACAAAAACCAATACTCAACAAAACTAGAATAAAACGTTCTCTGTTGAAATCAGGAAGCAAATAAGTAACAAAGTTACATAGCAAAAAAAGTAAGTATCGAAGACTTTGGATAGAAAAAAACAAAACTGTTAAAACAGCATGGTTTATCGGAGATTCCTTTTTAAAGAAACCAAAAATGGTAGACAACAGTGGAAAAAGCTATTCAAGGGCTCGACTAGATGACATTCTGATTGAAGATGAATCTATAACAGGAGTGGAATAGTGCAGGAGGTAGATCAAAATTGCAAAAGGTAGAAAAAAGCTAAAGACCGAACCAATATCGCGTTTGAATGGATTCTGTCCATACTTGTCACAATGATTCTTTTTCTATCGGTGGTGCCATGAACCAGTTGAAATGCCGAAAACAAGGCTCGGTTCTAAAAAATCCTCATCCGGACAGTCATCTAGCGATTCGATTTTAACCAAGGATGGTGATGTTCGTGAAAGCCAAATAAGAGATTTCGTGCGTGCTTCATTGCATTCACAGTTAGAGACCACTTCGGTTCTCCAGTTTTTGTTTTTGTTAAAGATAGTTGCTTTAAAGATGCTTCTGTTCACATTTTTGACAACTGTAGGTATTTGAAGTTACATGGAATGTATGCTGTGTTATCAGAGGTAGCTCAGCAGACGTTCAACATCGATGACTATAAAGCGTTCTTCCCATTACCAGATGTCCTTAAAATGGAAAAACACCAAGTGTTTTCTATGTGATCTAAGTAATCAACAAAATATGAATCCGTTTAATATCCATACACGAAGACCATAATACATCATATACAAAAGAATTTTCAGTTACAATTATTTTGAACTGATCAAACGTCCTGGCAGTTAAACGTTTTATTTCTAATATTTGTATCGTTTACCTTAAATATTAAGTAGATCATTTAATAATATGATCCATGGTGAAAGAATTACAAAGCTTCGGATTCATAATTTCCAAGTAAGTATAACAAAATTGTCGAACGAATCAATACTTGTCAGCTCAAGTATTGTCATTTTAAAGATAAATTATTTCTTTTACAACTACTTAATCCATAAATCTTTAAAAACAATTACGAAGCTAGTAATTTTATTGCTTGAATAGGCATAACATCCAATTAGCAGATACATGCACGTTTCAAAAAAATAAAAGAAAAACAACTATTTGGTTTAACATTGGTATTTGTCAAAATGTATCATCTGTGATATGAAAGAATAGTAGTAGCCCATAAAAGCCGTTGCCAAATCCACCGTGGAACTCTGCATGGTCCAAGACTAGCCATTGCACTTGCTATATGACGCAACCAATCCCAGATACCGCATGGTGCGTGTCCTCCATTGACGTAAAGGACATACATAAACCCATCTTTACACTTACCACGAATCGAATAATAATATGGTAAAAAACTATGTAATCGAAAATGACATCTCTGGTAAAACAAAATGGCAGGTGAATTGCTACACAATACATGTAGGAAGACTGCTTTTACGGAAGATCGTTCTGGAGCAGTAACATGTGCGAGTAATTGTTCCAACAGTAATGAAGCAATTCCATTTCTTCTATATGCACGACGCACTCCTAAGCTAAGGATATAACCTACTAAACAATCTTTTCCTAAATTGGAACACAAAATATCATGGTCCTCTAAATTCAATTTGGCATAAGGCTTTATCTCCGCAACGATAAGTCCAATTATTACTCCACCATATACAGCTGCAAGTGCATAAAACCGCGAGGAACTTGTTATGTCTTCGTACCACGAATAAGGATAATCTATGGCAAAATAAATTAATATTTGTGTTACAGATACACTAAATTCTAACTCTGCTCTAACATTTTCATTGTTCATAAATATAACTAATTAATCCTTTATGGTTCAATCTTTTATAATTGGTATTATTTGAATAGTTCTACCAAAAGTTTTGCTACAACTTATAGTCAATTTTTTTAGTTGTCTTTTTTAGTTGATTAAAATAATATAATTTTATTTTAATCCTTTACGATCTAAGTACTCCTCGCAGACACTGCCAAAGTTTGGCATTGTATTCAAAGTATAAAAACGTTTGAGTGCCCACTTACTCGCATGCATGTTACAGTAAAAATTTGTTTCACTTTAGAAATAGTTGACGCAATAATACTATTCATTTTTTTAATTTACTAAATATTTACTTCCAAACGATTAATTTTTAACTTGCTGAAATTGAATGCTTTGTCACATAGAGCTATACTAAAAAATGAATCAGTGAAATCTACGTCAATTAAATTTGACGACATTGAACGTACAACCAGAAAGGATTAATTACATTAAGACGAAAATTTAAGTTATTTTTTACATGGTGAAACTTGTACGATTTTAAATTTATAGAAAACTTCATACCAATGGGGAACCAATCTTGACAGAGTGCTCGTACTTCCTTCAAATCATCCGGGCACAGGAAACGCAATTGGACATCGCCCAAGACACACAGGGGAACAGTTGCCGGTGTCACGGAGGTTTTTTGATCATTAGGCGAATTTTTTGTAGTATTCTCATCCGTATATTTATGTTTATTTTCTTGTGATACTTTGAATTCACTTTTTTCAATTTCCGGCAAAATAAGGTATCGATTAAAAGATACGGCCATCACGCCAAAGTTTGTCTACCATTTCATTAATCATTTCTTGAGCGATGTCAAGCATCCCTCGCATGTAAACGTTTGCTAGTAAACATATTGAGATCCGCAGACATTTTGTTTCACCTCCTTCCTTCGCTCTTCGTCAGTTTCCTCTCTTTCTCTCTCCACCTTTGCCTAACTATTACATTTTCTCTTTCTTTTACCCCCTCCCTCTTTTTCTCCTACGCACACAAGATTTAATTTAAACCTTGAGAACGTGATTAGATGCTTTGAATTTTTATACTGTAGAGATACGCGATTTAAAATACTGCTCGCTTTATTCTATAGCAACGAAATTGAAAAATTTAGAAGTACTTGTGTCATAACATTTCTTAACAGTATTACTATAATACAAACACGGTTGGACAAAATGTAATCCGATTACATTTACTATGATAAAGTTACATATAATTACACGACAATTAAGATAATTTCAACATATTTTAAAGATTTGTAATTTTAATTACCGTGTGATTACATGTTATTTTATTGTAGTAAATATTATTTGATTACATTTTGTCCAACTCAGATGCAAAAGTCAAAGAAAAATTTTAACGTGTTTGTAGAAAGGAGTTACATGACACTAGTATTAAATTAAGTCAAGTACATATATTAATCCTTTAAAAAAGCTAAGAATAAATCTGGTAATCCATTATGTTTTATTTATAGAACATTCGACAAAATTTTGTAATTGTTTTGTTAAATAAAAACATTGAGAAAAATATTTCCACCTTTCTTTCATTTCTTCAATTAATGTGTTAAAACAAGGACCTCTCGAATATAAAAAAAGTCTAAAAATAAATGTATCTTTTAGAAACTTCCAACACATGTATTTAAAAAACCTATTATGTATGATAAGTGATGCTTCTGATAACAGATTAACATTACTGTTTTTCATCTTGGATCCGCTAATTAAATTCAATAAAACTTATTTAGAAGATCCTGCAATGATGCTATTAATTTAATGCTATTTGTTGAACTGTCTCCAATTATTCAATATAGTTTAATAGTACATAATTAGTTTGACCAGATTGGTCAAACGTTTAATAATATTCTATCTAAAGTAGGATCTGCTATACATATAAGTCTCATAGACAAGTCCAACTAGTAAATCTGAGACAAAACACGATATTATTTTTTACTCTTAAACTCCTAGTATTACTAATCAGATTCACTTTCTGAAATATTTGTTTGTATAACATATTTATTTGTACGCAGGTGGCCAGAGAAATATATTTGAGATAAAATTTTCTTTCTTAAACTCTTCTAATACTGTTCAAATTTCTTTCTGTCTAAACTCATACAAATGTAATCGTGTACTGATGCATGAAAGTGTAATTCCGTAAAATTCAAAGCTACAATCTGGCAAACTTTGATGCCCACTATTTCAATATGGCTAGTATTAAAATAGTCCGTGCGTAAAGTTATCAGTATTTGTTATGCTACGTTAAGAAATGTTTATAAACATTTGATATTGGGGTTAGATAAAATACGTTCCTAAATTTTCTGTATTTAAGAACGTTTGACGATCATCCTGTTATGTATTATCATGATACCGTGGTAATAAAAATATCTAATCTTGTTAAAAAAAAAAAAGAAAAAAAAATTGATGACTGAAATCTCAAAATAAATGATCTTGAGAAAAGTTTTGCCAGTACCATTTACATCTCCATACTGAATATTCTTCTCCTTTAACGTTTCTTCGTATCATTAATGGCAACAAAGATATTTAATATGCTGTGTGCCATGACGGGCAACTCTGTACAACATCGCTTTCTTAAGATTTGTACCATAAATAAATCTTAACACTTCTAAACTTTTGAATACGATTAACGTTGTAAATGCTGTAAAATAATATATACACTGTTGAAATATTGAATATTTTTAGTTTTTATATAATAATTTGGACAAGTATTGACAACTCAGAAAGTCTTACGGATGATATTAGACGTTAAGTGGTATACTCTGTATAAACTGTATATAACATTCCAAACACAAATAAATATTGAAATTTTATATTATTTATATTATTACAAATTTGTATGTATCTTATATTACAAATAGCACGTGTTCAGTGTTTTGTATCAACCATATACAAGCTTCCAATTAGTAGGGTAATTATATGCCAACAATATTGGACTATGTAACAGTAAAGAAAGAGTATTTTCATTGACTGTGTTTGATATCATGAACCACTGCTCAAGCCAGTTTTGCATACTCTCTATCGACATATTTGCAGGACTTACACCCCTAAACGAAAGTGCCTAAAACAGTATGTAATATCCATATATGTAATAAGTATAGTATGTATATTAACATATATTTAATTAAACGTAACAATTGAAAAATATAATAAATTATGTTTTTTATATGCACACCCAACGCATTGAATCATTTGATAATTTTGTGCATCCACCTTCTCTCTGTATAGCTCGATCCATTCGTTTTATTAGCATAGCCCTTTCTATCAATTTTTGTTTTCTGAAAGGTCTCCAAGAAGATATGTCATGTATGGCGAGTAATTCTTTCTAAAATATAATGCAAAATTATTGTGCCACTATCGTCTTTAATCAATAATTATATTAAAAATTAATATAATTTATATTCAAATCAACAAATAACCTATTTTCTTTCTTTCTATAAAACTTAATTGTAAACATAGAAATAGCATTTAAAAATAATTGAATAATGCATAAAATTAATCACAAATATAATGTGTTCAACATACTATGTGTTTCCTTTTAAGATTATTTAACGAATATGGTTGACCAGCAAATAATTCAGAACAGGCATTAATATCTTTTATATTAGGGTGTGTACCGCTACCGAGACGCGCGACAACGTCGTTCCACTTTATCTTTAATGTGCGATTTTTGATCTTATGAACCTCTGCCTGCATACACCTGAACAATGGTCTGTTGTGTTTCAATCGTTTTTTAAGGTCTATCAGCATAAATTCAAGTTTCTGTTGTAGCGTCCAGTAATGGGAAGTTAGAAGATATTTCGGATAATAATATGCCAAAGGAAAGATAAAGTAATTTGTAAAAGGAATAGCAGATATTAACAAAACAGGGCATATCCTTATTAAATCTTTGCGCATTGTATAGTTCAGCTGTAATTCTTCTGCCGTTAAACTATCAATGCCATAAGTACTTTGTTTTTTCATTGCTAAGATATATTTTTTCACTTCTGAGATGAAATCTTTGGTACCGATACTAAACACACGATACACATGTATCGTCCGTGGGAAATTTTTTTCCAATATACGCTCGTAATTTTTAATATAATCTACATATCTATTGAACCAATACTTCTTGATATTAGATACGCTCTTCTTCTCTACCTGTTTCCTTGCTTTCGTTTGACATTTCTGTATACAAGTATACGCAAAAGGCAATGCATTTTGATTCTGATAAATGAATCTTTGACACAATAGTTTATACATTCTCACGGTTATATTTTATGTTATTAATCGATTCTTCTTTGAAGTAGCATGTCACAATACTAATCGAAACATGTTTAAAAAATAGTTATTTCATAACAATATCATCTCATGTAATTACTCTAACTTTAACGATGCTCTTCGTTCATGTCATGACATACTTTTACAATGTAATACATTGGGTTACTTTAAAAACAGCATTGTTTTTGTGAAATAGACCAAAAATTTGTTCTGGCTACAACTAATCACTCGTAATTCATAACTATTCAAAAGACCAAGATGTAGAACTCGTTGATATTTTAGTATAATCTGTAAATTTGAAAAAATTGCAAATTGTATCGAACAAGAAATTTTTAATTTTATAAACTATTCTTTTTGTTTCTTGATTATTTATTTCTGACAAACAGTTTTTGCATAGTATTTATTTTGAAGGTTAGTCAGTTCTTCTATTTTTTGTTATTTATTACGTACACGAATTTATTTTATTTTTACACGTTACACCGCATGTGTAACAGGACATATTTATGTCACAGTCAAAGCTTGAAGTTAATGTATACATTCGCTAGTGAAAATAATAATGTTATACTTTTTAGCAAATGTATACACTGTACACACGGTAAAAAGTGAACGAGCCAAAATAATTCGTACCGTATAAGGGGAAGTCACTAGCGTCGCTTACCCCTTCTTCTTCTCAACAACCCTTTCAATTATGCGACTAAAACTCGGAATGATGTTTTGTTATTACAACAATGCGGACACATGCGAATAATTCCCAAGCATCGTGGCCAATTTTGTAGTTTTCCGCGTACGTGTTCTTCTAATTATTAATTATATCACTGTATACGAGACAAGGAAGATGAAATAAGTCACTTTAGTAAAATTGTCCGTTTCGAACTTTATATGCCAATGGACACCCCGAGCCGTCGAGCTGATCGAGCATCCCAAGATGGTGGATTGTTGGCATTGTTTTTTACACCTAGAAATTTTTCGTCGCGTCCCGAAATTTTCCCTAGAAGAAACATACTCGACGCCACTCTTGACACGTAAAGTCACCAGAAAATATATAGTGGTAAGCTGTGTTTGTGGCAACCTGATATATCGATACCTGTTTTATATCTTACAAACGAATCGACACTTAGAAATTTGATACTTATTTTTCATCTTTCGAAATATCCATTTAACATTTTATCGAAACATTTATATTATCTGATGTCAATTTGGTGATACTGACGGTGAACGAGAAAAGGTTACCGGCACTGGTGACTTTCCCCTCTCATGGTACAAATCTCTGGGTATTAGATAAACCTACTTTTATCTAAACAATATGCAATATTTGTCCAATTTATTGACAATAAAATTGTATCTATAATGAATATTTAAAAAAGCATGTGAATAAATAAAATAAAAGATTCCGTTAATCTATAACTACTATATAATATCTTAACATTATATAACTTGAAAACTGAAGCAAGACAAAGATAAATTTGCTGTTAATTAATAAAGTTGAAGGCACGTGAAACAGTATTTTATAAAAATGCAATACAAAATCATTAAATACATACGAAAACTATCGTTTTAATTGTTACTACATGGGAAAATATAATTGACTAATTGCATAATACTGACAATGTTATAATAAATAAAAATTACATAATGTTATGTTTAATATAATTTGTAGATAAAACGAATATAATCACAATTTAAATTTTTTAACAAAATTTTAATCCTATAATACAATTTGATTGTTTCATCTCAGTTTTGTATATAAATTTATTAAAAATAGAATGAAAAGTATTATTCTTAACATCAGTTGGAACAGCTAATAAAGTAATTATCAAATCTTGCAAAACCTATGTAGCCTATATACGAACATCGTTATATAAGCAACAAGCGTTTACTGTAAATTAATGATCGACATGCAAAGGAAACCGTGAACAATTATCTTCCTTGTAGCTTAAGATTTTTTTTTTAAATTTCGAAGATATATTGTACTTTTAAAATAGTCTTATGAATGTACATAGTATGTAGTTGATATAAAAATATTTAAAAAGATTATTAAACTTTTACGCGTATTTAATAAGTTTCAGCTTAAAGTTCAAAAGTGTTGAGAATGGCACATATTAATAAACTAATCAATACTTTTAACATAAGTTACTGATATCAGCCTTTGAATCTGGGCTCAAAGAGCTCCAATGTGTATCTATACACTTCTGTAATTTTAGTTTAGTATCAACGTCATCATTTGCGTTACATATTCTGTCAATTTCATAATGTTCTTGCACTAACTTGTCTATCCATTGATCCAAATTAGAATTGACTTTATTTTCATCACCTGTAACGTACGCAGTCCGTTCATGAACATTTATGGAACTTAATAAATATGACCACTTTTTATTCATTTCTTCGGTAACATCATAACTATCACCAGATGCATTATTTACTCTTTTTGCTTTTTCTATACTAATTCTTTTATTTTTCCAGTATCCTAAAGGAGTGACCAAAAAATTTATTTTTGCTACTAGCTGGGAGTCAGCAATTAAGGACAAATGCCAAGTACCCACGATCAGATGTTCATTGAACTGTGGTTTAACATACCCTGTCTGAAAACAAACAACGTATTAATCATTCAAAAGAATGTTGAATTTAAAAAAAATGTAAATTAAAAAAAAATAATATAATTACTAATTTCATTTCTTCAAGTTGTACGTAATTAACATCTGCTAAACGACCATACGGATCCACCCATAGTATCGATAGATTTTGCGGCGTTGTGATTCCGGTATCAAATTCATACGATAAAACTGGGTACGAATATGGTCCTATACTTCCTATTAAATTTCTAAACGTTTTCTCCTTCTGATCGTAGTCAGTATTAATAGATAAAGTTTGTATTTTTCCTAACCATTCTCTACTAGTAGAAAAATTATGCCTCAAATAAACTAAAACTTCTATTCGTTCCTTATGTTCTTGTTGAATGAATGGTTGTTGTATTATAGCTTCTGCAAGAATTAATATCCCGATAAATTGATTTTCTCTGAAATAAGCGGTTGTTTCTAACAGATAAATGTTCTTATAGTTTGTCTTCAGTTTACGGAACCCCAGTCTTGCTAACGAATTGGAAATAGTTAGTTGCGCATCATTTGTCAGAGGACTCAAATCCGATGCATGATATAAACTTTGCCAATATGCGTCGTAACCTTTTGCTGCAATAGTTACATTTATTTTCTCAGGGTACAGCCACTCTTCCACCCTGTCTATAATTCTTTGATCGATGATAGGTTCGAACTTTCGAGCAAAAAATAAGTTACGATCTACTGTATTTCGTATTCGACTGAAATCTTCGAGTTTGAAGTCGTTTGGACTGCAGCCACACCAATCAACCACAGCTTTATACTGACATTTACAACCCAACTTCCTTTTCCAATTAGTAACATGTAAATTGTTGTCTATGTAAGTATTGCAAAATCTTGAATTACGTAAAACTGTATGAAAAAAGGACTCGGCAGGCAATAAGGTATATTTAAATATTTTTAAAAGATCAGTCACTAATGCGTCTGGATTTGAACCAGCAACGTATTCTACAAATTGTCTGCTTAAGGCTACCCAGTCACTGCCACCGTCTATCTGAATACCTATAAAAGATTATGATTTCTAACGAACTTATATTATAAACAATCTTAATAATACGTAAGAAGAAAAAGAAATTTACCATTTGGTAGTTTCCGGTCACCTGTTCTCCACATACGAGTCTCGCATTCTACGAAAGTTTTATCTAGTCCTTGTTTAGTGATAAACCGTTGAACTTCTCTTCCGTGAGATTTTACAAAATTCATACCTTTATTTAAACTTAGAAACTGAACTAATTGCATGTTATTTTTTATAGGAAAATCAGATTCTGATAAATTGACAAGAAAATCCCAATGATGATGATGACCGAGCATTTGTTGTGCAGACTTTAAGAAAGTTGTTAAAAGACTCGCGCCTCCCCAAATACTTGCATGCCGTAAACCATCACCCCTCGCTACTTTAATATTATTTGTTTTACAAGACTTTTCCACTTTTAACATTTCTCTGTAGAGATAATCTTGTCGCTAAAAATATATAATAAATATACTGTAACGAAATAGTTATGCATTGAACTTAGAAACAAGATGATCTAATTACCGCGTCGACATGAATATAAAAGAAATGCGTAGGGTGATAAAGAACACTGATAAGTCGTTTAACTTGCCGACTGGCTCTGCCATTCACCGTTAATAAATAAGCTATTTGAACAGGTTTCTCGTTTACATCTTCTGTACTTGTGTTTCGAGCTTCTTGTGCTTTGAATTCTAGTAAATAAAAAGTAAAATTTGTAACTTTTAAAGTAATAAATGTATATAATATATATTGGTGTTATTACTCTGAATTCCAGTCCAAAACACGTTAATGGTCAAATATCCACCGCAAGAATATTTTGGATTACCAGAGCACTTCATGTTACAACTAGAATCTGGTAATCGCTTTAGCTGAGATGGTTTCTCCATTCCACAGAAGCATTCGATACTGAAATTAATTTTGTAAAAGCATTTTTCAAGTATTCAATTATCAATTCCTAGTAATCTACTTCTTTCTTGTAAGCAAGAACATGATTCCTACTCTATACAAGAATATAGATGTTGAAATTAATAATACTTACGAGTACTCTGTACCAGCGTACGAATATCCTGATTGAAGACATAGAAAAGCACAGCGTTCCGGAGAATTGTTCCCTTTAAAAACATGATAATAACCGGAAAGTATTCTTAACGTTTTATCATCTTTGAAGCATCCTAAACTGACAGGTCTATCTGCAAATCCTAGAGAATTAGGGCACAGAGACTGTATCCTATCCGGGTATAATAATCCTTGTTGGTTAAGGCACGTCACATTGGCAATGTGTTGTTTGCATGCCTGACTTTTTGCACGTGTTACAGCACTCACTGCTTCTTTGCCATTGAATTCACACGATGGTATAAAGTTTAATGATTTACGATCTAATTTTACTCTAGTAGTGTGGTTTCGCTGATATTGTGAAACCTTATTTGTATTAGTTTGTTTATCAGGTGGAAGCTTTAATTGACGCAAGCCCTTTGGTAAACCTTCGTCATCTTCTGGCTGGGACAAATCATCCTATGCGAACAGATATAATAAATTAATATTACTAATAATTAACATTTATACAATTCACAAACTTACTTCTTCAGAAGACAATCGACTAGATTTTCGATTCCGAATTTCCAAGCCAAAAAACATATGAGCTAAATAAATTTGTACACATAGCACAGTGATACCAAATACAAAAAGTATTCGATACTTTCGTAAACAACTAGACGATCGATTTATTGAATTATTCTTTGTTATAACCATCTCTCCTATTTTAATTCGTTATACGAACTGTATTCTTTGAAGTTTGTTTAATTTCATAATTGCCATAACCAAAAATGAAAGGTGATCTAGCATGAAAGAGAGGTACATGTTCTTGCTCATACGTTCGATATTATGTACAATATTATATTCACTGTTACATGTGCATATATATATAGATATATATAGATATATACACATATACATATATATACAGATATATACAAACGTATATATAGAATTTAAGTAATAACGAGTTAATGAAAAGTGTAATGTGTACGGTAATCAAAGTACTTCAATGTAAATATTCATTGACGTTACCAACACATGTTCAAATACAATTTACGTCAGTTCTTTAATTAACAAGGAGTTATGGACATATAAAGTTTACAAAAGAATTATCTGAGGAAACATTATTTCGGTTGATATTATTTACTACTATACATTGATTTAACAATTAAATAAATATAAAAACATAATATATACACACATTATATATATGTATACATATACCTACATATACATGTTATGCATATACATCCTATCGCGATACTAAATCATATCCTGTACAATTCAGTTTAAATTGTTATGTAATTTTTTAGTTCCTGGTTTAGTGTTAATCTTAGGGCCAAAGTCGTTACTCGTAAAACACTAAATCACTCTACTTGAGAATGGGCGAATGATTTTGTAAGGAAATAAGAAATAGAGCTTAAGAAGAGACTTATATTATCAAATACGATATTTTTTTAAACAATATTTGCATACGTGTTGGTAATTAAAGAATAAAAATTAGAATGCCCTGATTTTCTGTTATGTTTTTTTCATTTTATTTGTTTTCTTGTGAGGATTTTTTGTTTTCCGAGGATTTACGTACACACTTGCGAAAAAATACGATCGCATCTTATTTATGTGTTAATCCACGAATGGCGCTGATATCGTGATACCTTCCGTCATTACGCCGAGGGCACAGCACTCTCTGTCTAGGTACCGTTCTTCCACGAGAAAATGGCACATCGTGTTTACATCCCCACTCCTGTTGCAGGCCGCTGACTCACAGGTATTGGTCGAAAACGGTGACAGCCAATCAGCGGCCTGCAGCAAGAGTGGGGATGGAAACACGCTGTGCCTTTTTCTCGTGGAAGAATGGTACGTACTGTGATACCATGTGCTCCACAGTCGCGCATGTGCGGAGTTTGAAGCGTCCGTAAAGTATCTAATCTATTTATTAAAGAAAAGTCCTTAGTCTCCCCAAAGAAAGATAGAATTAAATTGAAATTAGACATACCTCTTAGTATGCAGCAATATCAATCGATACGAATGGAATGAAAATTAGCTTACGAATGAATCTAAAATATTTATTTGTTATTAGTGAAAATTTGCCCGCCTCTGGTAATTAACACATAATCTTTTTCGCGGTAGGAAGACACGGTCAAGGAAAACACTGATCCATGCAAAATAACAACACCTTGTGTACAGATAAAATACTTTCATTTTGCCAAGTGTACATTCTTCATTTACATGAGTACATACACATTATAAAATATAATTCTTATCTCTTGTATATGTATATTTGTACCTAATATAATACAAACTTAAAGTTTTGTAATACAATTATCCCTCGAAGTACGCAGTTTTTTCAAAACGACTTTAAACAACGATTGATTGCCAATGTGGTCTCTTTTTATGATAGAGTGTATAGACCCTTTGATGATATGCGCATTAAAATTAAAACAAAGCATAAAAGGATTGGTAGCTTACAAAAATATTTTCAAAGAAATACAAAAAGGGACATATCAAACCAAAATTACAATGTACTGTTACAAAGTATAAATAATACGTGTACAAACGGTAACTTACTGTGCTTTAAAATATAATAAATACTATATTTGCATCTTATACTATAAATATACGCGACCTAGTAATAAATATACATGTGTTTATGCATATTATGTATAATGTGTGTCGTTTCCAATTACCAGACATTTAAAGAGACGAATGGAGGGTTGCGTACTTCGAGGGGCAACCGTAATAGCAAATGTAAATGTACTATTACTTAAAACAGAAATTGCTGTGTTTATCAAATAATAAATTTGATGTTATACTAAAAATAACAATATTACGTAAACATGCAGGGAATTTCAAAAAAGTGTAAAAAGAACTTTACAGGTAACCGAACTGTTTACATTAATCGATAGGTATGTAAGCAGGAAGAAAACCAATTGGAGGTCGCTTTGAAACTTTAGGGTCGGAAATGATTTGCGTTTCGCAATTATTGTCAATTGATTTTAAACTTGTATTGTCATCAGATTTTTCAATTAACGTGTCAGAATGGATTGTAGCTTCTATTACCCTTTTCATACATTTTAATTTTTTCATAATATTTTCTCTTTTTTTATCAAGACATTTGCTGTCAACGTTATTATCTGTTTGTTCATAGTATCTAAGCCTGTTTTCGTTGTTAGAAGTAGATATATCACTCGGCATAGGAGATTCTACTTGACTGTACTTTCTTTTGTAATGATTTTGCTTATTAAAAGATGAACATAGCTTGTGAGGATAAGGACAATTCTTACCTTTACTGCACTTTTTCATCTTCTCAAACTCGGGACACAGATATTCATGACGTTCCTTACACTGCAAAAGAGACAAGAACTTTTAATTATTGTGTTACACAATATCGTCTCCAAGTTGATACTTGTATTCCTAAAACATTTTTCGAGAAGCAACTGTTGAGGGGGGGGACTCCATATTTTTTTTTATGGAAAATGGCATTAATTTTTTGTTATTGCGATAGTTTTCATCAAACTGAAAAATAATGGTTTTAACTATTTTTGTCGAGTCTTCGAAACTCAAGGAAACAGCAGAGTTAAATGATCCGATAAATGAAATACTGGAACGTATGAAATTGTTATAAATAAAATGAAAAATATCGGGAGTACCTCGCGACCCTTAGCACAGTATCCCTGCAAGAATTCTCTGCAAATCGGAGTACTGGAAGAAACTTTAATGTGACGGTACGGGCATCCGTCCCGCGTACAACAACCCTCTAAAAAGTATTTGCAAGTCGGCATTTTTTCCGGACCTACATCATGAGACAGAGGACACTTATCCAGTAAACAATTGCCTTGGAGAAATCTAAAAACATTTTATTGTGAAGTGATCAAAGTTCATTCATATTATCGATATAAAAAAGCATAATTATACTTCTTGCATAGAGAAATTTGTTTTTTATCATGACGTTTAACGCAAGTCCCTTTTTCATGATTTGAACAGTACCCAAATCGTTGGAATATTAAACAAGGTTGATTATTTTTTTGCATTTTGTTCCGTAATATTTGTATACTCCTTTGTTTGACTTTATTGCTGTAATGAAAGAAATTGTATTAATACCAATACTACGAGATCTATATTGCGCAGTTAAATGACGATCTACTATTTCATTGGATAGAAAACAGAAAAATTTTATTAACAGACGAATAAAAAAACATACAAAACTGATGACCGAAAATTGATGATTATAAAGAAAATACTAAGATTCTCTTATTGCTAGATCTCTATGTACAAAGTTTTGTATACCTGATATTATTTTTATAGTTTACTTTCTGCGATATGTTAGATAATAATTTTGTTCCAGCAAGCGCATTGAATGTTTTGGTACTGGAATTTCCTGACGTTTGTTTCACAGATTTTAACCTACACAACTTTTTCCCATTAGTGGCCACGATAAATTTATCAGTTTTTACATTTGTTGCGCGTTTTCCTGCAAGAAGGCATAAATGATCATTTATATTATAATAAAAGTTTAGAATTTACTATAAATACTATGGCTTACTTTTTACTCCGTAGCTTTTACGTACTAACTGATTCTTGGAAGACTTGTAAACAACTCCTCCAATCGTAATTAGTTCCAATTTGTTACTCCTACAAGGCGTATTCAAATTTTACTGATCTAGAACTTCTAGTTATTCAATGTCTTTAAAATTAATGAAATTTACAGATCAAATTATACGTACATAATTTTTTTCCTACTAAGATTTGTATATTCTTTGACACTCATTGTTTTTGGTATAGTTCTATCTATTCTATACTTGTTTATTTTAGGTTTTATAATTGGTAATTTTGCAAAATTAGTATCTCTTCTAATTGATTGTTGTAAAGTATTTATTATTTTCGTTTTCGTCGCTTTGTGGGATATAGGCTTGACATTTTTTAATAACGAACTTGGCGATTTTTTTATTCTATAAAGTTCTATTTGAGAACTACCTAACGATCTTCTCGATCCCCGCTTTACACGTATAAGTTTTCTTTGTGACAAAATTACAATATTAGAATTATTAACTCTTTTCTGACCGTGAACAGTTTTTGAAGTATTTGTACCCTTTACGAATTTTAGTCTTGAACAAACTGGATGAGTTATATTCTGTACTACTATTTCTTTGTGTTCTATTGGTTTAGATTGCAACGAGGAAGACAATTTTTTCATTAATTTTGGATTCACATACACCGACTTTTTCAAAGAGTTTTGATCTTGCAAAGAATTCTGTTTAACATTTGTTACTACATTTACAGGATTACATCCTATATTTTCATTGCAATTAATGACGCCTCTCATCATTTTCGGATTAATGTGTACTAAAGGTTTCATGCGCAACGTTGGATTGATATGTATAGCAGAATTTTGATGTTTGAAATTTGGGTTTATGTGTACATTAGTACTCGTTAATTCATTATTCAAAGTACTATTAAAAGTTCTGGAAAATGGTTCGCATTTCTGAAGTAAATTTGGATGTTTGTGGGACTTTGTAAAGCCAGAGTTTTGACTTTGTAGACTTTTTTCTACGCAGTATACTTTTTCCGACGATTTCTTCTTATGATGTTCTATTAAGTCTGTAATACATAATATAGTTATTAATTTTAAAGCCACGTTTAATGTCTTGAATTTTGTTCTGACATTTATTGTAGTACCATAGAAATACATCGATAGAGGCTTTAATACAATGAAATCTTTTTTACGTTGATGCAAAATGAAAATAATGATATTAGATGCACAGTTCCTGAAAATAAATCCTTTTTACATTTCAGTACAAGAGAGATAACAAAACTACGATTGCAACGATTAAAAAAAAATGATGTAAAGTAACCTTGAAAAACAAAAAGTAACATGTTGATTAAAGGTTACGATAAGACAAGGTTCAACTTAAGAATAAATATAATCAGTACTTTAATACAACAAAAAAAATAAAATATTCAATATTAAATGTTATTAAAATATAACTGTACTAATGTTTGTAGACTTCAAGACGCACTTAATGTAGTTTTTTCTATTTCGTTTCACTATACGTTTAATATCCGCTGTTTCATAAGTATATGAACACGTAGATGAAAATTATGTTTTTCTCAAAAACCTAATCGTGTAATTTTACTTTATTCGTGTTTATAACTAATTTTATCCTAATATGTTCAATGTGCTTTTGTTGTTACTATATTTAGCATTGAAATGATCGCTTAAAATTGTTAACTTACGTGTCAGGTAATGAATTTCTTTCAATAGACTTTCATCCATATTTAATAGTAAAAAACTATACTTTTACGTGAATTATTACGGTACAAACGAAGGACGATATATCAAAGGCAATAACTTTACGATGCAACAACTTCTTTCACAAACCACACTAGAATGGTGACATTCGTTGCACTTTGTTAATCAGGCTCTGTGAAATGTATTAGTATACGAAATGCTAACTAGGCGTCGCACGTTGTTGATTCTGTTACGCTATCACGTGAACATAGGTTTAATGCACATAGCGCCACAACGGGAATTAATTGAAACTCGATTATTCACCGTTGAGTGCAGAGTCATGTAACTGCATTCTAATTAAGAGCGAAATTCAAACGGACTAACGGAACTAATCTTATTCATTTAAAATGATATTACGAAAAACAACATCGATAAATACATTTCTATAGAATCTATGTACCATGTGCTTTTAGTTTTCATTTTGCCAAGTATTTTTTACACGAATAAATTGTATAAAACAAGCGTTGATGTTATGTGAATTAATTTAGTATAATAACGTTGCTAAAGTCTAATCATGCCACCAAAAAAAAGTCAAAATACTTCAAAGGCGAATAAATCTAAAAATGCGGAAGGCGCTAGTGGAAAAGAAGAAAAAAAAGGAGGAAATGCTGTGAAAGTATGTAAAAGTATAAACTACACATATTATTGTTCTAACAAAATTCTTTGTTTTATATTCGGAGATTTGTTTAACGATGCAAAATATAAGAGAATGTTTTTAAAAGAATTATAGAATATCAAATTTCCTACCGACAATAAAGTACCCATTCCTGATTCTACTAAATGGAATAGTATTCAATTATTTACTTCTTCCTTTCATTTTATTTTATTATTTGATCGTAAAGGTTAGACACATATTATGTGAAAAACAATCAAAAATTTTGGAAGCTATGGAGAAGTTAAAAGCTGGACAAAAGTTCAATGAAATTGCTGCTACGTATAGCGAGGACAAAGCACGATCTGGGGTAAATGTATTTGATATATAATGTATAATTTTCTTTAGTTTAATTGGTTTAATGACTATTTAAGGGCGATCTTGGATGGATGACAAGAGGTTCGATGGTTGGTCCATTTCAAGATGCTGCATTTGCGTTACCTGTTTCTTCGCTTAGTTCTCCAATTTATACAGACCCACCGGTTAAAACAAAATTTGGTTACCATATTATAATGGTGGAAGGTAAAAAGTAAATAGTTTATCATTTTATAATTATATAATATCAATAATGCTGGAGAATTGAGAATAATTTCTATATAAAAAGCATGTTCGTGTTTATAAACTATGCTTCATGCTATGCCAAGCTTATAAAGACTGTAACTTGATATGTAACTGATTGTTACTGAATATATGACTGTAAATGTTAATTCTGATATGTTTATGGCAAATGTTACTTGAACTGAACAGGTACATAATATATACATTATACATCTTATATTATTCTTCCTTTGTATTTATGAAATGAAAGGTAAAGAAGGTAAATTTTCCTACATTATCAAAATAAACAACAAAATTTTTTAGAAGAAACATAAATAATGTATTTATTATCATTCACAACATATAAATTGTAATTTGACATAAATAAAGTTATCTTTATAATCATAAAGATATTCTTATAACATAAACATCATAATCTCCGAATATTCTAAATCGAGTATAAATAAAACACGGTGAATGATATTCTTTATCGACTGAAGAAAATCGCAGATGATGTAGGACGTTGTTGAAGTAAAATTAAAAGTGGAAAAAGAAATGGTAGGAAAGGGATCTGGAAACGACCAGAATAAAGACAATTACATTCAATGTCTCTTACCTTTACATCTAGAAAGAATATTAGGATATTAAGAGCGCATATCGAAGAATGAAAAGCAAACACCGAGTTGCCAAGGGGTAAGGACAATACAGAAATGCAACACCTGCATAAAAATAACAAAAACAAATAATTGTCTTTTAAGAGATACAAAAAAACTTGGATTATCCGAGTCTTGAAACTCAAAACAGCCAACAATATATTTATCTACATTACGTGTATGAAATTCAATGTAGGAAAAATGAGGGGATAGAGAAATACATTTGCTTGAAAACAAATACTACTTCATGGAACATATTTGACCATGTTATGTCTAAGTTCTGTTCAGTCGGTTGTCTGGAATGTATTATTTAAGAAATAAATATGCTTCTACAGCTTGCCCAACATTTGTAAGAGACTTTAAGTAAACAAAAAATTTGGTATTCACTTATCGAATAGAATCATTAAATTTGTAATTAAATAATTACCACTAGTTTCCTTTGTATATTATATTTATGTTAGATACGAATATTTGGATTGGTAAAGTGAACGTATTTTAATAGAGAGTCATTCTCCTCACACACCCATGGTTTTTTATGATGACAAGCGACATCGTGCCAGTTTACTCCATCGTTATAAAATTGATTAAGCACTGCTAAACAGTTCTCTGGGGCGCCTCCTTGTTGAATGGGTTCACGATTATCGGGTTGAGGTTTTCCAATACTGAAAAAAACATTATTTTTAATTCTTAATTATAAATATTACAGAGATCTTATGTAATGCAGTCGTTGATTCGTATTTTTTAAGCATTTCATTTGATATCAAATATAAAATAAATCGAATTAAATTTACCCGCCACTTTCGGACCAGTCGTTCTGAGACCGATCGGTAGTTGGCGCAAGTTTCTGTAATTCGGCAGTCCAGAACCAGCCATTAACATGAAGAGGTTGAAGATCGGGTCTATCGCAACCTTTGAAATCACAAAGACGACCAGATGTCCAAATGTATTTCACCTTATCTAGAAATCAAAATCACAGTTTGTGCATCCCTATAATTTCGTGCTTTTAAATTACAGAAAATATCACGGATTCTATTCGTACTTTGAACAATACGGCTTTTGATGAACTCATTTTCTGCCGAAGTTTCCAATGAGACGAGATCCATGCATCTTTGCCTACAAAAATTTCTTCCCGCCAACCAATCGATCTCTTGTCCATTTGTTCTTGGATCAGCCCACGAGTAATAGTAACCCTTACCATTAAAGCGTTCGTGAATAATTCCTAAAATATTAAAATTTATAAATTCGTCGATTTACCTCGCTAGAATATTTTTTAAAAATTATTTTAATACACATTACCGTAGCTAAATTTTCCATTTATTTTTATTCGAAACTTGTACAAATGTCATTTATAAAATCATACCACTATATTAGTTTTCGAAAAATACATTGCAATTTCTATTTTACACAATTAATTACTTCTGTGAAAATATACCGATATTTCAAATCTTCCTTCATCTATATTTTACTCTCGATCGTGACAAAGATTCGTTTCTTTCAAAGTGAAAGTTACTAATTCAGTGTCGCTTGTAATTTTAGATATTACAGTCACGGCCTGAGCATTGGCATCGTACGATGTATGTTAATTATACAAACGACTTTCTCGAAGAGATAAGAAGAAAGTTTGTCACAGTTTATACAGCATATACAGGGTGTCCCACCTAAGGTGTCAGGTTTTTTTTTTTTTGAAACTATCCAGGATAGCGGCAACGTTTATGTTATGCTTATAGTTTACCGGGATTTTTCTATGACGAGTAAGGTAATTTTCATTTATTTATTTTGATGTTCTGCAGTTGAACGGAATCTTCATCATGTTTTACTTTTTAGATTAGCAAGTGGAGATAAAAAATGTCAAGTTCAATATTTTCTAGGTTGTAATCATATTGTTTTCCAAGTCAGGCTTGTCAGGAATTGTCAAAGAATTGATTACATTTATAATAATGTTGACACAAATGTTTAAAGACAAAGAACATTGAAACAGTAAAATTTGTATTCAACAATAATTTTCATCGAATAATTATTGTTCTTAATACCGTCAAATGTTAATAAATGATACTTATTAATTATTTTTTATTGTGAAAAAAAAAAAATGTATCGAATAGATGGTTATTAGATTTAAAGAGATGTATTTTACACTGTTTGTAAAATGTTCTAGTCTATTGAACTATGTGTACAAAAATTGTTACACTCGATGTGTTAGGTTCATAGAAACCGGTTCAAAAAAGCTTAAATGATTATTCTATGCTGGTGAAATAAATGAAATTATTTTTGTGGATATGGTATGACTATTCAAAATACTTTAATCAAATTTATTTTTATAGTTATATTACTTACTTTGCGCGCACAGGGCAGGAACTGGTGGTTCCAAAATTCTTCCAGTAGATTGAAATTGTGCCATTGACACGGTAAAGAGTGTTCCAAGGATAGCCAATTGCAACATGACTCTTAATTATTTTTTTTTTGTGAGATCTAAAAATATGTATATTTTATATTAGTTATTATTTTTAATTTTTATAATTTTATATACATATGTGTATATATATATATATTTTGTTAGTATGATTCCGAAGAAATAATTTCAAAATATTTCAAACTTTCTATTTACAAGTAATTAATAATTTGTATCTGTAGAACTTCAATTTTTTTGTTTATAATTACTCCTACACATTTAAACTCGGTTTGTTATTTAGTTTGTTTAACATAATTACGATTAATCTTATATGTAAGTCATTATCACGTTTGTAATTAAATATTAATTACGATCTACAGTCATAGAATCTAAATGTTCTATATATGTATACAGAACGAATTATTTTTTTCTTTTTTCTAAAAGGTGCACTATAATGTAACGTCTTAAATCTTTCCTTTTTCTTGAAGATTTTCCGTTACTTAGGTATTAATATAAGATTACTAGAAAGCACGCCAGGATCGTATGTATTACGCGACATCGTATCAACGGTGCTCACCTAAAGACGTTCTCCAGAGAACTGAGGCGCTTTCTTCAGAAGCATCCCTATATATATATGTATATTACAACGAGGACATCGTGTCAGTACTTTTACGATGTACAAGCATTTTCGAGGAACACTCGAATAATTTCGTGTGCTCCGTTTCGTTCGGTGCTTACCTTCTTCTTCTTCTGCTTCGTATATTTATCTTTGGCCAGTATACTTCCAACGATATTTACAATTAATAATAACATGGAGTCTTTTGTCGACGAAAAAACCATTATCCACTTTTTTTTCGTATATGTAAATTACAAAATAATTACTTTGTATCAACTAATAAAGTTTTACAATTACGCGTCTTATTATCGGGGCACTGAAAAATGTATAGATTTTTTAGTAGATAAGCTATTCCGTATTATTTTGTAGTTGCTTATTACCAACGTGTTCGATAAATACCATCGATTAAAGATAGTTTTTTTATTCAGTTTAATTTCATTTTTAGTTTTTCTATAATAGTAACATATAATGTAATATTGTAATAAATACGAAGAAAACTACTGGTCAACGCAAGTTTTGTATCATCAACGAACATACGATCTCGTACGACTTCGAAACTATTTAAATAAAATTCGATAACGTAAGTTTCATTTTGTTATTTGTTAATAATCATATTTCCAAAATACTTTTGCATCGGTAATCGAGAACGTTTCAGGTACCGTTAGACATAATAATTTTAAAAGGTGATGTAGGTGACCTGGAAACCCAAAAAGTAAACCACAACGATTGGACGAATACGATTTCTTCCAATCATAAACATATCGATGAATTAATTTGAAAATTTAAATGAAAGATAAGCTTTCTAAGACGCGAATCGCTTTAGACTAAACCCGAGATATTTTTTTAGATATTTAGCTCTCCAATAAAGTATTCGAACTATAGAGAAATTTTAGGATAAATTCCTGAATTTCTAACGAAGTCAATAATTTATCTAAATTTTGTAAAGGGTAAAAATGACCCCATCTTTAAAACTTCTTTATAAAATTAATCATTTATATCCTTTAATAAAATTTCAAAACGTTATATGTACTGCACGTTTTGAGTAACCATTGTAACAAATAACAAAACAAATCATTTTTATTCTCTTGGTAGTTTTAGCGTTAAATTAATGTACTTTGAAAACAATTGTTCAAACACCTGTATATCGATAGCAAAAATTAACAATATTATAAATTAAATTTTATTAAAAAATAAATCAGCATTTAAAATATATCGAAAACGTTACAAAGAAAGTATGTACAATTTTTGAACGTAAAACCTCGAACGAATGTTCGTCATGACAAAATTCCTGGTGAAAGTGGAAACGCGTGGAAGCGGAAGGAAAACTGAAGGAATCTGTTCATCCACCCCTTCCTGACCTTCGAATAACAGAAACCATTCGACCCATTTATAAAATTTTGTTTTCCTGAGATTTGTTAAATTTATATTATAGCCACGCGCAAAATAATAATGAAAGTTTTAATGAAACTACGGCAATTCCCACCAAAACGTATTTTCTACATTTCTAAAATAATAGAAAGCGCTATTTAGATAGCCACGTGTACATATAATGAGGGCAAATATTAGAAATAATTCAGCTCGAAATTTAGCTCCACGCAAAATGGCGGTGAAAACATCAAGAATGTTGACTGTAGAGTGTTGATCCATTTATTATTGCATATACTGTATGCAATAATGGAAGCTATAATAAACGATAATAATTTGAATTTTCGATGTTTGTGATCTGAAAATCAAAGAAATATTTTACTAAATGACCGTGTAAAAAATATAAATAATAACATCATTTCTACACAACGTAAATTAAAGACTTTTAACAAATAAAGAATTTAAATTACCAAATTCTTATTTTATGGAACCTTATTTCAATATCTAATATTAAATTGCTGTGTTACCTTTTGTTATATTTTGAAAAAATTTTATTTTGTCATTATTGATGGAATCACCCACATTATTGCAACTTTCTTTGATGCTAACCGTGCAATGACTCTCGAGTCTTGCCAGTTTTGCGGTGGAGTTTGTTGATGAACGGTGATTAATGTTCTATAAGGAAAGAAAGTATTGCAATCAAGAGAATCGTCGATAAAGTTTTGTTTACGGAAGTACACGTTATAAAATTCCCGGATCACGTTCGGATCAGGTTACCTATTGTATCTTTATGGATTTTCTAATATACTTATTCTTATAATCCTTCTATTATAGTTACTCCTTCAATAATGTCGTATAGAACTATACCATTTATACAAAATTACCAAACGTTTCGAAATTCGAAAATAATTCAAACGCATTCTATCGTCCGCGCCAAGAAGTCCATTATTCTCACACTATACATATATCTGTGTATTACATATTTCTTTGTTCCTAAATTCCTACTTTCGGAGGAGAAGTTTTAAAAAGTTATTGTGGTTTGTTCGAAAGTTTACACGTTTGCACACAAAACATAAAACATTTTACCTGATATACAATTTTAGCGGACTATTAGAAGATCGCAAGAGGTCGGTGTTCGACGTTATTTGAACAACGAGTAATGGATAATTATCAAACTTTATCTAGGGGTTAACCGATGTTAGTGATTTTCCCCTTAAACGGTAAGAATCAAGGTTTCCATGTTCATACTCTCGTATGTGATCTAAAAATCCCCCAGGGCGCCACAACATGCGTTTACGTATTAGTATATTTTTCCAAACAATTTTAGTAAGATAAATGCGTGCTTTTATTCGGTCATGACATAATGGAAAGCAATGAGAAGTGTGGCGCTAATTGTTTGTTAAGAATCTAACGTCATTATCGATAAATGTAACGAGACAAACGGAAACTTAAAGAATTATTCGTAGGTGGATTGAAAAGTAGTTTATATTTTTCTTGTCTAAAGGAACAACATGTCCGCTATCTTGTTTGGCGTCTGTACCAATTTTTTATTTACTACACTTCGTAGTGTAAATGTGAGATGATGCGATTAGATCAACAATTTCTGTGACAATGTACTGTTCCGCGATACGTATACTCAGATTTTATGTGTGAATAATGACGGAGCCGGAATTATGCCGGCTCTGTGCCGAGACCAAAGAAAATTTTATTGGAATTTATGATGCCGAAGGGCAAAAGTTAGCTATAGAAGCGAAAATAGCCAAGTGTTTGCAGATTCAGGTAAAAACACGTTTCTTTCCAATAATTTAACTTTACCGTACTCGTGGTCGTACGTTAAAAAATTTTTTAAATTTTGACTAATATTACGATTTCTTTTTTAATATTAAATAAATCGGTGGTATTGTTTTTTTTTCTTATTATCGATTTATTAGATCGAAAATCTATTTGCAGGTATTAATAACTGACGGATTACCACTTACAGTTTGTATAGACTGTTGTATACTGTTGAATCAATGCAACGAATTTTTTGAAAAAACCAACCAAGCACAAACGTCTCTAAGGCAATTACTTGTTGATTCCAAATCACAATCGCAATCGTTAGAAACAAATATAAACTATATTCAAAAGACAGTTGCATTTCCAAAAGAAGAAGAGGAAGTTACGGAAGGAATTGTTGAATGTCATTTAGCAAATAACTACATTCAAGAATCTAATGTTCCATGTAACTACTTTATCGAAGAGAATAAAACTAGTAATCATCAAAAGTATGAGGCAAAGGAATCGCAAGATACCATGAAACAGAAAAAGTGTAAAATACAAATGAAGAAAACGCCTCTTAAACAAACTAGAAAACGATTGAAGCGAAAAAATCAAAATCCAAAAATAGAAGATCCAAACATATATATAAATTCCGATTTAGAAAAAGAACATAATAATATGAATGTAAAAACTAATGTTAAAATTCCAGATAATTATATGACAGGTAAAAATATAACTGATTAATTTAAAATTGAATGCATAACCGATGTTATGATCATAAAGAGTGTTACATTGGAAACTATGGTACATTGAATGGAAGACTGTTATAATTAAATTGCTTTCTGTTTAGTACTAACATTACTATACATTTTCTTTGCTATACATATTATTTTCAAAACATTACACCATATTTTTTCAATGCATTTATTTCATTACTAAATAGAAAAAAAATTAATAAAATTTGAACATCAGGGTCTAATTTTCTTACAAATACAATTCTGCATCTCTTTACTATCGAAGATAGATAAAATGTTTATTTAAATTTTTTATATAAAATTGAATGTATTCTTATTTATTGCGTACTTAAACCACACCAAGAACGTGAACTATAAATTAAGTTATTTATAATAGTTTAAAAATTTTATTAAAACGACGCGTTGAAAATATCGTGAAGTATACGTCTCTGTTAATTTTAATAGTCAAAACGCGATTAGGGAATCATAAAACTAGCTTCTTTGTAAAAAGAATTGGATTTCTATACAAAACTGTACGAAGTTAAATCACACAAAAACATTCAATTTTTCTTCTATTTTTAATCGGAGAGAAATACTAGTTGTATTTCAAAATCATAAGACAAGTTGAAACAAGTGTATACTTGATGTCTAAAGAGATAATAAAGTCTACTATTTTGTGATCCAAAGTTTCTTTTCTGATGTAAAAAGCAATCAGAATTTTGAGGCCCAACGAATGTCAGGAGGTCGAGAACATAAAGTCACATATGTGAAACGCGTGTGGATACAAATTCACATTGTACTATGTACAGTAAGTAATATAATACATTTTCGAGATGTCCAATGTATATTCTTTTTTTTTTTTTTAATTTTAAGTGGCCGGCGATCGAACCGTACAATGCTTCTATTATTGTTTCCAAAATATTCTATCTAGCTTTATATAAAATGGTTTTTGTCTCAAACGTATTTCAAAATTATAATATTCGCGCGTGGTAAAAAAAGCAGCGTAGTATCGATACTTCTCTTCATTTTTGTGGAATTCAATGTACAATAGAATGTGGTACGCTAATAATTTATTCTTTTCTTTAATTGCTGTTTTCTGGATTTTTGTTCACAGATTGAAGAACACACTTCATGATATTTCTTTGTATGCTGTGCCTGTATCTAAAACGTACGTTCATACATCAACATTAATATTAGGATTACATTGGCCATATAGTATTAATGCTTTGTTTGTTGAATCACTTTATTGAAATCCAAATTTGAAAATTGGTTTCGGTTATCAAGGAAAGTTTAATCTTTTAACGGTTTGTTAAAATTGTTATTTTGGCGTTGATCGGTATCTCACGAACTGTAATCCGTTTTTAAATTTATGATAAAGAAAGAAGTGTGTGACTTTGGTATGTGTAACACTGCCAATACTATTAAAAATATGCATTAAAGGTCTCAAAAATGTTAGAGAATACTTAGCGTTGACGGTAGAATGTTTCTTTGTACGTGATTACGTACTACACACATCCTATTGCGGATTTATACATTTACGGTAACACGGTAGAAGTTAGACCTCATTTTTTAGATTTTTATTTTAAAAACGAAACCCCGGATTGCAAAATGGTAAAGAGATTGTTTTTGTCAAGCACGAGGAATTTCCCTGAATCGGCTTATCCCGTGGTTTTGGAATACCTAGTACACATATATATATACACACCAAATAGAATATCAATGTATTTGAATATAAAGTTTCAAATTTATCACATTGCTTTCATAGCGGAGATTTTATTTATGGACATGATATATAAGTTCATTTAATATACATGTTATGTTAAATAATAGTACAGTTATTTAGAGCATAACATTTTCAATACAGGTACAGATTCAGATTTAGAAATTATAGAAGCACATACAACAGATACGTTAAAATTTGGACATAAAAGAGGAGAGAATTTAGATAGATATCCTTGGCTTTGCACAGATTGTAACGATAAATTACCAAGCTTAGAAGGATTAGAAGAACATCACGAAAGTGTTCATAATCAACAAGCGAAATACATGTGTGTATTGTGCTGTAAAGTTTATGATAAATATTACGGTTTTCTTACACATGTAAAACGACATAAAAATAAGGCAAAGTTCAGGTAAATATAACTTGTTTACTATTAAGATTCTGTTACTTATTATTCTCTATAGTACTTTAATAATACATTTTCATATATAAATATATACGAGCGCATACACACACGTTCACGCATGTATGTATGCATATATGTATGTATGTATGTGTGTATATATATATATGTATATATATACTTAGTTGCGAAGATTGTGGGAAATCATTTGTACATAAAAAAGTATTAGATTCTCACAAAGCAATTCATAGTGAAGAACGGCCTCATGTATGCCAAACTTGTGGAAAAGCATTTAGGCAACAAAGTGCTTTATATATCCATAGCCGATGTCACTTACCGGATACAATGAAGAATAGATTTCCATGCGATCAGTGCGACAAAAGGTATAACATTATACGTATTATTTATACTATATGTATACGCTAGGTGATAAATATAAAAATTATATTCCTTATTAATTTCATAAGTAAATTTGATCTAAAAAGAAGCAGAATCTTTTACGTTAACCGTATATTCGAATAACAGAAAGAGTTGTTTCAGATTTTCGACAAAGCCGAATTTAGTCACGCATAAACGCATCCATTCTGGCGTTAGAAATTTTACGTGCGATCAATGCGGTAAAAGTTTCATTCAGAAAGGAAATCTAGAAGCTCATTTCTTAACTCACTCCGCGGACAAACCGTACAACTGTTCTCAGTGTTCAAAAGCGTATGTTTACACAGAAATATAATATTTATATTTTACATATGCATATATCAAAGTAACGAGGGTAATTTATAGCTTTAAAACGCCACTGCAATTAAAGAAACACGAGACAGTTCACACCGGAGCTAAGCCGCATCAGTGTGCTGTTTGTGGAAGAACTTTTCGTGAGAAAGGTACGCTAAGGGAGCATCATAGAATACACACCGGAGCAATGCCATTTACGTGCGAATTTTGTGGCAAATGCTTTCGTTTCAAAGGAATATTAACTGTAAGTTGAAACGAATAGTTCGTTTTATGACTACTATATAGGCTATGGGTTAGGTCTGGGTTAGACAGACCTTTTTCTTTTTTTGGAAGTGGGGAAATCCTCATGGACACCCGCGGGCCCACGGGATGGGAGGGCCCTACTCTAGTACTCCCCTCTAACTCTAGTGAGACATCACAGAGTCCCATGCCGCGCTGTGCCTTTCCAGGCCTCTCCCGGTGAGGGGCGCTCCTCCCAGCGCATTTTCACTGAACCGTAGGCACCTGGTCATCCGCTGCCAATTGACCAACCTGCGGCCTTAGGTAAAACCCGCGGCAAATATCCCATGCCCCGGTCCACTCGCACACATACATTCACACGCGCAGCTCATTCGTACCGGTGTGTTTGGTCCGCGGGAGCTTTCGCTCCGACCTCCGGGATGCTATGCGAGGATACGACCAGAAACTCTCTCGAGCTAATGACCCCATCCCCGCATCACATCTCAGCGGCTTCCCCTATCCGCCACCTGGGGACGCGCCACGTAGGGGTTCACCTCCCCTGCCGCCTGGACAACCAAACGGGTGCGTGGTGGCTAACCCAGACCTAACCCAAACCTAACACAGACCCAACCCAAATATAGGTCTAACTATTAAGTTTAATTTTAGACACACAGAAGACAACATACTGGCGAACGCCCGTACAGTTGCCTGGAATGTCAACATCATTTTACGAATTGGCCAAATTATAATAAACATATGAAACGCAGGCATGGAATTAATACATCGCATACAAAACATTTATCGCAATCTCAACAATCAGAATCACAGCAACAGTTACATCAACAGCAACAACAATCGGAACAACCGCAAACAATCCAATCGAGCACTTCGGAAGATCCTCTTTCTATATCTCATACGGAATCGACAACGGTCCAAGTAAGATGTTATTGTTTTATATAATATTATACTTTGTACATGGTGTCCAATTGTAATCAGTGTAATCAAATATTTCCGTAATTCAGTAAGATACAATATAGTTTTTCTTCGCCGTATCTTATGTTGCCAAGGGGGAAGTGACTTTGTTGAAATAACTTTTTTAGGTGGAGATGCCATCGTGATACGAAGGTCACTTTCATGTTTTTGTATGGAACCATAGATTTTTAAAAACCTACGTTTGTAGCCTATGTTTGAAAATCTTTACAAGCGAAATATGTCTAAAAGATAATCCTTTTAGTGGTATGTATTTTAAACGCCGATTTAAATTTTGCAATCGCTTCTAGAAATATCGATTTGAACACGTTTAATAGTCGTTACTTAAGTTTATGTTACGTTGCTAAAATAACAAATATTTCATTCCGCTGTTTCTGATTGGGCACCTAGTACAATTACAATTTTCAGCTTAAATTCGATTATGATATTCAATGATTTTCTGTCTGTATGTACTGTACTTTCCACATTTAAAATGTCTGCAGGCAATACAAACTGTGTCGCACGCGTCGACAACTCAACCGATTGTTGTGCAAACTATACCGACTACAGCAATTCAAAATTTTCAACCCGACGTGTCCAGTACCATTCAAGATACCGTGTTTCGAGAAAGAAATGCAACATACTTTAACGCAATGCCAGCAACTTTGCAAAATTTTGTACCACCCAATTTACCATATAACTTTTATAACATTTCCAATGTTACGTACAGAGAATGATTTCCTTCGACGTAGATAAGAGAAAAATTCTGTTATACAAATAAATTTAAGCAAATGTATACAATCTTCAACTGCCCGGGTAACAAATATGCAAACGTTTCTTGAATGTTTACGATTTTCTTACCCTGGCAGTAAATTTGGTACGAACAAAATGAAACGATAATTTTAATCACTTAAGTTGTTTAAATAATATACATTCAGCGATGAAAATTGTCATGCATTTAAGAATAACATTACATAGCGAGAACGATTTACTTGTAGATAAATGTACAAAAGAATTTTCAAGATCACTTTTGTTTTTTTTAATAGATATTGCATTTTTTTACCCTAACTATGGTAATAGTTATTGAATCGATTTCAACAAATTGTAACAATAATTCATAAGGGGCAATATAACGCAGTTCTATAAAAAGAACACATTGCCTTGCAATCGGATAGTAAATACAATTCTTAAAAAAAAGTTCCAGTTAATATTCTGATCCCGGTGTCTGGTATATGCTTTTTTTTTTATTACAATTTATAATGTGAATGATAGTAATCATTAATAGAAATTAAAAATAGACGCAGATAAACAATATTTATTCCAATTCGGACCAACGCGTACAAAACGTTTGTTTTCGTATGTATACCATACAGGATGAGTCGATACGAAGTATTATATATTTAAAATGACTCGTTGTCTATTGGTTGTACAAGAAAACGTTTTAAATAAATTTGTTTGTATTTGAAGGGACTCGTGGATAAATGTTACAAAAATGAATTTCATACTAAATAGTACAGAGTACGTTTATTTATTACAGGGCAATTATTATTGATTAAAATTCGAACTCTAGCAAACTTCAAATTCCAACTACCCACTTTCATAACCTTAACTTTTCTTTTCCTTTCCTTATGATACGAAGAAATATTTCTAAATATTTTTAAATGAACAAATCATTTGAGTAACCGAATCTTTGGTGAAGTAATTAGATCGACAAATTCAAAGTCTATGAAAGTTGTAAAATTATTCAACCCGCTACCATTGCACAAAGATCCAAACATTGTTAATAACTGATATACTTATGGATCAGCTCAGAAATTATGGCTTATTCAGGAATGAACATAAAGACTTTATTGAAGAGAATTACGTGATAAAAAGAAATTGATTCCTCCACCACATAGAAAATAATATACTTGTATAATACAAAATATCATGTATTCTATGTAATACGTGTTTTATACAATATACGTATGCATTCAAAGATAAAACATTATATGTAAATAATAGTACCAAAGAAATAGTAAAATATAAAACAAGAAAAATTCATTTTTAGAATATGTAATAACGCTAGAATAGGAAGCTGTTATATCTTCGTAATTGAAAGGCAATAAAAATTCAAAATGATTTAATTCTGTAGATTCGTCTTTGTTGATTTCTGTTATAGCTTGATCAAAATTTTTACTGCCGCACAATAATGATTTATTTTGATAGCCGAGTCTTTCGTGCTTATTCGAACCATCTACGATGTAATTATCATTTTCCAAATTTTTTGTTCTACCAATCTCTTCGTATCTGTAAATATTATTACTTGGTTCTTTTAATATATTTGTGTAAGGTATATCGTGATAACCATGTGAGAAAGATATATTTGTATTGTTAAAATCATCTAAAATTGGTAGATATAATTTATTCCAAAAGCGAGACTTGTTGGTACTTTCTATGGATATATCTTCTGACCAATAATTTATTTGTAAAAGATTAGTGTTATTCTGTGAACTAAATTTATAATTTTTTCCGCTTGCTTTTTTATTGCCTTCCTTGTTTTCTGTTTCCTTGTTGCTGAATATTAAGTTGTGTAACCACATCCTTGAATAAAAGTTATATACTTAAATTTAATTGTTAATTAATACACTGATCAACAGCAAATATATACAACTATAACTTATGATATTATACCTAAATGCACCAAGATCAAGATACGTTGGAAGATCCCCACACTCTAAAGAAAAATTTGTCCAGGATGCGATTCCAACTACAGCTATTTCGTGATACTGATTTTCGCATATAACTGGAGAACCAGGATTACCGGCACAGGCTTTTATTTCATCCTTAAACTCAACCATCGTACAAAATACATTTGTGTAATTTACATTTGTCTTTAACATATACGTGCACAATTTCCAGGAATTGAGAATCACTTCGCTGTACAGAATCGGTTTGGCAAAAACTTTTGAAGATGGTGAGACGTAACTTTGCCAACCAAATATCAGGCACGTTGTGTAATTATTGTCGTAACTGACAGATATAACATTCGGTAGAATTATTTTCTTATTACACGTATCGAATGGTTTGATAAGTTTCAAAAGGGCTATATTGTGACTTCGATCGGGAAGAATGGAGTAAGCTTCGTAACGAGGATATATGTAAGTAGCTTTTATAGATATCGTCTGTTTAGACCCGGTTCCATTTAGCCCAGTAGCAAACAACATAATGGACTGTATTAAAATTAAGATTTAATATACTTTCTTTAATACTAGAGATAGAAAATATCATACGTTTCTTTTGTCCTGTACGCATTGCGCTGCAGTTAAAACCCAATCTGACGAAAGAAGTACTCCACCGCATGGCGTTATAGTTTGAAATTGTAACAACCATGGAAACTGGCTGTCGTGTGCTCTTTTACCTCCGAGTAGCATTCCTTTATATTCATTCAAAGATATTAATAGCAAGAATAAAATACATACTGACATATTTTCTGTAGCAAAGACATAACATGTTGATTGTTTTGTCGCTGTATGACTACTTTCAAGTTATTGTCATTACAAGAAAGTGTCAAACAGCTTTTAGTAGATATGAAATCGTTAAAAGTAGAGTAATTATGGCAAACAGTTCGCGGAACGTTTATTATTTGCAGACTAGATACAAAGACGTAAATAAATTCATAACAGAGGTACGTTATGAGCTTGTTTTATAAAAAAATTATGGTTATAAAAATCTGTTTAATGATTCATAATTCTTCGTTCACGTTTTTCGCATTTTCCATTATATTTTCCATTTTTTTTCTTTTTTTTTTCTCCTTTGTTTCTTTATTATCGTCATCTTTATCTTTAAGGCAAGAATCGTCCCCCTCCTTTAATGCTCTCTCGGAACATAAATATCTAATAATATAAAAATTATGTAATTACGTTAAATTCAATTAATAAAAAGTTGCAATAATACCTAATCAAAGGAATTTGTCCTTGATGCTTGTTATACCACTCTTCAATGTCGGATTCGTGATTCTCAAGTAGATTTTCACATTGCGTTTTTAAAGTTGTTATTTCTACGGATGGTTTGTCCCATAATTCATATGGGATTCCTAACTCAACTTTTACACCTCTGTCCCTATAAATACATTATAATATGAATAACTGTCAATTAATTCATTTTTGCTGCATAAATATTATCTTACACGAGCGTATGAAGAGCTTTAAACGTTTGACTCATTCCTTTAGCAAACCTTGTACTGTCCGTGCGCTCCTTATGAATATTATATTCCAATATCCGTTCACAAAGGTTTTCCATACTTTCTACTAAACGTAATTCTCTGAAAATGAAAACGAAGAACTGTCAGATTATCAAATTTTTTAACTACACTGCGTACTATAATTTTTAAAAATTCATTTGTTCATTACGATTTCTTATATTCCTTCTTTTTCTTAGGGGACACATCTTCGACAGAGTAGCCAATTTCTAGAACAGTATGCGTTTTCCCAGTTTCGTCTAATCTGGCCTCCAATTCGGTGGCAACGACTTTGCAAACTGTAACATAAAGTAACAACATTATCAAAGCACATTATAAAAACATTATGTCATTCAATAAGTTTGCGCAACATTTTAATAATGCTAAATCTATTATGTATTGTCTATCATTGTTTACTTCTTCACGAGACTCTGACAGAAACCATTTTTGGAGTCAATTATTCAAGTGTTTTAACATTAGATTTACAGAAGATTCCATACTTAAAGTTACACAATTAAATTAATTTAAAGCATCGTATAATTACAGTGTGATTACGTGTAATCGTATCGTAGTAAATGTAATCAGATTACATTTTGCCGAACTCTGACTTTGATCAACTTTGTACACCATAATTCTTAACCTACAATTTTATCCTTAATAATGCATAACAATAATATCGAAGCTGGTTCAGATAAAAACAAATAAAGTCCATCGGTTTGTATATAAGACAATAACGATAGGCAATTGTTAGCGGAAGAAAATTACTACGAAAACGATAAACGCCTAAACTTAGCAAACGATCTAACATTTCGATATCGTGTTTATAAAAATTACCTTCACATTTATTTGCATATTTAACACCTTGTTCTTCTTCTGGACTACCAATGACAAAATACTCGAGTAATAAATACATTAATAAAGTTCGTACTAAAGCGTGCATTGCTAGATTGCAATTCTATTAATTACTTTAAGGAATGAATGAAAGTGTTTATTCGCATTTACGTGCCTACTAGCCTACGTTTAATCATATCTACACTTTTCTTATTTCTGTTATTGTAAACGTATTCAAATTTTTCACGCAACGTAAACGAAAATACTTTCAATGTCAGTGGAAGTCTTGTGTTCGTGTAAGTACACAGAGTGTAAATAAGTACTTGAAGCTTATCAAATACGGCAACTGTTCTACGAATTCTTCGAAAATCATGATAAATTTTGCGAAAATATTTAATCGATTCTTTTATTTTGTCTGGTATTGGATGTTGGGAGCAAGTAAATTAATTTGCTTTAACGTGTAAGAAAACAAGAATACCTTTTATAAACATTCCCATTCCCAGTATTTGTTAACAACTATTTAATTACGAATGGTATGTTTATAAAAAATACCCTTAAATATTGCCAAGAGTCCACACTGTAGCATTAAACTCTAAATGTTCATAATTTAATTGTTGGAAAAGTTGTTGGTAAATAATCAAGCTACGCCCTATCGTTCGATTTATCGAAATGGCGGGAATATGTTCCCTTTGCTTTATCGTACACTATTGTCTTTTCTTTCTATTCTCGTTCGTCGACTTTCTTTAACTTCTTTCAATTCATACATTTTACTAATATTTTAAATGCAAACTAATTATAAGTGTTAAGAATAACAACTGGATTGTTGTATAAAGAACGTATTACTCAGTAACGTTTTCTTCGAATACCGGTACTAGACTGGCGCACACAAAGTTTCACACAGTTTAAATACGAGCACGCACTTACAGGAGGGCAGCACGTGCCGGGTCATATTTAAATGTGTACACTCAACAATAAGTAGAAAAAAAAAACAAAAAAAATACATACCAAAGAAAGTGTAGGTATATAAATTCGAAAAAGCTGCTTGTTGCAAATCTAGTAAACTGGTGACAAGAAAAAATACAAGAGACTGATTACACTCAATGTTTTTCAGGTGCAACAGATAGATGTAAGTATCAGTACACGTAGCGAAATGTAAAATAAGGAAAAACATTGAATTCGTAATTTCTAATGGGATTAAAAAATTTCCGTATACCCGTACGTTGCATAATTCTGATACATTTTGCATATACATAAAATTGAAATACATTTAGAGGGTTCCTCGTATTGAAAAGTGTATTTATCTACATAAAAAATATTTATTAAAACATTTGTAAAATTGCTCGAACGTTACAAAAACATATGAAAATTGTAAATGACATTGTATAATGTAGAATTGCTTTTATTTGAGAAAAAACATTAAAATATTTAATAACTAATCGTGCACACCGTGTTAATTAAAACACAATCAGATTGCAAGAATATTGTAAAGGATAATAATACGTTTTACTGTAGTATATTGGTCTATGTATAATGTAAGTAAACTAATTTACTATTACAAAACTTTTCAACTCACATTTTCGATAAATATTAACTAAAAAGATAATGAAATAGTACGTGTGTATATATTAAATAATTTATTAATAAATTCTTTATAGCGGTGTTACAACGTCATGCATAGCATATCGCCATGTCCATGCCCTGGCAATTTCATCAAACCTTTCACGATCGTTCAAATACATTTCACCCAATTCTGGTTCCATGCACACCTATGTATTACATACGTTTATTATTAGTATAATTACTTAATACTATTTGATAATGGCTATATTAGAAATAATCTTATTAACGTAATTAACAAGTGTTTCTATAATTCATTTGAAGACGATTTGTTGATAATAATAAATAATAATAATTTTAAGAAGTTATATATAATATACCTGACAATATGGATCCGTAAGAAGGCTTTGAACACTGATTAAAACCTTTGGTATTGTTAATGCTAATGACCAATTGTGGTGGATCGAGTCTATACCAACATCGCCGTGTCTAGATACATTTGGGTGAAGTATTTTTGTAAGAAATCTTACTATCGGCGGATACATAGGATAACTGCAAAATGTTTAAAGAAATTAGTAAGAAATTTTAGAGTTTCGTTGCGAGAAATAACATATTAATTCTTTTAGAAACATATTTGTCCTGGCGAAGAGTCTTAAAAAATGTAATACCTGCATGGCACTTGTACATAAAGATAAAACAAGCCTCCTTCGTACGGACTTCCTACAGGGCCAGTTATCGTAGCTTGCCAATAGCAGCACATTTGATCCAAAGGCGTCGCCTGTATATCTTCAGGGGGGTCTATTCTCAAACTCTTGAGCTCGCTGTGCAATCGTTTTTTTCTCCACGAATTTTCTTCCATTCTTAAAGGCCGTGACCGTAAACATGTTTGCGCTAAACATGTTCTGCAAGGTGCAGAGGAGGCCAAAAAATCGTATGCTTTGTACCAGTTCTTAACAGATCCTATGGGCTTGTATAAAGGCCATCGTAATTTAACTTTTTGTTGCCATTGTTGCGGCGTTATATGTGTGGATAATAAACCGCACCATCTGCGACAAACGTTTGCAGCCGACCAAAGACTAACATCATCCAAATGTGAGAAAACGAGCAGCAAAACTTCTGGCGGTAACCGTTCCACTAATCCTGGCTCGTTAATAGTTTCATGTTCAATGTGTTTATAATTCTTTAACATTTCTAATCGTTCGGATAAACTGTACGATCTTGATGGTTCTCCTAAATCGTCGCGAACTTTATAATTCCACTGGCGACAGTGCTGATAGTTTTCTAGTTCTTGAGCCTGCATAACTTCTTCCATCATATATTGAGAACTTACCATCGACGCTTTATCGTCGTGATTCTGATGGTATACATCGTCGTTCCCATTACTTATTTCTTGTATTTTACCGGAATGTACATCATGAAAAAGGTGCATATTTTGCGACAATACCGACGTACTTTTAGAACCACTTGTATTTATAACACAATGAACTTTTTGATAATTTTGTATTGCTGAAATATTTTCATTTTGCAAGTGAATACGTGGAGGTATATGAGAATTATGATTAGAGATATTGGATATGTTTGATACATTTGAGATTGTATTTTGCGGAGAATTTTGTTGTTGCTGACTGGCTCTCCTTTCGTGGTTGTAGTAAAGTTCAGTTGGCTCGTCGTTTCCAGAATCTTCATCGTCTGTTTTCTGTACAAATATTTCAATCAAATTATTTATCTAATACACAGGAACTAATATCACGTACGCTCAAATTTAAAAGTTTATGTTTTACTTTTTTATGCATATAAAGGAGCTGCGTTACTTATGGAACAACTTAATATATATTTAAATACATAATGATAATAAAACAACCTACTTCGCTGAAGATGGGAACTTGCAGAAGACCAATATCATTAGGAAATAAAAACGCATGACATGTTGGGCAAACAGGTTCTCCAAAACATGGCCCGTAATATCCATTACAGAAACAACAAGCCACCGTCTGAAACAACGAATAATTTATTTAGCGTACAATGCATTCTTTCAAAGTTATTTGAAGCTGACGTACAATGTTTGAGTCAATTAATTAACATCTATTTATATATATACGATTAAGACCTGATATATATTTGTGGAAGCACAATATTTATAAAAAGCGACATATTTCTGTTGACATTTAAAACGTAATATAATTACGTAATATTTTATGTTTGAACAATTGTAGTAACGTTATTGAAATTTATTTTCAAACGCATATATTTACGGCGTTGAATGTTGTTAATTTAGTAAACAATCGAAACGTAACAGCGGTTTATTTAACTCACCGAAAATTGAAATTCTGGAGACGGAATATATTCAATAGATTCGACAAACTCGTCTTCCAAACTTAAACCCACGTTACAAGCACCAATTTGGTGTGACTTTTCTCCAGACATGTTCGAAGAACTAACGACTACTTTGTCACCAGCCATTTTGGTATTATGGTAAATGTTACGCTCTTTTACGGTGATACGTTAAGTTATCCAACTGAATTATATATAAGCGATTTAATATCATTGCTTGTATTTCTATTCTGTTGAAATGACATTTACGTAGCCAGTACTCGATACACAAACAAACTTAATAATAAATATTATTGTCTGCGATTCTATCAAACCCGTGCACTACATTTACACGATTTAATTTGACGCGACTCGGTGTGGTCACAGAGTATAGACTGAAGACTTGTACAGATACACTGTGGTCAGATCGGGCATAAGGCATAAATGAGTGCATCGAGATCGACAATAGTGACGACGAACATCCTTAGCGTCTAACGGAGTGGTGGGGAAAGCCGACATATCTTACCGCACGAGCCACATGTTAGGCCAGGTCAGCACTTCATGGCAGTGATGGATATTCGTGGGAATTTTGGTCATGCGCACTGGAGCGCATGATCACTGCCGTATACACTTAACTAGAATTTAGGGTACCGTTGGATTCCAGTAAGGAACAAAATTTAAGGAAGTTACAGGGAAAGAGACAAAAACAACAAATTTCCTCTTAATCTACATGAGTATAGCTAGAGAAATACATAGGGGATCTTCGACAAGTTAATTTTTGTGTGATTGGCGAGTATTTGAAGTAGAAAGTTCAATTTTGTACGAAACATGGGAATTTCTAACATGCACCTCTTTTTGCGCTAAAGATACATCTATGGTAGCGGACGACAGGTAGCTGTGACGTCAGTTTACGCATGCGCAGAAAGGAATCCCACGAGGGAAAATTCCCACGAATGTCCATCATTGCTTCATGGCATGAAGTTCATGCAACTTCGGGAAATCGATAAAGAACGCTACTGTGAGCCTTTCCTTCTTGGTCTTCAACAGCTTCAATTCATCCTCGCGTCAATGGCATACAATTTCGAATCTCGACTGCCCAGGCATTTTTACGTTTCAAGCTATATAGGCACATAGACAAAGTCCATAATGAATGAAAAATTTTCACGTAAATACATGTTTTAAGACCCCCCGCGATGTTGTCGGTTCATTGCGGACTTATGTTTGCCTGAATGTCGGTTTAACGAATTTGTCAATGTATTTTATTTTTACGAATGAAACGTGAATAAAATTTGTCCACCTTTGGCTACGATACATATACCTAGATAGAATAAAGCGTGTTATCTTCTTTTAAGTAATTTAAAATGAATTTTTAAAAATTTTTCAATTTAAATTTTCGATACGTTAATAAAACGATACACGAAAATAAATATGAATAGTATTCAATGATATTTATGAATAGAATAATATTAAGAAATCCTTATTAATTAGATACATTAACATGTACTGTATCTTGTTACTTTTGATAGAAGTAAAATGAAAAGTGATGAATATGGCATAAGTAAAAAACGATGATGTAAAAACCATATAAAAAATGGTAGCTTCGAATCTGATTCCATATTTGATCTATTTCTGTAAATAGATTCTGGTAAAATTAATGAGAAAAAAAGAATAGTTTGCATAAGTAATAATTTATTTAATACAAAATAAACGAAAAACTCAATTCTCCCAAATTGTTTATTTAGGCCATATTCATAATTACTGGCACATTCGTAGGAAAGGAACATTCTCGATAATGTAAATCAAACGATGACCAAATTTCCTTCCTTTCATTCTATATTATCTTTTATTAAAAGAAGACACAGCTTATTTCAATTGTCTGATTTAACCTAATATCAAATATACTTAATATATCATTTATAATAAAATAAATATTATATTATTTCAATATTATGCTTAGGTATAATATTTCGTATTGAGGTAGATAAAATTATCAAAGATATTTTCGAAAACGCTCGTATGATCGTCACAAACTCTCTCTCCTCTCTGAACGAATTTCTATTATTAGTTGTATCTAAAGATGAAGATATTTTCTGTCATTAATATTAAGAAATCGTGAAATTTCCATTAAACGACAAATTAAAAAAATTAATTTTCATAATGTTCTTTCAACTTTTTACAACACTATCGTTTCAAGAATAACCACCTCGTAAGTCAGGTTGTTTGTTTATAACATGAATACGTAACATGCATCTGTTAATGGTAGAACAAAAATTCAAAGACCTTACATATCATGATGATAATGACTGATCGATGATGATGATTTTATACAATTTCAAATACTATAAATATTGTACTATTCGAAAATAAAATATAAAAAGAATATATGTTGTACTTGTGACCCATTATTTTATCAATAAAATCCAATTATTAGAAGTGTTTCAAGTATCCAGCGAGTTATAGCGTTTCGAGGCAGACAAATTAAAATAATTTCGCGGACATGTACTTTGCGTGCCGTAAACTATAAAATTGCATACATGTTCTCACATGTACAACATAATTATTATTTTTCTTGGATTTAGTAAGTACAATATTATGTCAAATTACAATTATTAATAAAAATATACATTTCAGTTTAATAATATGAAAATCTTCAAAATATACATTTCAGTAGAGTCCTGTTTTAAGACTTCGATAATCTCGATACAAATTACAGAGTATTTCAGAAATTACAATGAAGGATAACTGACACTAAAAGGACATAATTTTGTGCCAGTTGTTTGGAAAGGGGCTTCATCTTTTCAAGTATTAGCATATACGTCTATCTCAATAATTATCTAATTTAGTTAACACAGTTAATTTTTTACGATCGTATAAATAAAATGTACAAAAATGTTCGAACAATATTTTTGAATTATTAATAACATTTCTGCAAAATATGTATTATACAATACATAAGTTACCAAAAATCTACAAAGGTAATCGTATTAAATAATATATTAAATGTGTAGAACTCACGTATGATATTATTGAACCTTGTCAAAAGTAACAATCTTCTATTTTGTAATTTTTTATATTATGGGTAACACAAAAAGATGCTTGAACTTGTTATAACAATTACATAAGAAACTATGTATTTATATCTAAATCTCAAACAAAATTTACAAATAACTTAAAGTAAATAGCCCTCTAAAAACAAATTATTTCGCAAAGCTTAGATATTTTCTTACAGATTGCAATTTTCAAATTATATTTTAGATGACGATAAATTTCTAATTCTGCATTAATCGTTTAAATAAAAAAAAGAAAAAAGCCCCTACATACTGGATACTTGATGTTAAATATTTATGTATCAGCTATTGGAAATAGATTATATTAAATGGTAGTTTTGCGTGTACACGCAAAGGGAAATCAGTATTATAAACTTCATTACGGACGTAACAAATACTTTGTATTATAAAAAAGTTTTATATACAATGCAACATGTGCACTTGCATTTGTAAAAGCGAAAAAAAGTTATGCACCAAGATTCGCAAAATTATCCCAATCAACGAAGAACTCGGACAAGAGTTAATTTGCACTGTTCTTTCATTTCCTTACACTAGAAACGTTTTCAACTATTTGACCAATCTAATAAATCTTCCAGCAAAGTCAGTCTTATTTTATCTCTTCATGGACAAGCAGGGTTGAATTTAGGGCAAATTAGTTAAGATATATACATTTTTTTATTTAAAATAAATTTCTCGATTAATTATGCTCGACACTATAAATTGACACAGACAAAATTTAAATCTTAAAAGGAATTTTAAGAAAGAATATATTATTTTGTCAATTTCTTTACTTTTCCTTTTGTGGAATTAATCGATTTATTAAATGAGCGGCTCAAATGTCCTGGACTGGTCAAAATAGTTGAAAGGAAGTTACAGAATATAGCATGTATCGGAGGTAAAGAAAAGTAAAATGTTGAAATGAGAAGAAAACAATTGTACTCCAAAGCTCTATGTTTCTTTAATAAATTTGAATGCGTGAAATAATATTGCGAAATTCGGGTCATTGTTTTTTTTTTTTACCTTATATATACACATACGCGCAAGCACACAAACACACCACACCCACCCATCCACCACGCGCGCGCGCCACGCACACACACACACACGCGCGCGTTATATACAAGATAAAGAAAGGAAATAGGCAAAAGACACGGGAAATAGGAATGCAGCGCTTCAGCGAGAGAGAGAGTCGATGATATAAATTGTATAATTTTCAAATAACGCACACAGAATTTATAAAATTTCTATCCGTCGTTAACATGAAGTATGTAATCGTTATGAATTTGTTATAACAATTGAACAGAGCAGAATTATTTATCGCAAATAGAATTGGGAACCAGCAATCCATAATATACACACGATATTTTGTATACAAAAATGAGCAACTTTCAATTTCACGCTGGATAAAATAATATTTTTATTATTTTATCCAGAATGCAGTCATACTCCACGTTAATTGTTATGAAACATTAAAGTTAATTATAAGAATATATGTAACCCTAATTATAGTAACAAACTATTAATAACGTTTGTCTTTTGTTTAATTACTTTCCTTTAAACGATTCCAAATTATGTTCAGACTGAAATTGTTAGTCTTTTTGTTTTTGGTTCCCGATCTTCGTACGAAAGCGTATCGTCTTCGATTTACGATAAAATGTTAACATTATGCATCGTTTCTTTCTCGCGCTTTATGAATGTGCACATAAGAATGCATGTTTATAATAGCAATCCTGATATATTAAAAATCATCGATGCCGCCATCGTGAACACCAGCACGAACTTTATCCAATACTTTGTTCACAAATTCGGTTGAATGATTCGCTATTCGCACTTCTGAAACAAAAACATGTTCTATAAACAATAAAATATTGGTACAGATATAAAAGACATTAATATAAAAAGTCAATTCATTGAAAAACATTACAAAATTCAATTTACTTTGGGCATATCTAAATTATTAAAAAAATATAAAATAAGCAGATAAGATTTGTAAAACGATTTAACTTGTTGGAAAAATATTAGTTAATCGAAGAAACCTTATTTAGTATCTAAAAAAATAAGATCTTTTAACTCTCATCCAACCCATTCAACATTGACCTCCTCCTTAATTCATTTCTACCGATGACTGTAATGTTATTTAGTACGAAGTGTATATCAGAGTTTATTTATGATAAGCGTTTCAAAGAAGCATTGAATGTTTAAAGCATCTAATGGAAGTCTAAAACAAAATGTCTGCCCCACGCTGTCTAATAACTGTGGGGGGAAAAATATTTATAAATTTTGGTTTTAGTATACGAATAGACAAATTTAAAAAATGCGTATAGAAAACTTTTAAAAATATTTTGTATAATTACTCACATTTTGTACGATTTTCTAAATAGTATAGTTTCTAGACAATATACTCAATTAAATAATATTTAATAATTTTTTTAAATAAAAAATTGAAATACTAACTAGTTGCCAATTTACAGCACTTTTCCATCTGTCGTGTCAATTCTTCTTGATTTTCGGGATTAGGTTCCGTTAATTTTGCAGCAAGCGTTTGTTTCGCCTGATATATACCTTGAATTAATCGTTCTGCAACAATAATTGTAGATTTGTTACAAACACTTCCATTCAATTTTATCAACTAATATACTATGATTTATTTATACCATCGTCCCCCTACATCTTGACTCTGTACTTAAAAGGAAGGAATATGTCGAATTTTAAAGGAACATAACTATAATAACGAGACATGACATTCTTTAAATGAAAAACGGAAGAAAAAAGAAAGATCATTTAGTTACTGAAACTTAAATAATGTAATAAAAAAAAAAAAAAAAAAAACTAGTTTATCTACCTACAAAACGAACTATTAGTACTCAACTGTGCTCCTGTTCAAGGCCGTGTAATTTTATTTTATTCGCCTCGTGCTGTGCCTTTTTTTTCAAGCGACACGCTCGCGAAGCAAGCTTATTCTTTTCCTTTCGTGTTTTGGGCCTCGCCGTGAATGGTAACTCCGACACAGGTGTCATATCGTTTATAATGCGGGAAAGTTTATCCAATTCGCGACCAATACTATACAATTTACGTGGATTCGGGGTAAGGTCGTTTCCATCTCCTTTGCGCGCTTTTCCGCTGTGTTTAATCCCACGAAGAGCGCAATGCGGACTAAAAACAGGATCAGTAGCTTCGTTTAAAATATGAGGATCCTCAAGACGCGTTCTTGCAACGAGCCTCTGCCCTTTTGGTCCTTTTGCCTGTACATTGTATTGCCAAAAGTATCGTTCTTTTTTACTGTGTTTGTTATCCCGACTCGAATCCACACTACCACTTCCTACTCTGCTTCCGGTACTTTGGTCTTCGCAATCGCTGCCACCTGTGTCTACAGAAATAGGTACTCGTATCGTAACTTTCGTTTTCGTTTCATTAACATAACACATTGCAATAATTATTTATAAACAACAAAATACCATTATCGCTACTGAAGTCATCGTAATGATCACTGTCATCGTCGCTATCTTCGTAACCTTCGTCGTGACTAAGATGATCGGTACGGTAGCATAGATCCGGGCTCAATGCTTCACCGGTGCTTAAACTACTCGTTGAACCCGCTTCGACTACACCGAGACTACCGGTGCTCAACAGATGTGGTCGTGATTCTCTACGTGTCCAGATCTGTTCTAATACCATCGTTCGAGTCGGCGCGGACATCGATAGTCTAGAAACCTTAGATTTATTGTTCGTTGTACATCCGATATCTATTTGCCCACATGTGGGTACGTCGAAGGAGTTTTCGCAACGTCTCATTAACAATTCGTGAAGGGCGGACTGTCCATTAGGCCTATTCATCGGATGCGGAGACGTTGAAGAGCTTGCCGTTGAACTACCTTTAAAAGAATTATCTCCGTTATTTATTAAAAAATTTTATTCATTTCATCGTGTGAATTTAAACTAACTAGAAAACAATAAAAAAATAAAGTAAAAATATTTTAATATTAATTGTTAATGTATCTTGGTATTTCTAAGACAACAGAATATGCCATTTCTTACAGAGCATATTATATACATTTCATTTTAATTTTGTAATGCCGTCTACTTAAAAAATACTATAATAGAATAATGTGGTATCAATATGTAAGTAAAAAATAAAATTATATGTATGTATATATATAAACCTGCAACATTACTGGTTCCCGGACTTGGAAATGCATTGGGACTAATTGTCTCCAAATTATCAGCAACATTGACATTTATATTTAGATTGAATCCATGTGCAGTTATGTAAGTAGGGCAAATATTACGGTACGTCGATCCAGATTGTGGAAAACTACTTGAAGCGAAACTAGTGTTGTTATCGTTGAATAATGGACCGATTGATTGAGTTGCGTTAGCATCCACTTTAAAAGGTTGAATCCTTTCTTCCGGTAAAAGCAGATCGTCGAAGTTCAAATCACCGAGAAGCGTGTCATCGTTAGCGTTCAATTCAGCAAGGGTGGGTCCTTGAATAAGATCTGCTTTGTCCACTTGGAATATGTCGTCATCTTCCATTTTAAAAGAATCATCTAATTGATCAGAATCCATCTTAAATGGAGATTCTATGAGATCCGGTCTATTAGGCCATATCGAAGGTGCAGTCAATGGAGATGGTGAAAATTGATCGTATACACCTCTGGAACTTCTGTGTCCTCCTGGTATTGGTACAGATGCCGAAGATGAACCCATTTCTTGATTAGGTTCTTGCTTTATAACATCATCCATTGGGCTAGTTTTGATGTTCAAGAACAATTCAATGTATCCAGATTCTCCCGTTAACAATACAATCTTAAAATTAATCGAATTGAAGATTTTACATTTATCCGTGTATGCTTTCAAGATATGATTAAAAAAATATTATTTCAAATTCAACACAAAGAGAATGTATCGATTATCTTTCTTTTAATAGACCGACTATTCTGTACAAATTGAAATATCAAATTTTTGATTTTATATTATCGAACGGTAATAAAATATATGTTAATCGCAAAAGCTTGTTATATCAAATTTAAATAATGTCAAATGAGATGAAAAATAAATTGGAGATCGTGCACACTTATAATATTTGATTTACAGTCGAAGCGAGGAAAATAATGAATTCTAAAATGACGCATGTATTTGCATAGTTCTTGTTATTACAAATCAATGGAAAAGAAATCATCAATCCAAACGCTTACATAGTATAATCACTACCCCGCACATGAAATGACCATGACTTTCGTCAGCAAATATTTTTCCTAGGCGACGACATTGCTTCATGAAATTTTCTCAATTTAATCTTTGAGAAACCCAAAAAGTTTTTCCCCCTTGTACAAAGGAAGACGTTGCAGAAGAAAAACACACGTTCCGTTTTATTTGAATATCACTTTTCTTAGCTACGCACTAAAAATCCTTACAATCCACTCGCAAAACACAGTTTGTTATTGTTTTGTCAGAAAATTTCGAGACAGTATCACTGATATTAACATAAATAGCGAATGATCACATGACAAAAGTCGAGTACTTGACCAATGAAAACATTTCACCAATCACGAACGAACCCTCGACTGAAGAGTCATTTATGATTCGTGGATTTATTGACAACCGTAATAGGACAAAATGGCAAATTCACACGATAGTACAAACTCTGTGGAGTGTGTATACAAAATATACTACTATAAACTTTATCGAACGAACGAAAAATACAAAACGAATAAAGAGGAAAAACAAAAAAGGAAACTCAACAATAGGAAAAGCAAAAATCCGAGCAAAAAGAAAAATTGTTCATTATTCATGAACTTTTAAAACGATACACGTGTATAATGTGTATGTGGTGGTGTATCATTCGTTTAAAATAAAGATGAGCAGATGTAAATAAACAGATCATCACGTGATCGGATCTTCATTGGTTTGATGTGACGATTGACGAAATGCTCTGGTTAAAGGTACAGTTAAGACTGGTTTTCATGTGGTGGTACAAGCCATGACTTTTATTATCGTAGAAATTCGTGACAGTTTTGTAGCTGTTTTCACATTCGATTCAATGTTATGACATTTATCTAGTTATCTGGTACATTGAATTTTAAAAAGTTATGTTACAAAGTATCATACAAAGCCGACGCTTCTGTTGGAACCTTTGATGTTCGATACTTTCGTTCGATAATTTCCCTGATATACCCCTTAGAATCGATATTATCGATATTAGTTCTCCTTACGTAAGTACGTGCAGGGTAGGCAAAACTTTTCGATCAACGAATACCTTTTATTGAATTTCCTCATTTGAATCTAATTCACCTATAGTTGATTGCTGTGAAAGTTGCTACGGATACTGTTAAGCGTTACGTATACAGTCAACAACTTCATATTTATCGGTTTGGCGGCGAATTTGGAAGTTTAATATAGCGTTTATTTTCTTGCGCATTTCTCAGCTGTTTCATATTAGATATCACTTTTTCAAATTACCGATCTTCGTTTTTTTCATTACTTTTATATCAAATATATTCTATTTTTGTTCGACCGCCATTTTGTTCATCCAAAATGGTCGGATTAACAGCAACAAACCGCGTCATTGTTGATACTTTATCTACCTCTCGGGATATCATAAGAATTAATTAATATTGAAATTAGAAGAATCGTTAAAAGATTAACACAACGCAGAAGCTTACAGAAATCTATGATTGCATTATTAACCTTTAATTACTTGTACGGAGCCATTGCAATTTACAGAGTTTCTATTGTACGTATAAATCGTGCCTGGTAACGTCATCTTCCGGTGTAGTTACCTAAACCGATCTCCTTTATCAGATTTAGTACCATTTGTGAAACAAAAGTTCGAAGAGTAATAACCTCTCTATGCAAATGATTCCAATTTTGATTTTAGGCAAACTTATCGTATACTAATTTTTTTGTTTACCTTTTAGAAAATGTAAAAAGAAATCGATATGAAAATCTGCAATCGCCAATCTGCGCCTTAAATAAAATCGTACTCGTGAAAAGTTTGTACACATATTAAAAAATGAAAATACAGGTGTACTAAAACTTTTGAGCGATAGTATATGTACATGAGATGTAAGTTTATAACAGTTACTTTTATAACAGATATGTACTTTATAACAGTTGTTCGGAACAAAAGTTGATCGTAACTTGTTTTAAAAAACTGAAGCCAATATTATGACAATTTTCGAGGGTTGTTCCTGGACCGCAACGAGAGGAAAACGCCGATTACACTCAACTTCTTCGACGCGTCTGGGAGGTGCGCGAGCGCGCGCTTATCGACCAGATCCTCGTCTCTCCTCGTTTCCTCAGTGGACAACAAAGCCGGTGTATTTTACTTGAATCCCAGCTAACGCCTCGAACGTCCTACGAAGGATCTGGAAATGTCTGATCCTCGCGTGACATTCACAAATCAAACGATCCGTTCTACCTTCGTCCTCGTTCGCAGCTGATCGGATCCGGACGTTTCGTTTCGCGTTTGTAATCGGCTCGAACCGTTCGAATGGTTCGAAGGGAATCAAGTTCCACGTGTTTAGAGAACAGACGTTTGACTCTCGCCGAAGGATCCGAGGAGTCAGGTTCTCTCGGCTCGCTGGGAAACAGAGGAACGTTGTACAGTGAACGAATTGATAATGTGACGAGTGGTGAAGTTTTCGAACTTTATCGGCCCCTACAGTGCGTTGCATAATTACACGTACCACCCTTATTTTCAAACGTTTCAAAGTTTTAAACAGAGCAATAGAGCAATAGAGATTAATTGGAGAATTAAAAATTTCATAGAATCCTGATTTATTTTATAATTATTCGCGAATATTAAAACGTGTTCATCTCGATATATTAATATTGTAATGTAGTTGGAGTCATTTGGTACAAAGAACTTAGAAAAAAAATGATTTAAAATTTTTAATTAATCGTATTAATTACTGGAAAGTTACATAGTTTAATGGTACGAAATATTCGAACTAATTCTTTCGTTCCTAACATTATACGATCTTGAAGATCATAAGGTAAATGATTATCGATACAATCTGTTATATAAAAATATCTTTAATATACATATAATTTGAACAATTTAAAGTTTCGAACAGCTACTCAAGAATCATTGGAAATATAGAAAAAATTGACATACACCGTTATGTTAGTTATAGAAAACGACGAAACGTTTCTTTTATTTTCTCAATATGGTCCTAATCTATGTCAAAAATGGTTAGTAATGACGCAATCGACCTGTATAAATTCCGAACTTATATAAAATCTATACGTATATATTGGAACTTATGCAAGAACTAATTTAAACAGTTTCGTAACAGTTTCGAACAGAACTTTTATCAATCGTTCGGAACAATTATTTTTGGAAGTTTGCCAAGTCCTGTGCCGGATTGATGACGCGAAGGTCCGTCGGATTCGACCTGTTTCGAACGACAGAACGATGGGCTAGTCGTGTTTGAGCGACAAGCCTTATCGTGGATGACGTACACGAGGGCGGGATACAGTTTTGAATCACGTTCGCGATAAAATACATCGAATCAATAGCTCCGTTTCGTCAAAGTACACGAAACAGATACCTTCCTGACGTTGCACCGAGTTGTCGAATTGAGGCGGTCATTACGTTAAAGTGTTTTAAATTGGAAGACCGCAATTGGAACGGTTCTGCCGATAAATAGGCCATTGCCAGGCTCGCAGAGATATGACAGGAAACGTACGAGAATGAAATATATTTTTCTGAAATTGACCGAGACGTCCACGCCGGATGTTCCGCCGTTAACGACAATTACATTTCTTTCCAAGAACGCCGTCACCACGAATCCGTTTATGGAAAGTCAGCTGTATACGAGGCGACGATGAAAATCTCCCATTCGATAAAAGTCTTACATAAATGAAAGAGAACCCGACCCGTTTTCGGATATATGAAGCCCCGTGGGAGAACGTTTTCTTCGAACGCAACCTGATCGCGGTGGACTAAAATCGTCACGTATTTTTTAAAGATCAAAGTTGAATCCCTCATCGAAATAATTACGAACAAGGTCTGTGTGATGTTGGACAATTTGACGAGCTACTCGTTGGCAATGTCTCCAAGCGTTTCCTCCGTTTGCTTCAGAATCGTTTCGACGGCGGTTGATCGTAAAAGCGGGGGAAACACCATCGACAGAATCAGCCGGTGAGTCCAAAGCTTTGCTTTCTCGTCTGAAAAAATGAAATCCAAACGAGTTGTTTACGAATCTCTGTTTTCCAAATGAGTTTTGCTCTTTCCTTTTTTATCCTTATCGAATCTTTGAACCGGTTCAGCGAATCGTTTTTCGTTATCGCATTAAAAACATTTCATTTGCAGCTAATTTCATGCGCCAATAATGATCGGCCACATTACCTTTGTGCAAACAGCGCCAAGTGCGATGTACGCGTTGAAATGTATAACACATATCTCTCAATTGCTCGAAGTTTGTTAAGAAGACAGGTTGCACCGGTATGCGTGAAAATCGTTCGGATAATCAGGTAAGAGAATTCATTTTTTTCATCTGTTTATCAGATAGCATGCTATCTGATACCCCATTAAGGCTGGTTCTATAGTTAAAATGTTACTATCGGTAATAGAAAACGAAACAAATAAATTGGAACGGTGAATAAAAAGAAGCATACGACACTGCTAAAAGGATAGATCGATGATATATTAATGGTTACCGTGAGTTATAAAATTTTCAAATGAAACGCGCCACGCGATCCATTTGTTCGATCGGTTTCAAATTTTGCACAAATTGTTTTCCGAATGAAAAAATTTTTCATCGAGCAGCAGTAATGGAAATACCACGAATCTGAATTTATTATTATATATACATATATAGTATACGTAAATTCTTTATTTATTATTATAGTTCATTTTAAAAGCTCACTTATTGTTATTATTATTTATTAAAAGTAAGTACTTGACGACATTGATACAAACAGTATGGGTATCAGAAAAATTCGAATTCGTACAGATGTTCGACTAACACCGAGATGGATATGAAACAAACTGAATCTGCAACATTACACTGTGCTTTCGAAGCTTATGGAATAGAAGTGGGAATACAGTTAAATCCCCTACAACACGATTTCATTCTAATAGGTGGCGTCTACTACGATTATCTATTTTTGCTTCTCAAAGAAACTTCTTATAGTAATGTTTAATCCCGTGTAACACGGCATTTTTTTAGAAACCTAACTACCGTGTAATATGGGAGTTTACTGTAACAATGCAAGCCACGATATATTAGAAAAATTAATAAAGAAGTAAGCAAAATGATCGTTGTACCGATTTTACCAAAAGATATATGAAATATACATATTTAATCTATTTACTGATACGGTATTTTCTTTGTAGACACCTTAAATACATAGAAAAAGACACCTGTTGTTTAATCATGTGTTTGTAGCACTTAATGACGCGTGCACGGAATGTTTAACGCCGTTTTAATCGAAAACAGAATTTATCGTTATTTGATTTTTTGTTATCTGCAACAGCGCGTGGAAACGGAAACAATTAAGCAAGCACATCTGAATCAATATTTTATTGACAGTTTACGTCTTACTCTTCGTTCTGTTTCAATTTTCACATCGTCTATTTAACTTGTCTCTTTTCAGTAACTTAGAACGCGCGAACAGAAGAATGTTGTAACTTTCGAAGAATAGAGGTTCGCGTGAAAAACGTGGATTTGAAGATAGAAAATTCGTTAGACGAGTAGAAGAGAAATTTTGAAACGTATTCGTGGCGGGTCAGGTAAATTAGAAGACAGTTTTATAAGAAAAAATGAAACTGATGAAATTACAATGGTTGTGTTTCTATCCACGTGTTAGACTGACGTTCAAATATCTCTGATCCCGCCGCGTGGAAATGATGCGATGTATTTATTTTCGCAGAATCGACCCAAATATCTAGATCAGGTTTTCGTTGATAAGGTAGTTTCGACGAAATTCTCTATTCCGAGATAGTTATACGCGCTCTATCTATCGTTGAATCATCGCGTGCAAAGATATTTGGATTGTAATATAATGTGGGCGTGTCACGGTATTTTTACAACGTAAATCGTTTCAAAAAGAGACAATCTCGATCGTGAATCCAAAACGCGCAGCAAAACAGTACATTGGCTAAAAACTAAAAATGTCAAATTGTTAGATCGCTATAGATGCAAGGAACATGTTTTTTATGAAATGTTTATGAAAAAGTTCTTCATTTGCAACAACTGTCCTCGCTAATAATAAATTTATCGTTTTCAGGTGTGTATTTCTAAGTAATATAAATATGTATAATATTGTGTACGTTTTTTTTTAACGATATAAGAAATTAAAAAAATATGGATAAAATTTAATTTTCTTTGCATAACGCATTTAATAAATAATCAGTAATTTTGATTGGTCTGGTAGGAATACTAGCGTTAATTTTTCAGAATGATTAAACAAAACGATCGATTCACTGATGCGAATTTATATCTTTATATTCAGGCAGAGTTTCGTGGCGAGAGCAAAGCACTGGACGATGACAGTATTTTCCATTTCAAACATGACAGCCAGACAAACAAGGGTCGAGTTCGACTACGAAAATGGTTAATAGGCCTCCTAGTCTTCCTGTTGATGTACCTGATCATCGCGAACACGTATACCTCGGATCAATACCGGGAAATGTGGTTTGGAAATATGGTCAACGACACTCTGTCGGGTACGTTTAATTCGAAAACTCCTATTTGCTATTTTGTACGGAAGGAAAGCGGGAGAAACAATGAATACATATACAAAGACAGAAGGAATGCTGCCAACACCATTGAATTTTCACTGCTGAAATTTCTACTCGTACCTGACGGTCTCAACTTTGAGTAAATCATGGTGTTCTTATACCAGAAACAAGAAGTTTGTAAGAGCGTTAGGATAAGAACCAAAGTGTATGGGCGTTCGGATCATTTCGAGGCGTTTGCATAGTCGCGACAGCACACGTGTTGTCCATGTGCAGAATGTTACCGAAAATATGGCGACTTTTTTTCAGGATCGATTCATCACGCCTGTATGAATCGAAAAGTCCTTTACCATTTTGCGGTCTGAGGCTTCGTTACCGAGTTATAAGCGCTTCAAATATTTACAGGTATGACTTCCGGCCCGCGCTGTTTGAATCCCAGAGCACTGCTCCGAATGCACGCCCGTGGACTGGCACTAATCGACAAAACAACAACTAATACATTATCATTTGCACTGATTTTTATCATTATTCGCACACCGAAGCCACACACTTTCTATATCTTATGATTTTTAAACGTAACAATTCAAAAATATACTTTTCCTTTGTCACGTTATCGGTGGAACCGTAATACTAATACGCAATGCATATGGCACGAATTTCTGTGTGTGTGTGTGTGTGTGTGTGTGTGTTTTTTCCCCTTGAAAAGTTACAGTTACTGCCGAAGGGGACGCGGCAATGATTTATTCAATTTATTAACAGATAAGCTAACCGCTCGAACAGCGACACTATTTTTAAACATTCAAAAAGCATACAAATTGCTTCAATGGAATAGACAAGTTTCGCGATTCTCATATATTAAATAAATAATTTGTTTTAACCATGCTCTAAAACGATGTAAATAACAAATATATAGAGTGTTAAAAAAAATTTTAATGGGAGATTCTAGAGGCCAAAATAAGACGAAAATCAAGAATGCCAATTTGTTGATCGAGGTTCCGTTAAAAAATTATTAACGTTTAAAGTTCCACCTGTAGAACGGCAATCTGCGAACGCTGCGCGTGCGTAATAGTGATTCTCGCTCAGAGAACTGGAAGGCTGTCGATACGTCGCTAAGTAGAGTTTCTAACGCTGAGTGAGAACGACTATCGCGCGCACGCAGCTGTACGCAGGTTGCCATTCTATAGGCGGAACTTTAAACGTAAATAACTTCGTAACGAAGCCTCCATCAAGAAATTGGTATTCTTGATTTTCGTCTTATTTTCGCCTCTAGAATCCCCCATTAAAATTTTTCCCAGGGTTGGCCGAACACCCTATATGTACATACTATATCTTTAAAAAAACATTCACATTACTATCATTAAAAATAAATTACTAATTCGATCGTAATAGAAAATTTAATCATTTCATGATCAATGGTTATTGAATTAATTAATTACGACTGTTAATGCATCCACTGTGATTATTTCCCTTATCCATTAATCAATGGATCATTGATTATTTAATAACCAGTATGACCAGAAAAATACTATAGGCAATTATTTACAAGTAAAATGCAGGTACAATGTATACACGTGTACAGAGTGATTCAGGAACAAGGCGAACTCATCGAACATTTCTATTTTTAATTATTTTAATACACGAAAGAATAGTTTTCACTGTCTCAAAAATAAAACTACAATAAGGGACCGACGGACTTTCAAATTCAATTACCTCGAAAACGAAGCCTCAAACGAAAAAATGTTATTCTTTTCGAGATAAGAGGTACTAATCAAACTGGTTTGAAAATAAAGTAAATCGAAACGTATACATTTATTTTTCTATATCTATAATCACCATTTAATGCAACATATTTCTCCAAATATCCTTTCTTTCGTTCTGTTCACGAAGAAACATTCTGGTTCACTCTGGATCCAATAGCACGCAATAATCTGAACTTTGATATTTGATGGAAAATTGGAACTGTACAGATGTTGTAATATTACAATATTGAAAATTCTACACCGTTGCAGAAAATTGAAAGTTTGCACGTTCAGACCAAACACTAAAAGTCCGAATTTGTTTATATCCCCGTTACTCGCACGATAGCGTCGTTGGAGTCGAAAACGACTGAAACTACGCTATCCAGTTTCTGATACGAGAACAAAAACAGTATCGAAAAGACAGCTTGACGTTCGAATAGAATTAAACCGAAAAGTACAAACGCAAATCCTAATTTACGCTCGTTTTTGTTTTTCTTTTCTAGAAAATTACGTGGAACTAAAGCCTTTTTTCGCGCCCGGAGCCAATTCTGGCTTCTTAGTATGGAACAGAGGTTGTCGAATACCGGCGATGGACCCTTTTGATCCAGCGGTGAAGCAGTTCATTCAAAAGGAGGAGCCCATCGTTTGCAAGAACGGGGATTATCTACCGCTGGTTGATTCGAACGACACGGCAGTGTTCATAAATCCAGAGGCGATACACCATTTTTACAACAATTCGAAGGAAATCAACTGCTGTTGGCGTCCTTTCTGGCGATTAAAAAACAACGATAATGTTGTTGCGTCAGTAAGACTGCTTATTTTCCCGTAACAATAACTACAATTTTCGAAGCGATCGTTGCCTGAAAAATTTCAACGCAACACTGTTATAAAGGTATCGCATAACAGATATCTCAAACCTCCGGTTGAAGTTTAATAATGTGATCGCAATTAACAAATTTCACTCCTCGACACTCCGCATCCAATCAGATATCCCGTATTCGTAATTCTCGTTTATAAATTTGCAAGAATTGTGAAAGCGTGACAGAATTTTTTAGAAGAAAACGACGAATCGTGAGTTCTGTTCTTAGTGAAAAGTCCTGTCACCCATATACAATGACATCAAAAACTTTTGCTTATCTCTGGTAATAAAAAAAAACATCCCCCGTAATTAGCAAATTACTCTACGGAAGTACGCATAGCTAAGAAATAAACCGATTGGTTTGGCCTCTTAGCACAGGTAACGTAAATGAGAATTCTTCGAGTTCGAGGAGGGTGGAATATTCTAATTTAACAGAAAAATCAAATCCCCGAACTTCAATAGCAAGTATACTTGTTTTAAAGTAGCGTAACTCTTGAACTATTAGGTTCAGATTATAAGTAAAAAAACTGCATCGAATAGCACAATTAAAATTAGGAATTTCCATACATAACAAAAGTGTAAGTCAAATCAATATTATTGCGTAGAATTCATGAAGCAAAGTGTTAACAGGAGGCACAGCGGGAGGAACGTTAACTTAGTTAACGTGAAAAGTTTTAAAATTCTTTATTAGGAAATAGAGAGAGAGAAAAAAAAAAGGTTTCATTTGAATTTCAAGATCAACGTAAATTCTCAAACAAGTCATTACAAAATCGGACGCGTAAAATCTATTTTGCTTAATTTTTTTTTTACACTGTTATTTTCGTTTACAGGTTCAGCAACAATTGCTACACCTTCGAGAGCTCTGCTACCATCAAGACCGAGTTCGTGAAAATCGAATGTTCGCGCGACAACGAAGTAATATACAAGGACTATCACGCGTTCCTGCCTCGTTTCCGCTCGGTGGAACAGAAATATGAGAAAACGAGAACTGACAGCTCCAAGTCCGATCACCTCAGTTTGCTGATTGTTGGCCTCGACTCGGTTTCAAGATTAAACTTTCATAGAATGATGCCGAGAACGGTTCAAGCGTTGCAGGATCTCGGAGTAGTGGAGATGCTGGGCTACACAAAAGTGGCCGACAACACGTATCCGAATCTAGTGCCTGTTTTGAGCGGTTTGTCCGACGACGAGCTGCACGACTTGTGTTGGCAGACCAAGGACAAAACGTTCGACGAGTGTCCGTTCATCTGGAAGAATTACAGCGCGGCTGGTTATCGTACGGTTTTCGGCGAGGACGCATGCGCGATGACGACATTCAATTATTTGAAACCTGGCTTTCGCGAACCGCCGACGGACTATTATCTAAGACCGTTTTGCATCGCCTCGGAGAAAGATATCGGCAACACGCACAAACTGAACGCGAACCTCTGCGTGGGAAGCAGAAAAACGTTTGACAATTTGTTGGAATACACACGAAAGACGGCCTCGCAATTCACCGATGATCCATACTTCGCTTTGTTCTGGCAATCCAGTTTGACCCACGATTTCTTCAACTATCCGCAATTGGGCGACGACTCCTACTACAACTTCATCGCTCACTTGTCCAGCCAACAGCTGCTGAACCACACGGCGCTTGTGGTGATGAGCGATCACGGTATGAGATGGGGCAGCTTCCGCGAAACGTACCAAGGCAGGATGGAGGACAGTCTTCCGTTTGTGTTCATGGTGTTGCCAGCCTGGTGGAGGGACAAGTACCAAGTGGCCTGGGCCAACCTACGAAAAAATACACGCAGCTTGACGACGGCTTTCGACTTACACGAGACCCTGTTGGACCTGTTGGAGTCGAAACATCTGGAAGAAGGAAATCTAAGAAGTCGATCGAAACTGCTGTCGAACGATAAAAGTTTACCTCGCGGGATCAGCTGGTTCCTGCCGATTCCTGACTATCGGACATGCGCAATGGCGGGCATAGCCAGTCACTGGTGCATGTGTCACAGTAGCCACGACGTTCCTTTGAACGACGAGCATCTACGTGACAAAGCCGTCTTTCTTGTCGCCGAACTGAATGGAATGTTGAAGAAGTTCGTGCAATGCGCGACTCTGAAACTGAAAGAGATTAGAGCCGCGAAAGCGTGGCAGAACAAAAGCGACAATTCTGACCTCGTGGACTATACGATTACCATTCAAACGGAACCCGGCAACGCGATATTCGAAGGAACGGTACGGCACAGAGAAAAGGATAAGACTAAAAAATTGGTGGGCTCGGTTAGTAGATTAAATGCGTACGGGAAACAAAGCGCTTGCGTCGACGAGTTCAACATGAGGTTATATTGCTACTGCCTGTAAGATTCATCCTTATTTTATGCACAGTTACCTTTTCACGATTCATCTCCTCCTCTTCCCTGATTCTTTCCGCTCAGCTCTAGCAGAAAAGAAGATTAATGATCATGCAAGAGAAATCTACTTTTTGTATCTTTCATTTTACCTTTTTAACAGACGATACCAAAGCGTTTATGGGATTTTTCCGATTTAAACAAATCCAAATATCACATAAATTATCTCGAAAACAACACATTTTTGGCAAAAATGTTAATACAGCAGAATTAAATTAACACAACAGTTTCTTAGTTTCAAGGGAAAAATATGTACGGCTTATTTATTTTTTATTTGTTCGATAGAATAAAAAGAATAAAATTTTGTATGTTAAACGATTATTTTTTTTTTTTTATCATAACTGCATCTTTTTGAAGCGTCGAATATATCCATCTCGGTAAGAATTATTGTGATAACGTTCTTACTTTGGTCCTCGATCGGCCGATGACGCGTCATTTTTTACCCGTACGCAAGCTTTCAATTTTTGGGCATGTATGTATATGTATATACGTTCTTCGAGACGAAAGGGTTAATTAAACTTTGTAAACAATGTACGATGTTCGATTTGTTAAGCGTCTTACCAGCAACTTTGGACTGGGTCCAGTAATTGTACGAATAATGCATAAAATTTGAAAGAAACGTCGGCTTAGTTACTCGCCAATTTGCAAGTACAATGACTTCCAGACTTCTCACGTTCGATAAGTCTATAATATTTAATCTTCTTGCTGTGATAAGGAAGCAATGTCAATACTAATTGGATTTTTTTTATTTTCTTTGCAGCTTTAAAGAATCGATTGTCTAAGAGCTTTTTACTATTAACAAATTATACAAATTTGTATACAATTTCAGACAATATTTATCTTCAAAAAAATATAAATTTTCTCTAGTATGTTCGTACACGTTGATGCTTTCTTGTTATACTTCACGACGATAAAGTAAAAATAATATTTATTTAATATTATTATCAAAAACATAATATAGAATCTTCTTGTTTCTCGAGATCTAATTATTTCCATCTAATATCCGATAAAGTGAATTAATTGGGTAAAAAAGAATTTGGAGTTAAAAGTACACGATCGTTAACATTAACTATGAATGTATAATAAGTTTTATTTAATATAAACGACCATTTGCTCGAAATAAAATTGAGCACAACATAAGTTGGGCATAGGAATATTATTCTGTATCAATTTCTAATAAATTCGGGATACTTGTGAAAATGAAATATTGAAACAATGCAAATTGACAGATTTGACAGATGTAAATAGAATAGGAGATTAATAAAAGTATACAAATTATTATATAAGTTTTCTAAGGCCTCGTGTGAATGAGCGAGTAACAAAAGAGTTACTACGCGAGGGATAACAAACTGTCACGATAACAAATTGTATTACATTTGATGAAAAAATTGTGCTTTAATTCTTGTAAACAGAGTCTATTCAGAAATATCAGATAGACCTATGCAAAACAAGGAAATATGTATAATTTGATGCAAAAATTTTGTAATAAAAATGTCAATTGCAAGTTAAGTAATTGAATGGTACTTATTTGTTATTAACAATGGAGGGCATCATAATTTTTATTGTGTATAGTGTCAATAAAAAAAAGTTGTGACACGATACTTTACTTGGTAGTTTGTATTTGGATAGGGAATCCATAATTTAAAAACATGATCATTGGGTTTCTTTCTCTACTGTTTGAATGCAAAATTTCTGCTTGTAAAAGTCATTCATGCATCACTCACGCTTATTAAACATAAAATAACTTACTTTGTTAAATAAAGTATTCAAACATTTCTGACATCCATCTAAGTAATTGGCGATAACATACTTGACCAGTCTCTTATAATCAAACAGGAAGTATGCGTACAAGTAATGGTTACTACATCATGCTACATATATTCCATTTAACTGACCTAACACCTGGCTACCAAGCTTGTTGGTACCCATGATATTTCAAGGAAGCAAAAACACAACTTGGTATAGAAACACGCTCAAAGTCATCGACGCATGCACTTCAGTTATACGCACATTTTATAGTGTCACTTTGTATATACATTGCACTTAAAAGTTCCTAGTTTCTCCTTATTCCGTTATAAATTCGATTTATCGAATCCTGTTGTAATAGATGTTTTATTTCTGAAATAGCAATTGATTGGTAGAGTACACATCGTCGTGGCGTAAAGAATTGCGTATTGTAGTTAGTTACCTTCTTTTTGCGTATTCGTAAATTCTGTATCAGGGAATGCAACGTTAAACGTGATATGTAGAGTACCATGGAGATTATTATTATCATAGTTAGGCATTCCCTCTCCTTTCTTTCGAATACGAGTTCCCGGTTTGGTGATTTTGTCCCTCTGGATAGTTACTTTGTGGCCATCTAAATGTTCTATATCCATTTTAAAACCTATCAGGGCATCCTGCATAGATATAGTAACATTTGTATAGAGGTCGTCACCAATTCTTTCGAAAATTGGATGCGGCTGCGTTCGTATTTTCAAAATTAGATCTCCGGGATCTCCATCCAAATGCGGTTCACCTTCTGCTATAAATTTTGTTTCCTGACCATCTAACATACCAGCCTCCACTTCCACCTCTAATACTCGTTCTTCGGTAACGAATTCAACGTTCGCACACACCGAACATACAGATTGGTGCATCATTTGAAATCTTCCATTTCCTAAATTGCGAGTAACCAATTCTTGTCTACAATTACATTTCCTTGTTCCTTTAGCCGGTTTCATGACTGGTTTATTTCTTGTGATCTGAAAAACAAATGCACGACGTTCGAATGCGCGTTATTAATTAAATGAAACACAAAATCTCACCTCTATAAAATTTCCACTGTATAATTCTTCTAAGGTGACCATTAAATCCATTATAATATTCGAGCCTTTGGGTGTTTCATGCTGTTGTTGAGACTCTCCGCCAAAATGGAAACTAAAGTCTCCAAAGAAATTGGCAAAAGGATCTGCATTATTCATCATACCGTCTCTTTTAAGACATTCTTCTCCGCATCTATCGTACGTTTCTCTTTTCTCATTATCCGACAGAACTTCGTAAGCTGCACCTAAATCTTGGAATTTTTGTGAAGCGCTCTGGTCATCTTTATTTTTATCAGGATGTAGTTCCTTTGCCAGTTTTCTATATGCTTTTTTTATCGCATGCTGGCTAGCTGTTGGTGGTATGCCTAGGATGGCATAAAAGTCTCTTCTGCAAGGACATTGTATGTGTTGTTTATGATTAACTACAAATTACAAACAATCCAAATTGAAGATATAAAAGTTTCAACGATACAGGCAGTGTGCTATTTGTTTTTGCAATATATGTTATCGCGACAAAACGTTCTTTAAATAATAGAGAAAAGAGGGAAAGATAAAATGTACTTAATGAAAACGTTTACAGAATTGATTATTTTTTCACAAAATTCATTACACGTAATTCATCGTACCGATAACTTGGAGCACAACTTACGGAACAAGAGGTTATAAAGTTATTGTAAGATAAACATATTTCCGCGGTATACGATAAACAGATTATGAAAAAATGAATAGTCTTTTACTTACCCTGCCACAGTTAGTAAAACATACACTGTTAAATTTATGAACAAAGAGAAAATTAATTTTATCGCTGCCATTCTAGCAGACGGTACAACAAACATTGGTGCTTAAATCGTGGGTGCTGCTGATTGGTGCAACGAATTCAATTGAAACTGTTTTAATCGACGAAAAACGATCATTTAGGCGCATTCGTATGCAACTCCTACGACATTACGATTCGTCGTTGATAAATATGGCGGTAAAAAAAGTGAAATATGTATTATTTGACCAACGAGATCACGTACTTCAAAACAAAAGAGTAAATTTACTTTACAAAATCTGTATATCGATGAATAAGTTAATCTTAAAACAAAAATACGTTTCGTTGATTTTTTACTCAAAAAATGATAGAAATTTTTCTGGAGACCAGACGAATTACGACACAAAATTTCTTGCAAATTTGTACCTTTAAGTTGAATCGACAATAGCTTCTTGTCGTTGTGTTTGACATTGTGCTTAAAAGTGAAAACACGTTTACTTGTGTATATAGTTTGGCAAAAAAAAAAATCATGACAGCTGATACGGGCAATAGCATCGAAGAGGAGATATATATTAATCATTAGTTCATGATAGTGTCGACGAAGAACCAGTTGGGACTGTAATAAGGAAATTATTTGTTTCATCATGTCAGTATGTAAATTCCCTCGGATATTTTTACAAGAAAGATCATTGAACGAAATTCAATTGCAAATCACATGACGAAAGTGTTATCAGCTAGAACCACTTTCTCATGAAATACCTGTAGGTTATGCGAATTAATTTATCTAACATATATCTCACAAAATGGAGAAATATATGCATTTATGGAAGGGTGTTGATAAATTGTCATACACCTTTGGTGACAAACCCAATGGCATTATTTGCAAATTGGTTACCATTAAGGATCATATTTTCGTAGCAACTACCTCTAATAATTTATATCATGGAGAGGTATTGTTTCCAGAGGATAGTCCTTCGTCGTTAGTTTTAAAAAGAGCTCAATTCGATGTGGTCGACATAGCATCCAACTCGGAGCATTTATTTATTGTAGATAATAATGGACATGTCTTGAAAATAAATCCTCAGGATATGAGTGTAGAACATACAATTATACTAAAAGAGGAAATTACATGTTGTAGTCACGGGTAGGTTTATAATTACTGCATTTATGTTAATGTTTAATTCTGGTACAGTCATACTCCGATTTATGTTTTCTCAACTTACGTAGACATTTGTTCAAATTTGTGTTCACGTGTTTCATTTTATATATTTTATAACTTTTTATTTAATATATCAAATTGTATGTTTACAGATATAAACAAGAGAACAAAATTCTTAAAGTAAAATCTGTAGCTGCCAACGATTATGGAATGCTGTTTGTAACAGAAAATGGACAGCTTTGGGCCAGTGGAAATCAATCGCAAATAGATATCTATAGTTTAGAGCCTAAGAAAGTTCAATTTTTTGAAGGCAGAACTGTGTTCGCTGTTGCATGTGGTTCTAATTTTAATGTAGTCGCCGTAAGAAAAGCAACAAAGAATATAAATGACGATACTGACAGCGAACAAGAGTTAGAGGAAGAAGTCTTTGATAATTCGTGCCCTCAATGTCTCAATGCAGTATTAGGACTTCATGTACAGCAATTCAGCGAAGATCATTCGACCACTTCCATTAGTTCTTTATCGATTAGTAGTAAAGAGCATGATGTTTTGCCTGCAAAAGTTGTTAAGCAAGAGCAAACTTCTAAGATAAGTGGAAACGAAGAAGCGTGTACTAATCCTACAGATTCTGATAAAGAGGAAAAGAAAAATGTTATTTTTCTAAATACGGAAGCTGCAAAACAGTTCGTAAGTAAGCAATTATCGTGGGTCTCGTCTTATGGGAGTGTTAAGGAAGAGGTAGCCTTGGAAAATATTGAGAAACCAACTGAACTGATCAAGCAAAATGTATCCAATGTAGCCAATTTTGTGTATGAGGGGGTAAAGAATGTGGGGGGTAAAGTTGTTACATTATCAAGACATATAAGCGGAAGCTCGGATACTAATGATTTCAAAGAGGATAATAGCGAAGATTTGGATGAAGAAGAGGAGGAATGGCTGAAACCTACTGCCACTAGTGGCATGACATTGAGTTTACGTTGCGAGGAATTTCCATGGTCGTCGAGTACTAGCTGTTCCGAGCACGAATTATCTCAGCAAGGTGTAAATGAAAGAATCAATGCATTAACGCGAACTGGCAGCAATATCTTATCTACCGAACTATGGACATGGGGTGATATCAAATATGGGCAGTTAGGAACAGGAGATATTATTGTACGCTTACGTCCTACTCTGGTATTAAAGCTCACTAATACCGGACTTCGAAAAGTTTCTTGCGGTGCATTTCATATACTTGCCTTAACATTAGATGGAAGGGTCTTTGCTTGGGGAAGAAATAATCATAAGCAGGTAACGTTGGAACCCAAGGAGTATGAAAGCGCGCCTCAATGGTTTACCACAAAATTGGCTCAAAATGAGAGGGCTAAAGATATGGCAGCTGGTAGTTTTCATAGTTTAATCATGATGCATCATGGTCTATATTTTATTGGGAAGTCTAGGTAAATAATTCAGTTATAAAATTCAATATTATTGTTTGGTTTCTTATTTATGGAATACGTAAATAAGAAATTAAACAATGATACTTATTGACAGAAACTGTTTATTATGGTTTTAGTAAAATTGGAGAAATGTACCATCTCGACATTGAAACAAGCAACGAATGCAGTTTGCAGCATATTTTTAGTTCTGGCGAATACAGTTGTTGTTCTGTGATAAACGAAACCGAAATAAACATTTCTGAAAATTTAGTAAGCGATCAAATATTCTTGGAAGAGATGCTGATCGTTTATAAACATTTAATCAAACCATTCCGAAAAAAGGGTGGTGCTATGCAAGAATCAAATGTTTACGAAACGTTATGCCAATGTTATACAGAATTATTGAGTTTCAGTGTATTGAACGTAATTAGTTTATGGGACTATTTCAATCACATTGGCGAATCGTACGAAGTGACGGTTGTTGCTAACGTTGAGGAGTATATCACTGTGTATAAATATTATTTAAACGCAATATGCGATATCATTTCTCTGAGTGGATTTACGTATATTGCAAAAATAATTGAAGTGCCCCGAATTATCACGAGTTTATTTCCAAACAAATTAAAAAGTAATGACACTAAGAAAGTTAGTAATGAATTTATTATTGCTACGGCGTTGCAGGATCCGTTGCGTAAGTTGGACAGGTAAATATTTGTAAATGTAAACCTTGTATATCCGATTACTATTTCCTTGTTTATGGAATAACAAAAATTACGTATTTATATAGATATAAAAGTATAATTTTGAATTTGATAAAGTGCAATGGTACAAGAATGGGCGTAGAACGATTGCAAGAAGCCCTGGTAAAATGGGAACAGATATGCAACGTACAGGAGAAGCGACAGAAAGAGGCTGTAACTACAAAGTTATTTTGGGAAAGTTCTGGAAAAATAGGAGAATTGTTGAGATCTCCTAACAGAAGATTTATAAGAGAATCGCGAATGCATCCTATATCGATACTTCATTCTGGAAGGTTTTCTACTCATTGGTTTATTTTGTTAACCGATATATTTATTCATGTTACTGGAACTATCCATACAGTTCACCCACTTCAAACCTTATGGGTAGAGGTTTTATCAGATTCTGAAACAGTACAAGTATGTTAAATAAAATCATATATATCGATTAAACCAATATACGTCTATAAGCAAGCTCGTAATATAATTTCTTATACATTTATGTTTCAGAATGCTATATCAATAATAGCGCCGGAAGATACGTTTGTATTGTACACTCCAACAGCTTCTGAGCGTAACGAATGGTTACATGCTTTGCAAAATGCTATTAAATGTAGCCTACAAAGAATTATTGGACACGTATCACCAATAGTACGTCTTAGCTCCTTTACTTTCACAAAGCACAGTGTTTTCAAAGATGCGAAGTATACCGGTTCGTAAGTCATTGATGACATTACTGTGTAATTTCCTGGATAGAATAATGTGTTATGGAAAATAAATATAATAAAATATCTATGAGAGTGTATGCTTTCAAATTCAATTTTTTTTATAACAAAATTTTTCGTGTCTATATGTATAAGAAAAATCATTTATGTTAGTTTGAATATATATAGGACGATGGTTGAATGGTAAGCCACACGGTTCTGGAAAATTGGAATGGTGCGATGGTCGTACATATATAGGACAGTTTCGCAAAGGTACTATTCATGGAAATGGTAAAATGGAAATTCCATCGCAGGGAGTGTACGAAGGACAATGGAAAGATGGCCAACAAAATGGCTATGGAACAATGAAGTTAGTATTTTAATTGAACATAAAAATTTAAATTATTAAACTATATACTATAGAGTGGTATTAAACATGAAATCTAATATATTTCAGATATAACAATGGAGACTTTTACGAGGGATATTTCAAAGATGGATTGCCACATGGTCATGGTATTAAGAAAGAAGGTCATTTCATGTCATCTGTAGCATCTGTTTATATCGGGGAATGGGCAGCAGGTGTGAAACAAGGTTACGGAATTATGGATGATATTATGACAGGTATAGTTACGCGATATCACTTAAAGTAAATCGTACTTATACATTTTTATCACAATACGATTAAAAACCTATTAAATTGAATAATATATTATCGTAGGTGAAAAATATTTGGGATCTTGGAATAACGGCATGAAACATGGTTGTGGCTTAATTGTAACTTTAGATGGTATTTACTATGAAGGGGTTTTCATGCAAGATGTTTTAACGGTAGACGATTAAACATTTTCCAGATTTTTGTAATAAAAATTAAAAAAAATTAATCTTGTATATATTGCGTTTAAATAAAGGGTCACGGTGTTATGGTGTTTGAGGATGGTACCCACTATGAGGGTGAATTTAAATCAGCTGGTATTTTTTACGGGAAAGGAACGTTAGTGTTTCCAAGCGGCGATCGATTAGAAGGCAATATGAATGGAGTATGGAACGAGGGAGTAAAAGTTATTGCAACTCTACACATGAATAAAGCAAATGGAAATGTACAATTTAATCCGAAGCCAACGTAAGTAATTTATTGATTAAAAATTGTTTGCATATGTATTTAGAAAAGGAGACTATTAATTTTGTTACAGATCTTTTGGGAAGCTTTGTGTATCGCCGGATCAAAAATGGAAAGCCATATTTAGACATTGTTATCAGCAACTTGGTGTGCCTGAACCAGGTTCAAAAAGTGCTAGTACGAACGACAAGTTTCTAGAAACACAACGCGCATGGCAAAACGTTGCCAGCATAATAACAAAGTCTAGACAAAAGGCATTACCACAAAAGAATCTTTCGAATACTTTGACCAATGACGAGTTGGATAAAATTCCTTGTTACGGGAAAGAGAAACTCAACGTTGAAAGTTATAACCTACTTCATAAATATTTAATGCAAGCTTTCGAAAACGCGCATCATCCATTAGGCTGCTTTTTAACAGAGATTGTAGTTGTGTACACAGGCACTTACGGCGGTGTTAGAGTTCATCCTTTGCTACTCAGTCACGCAGTGTCTGAACTTCATAGTATTATCTCAAGAATGTATGAAATACTTATTTTATTGTTTCCGGAATTACCACGATCTGAGACAGAGTATGTATTGGAAGCAGAAAATGAAGAAGAATGGTATGCTCGGATCTCGATCAATTACTTGTTCATATCTATGTATATCATTGTAATAATATGCTTCTTAAAATCACATTGTTAGCCAAACTATAAGCGCTTCGGGGATACTCTACCCAATATTACTACCTCGTGTATATTCGACGCTGTTTGTACTATATGCTTTACATGATAAGAAGGAAGACGATGCTTATTGGGAACGATTAATGAAATGGAACAAGCAACCCGATATAACGTTAATGAATTTTCTGGGTATCGATCAGTAAGCAGTTTTGCTAATAAAAACAGAAATTTTTATGTTCGTATATAAACTAATTAGCGATGTTGTAGAAAATTCTGGAAAAATAAAGATTTAATCGATTTAAATGAAAATGGATTGCAGTACCAAAAGGAATCGCATTTTAACGACGCGATAGAAATGTTGCAACAGTTGAAAACCACGTTTTCTCCATTAGAGAAATTGTTGGTCGTTAGAAATACGTTTGAACAAATGACGCAAGTAAGCCTTTATTATTTATTTTCTTATCTTCTTATTACATTGCTACAATCTTGTTTATATCAGACAGTTAAAAAACAATTGGGTTCAGCATACGTATGGACAATGGACGAGCTATTTCCAGGTTTTTGTTTCGTTGTCGTACGCGCCCGCGTGTTGCAACTAGGCAGCGAAATACATTTTATAGAAGACTTCATGGAACCTCATTTGCAAAACGGAGAACTTGGAATTATGTTCACCACACTTAAGGTCAGATACTTCCATTTTACCAAAAGAAAAGATGTAAAGATCAAAATATTGAACAGTATTGTCTTTTTTTCTAGGCGTGTTACTATCAAATATTGCAAGAGAAAATCAACATTGATTTGGCGGACGATTGAAAGTTAATAGTATTGTATAGTTTGTAAATAAGTAAAACTATTATGAGCGAAAGAACAAATTCTACTAGCTCTTATTCTAATAAATTTTAAAAACACATTCAGGATGTCACAAAAATGTACTTCGGAATATTTAATTAAAAGTAGTATACAATTTTGGCTTTACAGTTTCCTTTCTCATTTTTATTTAAAGCTACGTTCTCTCGCTATATTTTTATTCTATCCGTTAAAATATATCAAATATACATATACACATATGCTCATTCATAGGATTAATAAAAAAAAAAATTTCGTTTTTTTCAATAGTGAAAACATGATCAGGGGGTCTTAAAACGTGTATTTCCGTGTAAATCTTTTTTTCATTATAGACTTAGCTTATACATACATACGTAAGTACCCATATGTATACCTCGAAACGTAAATTGTATACAAATCCAAAAAAATTTAATAGATCTATCGTTCGTGCATTTGCGGTATTTAAAAATTGCTTGAGACACAGTATAAATTTGAATGCATTATTAGGCTACCCTTATCCACAGATTGAAATGGCCAATTTATTCAATGGTACTCCATTTTACAATATAGCTAATAATTTTAAAACACGGTACGACATGGAAAGTTATATAAATACAATTCTCGAATATTCTCCAAGCCTATGGAGGGTGTTTTTTACACTTTTATCGACAGTAACGCCTTTGTTTGTGTCATATCTTCAAAATGAAATCGATCCCCGTAAGAAACAAACACCAAAGTCCGACCAAACTACAGACGATAATAATACAGAATATTTTAGTGCAGACGAAGATACCTTCGAATCTAATAGCCAGACTATTCACGGCGTAAAAACCATGAACACAATGTATAGAACCTAATTTATATAAATTGAATAGTCATTTTTCCTTTTTCTATGCATCATTACTACTTATTATCGAAAATTATTGTCATTATTCATTAAAATAATTTGTAAATGCAATAAGAAACGAGTACATTGTCATGCTGTATATATTTATCATTTCTAACCTTATTTAAACTTTAGTAATGTCGCACATTTTTTCAATTGATTTTAAAATCGAAAAAATCGATACTATTTTTTCAGGCGCGTTTTATTATTAGAAAATGTTATACTACATAATAAAAACAATCTTAATAAACAATATACCGAAAGAATGTACATGGCTGAAACACAGATACGGAAGACCATGTATAAAAACGGTACGTTTAGAGAGATGACCAATCTTATTGCTTATTGAAAAATGATTGTATATCAAAATTTGTGAATAAAATAGTTATAAATCCTTTTCAAATATTGTGTTTTTCTTCGAACTGTTAATTTAATTCCTTTACGAAAGAAAAAGCTTATAATCGGAGGCAATTCATATAAATTATCAACAAAAATTTCATATTTATTTGTATATCCGGATAACGGGTGGAAATATTTGTTAATAGATTCAAATCTCTAAATTAAACGTAAACGGAAGTTCGTTTATGAATAAATTTGGTCGTAATTTAATGCATCGAAATCGACAATAGTGACGACGAATTTCCTTAGCGTTTAACGGAATGGTGGAGAAACAAACATATCCTACCGCACGAGCCACATGTTACGCCAGGTCAGCACTTCATAAAGAACGTGAACGGGAGCTTTTCCTTCTTGCTCTTGAACTTTTTCTGAATTTTTTCTGGAAGTAGAGCTCATGAATACCTAGAAAAAAGTATTAGACAACATTTCATTTTGATTTCGATTAAAAATCAAATTTAAATTGTTTTAAATTCGCAGCCATTAGCTCGGTGTTACCCATAATGAAGAAGTTGTTCTTCAAAGGTAACACCGATTACCAGGTCTCACCACGAGGAGGTTGCTGCGAGTGGAGACCCAAAGTGAGATCGATGGAACAAAGTTCGATCGACCTTCCTTTTTACACACTTAGAAACTAGATTACGCAAAAAAAAAAAAAGATGCCAAGTAATTACTTTTTCTAAAACAAAGGAGGAAGGTAAATTGTGGGAGACGCGACACGACGAAACGCGACACAATACTGCGCAGTGCAGTAGGAACATGAGGTGCGACACGTACCGAATAGCGGGTCAAAAGGGGCAGCTCGTTACCTCTTAGCAAGTCCAATTGAAGGGGAGGAGAATCGACGCACCAGACACGGGTTCCCCATTTCTCCAACGCGTCCTGCTGGGAGCCCGTAGGACCCAACCCGGGACGTCTTACACAGGAGAGAGATCCTGAGTCGGGGCTACCGCAGACAGGAACAGGTCCCCTCTACGGCCGATGACTCTTTCCCTAGAATTGTCTCACCAGAGGACGGCAACCGACCCTTCGAACCATCTAAACGGCCGATCACTTGCTTTTTACATCAAAGCAGCGGTGACCGGAGCTAGAAACGGGGAAACGAGACTGGAAAATAAGCTATTAATTAATTCATTACTTGGCAATCTACGCATTAAATAAAATAATATACAATGTAAATTGAAAATTAACGTCGTAGGTGGAATTAATGAGATTAAAACGGGAATTGAAATAAACATAGGAATGAGATAAAAGGAAAAAGAAATATTCGACGTTAATTTTTACATTCGCGCCGCGCCTTAAAATTAATCGGCTTACGTTTACGATACGGCCGACGTCATCTATTGATCTCCTCCTCCTCCTAGAAATTGATCTGGTAAAAAACTAAAATAAAAATTAATAGTTATACATGAAAAACAAAAATATAACCTAGATAAATAATGAAAAACAAATTGTATGGAATAATGAATTGGAACAACCCAACGAAGTAAGATAAGGAAAAACGAATTATTAGAAAAAAAACAAACCAACGATGTACACGGTGAATAATAGAGTAATTTTGAAGAGAACAACCCAACGAAGTAAAATAAAGAATGTAACAATGAGAAAAAGAAGAAACCAACGATGTGCAAGATGGAAGATAAAATAGAATCATTTGGAAAATAACAAACCAACGATGTAATACAGATAAAAGCTGAAAGAAAAATAAATGTATTAATTAACGAGACGAACACCCCAAATATTACATCACCTATATATATATAAATGAAAAAAACAATATTGGGATTAGTTATATTAATATAATTATATGTATACCAATCGGTGATCCTTCCTAGTCAGCATCGCAGAATCAGAGAATCTGAAACAGAAAGAAAAACGCGTGACAGTACCCCCGGCGGTTCCAGGAGTACTGAAAAGAGTCGGTCAGTTGTGCCCGCTTTTATGCAGTCAAGCCAAAGAATCAACGAGCCAATCAGCAGCCAGTCAGCAGTCTTCCGGCTTCAAGAAGTTCTATAAAAACCGTGCCCCCTGGCGGGCCCGCGGCAGATATCCCTCAACCACCAAGCAAGACGGACCGTATCGAGATGAAGAATTTAATCGAAGATTTCCATTCAATCAAAATCGAAGATGGCGGCCAAGAAGATGGTTCACGAGCAGCGGCCAAGGGACAAACCGGTCTTTTTAAAGACCAAGAAAATCTCATATTTGGGAACAACACCAAAACTGAACACCAAAACTGAACAAGTTTTATATTTAACAACTCAGAGACACTTTACATCTCTGTTTTGTAACAAGTTTTATATTTAACAATTCAGAGGCACTTTACATATCTGTTTTGTAACAACTTTTATATTTAACAATACACAGACACTTTACATCTCTGTTTTGTAACAACTTTTATATTTAACAACTCAGAGACACTTTACATCTCTGTTTTGTAACCACTTTTATATTTAACAACTCAGAGACACTTTACATCTCTGTTATGGCACAAGTTATGCAATAAAACTGAACATGGTATATTTGCCTATATGTATAGGAAGGAAATTCGTCGTTAGTATTGTCGCCCGTCAATGCACTTAATTATGCAAGATCAGTATACTATCTAATTTTATTTTTTATTATACCGGTTTGTAATATCGTAAAGATCAATGCAAAAACATTATGCACAGCTCTTGTATTTCTTTGATTTATCCAAGTAGTCAAAGTATAATATTTAACAAACTATTGATTCAAATAAAACAACGAAAGACACAAAATTTGTGTAAGTACCTGTTACATGCAACCTATGTATAAATGCATAATAACTAATATTGATATACGCATAACGAACTTAGTTTGTGATATGAAACATTAAGAAAAGTGTAAATTAATAAATAGGTTTCAAAATGGGTATTCCAGGTTTAACAACTTTCATAAACAATCGTTCAGATCGTTATTTGGAATATTTCGAGCTACGTGATAGGTATTTAGTTATTTAGGTGTCAAATATATATTTCGTACAAGTGCAATTGTGTTTTTGTCGGTGATTACGATAAATACGCTCAACGAGTATCGGATTTTTTTGACGATTTGTTAAAATTATTCGAAGCTGTTAATGCTATAGCTACTGTAGCAAGGATATTGAATTGTCCTCTATTGAGTTATGATTCAGATTTTTATGTGTTTGAGACATTGCACATACCATTTGATACATTGGACAATTACACGGTGAAAAGTTCAACTGGAAATGGTTACACGAAACGTTGTAAAATTTATAAAGTTGAACACTTATTAAATTCTTATAGAGGTTTAAGTCAATCTACACTGCCATTAGCTGCAATATTACTAGGCAATGATTATGTAAAACGTGGTACATTTAGAAACTTCATTCGTTATTTAAAGTTACGACGAATAACAAGAAAAAGGTAAAGTAATCGACAGTATTGTATAGAAGCAACTTTACAATGGTTGAGCGGATTTTACATCTAGGACAAAGCAGTCATTGGAATACTATGTAGATCACCTAACACCGTAAGACAAAAAATGGCTATACAAATGCATCTACAGAAATACTTGTTTACATCCATTGGGGTTTTTACAGGAATATGCAGCTCGTACCACAACACATTCCATAAACAGAATTTTTTAATTTGATGGAGATGTTAATAGTCTAATGTACATAGAAGAAACTGATAAAAATGGAGATTTTGAATCATCCGAAGAAGAAGAAAAAGAGGAAGAAAACGAAGTTGAAATATTAGACATGCTTAAAGGGGTCAGAATCTACTACCAATAATGCACTACTAGCTAATGTACCTAATTTGTTTGTAGATGAATTTCTTATGGGCAATTATCCTGCATATATTATGGACTTGTTGGTTCGACGTTTATATATTTGTTCTGTACAAATAGAGGATTATTCCTATCCATTGAGCAATGTAATAAGTTTAAAAATTATTAGAGTTATATATGCATTTCTGCAATCAGGAACGAATAGATGGAGAGGTTTTATGAAATACATGATGAGAGACTGTAATAAAAAGCTTAAATGTTACGAACCAGAAGGCACTGACACTAAATTTTCTTCCCCATTACTGTCCCTATCTAATCTTAGAGAAGTACCATTAACGAGTCCAGGATTAAAAAATAATGTACAAACATGCGTCATTGAATTTTCATTACCATTTGAATCTAAATTCAAGTTATATAGACACAAATATATAAGCAAAGCCCATATTGAATGAAAAATTGACGCGTAAATACACGTTTCAAGACCCCCTGATCATGTTTGACATAAAACAATACTTTGGAAATAAATCGTTTGAATATAGTTTATCAAGTAAGACTTTCGAAATTATTTTCAAACGATTTATTTTCTAATTGTTCTACTATTTCAAATAATAATTTTTTGATCTTATAGCAAAGAACGTTTACTTAATATCAATTCAATAAATTCAATTTGTATTTGTATATTTTTCGCCTATAAAGGCAAAAATATACCATGTTCAGTTTTATTACATAAGTTGTTCCAAAACAGAGATGTAAAAAGTCTCTGAGTTGTTAAATATAAAAGTTGTTCCAAAACAGAGATGTAAAAAGTCTCTGGGTTGTTAAATAGAAAAGTTGTTCCAAAACAGAGATGTAAAAAGTCTCTGAGTTGTTAAATAGAAAAGTTGTTCAGTTTAGTGGTTCCCACAAATGAGATTTTCTTGGTCTTTAAAAAGACCGGTTTTGTCCTTTGGCCGCTGCTCGTGAACCATCATCTTTGGCCATCTTCGATTTTGATTGAATGGAAATCTTCGATTAAATTCTTCATCTCGATACGGTCCGTCTTGCTTGGTGGTTGGGAGATAACTCCCCGATGAACGCCTCAGGGGGCTCTTATATCCTAGGAGCACGGACCCTCACGAGTGACCGAGCGACATCTGTGCAATTTTGATACACGAATTGTTAACGAATTGTCCCCCAACATAAAATTAAAGAATCATTATTTCGATAATGAAATACTTATAGGAATATATAAAGCATTTCTACATATTCTCCGTCGAAACACGCGTTGTTTGCAACTTGAAACATTAAGATCCTTCAATCCGTTCAGAAGTTATAATGTTTTAACCATACGCATGAAATTTCGAGCGAACATTTCTGCATCTTTAAAATATTATAACTTTTGAACGGATTGAAGGATCTTAATGTTTCAAGTTGCAAACAACGCGTATTTTGATGGAGAATATGTAGAAATTGAATATTGAACAACTCAGAGACTGATCATCTTTGTTATGGAACAACTTTTATATTTAACAATTCACAGTCACTTTACATCTCTGTTTTGTAACAACTTTTATATTTAACAATTCACAGTCACTTTACATCTCTGTTTTGTAACCACTTTTATATTTAACAACTCAGAGATACTTTACATCTCTGTTATGGCACAAGTTATGCAATAATACTGAACACGGTATATTTGCCTATATGTATAGGAAGGAAATTCGTCGTTAGTATTGTCGCCCGTCAATGCACTTAATTATGCAAGATCAGTATACTATCTAATTTTATTTAATCAAAACTAATGGTACTACATTGCACTTTATCAAATCGTCAAAAAAATCCGATACTCGTTGAGCGTATTTATCGTAATCACCGACAAAAACACAATTGCACTTGTACGAAATATATATTTGACAGCTAAATAACTTAATACGTATCACGTAGCTCGAAATATTCCAAATAACGATCTGAACGATTGTTTATGAAAGTTGTTAAACCTGGAATACCCATTTTGAAACCTATTTATTACTTTACACTTTTCTTAATGTTTCATATCACAAACTAAGTTCGTTATGCGTATATCAATATTAGTTATTATGCATTTATACATAGGTTGCATGTAACAGGTACTTTCACAAATTTTGTGTCATTCGTTGTTTTATTTGAATCAAAAGTTTGTTAAATATTATACTTTGACTACTTGGATAAATCAAAGAAATACAAGAGCTGTGCATAATGTTTTTGCATTGATCTTTACGATATTACAAACCGGTATAATAAAAAATAAAATTAGATAGTATACTGATCTTGCATAATTAAGTGCATTGACGGGCGACAATACTAACGACGAATTTCCTTCCTATACATATAGGCAAATATACCATGTTCAGTATTATTGCATAACTTGTGCCATAACAGAGATGTAAAGTGTCTCTGAGTTGTTAAATATAAAAGTGGTTACAAAACAGAGATGTAAAGTGACTGTGAATTGTTAAATATAAAAGTGGTTACAAAACAGAGATGTAAAGTGTCTGTGAATTGTTAAATATAAAAGTTGTTCCATAACAAAGATGTTCAGTCTCTGAGTTGTTCAATATTCAATTTCTACATATTCTCCATCAAAATACGCGTTGTTTGCAACTTGAAACATTAAGATCCTTCAATCCGTTCAAAAGTTATAATATTTTAAAGATGCAGAAATGTTCGCTCGAAATTTCATGCGTATGGTTAAAACATTATAACTTCTGAACGGATTGAAGGATGTTAATGTTTCAAGTTGCAAACAACGCGTGTTTCGACGGAGAATATGTAGAAATGCTTTATATATTCCTATAAGTATTTCATTATCGAAATAATGATTCTTTAATTTTATGTTGGGGGACAATTCGTTAACAATTGGTGTATCAAAATTGCACAGATGTCGCTCGGTCACTCGTGAGGGTCAGTGCTCCTAGGATATAAGAGCCCCCTGAGGCGTTCATCGGGGAGTTATCTCCCAACCACCAAGCAAGACGGACCGTTTCGAGATGAAGAATTTAATTGAAGATTTCCATTCAATCAAAATCGAAGATGGCCAAAGATGATGGTTCACGAGCAGCGGCCAAAGGACAAAACCGGTCTTTTTAAAGACCAAGAAAATCTCATTTGTGGGAACCACTAAACTGAACAACTTTTCTATTTAACAACTCAGAGACTTTTTACATCTCTGTTTTGGTACAACTTTTCTATTTAACAACTCAGAGACTTTTTACATCTCTGTTTTGGAACAACTTATGTAATAAAACTGAACATGGTATATTTTTGCCTATATAGGCGAAAAATATGCAAATACAAATTGAATTTATTGAATTGATATTATGTAAACGTTCTTTGCTATAAGATCAAAAAATTATTATTTGAAATAGTAGAACAATTAGAAAATAAATCGTTTGAAAATAATTTCGAAAGTCTTACTTGATAAACTATATTCAAACGATTTATTTCCAAAGTATTGTTTTATGTCAAACATGATCAGGGGGTCTTGAAACGTGTATTTACGCGTCAATTTTTCATTCAATATGGGCTTTGCTTATATATTTGTGTCTATATAACTTGAATTTAAATTCAAATGGTAATGAAAAATCAATGACGCATGTTTGTACATTATTTTTTAATCCTGGACTCGTTAATGGTACTTCTCTAAGATTAGATAGGGACAGTAATGGGGAAGAAAATTTAGTGTCAGTGCCTTCTGGTTCGTAACATTTAAGCTTTTTATTACAGTCTCTCATCATGTATTTCATAAAACCTCTCCATCTATTCGTTCCTGATTGCAGAAATGCATATATAACTCTAATAATTTTTAAACTTATTACATTGCTCAATGGATAGGAATAATCCTCTATTTGTACAGGACAAATATATAAATGTCGAACCAACAAATCCATAAAATATGCAGGATAATTGCCCATAAGAAATTCATCTACAAACAAATTAGGTACATTAGCTAGTGCATTATTGGTAGCAGATTCTGACCCCTTTAAGCATGTCTAATATTTCAACTTCGTCTTCTTCCTCTTCTTCTTCTTCTTCTTCGGATGATTCAAAGTCTCCATTTTTATCAGTTTCTTCTATGTACATTAGACTATTAACATCTTCATCAAATTAAAAAATTCTGTTTATGGAATGTGTTGTGGCACGAGCTGCATATTCCTGTGAAAACCCCAATGGAAGTAACCAAGTATTTCTGTAGATGCATTTGTATAGCCATTTATATTAATTTCTATTATGCTTAATATTTATTGTCTTACGGTTTTAGGTGATCTACATAGTATTCCAATGACTGCTCTGTCCAAGGTGTAAAATCCGCTCAACCATTGTAAAGTTGCTTGTATACAATACTGTCGATTACTATACCTTTTTCTTGTTATTCGTCGTAACTTTAAATAACGAAAGAAGTTTCTAAATGTACCACGTTTTACATAATCATTGCCTAGTAATATTGCAGCTAATGGCAGTGTAGATTGACTTAAACCTCTATAAGAATTTAATAAGTGTTCAACTTTATAAATTTTACAACGTTTCGTGTAACCATTTCCAGTTGAACTTTTCACCGTGTAATTGTCCAATGTATCAAATGGTATGTGCAATGTCTCAAACACATAAAAATCTGAATCATAACTCAATAGAGGACAATTCAATATCCTTGCTACAGTAGCTATAGCATTAACAGCTTCGAATAACTTTAACAAATCGTCAAAAAAATCCGATACTCGTTGAGCGTATTTATCGTAATCACCGACAAAAACACAATTGCACTTGTACGAAATATATATTTGACAGCTAAATAACTAAATACCTATCACGTAGCTCGAAATATTCCAAATAACGATCTGAACGATTGTTTATGAAAGTTGTTAAACCTGGAATACCCATTTTGAAACCTATTTATTAATTTACACTTTTCTTAATGTTTCATATCACAAACTAAGTTCGTTATGCGTATATCAATATTAGTTATTATGCATTTATACATAGGTTGCATGTAACAGGTACTTACACAAATTTTGTGTCTTTCGTTGTTTTATTTGAATCAATAGTTTGTTAAATATTATACTTTGACTACTTGGATAAATCAAAGAAATACAAGAGCTGTGCATAATGTTTTTGCATTGATCTTTACGATATTACAAACCGGTATAATAAAAAATAAAATTAGATAGTATACTGATCTTGCATAATTAAGTGCATTGACGGGCGACAATACTAACGACGAATTTCCTTCCTATACATATAGGCAAATATACCATGTTCAGTTTTATTGCATAACTTGTGCCATAACAGAGATGTAAAGTGTCTCTGAGTTGTTAAATATAAAAGTGGTTACAAAACAGAGATGTAAAGTGTCTCTGAGTTGTTAAATATAAAAGTTGTTACAAAACAGAGATGTAAAGTGTCTGTGTATTGTTAAATATAAAAGTTGTTACAAAACAGATATGTAAAGTGTCTCTGAATTGTTAAATATAAAACTTGTTACAAAACAGAGATGTAAAGTGTCTCTGAGTTGTTAAATATAAAACTTGTTCAGTTTTGGTGTTCAGTTTTGGTGTTGTTCCCAAATATGAGATTTTCTTGGTCTTTAAAAAGACCGGTTTGTCCCTTGGCCGCTGCTCGTGAACCATCTTCTTGGCCGCCATCTTCGATTTTGATTGAATGGAAATCTTCGATTAAATTCTTCATTTCGATACGGTCCGTCTTGCTTGGTGGTTGAGGGATATCTGCCGCGGGCCCGCCAGGGGGCACGGTTTTTATAGAACTTCTTGAAGCCGGAAGACTGCTGACTGGCTGCTGATTGGCTCGTTGATTCTTTGGCTTGACTGCATAAAAGCGGGCACAACTGACCGACTCTTTTCAGTACTCCTGGAACCGCCGGGGGTACTGTCACGCGTTTTTCTTTCTGTTTCAGATTCTCTGATTCTGCGATGCTGACTAGGAAGGATCACCGATTGGTATACATATAATTATATTAATATAACTAATCCCAATATTGTTTTTTTCATTTATATATATATATAGGTGATGTAATATTTGGGGTGTTCGTCTCGTTAATTAATACATTTATTTTTCTTTCAGCTTTTATCTGTATTACATCGTTGGTTTGTTATTTTCCAAATGATTCTATTTTATCTTCCATCTTGCACATCGTTGGTTTCTTCTTTTTCTCATTGTTACATTCTTTATTTTACTTCGTTGGGTTGTTCTCTTCAAAATTACTCTATTATTCACCGTGTACATCGTTGGTTTGTTTTTTTTCTAATAATTCGTTTTTCCTTATCTTACTTCGTTGGGTTGTTCCAATTCATTATTCCATACAATTTGTTTTTCATTATTTATCTAGGTTATAATTTTTGTTTTTCATGTATAACTATTAATTTTTATTTTAGTTTTTTACCAGATCAATTTCTAGGAGGAGGAGGAGATCAATAGATGACGTCGGCCGTATCGTAAACGTAAGCCGATTAATTTTAAGGCGCGGCGCGAATGTAAAAATTAACGTCGAATATTTCTTTTTCCTTTTATCTCATTCCTATGTTTATTTCAATTCCCGTTTTAATCTCATTAATTCCACCTACGACGTTAATTTTCAATTTACATTGTATATTATTTTATTTAATGCGTAGATTGCCAAGTAATGAATTAATTAATAGCTTATTTTCCAGTCTCGTTTCCCCGTTTCTAGCTCCGGTCACCGCTGCTTTGATGTAAAAAGCAAGTGATCGGCCGTTTAGATGGTTCGAAGGGTCGGTTGCCGTCCTCTGGTGAGACAATTCTAGGGAAAGAGTCATCGGCCGTAGAGGGGACCTGTTCCTGTCTGCGGTAGCCCCGACTCAGGATCTCTCTCCTGTGTAAGACGTCCCGGGTTGGGTCCTACGGGCTCCCAGCAGGACGCGTTGAGAGAAATGGGGAACCCGTGTCTGGTGCGTCGATTCTCCTCCCCTTCAATTGGACTTGCTAAGAGGTAACGAGCTGCCCCTTTTGACCCGCTATTCGGTACGTGTCGCACCTCATGTTCCTACTGCACTGCGCAGTATTGTGTCGCGTTTCGTCGTGTCGCGTCTCCCACAATTTACCTTCCTCCTTTGTTTTAGAAAAAGTAATTACTTGGCATCTGCGTAATCTAGTTTCTAAGTGTGTAAAAAGGAAGGTCGATCGAACTTTGTTCCATCGATCTCACTTTGGGTCTCCACTCGCAGCAACCTCCTCGTGGTGAGACCTGGTAATCGGTGTTACCTTTGAAGAACAACTTCTTCATTATGGGTAACACCGAGCTAATGGCTGCGAATTTAAAACAATTTAAATTTGATTTTTAATCGAAATCAAAATGAAATGTTGTCTAATACTTTTTTCTAGGTATTCATGAGCTCTACTTCCAGAAAAAATTCAGAAAAAGTTCAAGAGCAAGAAGGAAAAGCTCCCGTTCACGTTCTTTATGAAGTGCTGACCTGGCGTAACATGTGGCTAGTGCGGTAGGATATGTTTGTTTCTCCACCATTCCGTTAAACGCTAAGGAAATTCGTCGTTACTAGTGTCGACGTTAATTATACCAAATCTGACCATACCGACCACCACAATACTAAAATTTATAAAATAATATTGCTAGTATAATGAGAGTCGGGCAAATTTTATTTACGAATAGCAAATATAAATTTTAGATTTATTAGTTAACCTGTTTTTACACATTTCTTCGCTTGCCTGGATATTGATTTAAATAAGCCGTGAATGGATTCAAATTTAGAAATAAAACGTAAAGGGAAATTAATTTACGAATAAATTACAAATTTTTATTAATTATTTACGAATAAAATTTGGCAAACTTTGAGTATAACGTAACGTAACTTACAAGAGTTTCATTTTCAGTGAATGTATCTCATTTTACAAGTAAGCATAATACATTTGCTATATAGAATTTAGTGCAAAACATTCCTGTATGTATAAATTGTACGTAAATAATTTGATTAGAGAAGTAAAATTTTCTTGGACGCTATCATATCGATTGACATAATTTCTATCTTTCAACAAATTATTTTATTTTTAACAGAAACATAATATGAGAATAAAATCTTAAGTTATACAAAAACAATTGTAAATTATAAATATAAGGGTTGCCGGAATTATTTAGATACTTTGTATATTGTTGTAATGGGAAGGATGTTAGATAAAGAAAGGAGCACATATTAACATAATTTAGCATTTTCCATTGCATTTTATAAAATGTTTACATGGGGAAATATTTACAAAAATATGAGAAGGGTATGATGAAGTGTAGAAGACAGGAAAAAAGGATGAACAATATATTTTTTATGAACGCTTCAATTCAGGGTACCCCGACATTGAGGAGCTCCACATAGGCAAGGAATTTTGTCATCCTCCAATGGAAATTTATAATCATACGTAATTTCCTCGTTAACTCCTATTGGTTGTTTACTATAGATTACAATTTTCTTTTGGCTTTCGATCGTAATTACTTTTGCATAACAATTTGGCTGAAAAAATAGGAGAAAGAATGAATCGTTTTACTAAAATAACATTACGTATGTCTATTTACTTGAAACCCGAATAGGTAAAAATGGAGTAACGCTGAAAGATATAAATTTTATTATAATACTCACATTGCAGCTATGATTAATAAATCGTGCTAAATTGCCACACTTGGTTGCATCAATAATTGTATCTAAATCAATACGGAAAAGATAAGAACTACCGATACCGGTAGCTTCGTATTGAGATTCTCTTAAATCAGCAACAACTGGCCTAACCATTTGGCCAACATATTCAATGACCATTTCGTCGGCTGCAATTGGTTCCATAGCAAATAAACCCCAATCGTGAATACCAGATTTAGCAAATTTCAACTGTTTTTTTCTGAACTGTAAGGATAAAAGAACAAGATAAAATATTTATAAGCGTATACTTAAATATATTGCAGTATTGGCGAGTGAATGAAATAATTTAAATCTTACTTTCAATTGATTGAATTTAAGAAGATCGCTGTCAGTGTCAATACCGAAAGCTGTTAATAATCGACGTTGATTACTTCGGGCTTCGCGAGACAGAGCTTGCATTTTACCAGTTAACGCTTTAGAATTGTTTTTGGGACCATTTATTGTTCCATCACCTCCGGCATAAGGACCATTACTATCTTCGACATCGTTACTGCGTTGTATACTTTGCGCGTAATGATGCTATAAGAAACAGTTCGAAACGAAAATATACAATATATCCATTGAGAATGTATAATTAAAAAAGAATTTAGTTAACGTAAAGAATATTATACCTTGTGTTTAGCTTTTTCTCGTACATCAACTTTATAATATCCTTCTGTTCTTGCACTTCCACTGGTGTGTAATCTAAGTTCATCCCTTTTTCTTCGTTTCGCAGGGCTTGGAATATCCGTGGCAGGGTGATCGACCCAATGCGTATCGTTTAGCCAATAACCTTGGCTATCATCCGCTAATAAAGCTTCGTAACTTCGTCTTAAATATTCCACGTCTTCTGCGTCTATACCTCTAGTTAAAAATTCGTACAAAATAGCCATTTCTGACATAAGATCACGTTCTTTGTACGTGACCGTTGGTTCTTGAACAACTTGTTGAGAGTATTTTTCATAAACGAATTCATTTTGAATATTTTCCTTCTCCCCTTCATGATTTTGATGACTATGTATTTTCGTGTATTTATTATATTTCCGCTTTTCTACTTTGTGGGTCTTATCTTTGCTCTTTGCCAATTTTATAATTTTCGAAGATTTAATTTTCACGGGTTTTATTTGTGCCGGCGGCGCGCGAACTACAAATTCTGTTATTTCTGGTTGCGATGGCGGTAATGAATAAGAATGTTCCATGTAAACTTGCGAAGCTTGCGAACCGGGCGAGCTCGGACTTTGTTGACCATTTAATCGAAGATCAGCTTCAGCTTGGTACCTAATAAATGCAAAATAATTAAAGTAACTTCCTGTACCTTTTACATAATTACAAGATAATATGATTTTACAAACCTTAATCTTCTGATTTCTAAGCTCTCCTCCTCGGAATCGGTAGTAGGTATTTCGCTAAACATTTCAATCTTTTCCGATTCTTTCAATATGGGCTCGTCGTTGATGTACTTGGCAGACATAGTTTGCAGAGCTCTGATAATATTTGGTTGTAAAGGTCCCGGACTCCTATGTCTTATAATATTATCTTGTCCAGCCAATGTTATTAAAGCTTCTGCTGCAGAATTCTCCATTTTTTGCATGTCACGAGGCTCTTGTTTTACCGGTACTACCGAAGCAAACGTACTCTTTACATCACTTTCTGTTTCGTCCTGCACATTTTTCACTTTCACGTCTACACTAATTGTTCTAGGTTTTTCAAAATGTTCATCATTGACAGAATTTTTGTTTGCCTTTCCAACGTCTTCTTTGTCACTCTCGTATCTTAGCGGAGACGACACAGAATTAGCTTCATTTTCGAATTGCGAAAATTCATTTGAATTCACGTCTTTTATTTTAATATTCGGTATTGGCGTTTCTCTACCAGTTGGAGTTGGACAATCTAGCGACCTTTGTATCGCAAGTTCCGTTAAAATATCGGGATCTTCGCTATTGCAAGCCAAGGGACGTTGATCCGACATACGACTGTCCGTGTCTTGCTAAAAATAAAAGATTATTTTTATGTATTGCATACGGTATATTAATGGAAGAAGATATTCGGAATGAATCTAATGTATACCTCGTCTTCAAAATTGCCAGAACATACTTCTTCGTCGGAACTATCGTTCGAACTGCTGGAAGATTCGATGCAACTCATCTCGTCGCTACTGCTATCGTTTGACGATGACGATGAAGACGACGAAGAAATACTTGGAAGAGAAGTGATCGGCCTTTTAACCTTTTGTACCGATGTTAAGTCAAGGTCGCTATCGCTTTCTATGATCTCAGTGTCGCCATGATCAGACTGACGGCTATCTTCGTCTTGCGGCAATGGGCTAGGAGCTTTATTTTTGCGCTACAATATAAATTATTAACGTACGTTGATAAAAATATTAGGAAAAATAATGGTACATCGTAGAAAAATTACCCTGAAAGAAGGCATCTTTGGCATACTAGCTCTAATTCCCAAACCAAATCCATCGTAATTAAATCCAAGCGGAGTTGTCTGCTCCAAAAGCAGTGATATTCCTTGAGGTTTCGAGCCTTCCTCTTTATTACCGTTATTATTAACAATGGTATTATATCCTCCTTGATTTTGACTTTTCTCAGATTTCTTTTCGTCCCACCAAACTTCAAACAGTTTGAACGCAGTATTCTCAATCATTTTCTTATTAAAGTCCTTTTTCAAAATTTGCTTTAATTCATTTACAACTCTGTTCAATACTCCGTTAATAGTAGGACCCTAAATTTTTAACAGTTATTCGATAACTCCGATGTAGCATTTATACATGTATCTAAAAACAGAAACGTATATACCTGTGGATTATCTTTCGTAATATTGTGATTAGCCATGGCGTGAAGTCGCGATTGAAAAGATGGATAATAATTAGCCCCTTGATGATTTCCTACTGCTCCGGAAAATGATGTAGTATTAGGTTGGTAATGACTCTGTAAGTATGTTGTTCCGTAAGGATATGGATATTGTGCTGGTCGTGGCCAATGGTACATATCACTGTTGGGATAATGGGTTAGATGTCCAGGATAACCAGCTCCTGGATATAACTGACTCGTAGGTTCCGTTTGAGCTATAACCTGTGCATTTTATTTGTAAAACACACTTCATACTTGTAATAATATGAAATTAGAATTCTTATTAATATAATCACCTCCTCGATTTTCTCATCTCCTGAACTTAACGGACTTAATGACATTCTATCATCGTCGGGCGGAGGCGGAGGCGGTGGCTCTTTTGGTGGTTCTGGTTCAATATCGTCCGGTGCAGGGCTATAACTTCCCAATAACGCTTCGTCTTCGCTCGAACTTATGACGCTACCTAATTCTTCGTCAACGGAAAACTGATTGAGGCTATTCTCATGTATTTTCCAACGTTCCTTATTCCTCTCCCTCATTTTCTCGAAGCACGATTTGTACGTTTCATGAGACAGAAAAGGACTCGGTGGTTCCGAAAGCATTTCGTTGTCTGCATTCGCAGACTTTTTTTCATCCTCGGAATCGCTACCAAACTGCAAGAACGGCGGTGCCATTCCTCCGGCTTTATCTTTCAATAACATAGCAATTCTTGTATCCAAGTCTAACGTTTTACGCGTCTCTATCGGCGAATCGCCCGACGAGATTTTTGTAATGCTTTGATTCTCCTTCTCTTTTTCTTTTTTAGGTGTGTGATGCATTTTTACATTAGAAGCCTTCGTAATCGGAATTATGTTAGAATTAGGATTATCTATGTTAGTTCCGTGTTGTACAGGCCACATAGAGGACGATGCGTAACCTGTTGACCCTGTATTGTTCCCCCACCATATACTTGAATTCTGTTGAATCGAGAGATTTTGCGTTACATTTTGGGGCATATTTGCTAAATAATTATTCGGTGGTTGATGATGATAGCTGCTATAATAAAAATCATAATTTGTGGCTGGAGTAGAATTTTGAGAATAATTGTTAGAATAATTTAATTCACTGGGCGCAGTACCATAGCCTAAATCGCTTCCAGTACTGCCACTAGGAGTAGGGTAATCTCTATATTTGCTGTATCTTGAGTTTTCTACGTACGTATCTCTCGATTTCTCTATATTCGACACCATTTTTTTATTACTTCTGAAATCGTCCCGTTCTTCGGTAATAATTTTTTCAATCGGTGTTTGTTTCTCTTGATCATTTTCAGATTTAATCTCCTTTTCGATTTTCTTCTCTGCCTTCTTTTCTACGGTCAATTCATCATAGATCTTTTTACACTCTTCACCGAATGCGTCGAGGAACACTCTTAAGACTTTGCCCATCACAGACGTATTGTTTAATTTTTCTACGCATGCTTTTGAAGCTTTCGTACTTTCAAATACAACTCTCGCGATACCGAGATGTTTGTTGGTTAAAGGATGATAATAAACGATAAGTTCTTCTACAACTCCAAATTTTTGAACCATATCCGTTAAAAAAGTTTTATCTATATTATCATTTAAATGACAAAACGTTACTTCGAGCGGTGGTGGTTCGCCGCAATAATTAGAGTCAATTTTGAATCTAGGTACAGGCAAGTCAAGTTGTTCCAAACGAGTCCAAATTCTTGTTAACTGCGATCTGGGATCTCGTGGTTGAACTTCAGGATAAGTCGGATCTCCTGGGACCATTCCATCGTATCTGTATAACTTTGTTGCACCTTTGACTAAAAACGGATCAACTAGCAGCTTGTAATTTCTTGGTTTCTGAGACGTTTGTACAGCAGCTGTGTCTTTCTGTATGTGTGTTGCATGGGTGTGGCTATGTTTCGACGATTGATTTGAGTTCTGAGATGCGCTTTGTAAATTTCCATGTGAATGACGATGACGATGCGAATGCGCATGTGAGTGTCCATGTCCATGCCCATGTCTCTCCATTCCGTTCATTGCCTCCAAGCATCATCCATTCATGTAAACTGCTATAACAGATATAAATAAAATTCAGTGATAAGATAATCTTACCATTATAAAATGTATTTCATTGTATAAATGTTTTATTTTAATATACCTTGTATTAAATGAGTCATGGTAACGTATTACAATTAATATTAAAATACCTGTACATTATTTACATAAGACACTGATTTCAAAATATGAAATAAAACTAAAGAAATGTCTACATCCAACATTAATGACACGCTTAAAGCAGTACAAGAAAAATTAATTACATTTTTCAATATCAAAAATTTTGTCGGTTGTCTCCTCATTTTGGAAAACTAATTAAAATTAATACAAATTGATTGCATTATTATGTACAAGTTGATCTGTAATTATAATATATAATTCTAATACATAGAGTAAAGAAACTATAAAACAGTTTTAAAATAAATGTTAGAAACAAACAAATTAACAAAAGGTAACGGAACAAATCCATAGAGGTCTTTTAACAGAAAATATACAAAACCTATACCATATCGATGCAAAGAATATTTTCTGTTATAAAAAAAAATGTGATATATAATAAAAAAAAAACCTGTTTTCATTTTTAACTTACATCCAGTTTGTTCTTCTTGTCCAAATAAGTTGGTTTGTTTGTTAATGCAAGAAATTCATGTTTTAACGAAACATAACCTCAAACATTTCAGAGTTTTCAGGTTGAACTTTTATTCGAAAAAACGAAGCAGTAACCATTTCTTGAAAAGAATTCCTTGTAACATGTTCTTTATATTAATTATTTTGTATAAACTCCGATAAAGTAGAAGTTTTTCTTATGGAAAACACAGCCTTTAAGTATTTATACAAAACGTTCCGGTTTTTTCAAAAATCTGTAATTTTTCAATTTATTCCTATAATATTATATTCACTATATGGACGTCATTCGCATATCAGCCTTGTAACTTGATTCCATTTTATTCTTCGTTGAAAATATAGAGGTTTATTTGCTATTAACTCTCGGACACACCAGCGCAAAACTACCTGAATGTTTGACTGCCAGCACAACGCACTGCGCCCTGAATTTCCTAATACTTATCGAGTATTAATTACTAGTATAAACAACGGTACGCCAAGAAATTAATTTAGTGAAACTTATTTCACTTTAGCTTAGTACGTAGAATGTGGTGACTGAATTTTAACAACTTCATAGCTTTGATAAAATACACGAACACATTCGGATGACGCCATCCTTGTTATAAAGACCATGACGGTTCTTTTGACCATTTTACCAAACAAATTCTACGAACATTTTGAACGAAGACAGATAGTTTTTTTATCCGCGATACGAAACGCATAATATTTTTTCGAAATATTGTTATCCTAAAATGCGCCAAAGAAAAGTCCAATTAGGCGGCTGAACCAAGTATGCCTTTAACATGTTTTTTTCGTTTTCTGATCTGTCCTGACTCACAAATTTCGATAGCGTCGAAATAATAGTTGAACGTTGCATCTTCTGCTGGCATTCTCTATATTTACCAATAGTCTGCAAAGGTAATTAATGTCTAACGGCGGTATCGCAAAATAATTGCTGAATATGTTACTCGTACAACGAGTAATATTTAATCCATGCATTGGTCGGCTTCGATCTAAGAGAATTTTCAGACACTCCGTTGTCAAATCAACTTTCTGCCTTTAAAGAAAATAGCGCGTCAATGTGCGCATACATATAGCGATAAACAAAACTATTAACGAATTGCATTCATTTAAATAAAATTCATAACAATACAATAATTATGCTGATATATACTTTATTTTAATATAACATTTTATACATATTCGTTTACATATTTATTACTACAGAACTTGCTCTTTAAATCTCGATTAAAGTATCAGTTAAAATTTATTTTCCTTTTAGAAACTCTTCTATTTTTATCTATAATAATTTATATCAAGATATTGCGTATGATAATGACTATAAAGTGTAGTAGTTGCTATAACGTACATCGTATGGATCAAATACATATATAAAGTGTTGCAAGTTGTTTTTTGGCCATTTTAAAGATTTTTATTTGCTAGAAGACTTGGAAATACTGAAATCAAACAGGCGTACTATTGTTGCGAAAATGTTCCAGTTACAAGCGCATATTTGTAAATAGAATCAAAATAGCTTGGAATATTTGTTCTACAAACGTATTTGTAGAATAAATTTCAATTTTTCGCCTTGACTCTACGATTATACAGGGGAAAAAAGAAATGGTTCAAGTAAATGATATTTGATTTGATAAGATCTATCCAAATGACAAAAGAATAATACTAAGCTTTATTAAAAAGAATCTAGAGGGCCTTCCTTTTTCCCCCAAATAGTCGCCCCCAAAAGAATTTGTTGCACACATGGATTGACCAACCTGGGTACCATTTAATTAAAATTTTTAAAAATGGAATCGATATCTTCATTAGTTTCTCAGAAATCAGCTTTTAACGGTTTATTTGGACTATGTGGTGTATGTACATAGGTGGATATTGAATCTATCGCAAGGCGTAGTCTTTCGATTGGCGGACTATCAACTAACGTTTCCACTATCGTTCCACCAATCTGTTTGGTTCACCGATTTAAGGTAGTTCAACAGAAAAGTCATCAATAATCGTCAAACCTTTTAAACTGATAGGAAACGTATATGATAAATACGTATCGTTTTATAGTCGTTTTATCGGAAAGTTTTGTGATATATTCGTTCGTGTTAATTATTTCTTTTCCACCTTTGTTATTTTCAGTTAGTGTATATTTAATCAATGACGTTACTTTTATTGAATTAAACAGAAATATATTCTTAAATATTTTATATTGTCTTTTATACAATAAATATCTATCGAATAAGGTCGATATGTGTATCGATGTATGATCTTGAGTTTTGAGTTTGGCCAATAGATGGAACTAAGGTATAGTTTCTTTTATCTACACGGTTTACGGTAAGATGGAATGGGATATATTAATCTAATATTATCGAAGTAATCTTTTGTTGTATTAGAACAAATGTTATATATTTTATTAGATTTTACATATTTCATAATTCTTCTTTAAGAAGAACATCATATTTTTGGTCAATGTTATAATTTCGTTCAATTTCTGGAACTCAAAACTTTAAGAGGTTAAAATTTGACATTTCGTTTTTCTCCTTAATAACTTCGATATATATTTTTTAAATTGTACGTCGTAATGGAATTTTGTAAAATGCTAACCAAGTTTCTTATTTATTTCTGTAAATTTCTTTATAATTTACGTTTAAGTTAATGAAAATGTAACATAACCTTTACGAAACATGGTAAACATACTTAGTAAGGGATTATGACAATGGAATACATAACTTCAGAATTTTAGTAGCAATATACAATAAGTCTATATGATTATTCTATAAAATAAATATTGAAATTAATGTCAAATATCTAATTATCATTTCATTTATTTGTAGTTGTATCGTAATTGATTCAGTTTATATTTATTATACAGATGACCGATACAAAGAAAGCAATGGATACAAAAGTAAATTCTCCGGAGAAGGCAGATGCTTCTTCGGACAAAAAAGGTGGAAAAAAGGGTCGAATCAGGCCACGAAATTACGATTTAGGAAATGGTGTTTACAGATTTAGTCGTACCAGTATGTTCCATAAGAAAGCCATTTACAAATTTCTTAATAAGAAAACTCCAAAAACTGTATGTTACGTAACATTATGTATGATGTTCGGTGTTATTCTTATTTATGTGTAATTTATATATATATTATATATGTAAATGTTTAATAACAGGTTAAACCTAAGAAGCCAGTAACCGTAGAAAAGAAAATCAGTGGCGACAAAAATGGAGAAAAACGAATCGTACTATTAAAAAAAAGGCGTGCTAATTATCCTACCGCAGATCCTGTGACTATACATCATGCTAAGAAGTGTTTTCGCGATCACCGTCGTTATTTGAGGCCTTCTTTGAAACCAGGGACTATTTGTGTCTTACTTGCTGGAGCTCATAAAGGAAAACGAGTTGTACTTTTAAAGCAACTTAAAAGCGGTTTGCTTCTAGTTACAGGTGGGTTGCGTAAACTCACAATTACTAAATATTATCGTCTGATGGAAACGCAAAACTAAATACGAATGTTTTAAAAACAGGTCCGTTTTTGATCAATGGTTGCCCTCTCCGAAGAGTTAGTCAAAACTATGTGATTGCTACGTCGACGAGTATTAATCTTTCGGGTTTAAAACTTCCGCCTCACGTAAATGATGATTATTTCAAAAGGAAACGCGAGAAACGTGCAAAGAAGGAGGAAGGTGATATCTTCACTAAGAAGAAGGACGATTACAAAGCGAGTGACCAGAGAAAAACTGATCAGAAAGTAGTGGACAAATTTGTCATTTCCGTTATTAAGAAGAACAAAGAGAGGAAAACACTATTTGCTTACTTGTCAGCAATGTTTGGATTAAGAAGCAGTCAATATCCACACAGATTAAAGTTCTAATTTTCTGTGATTTGAATCTAAATATATAATAAATACAGAAATTTTGAATATAATTTATTTTATTACATTACCAATAGGTATGTTACAATAATTCCCAACAATTTTTAAGGTGTAATTCCGCAAACAGATGTATAATTACTTGTTCTTTAATCTCGCTGGGATTAAGTACACGATGGATTACGCGTTAAACAGATACCTGATGTACTCGATGCCAATAAGAACATGCCACTTTAATACTATTTAACATGTTTACGACAGGCTGAACGTGTTAATCGAAGATAATAATTATTTAAACAAATAGTATTTTTATAAATACATTAATATTTCTTATTATCAACGTTATCCATTCAGACTGGAACACGACTTAGCGTTTCGAACTAAGATTATTTTAAGAGAAATAATAATTATTTCGTATTTAACATTAGAATGTTGTCAAGCGTCGACACTATAATATTAAACTCTAAAAGTTAATAATCTAATTACAAGAAAAAAGTAATTAGTAAATAATCAAGTTGCGTTTCAATATATCAAAATGGCGGGATTTAAGTTCTCTCTGTCTTTGTCGCATACTACTGCTCTTTCTTTCTAATCTCGTTCGTCGAGCTCTTCCTATTCTGTAATTCTAATAATTTTTAGCAGTTCGAGTCTCGATTCATAGATAGTGTGGTGGTATTTTATGGGGCCTTATAGATATTTTAAATGCCCGCTAAAAACTAAAAACAATGTCCAAATTATTGAGAAAAGTAATGAATGAATGTTTTTATAGGTCCGATCGTTTTAAAAAATCACTGATAAATGATAACTATATACATATATATCTGGACAATATATATTAAACGCTACATCTATTTTATATCTTTTCTGCAATATTTGGCTCTCTTCGTTTCTTTTTAATAGTCAAAATATGACTAAATAGGTAGTATAATGTGTTTTATTATACAAAAGGTTTTTTCATCATTTTTCTTAATTACTATAGGTATAGATATAAAAAATAAAAGGTGGTGGTATGTTTTAGTTGTGTCAAGGTTTGTTAAATAATATTTAATTAGTGTTTGGATAGATCCCATATGTGTAAATGCGCATGCGTATTACAACCTGTACGTCAAATACGAGAGCGTCGAATAACATCAGTTTATGTATTATGACATTGTAATAGGTAATATTTATCACACAAGAATGTGCACGTATCTTCGTATATTCTTTTTTAATTTAATCTAGTCGGACTTCAGTTTCCGAGCAGTTACCCCACTGCATAGATCTAAATAGGCTAGTGTAAATAGGTATTTATTAACAAATGTATTGTGTTCTGAACGTATATGACATACTATTCTCAAATGTCTTCTCCTAAAACTACCGAATATTCAGGCAATTACCAACGCTTTAGCGATGATGCAAACCAATCACCCGAACAAGACATTTCGCATCGATCATGTCAAAGTAAGCTGAATCAATTATAACGATACTGTTTAATATCATTCTTCCGTTTAGTGACAACTTTATAATGAAATCTGAGCATTGTTACGAACACATAATTACTCCTCCTCAAATAATTTATTTTATAGTAATTATTAAATTACAAGTTGATTTTAATTCCGTATATTTTATAATTAATGTACTAACTTTTGTCTTCCTTCTGAATGTTTATTATACATACATATATAAAGTATTATAAAATTCTACAAAAGTATATATTTATTACAATACATGTACTAAATGTAAATGAAAGTTGGATTATTTATTGTTTATTTTCATTTTAGAATATGGATCTATGTTATCGTGTTCTTCTCCAGAGAACCACATAAATTCACCCATAGAAAATAACCAGACAAGTCAGTTTCCTGACAAATTTGAAACGGACGAAGCTGAAAAAGAAAACATGACTGATAATGCTGTACTTCCGTTGCATAATTTTCTTTTGGATCATGATTTATATTGGGAAATGAATTACCATAAAGCTGCAATATTTTTAGAGGTATCTATGATCGATAATTTTGTTTAACAATAATACTTATAATGATATTGTTGCGACGGACTGAAGTGCCTTCCATTTACCAGAAGAACCGGCAACTATTTAATAGATTATCAGAGCTCTGTTAAATAAAATTTCTTGTTCGTTAGTTTGTGTTCTTAGTTTTGTGTTTATTAGTTGCGTGTTATAATGAATTCTACAAGAAACACCCGGTCCCGGCGCAACAATATTTATAACATAGGACTTTGTATGCTAATAATTACTTTTTAAACGTAAAATAAATGTTTCAAAGGAACTGTTTATTATAGGAAGGCAGAAACAATGAAAAATTTGAGTCTCATCCAAAACATCCGGAAGATTTACCAGCATATCTCTTAGTTCATAATAATTGGTATTATGGATTAGATTTATTGACTTCTCTCATACTTTTAGCTTTGGCTCTTGTGGAAGAACCAGCAGTACCATTATTTGGCGTAAGTTCTTTGTAAGATAATAGTTTCTTATTGTAACGTTATAGTTTATATATTTTATCTCAGATACCAGTGTGGGCGCACGGATCGATAGAACTTTTTGCTTTAATGATCATAGGCATTGAATTAGCTTTAAAATTAAGATGGATCGGCTGGTCGACTATGTTAAAACACAAACGGACAGTGTTAAAGGTAAGAAGCAATTTTTAAAAATTTTGTTTCGTCGAAATAATTACTTTCTTTGACCGAAATAAAATTACAGCGATTGGGCAATATCGTGACATATTTGTCTCCCGTGGAATTTTAATTAATTTGAATGTAAATATTTAATACGCATCATTTATCGACTCTTCTTTTGCAAAATTATGTATATCCATGAATTATTGTATATTATATGCAACGCATAAATTTTTGTTACAGTGCGTTACATTGGCCATCATGTTTTTAGAAGCAATGACAGTCTTAGTGCGGCAGTCGTCACATTTTCGCGTAACGCGTGCTCTAAGACCTATCTTTTTAGTTGATACAAAGTGTTTCGGAGGCGTAAGAAGATTTATAAGGCAAATACTTTTGACGTTGCCTCCGATTGTGGACATGTTAGGCCTGCTTTTATTTTTCATTATACTTTATACAGTATTGGGCTATTATATGTTTTACGAAATGAATAGAAACTTTTGTACATTGCAAGATAGTTTTGTAAGTCTTTTTGTTCTTCTTACCACTGCTAAGTAAGTACTGCAAATGTATATAAAACATTTGTGTATGTCCGTTATGATACAGACAGTAATTATTCATGAATCTTTTTTATATGATCAAGTAATCGTTTTATTTGCTTCAGTGACAAACTGTACTATGATTTTTCTACTCTTCATTCTCACAAAATTTGCTAAATTGTATAATCGTCTTACAAAAGCTATTCTACACAATTCTACAATTATATACTAATCAAATCATAGAATAGCGAGACAATAAAACAAACCACAACAATATTTATTATAATTTTTCAACACAGAATTACTTGCAAATAATTAAGACTCTTTGAATAAAACTACGTGTTTACGTGTTTGCAATAAAAGTATTTTGATTTTAGTAACAACTTTACTGTTTAGTTTTCCAGATGTGATGATGCCGTCATATTCGAAAAACAAGTGGTACGCAATATATTTTGTATCTTACTTATCCACAATGTTATACGTGATGATGAATTTGATGTTGGCAGTTGTAAACGAAACGTTTACAGCAGCTGAACGTGACAAGTTTAAAAAACTGTTTCTACATAAAAGGAAAGCATGTCAGCATGCCTTTCAGTTATTAGTTTCAAAGCAAAATGCTGATAAAATGCGATTCCGTCAATTCGAAGGGCTGATGCGATACTATGCCCCTAATAAAAGTATGTAAATTTGAATGAATATAATACGTTCGTATAAAATTATCCCGGTCTTAAAAGTAAACAAAATTTCTGTACTATGTATAAAATATTTTTTACAGGTATACGAGATATAGTTTTAATGTTTCGATATTTGAATGCCTCTGGAACCGGATTATTAAGTGCAGATGAGTTTTTGAATATTTATGATACAATAGAGCTACAGTGGGAACCACAATATTCTACTGTACCTTGGTATCATAGCAAATCAAAACCTTTACAGATTCTCTGCACAGGAGCTCATGCTGCTATTAGATGGACATATTTTGAAACTCTGATGTGTATGTTTAAAGGATCGATTCGTACAGAATCAACTTGTGGTCGATTATATTTGGTAAAGATTATGAATTTTTTTAGACATAACAATAATTGCAAATGGTATCGCTATGATAATAAGGATACTACAGCCGAGCAATAGTCTTTACAGCGCGTGTTTGTTCGCAGCATCTTGGGATACTTTTCTTTTGGGAGGAAGTAAGTAGAGACAAGTGTTTATAAAAGTATTGTATAGTATTATAGTAATTGTAATACTCTTTACGTTTATAGTATTTGTTAGCGAAGCATTGATAAAAGTATTGGGCCTTGGTACAAGATGGTATCTTAGTTCTGGATGGAACCTTTTCGATTTAGGCACATCCGTAATGACCCTTGTTTCCGCGTGCATCATACGTCTCTTTCCGTCAGCAACATTCTTTGTTTTATTCAGACCACTTCGACTATTGAGATTATTTAAAATGAAAAAGAGATATCGAGATGTATTTGGTACCCTGGTTATTTTAACCCCTTTGATGTCGTCTACCGCAGTGGTTATGCTTGTTTTATATTATTTTTTCGCGATTATTGGAATGGAATTGTTCGCCGGATACAACATGCGAAATTGCTGCAAGTATGTATAAACATAATTATTTTTTTTTTTGTATACAAATTAACGTAATTTTTTAAACTGTCCATCACACGACAAAATTATTTAACAGAAATACAACGGTCGAGGATTTTTACAAATATTCGGTCAATGAAAGTACAACATTAGGATATTACTATCTTAATACATTCGACAATCTAATTGCCAGTGGTATGACTCTGTTTGAATTAACAGTTGTTAATAATTGGTTTATATTAATGAACGCGTATGCATTTACTGTTGGCACGTACACAAGGATATATTTTATGACATTTTATCTGGTGACAATGATTGTGTTAACGATCGTGGTGTCCAGTTTTTTGGAAGCATTTCGATTTAGAATACACTACAAGAAATCAACATCCAAACGAGACGGTGATTATAAATTACGTGTGATATAAACTATGAATTTTTATTATCCTTTTGTTATTTAATTGAATGGACAAAAAATTTGTTCCCCTTAAATTTTCGACAATATTCACGTGTTCTATATTTGTTTATAGAAGAAAGAATGCTTCACGAAGAAGTGGAGTTAAGATGGGACGAGTTGCAATGTATAATAGAAGATTTTCAACTTCTGGAAAAATTACGACCGTCGCTCATAGTTGGTGTAAGTTTGTACAAAAATGTAAGACATGTTTTTTTTATTAAGCATTGTAATCGTGTAAATATATTACAGGGTACTACTGTTTTTACTGGATCACGACCTCGAACTCGAGATGTTTTACAGAGGAAAATGTATACAAGCGAAATAAACGAATGGATCGTGGAAGCTAAAGAAGCTGAAAAACACTGTTTATCAAATCCTGTATATAATTCAAAAGAAACTTGTACGGAAGATAGAACTTCTGAACCAGAACGTCTTAGATCAAGCGTGAGTTTACGATCAATACACTATAATACATCTAATGTTGTGTAGTTATCAACAATAATAAATAAAATGTACGATCAATAATTCTGATGTATATATCTTTACAATGTGATGACTTAAGAAATGTTAATATGTAAAATTAACAAGTAATTATATACAAAGTAAAATCTTTTAAATTGCAAATATACTAAATAGAGAAAAAAATGACGCGTTTAATTGGGTTTGATTTTAATTTATAGCAATTGCATAACACTACGGTGCCATGACTTTTCCCTTTATACAGGAAATACATATATTCATCAGAAATCGTGGTAATACAAAGTATAATACAAATTAATCGAATCAATCCGATGTTTCACTATTCAGAAGCAATAGTGCCAAACATCGGAGATCGTTGCTCCTGAGGTAAATAAATAATAAAATGTACAATTTATTATACTTTCAGAAGGTTTAAAGCTTTTTCGAAAGATATTAATTAGTGGCAATTGTCCGAGTACCACATATATTTATGACTTATTCGATTTCATCCGTAGAAAGTATTTTCCTGTTTTATTTTTGCTCTTGTATGGCTGATTTAATTGGTCTCGAAATTCTGCTTCCAATCTTGTATAAGTACCACCTGTTTTAAACAGTATTAATTGTAACGAAAAATACAAACGCGAATATATTGATCGATAAAGTAATAAATATAAAATAATACCGCTAGGTTGGTTCCTTTTCCAACTGTATTTATTCGATGAGTTTGCTAATAAAGAAGAATCCGCGGATACTATTTTCATTAGCAGCGCTGTCATTTGAGATGCCGTTTTTTCTTCAAACTCTCGTTGATTATCTTGATTGTGTCTTACTTTTAAATCGTTGCTCCAAGATCGACCATTGTTTCTGTAAAACATCAAACATTGCATCGATAATTACGAGATACTTAATAAATTTAACTGACAATAGAGTAATGTAAATTTTTCAATACGATCTTCATTACTTCCATGTGATTTGATTTTTTAATTTTTTCTTGATCTTATTTTTTGATCTTAAAGTAGACCACGCATTAGATTCTTCGCTATTATACGATTCATCGATACTACTATTTTCGTCGATCATAACACCATCATCTTCGTCGCTATCCGTGACGGTGGATGTGTTCGACGAAGTATCAGTTACAACGGAAACTTCATGAATCTTTTGTAATGCTCTTTGTAAATCTTGTATTTGAGTTGATCGTCGAAATCCTGACCCGCTCCATATCTTTCCTAAATAACGGGCAATTCGATAATTATAAATCAAACGTTATGCAAGGAATTATTAAAATCAAATATTATATATTTGACATTGATTCACCTAGAAGTCCAAGTTTTGACCGTTGTGGTGCAAGATCTATACCAACCCACCACATTATATCTTTACATGTTAACTTTCCTGATTGAAACGATGCGTCACAAGCTACTAATCTAGTAATCCTTTCCGGGAAAAATAATTGCGGTGGTTCCATCGCTATTATTTCTCTATGTATAGTAAAAATGTTTAATATAGATACATCATTTTGTGTTCTGACGTCTGGAATGTGTTCCTAAATAAATCACAATGGTTAATTACTACTTCTATAGGTACGACTGAATATATATTATGTTATGTTGCGTTAGGTAATTAGCTAGATATTTCTCTCCTGTCTCGCAATGACGTTTCACTCATACACACTATCTGCAGACTGTACCTGTACCTCGTATCTTCCTATCACTCTTTCACCCTTTAACTCCTTCTCCTTTCATACCTGCTTTCTTTCATTCTTTCACACTCGAAGCATAAGTCCTGATCAATTTTACATATTTCATGCAATTGATAATTAAGTATGTAAAAACAATACTATTTCCCAATAGATGGTGTAAATATAAATAGCTACCTTATACCTACATCCTTCACGATTTGGTAGTACTTCAAATCTATAAGCTCGTTGGCTACAACATGGATATCTGCCTAAGGGAAACGGTGTAGGTCTTTGTTGTTCGTTAATAAAAAATTGTGGAAGTTCTGCGTGATTACAGCACCAATCGATTTGATGAATCGGAAAATATATATTGCACTGTGTACAGAATAAAAAATGACAATCACCCCATAATCTCCAATAGACTTTACGCCAAGAACGTAATTCCGTACGGAGAGTAATAATATAATCGTTTAACGTCCATGATAAATCTCTAGATAACATACGACTTATTGTAATCATAAGGTATTATGGTGGTAAATCTAAACCATGTAATTGTACCTTGTATGTTTACTGCGAATACGTCCGTGATTATCAATTATCATTGCACTCGCTATACACGGTACATGCTTGGAGACTGATTGAATTATGCTTTTCCCGCACCTGCTACATTTAAATAACGTGGCCAAAGAACTGTAATGCCCCTTTTTATTGTCCGGCATTACTTCCGCAAGCGACATTATCAATTTGCAGTACAATTTACTTTGAATTTTGTCTTTTTTGTCCTTTAATAATTCCACATCCTCGTTTGTAAATCGCTCTACCAATCTGTAATCAGAGACAAGGTACAAAATTAAATTTCAGTACAAACGTGGACAAAGTAAAATACCTCGTAAGAAGATTGTCGTCTAAACATGTTAAAATTGTTGATGTTTTCAGTATATTGGACATGTTAGCATGACAATATTGTAGACAGTTCTCCAAAAGCGGCTCCATTTGTAAAAAGGAAGCGGATACCATTATTGGAATAACGTTATTAGGTTCCAAAGTTGGCCATTCAGATTTCTTTATAATATCCTTTTTTACCCATCTCATTAGCCAATCGAAAATTACAATATCACAGTGAACGGATATGTCTATTTCTTCTAATTTTTGACCCGCCGTTATATCAGCAAAGTATCGCATTTTTTTAATAAGCAGCTCTTGAGGGCAATGAAAATTTTTTTTAACATTCTTCTCCTCGTCGCATACGTGGATTTCCACTTCGTTTCTGTGTAGAATGTATTATTAATAATTCTATAAATACTATATGTTACTTTAAATTTTAAATAATATTAAGCATAAAAGTACCTACTCCAATGTTTTTTTATTCATTTTATTTTTACCACTTTCTTTATGCGTTATATTAGCAATTACTTTTGTTTCTATATTGTTACTCAATGAATTACATTTTTTAATTTCAGTATTCGTGATAGATTTTTTAATAACCGGTTGTGATATTGTAGATTTTGGAATCACGTATGGTAAAACTGAATCCAATAAACCTTCGTGCAATATATCGCTTAAATTTGTTTTCATTAACGTTATCAAAAGATTTTCTGCTCTATCCGATGTTCTTTCTTCCTTTGTATTTTCTATATTTTCTGTAATTTCATTATACTTCTGTTCATTCGAAGCTGCGATAGCTTTCATGGAACTTTTAACATTAATGTTGTTCTTTCCGAATAACATTTTATCCACTGCATCGACACCTATATTTTGATCCATAATACAACTCTCCATGCATATTTCGTTGGTCGTGTTATGGTTCTGCGATTCAAAACATACATTAATTTTTGCCAATTTACTCCAATCAAGTTTACTGTCTGTGGTCAATATTGTAGTTAAATTTTCACAATTATCGCTAACTTGATACGCAACTTTCATGAATTCAAAAAACATTCCATCCGTTAACTTTGGATACTTGTAATCTTGAAGTTTATGTAGTATCTCTGATAATTCTAAAGCACATATTTCCTGTTATTTTATATAATCTAATTATTCTATGCAAAGAGAACAATAAATATATGAAAATATAATAAAATAACAGTGCGTTAAAAAAAGATGTTACGTTGTGAAATACATATACAAATTGATTTGCAATATAATACCTTTTGCAGATGTTGTATCTAATGCCCCTAACAATTTATGTACATGTTTTGTTAAGGAAAGATCATAAATTTGGTTTATTTCCATTTCTGTCGACAAAGAAATATACTCATTATGTTTGATGTGTACAAGCTAAGATAAAACTACAACAATTATTTATTTACAATAAATGTAAATTTTCTGATCATAGTATTTAAGTACATATACATATGTGTACACATACTTAACACAAGTGAGCTACGATTTTAATTTTAACGCGAAGATTTACGTCTATTGCTCGCAAGTTAGACAAACAGGTTCATAATATTGACAAAACAATTGCATCTCTTCGCAAGTTTATTCGTTCTATAAAGTAATAAATACCTTGAATCGATATAATGGATAATCAATCAATAATATTTCTATATTATAAATTAAAACAATACTAATGTAAAAGTTACTAAAATCAATTAGTATTTATTATTTGATAATATAAAGGGTGTTCGGTCACCCCTGGGAACAAAATTGTAATGGGAGATTCTAGAGGCCAAATTAGAACGAAAATCAAGAATACCAATTTGTTGATGGAGGCTTTATTAAAAAGTTATTAACATTTAAAGTTTCGCTCGTACTGAATTTTTTCCTCGAAAATGCGTAGGATTTCGAGGGTACGTGTATTCACCAAAACTGCTTGTAATTGACCCCCGCAACAGAAAATAATTTTCCCAAAACGATTTGAAATTTTTTAATTTTGTCGAAAAATTCGTCCCACTTCCTGAATTTTTTTCTCGAAAATGGGCAGGATTTCGGGGGTATGTCTATTGACCAAAAATGATTGTAATTGACCCCTGTAACTAAAAATAATTTTTTCAAAACGATTTGAAAATTTTCGAGATTTTTCATGGCAAAGATAAATGTTTACAAGTATAAAATATTTTTAAATCGAATTGATAATTTAATAATAGGTGGACTATCATTTAAATAATTATACAACTGCAAAAAAGAGATTCCAAAATGTTTAATGAGAATACACAATCGGCTTGAACAATATAAAGTTAACAAAGTACGTTAAAAATAAACAATAATGGTTCACTTTGATTTTACAATATACAAAATCGATTTGAAACGGATTCGAAATGCAAGTACTTGTAAAATATAGTTATAAACTTGCAAAATTTTTGGCATAATATCGTTTTACATAAGTTGTTCTTATTATCATTTATATACAAATTGACGCAAAATTACAAACATAATTTCACTTACATCGTACGTAAATTGTACCTATTTAATATTAATATAACGTGATTACTGAACAATGTTATGTTTTGATTGATATATTTTACGTTATCAAAAAAAGATACTATACTTAACCCTTTCGTTTCCATGATAGATTACGAGTTTAGATTTATTGAATACAACATCGCCGTTGCTTGGATTTTTAAATCCTTTTAGTTTTGTATAAACGGCGATACCATACATTTAAACGTGTTATCATTAATTCGAGTTTTGAGGCTTTCGCGGCCGATGTTAATGTTAGTATTCATAATACTAGTATTACCATTAATTGTTAAGATCAGAGCTCTGTAACTATTTTCCGAGAAGAGCCGAATGATACAATTTTTTAGCTTTGCAAGCGAAAATGTAACGTCAAGGAAATTATCTACATATTTGCGTATAAGATAGAGAGCAAAATTTATAGAATTTTTATTTTAAAAATATGAAAATGTAATTAAATTCAGCGAACATATCCAAATTCTTAACAATACACAAAAAGTAGATTCATCTACTATTAACATTTCTGTAATTGTCAATGATAAAAGGGTTAAATATAAGAATGTTATCTAGTTGGCAGGAAACATGTTACAAAATCGACGCTCCTATTTCTCGTTTCTCTAAGAAAAATAGCACAATATTATTTGCAAAATTAAATATAAATAATGTCCGCGTGCTCGCGAACGTTTTAATTTATTTAACATTTTCATATATTTTAAATTTATCGAGTAACTTATCACATCCTTCTCAAACGATTGTTGTTCCTTAACTTAGAAATAAATTGTCCTTCAAGTTTTCCAATCTTTCTGTACTTACAGTTCTTACATTATTCAAATATGTATCATCTAATAACGTAAAGTTTCGCTTATCGTCTAAGTTAATCATGCTATAGCTTTTGCCTTTACTATCCGCTAACAAATTCCTTTTCTCGAACATTGATAGCAACGGTAGTTCTTTAACGCTCGATGGCTTTTTCGTTGGTTTCTTAACAACAGAACAGATATTGGAATCATCGGTTATCTGTTTGCGCATGGAGTTCTCACTTAATAAAGTCATTACGCGTTTTAATTCTATCGACGAACTGGCACTAGTAGATAAAACGTACGTTGAATTAGACCTAAGCGATTTTTCTAACGATACTGACTCTTCCCTCGCTTGAGAGTTTAACTTGCTACGAGTATTCGATTGTGCAGAATGAACGTTTTTTGTGGCATTTAGGCCATTGCTACGAGCATCGTTCATAGTATATAACTCTTTCTTATATTTTGAACTTGTTACTTGTTTATCAAATTCAAGATTATCAGTCTTAATATTTAAACTACCACAAAAATTTTGACATTTTTCTACAGAACCGGTATCACGAGTCGATGAAAAATTAATATCGCTGTTACTTTGAGATTTATTATTAAAGGAAAATTTAGTGACATTATTTGGCACATATTTTGTAGGAGTATCCAGTTTATCAAGTGTCAATTGTAAATCGAATTCCCCCGGTTTTGTAGGACTATTCCTCAAGGATTTTGACATGTTATTTCTAAAATCAATTTTACATTTATTTAATACTAATGAATCGCAATTTTGATTAATCGCTCTGTTTGATTCTTCGACAGGTGTCGTTGAAGACACGTTCGTTTGAACATTTTTCAATTTTTGAAACTGGTTCAAATTATGTACAGAAAATTGTTCGTTTGGCAAAAAATTACAACTTAATTCCGGCGTGAAATTATTTGATTTAAAATTCACTTCGTCGTAGAAACGTAAATTGGATATACTTCCGCTTTTACTGTCATGATCGTGCATAGAATTTTTAGGCGGTACATTGTTGAGATTTTCTATGTTAACTTGCATTTCTAACTCCCACTGAGAAGATGTTGCTTCACTTCCATCGACTGACCTTTTCCCCAGATGTTCATTATCTTCTTGTAATTGATAAGTATTCTGTAACACCATAAATAATTAACAGTATTTTATTATTAAAACAAGAATTACAAAGTAGTTTACTAACATTATACTCTTGAATTCTATCGTATTCGTTAAGTTGAGCGGTTGTAACGTTCTTTATCCTATTGCTATTTAACTGATTAAATTCTGTGTCATAATTTAAGGTTTTCTGTGGACTAACTAGTTCTGCGCCAACGCCTGGTTCTCGAGGCCCATTAGTTATAAAATCTAAAAACGAAAAAGTATAATTCATGTATCATAAATTATTTTTAATTAAACAGATGTAACTGTAAATTATCGTCTAGTAAAAATACCATAATCTCGACGCTGTTGATGTATTTGATTACTAATTTCTTCTAGTCTGCGGAGACTCGTGGCATAATTAGATTTTGCATCTTGTATTGCTTTTTGTAAACATTCAACTCTTTCTTTTTGCGTTGCCAACATTTGATCACATTGAGCTTTAATTTCGAAATATGGTCGAGCCTTTATTATCGAACGACGATGTTTCTCTTCTAATTCTAATAATCTTTTCTCAGCATTGTGGAACAGCACTGCCCTTCTATAATGTTCTCTACCGCATTCTGTTTTTTGATTTTCAGCGTCCATCACCTAGAATGCGGGTATATTAGTTAACAATGATTTTTTTTTCAAGCTAAGAATGAAAGTACTTTGTTTCTTTACTTACTTTAATAGTTGCATGGTTTAACATATCCTGCCATGCCTGATCAAAATTCCATTCGTGCTGATGAGATATAAAACGACTTTCGGCCAAGCTTACGGTTTCCTTTGCCGCTGCATGAATTTCGCTTGCCCTTTGAAACAATTGAGCTTGCTGTTGACATCGTACCTACAAAAATAATTGTATGTAACCATTTTTTGAGATTTGTAAATGCATAGAAAATCTTACCTGAGCTTGACGGGCCACTTCAAGTGCCTCGTAATAACATCTTGCTTTATCAACACAATTATTTCCTACCTTATTTAAAACTTCCTTTAACCGTTTTGTAGTCTCAGATAACAATTGTCTGAAAGCAGTGTGAGCTTCCTAAATAATTAATGATTTATATTGTATTAATTCAGTAAGGTACATTATTCAATTAATATTAACTTTAATTACAAAAAAAATACAAGTATAATATAACTTACATCTAATTCGGTTTCAAGTTTGTTTATATCATCCGTAGCATCGTTCAAGTTCTCCAATTCTATCTAAAAGAAAAAATTTCATTGTATAATTTTTAACAATGAAAACATAATTTAATAAACGTAATAAACGAAAAACATTTATTTTTGTTTTAACAAAAGACAAACCATAATTGAACAATCTTAAAACTACAAAATATTAATTATTATGTCAAGCTATAAACTATCAACTTTAAATATTTATTCAAGTATTTAATTTAGTTATCGAATTACTTGTACATGTTCGATTTATGTATCGTTTCTACAAAGTGAAAATTTACGAAAGAAAATAAGTGAAAGCAAAGACCATAATACCAGGCTACGTTAGACATTACGATCACGTTCAGTGATTACATTTATTTATGTATATAACCTATTACAACTACGCATTTCTTACAATTGTACGCTTTCAAATATGATAAATATGGTAAATAGAAAAAGTGTCACCAAAGATGATTACCTGTATGCTTGGATCTAAAGATCCATCAGCATTATCCGTACCGTCCATGCTACGATTTCTGACATTTAATCGAAGTTAACTCATTATCACAAATGTCAACCTATTGTGAGGTTATTATGTGCATATATAGATATATGCACAATTCAATGATGACAAGTATAAGCAAAGAATAGCTGTGCTATATAATGGTACTAAGAGACGAAATCCCTTACTTAGAGAGAGATGAAACGATACAGCCGATTTAAATGTCCATTCGGCAATAATCGGTGAACATCGGTAGAATTGAAATATTTAAATGTTATTTATTTTGTATACTTCTAAATGTATTTTAAAAACTATCGAATATTCTAAAAGTATTTTCTGCTTGTTAATCCTCTAAATAGAAGATAGAATAAGAATCATTCATTATACCGTTACAGTCTATGTCTAATGTAATATTTGGTCCACGGATTATACATTGAATTTCTGTTTACCGACTTGTATAACAAAATAAATAATTTTTATGATTTGTAAAACTTCAGGCCCTTAGGAAATTGCCTAAGTTTGTTTTTTGCCTAAATCCAACACTGTTTAGACATATTAGTGCCTATTCTTATACATTTTATTTGAACTAGAGTTTCTATTTATCTGTTATTATCGAAGTTTTTATTATAAAATTTTCATTTAAATCATTTCAACGAATCTTATCGAAAATATTCCGTGAATATTTTGTCCCTTAAAATTACGTCACTGGTTTCGGTGAGGCCGCGCATGCGCATGAAAGACCGGTCAGTGGCCCATTTCAGTAACCGACAATCAAAACTGTCGGCGACTGTATCGTAACACAGCGTATGGTATCTTTGCATTCATTTTTAAATATGGAATATATATACCGAGTACCGTTCTCTGTGTTGGAAGTGCCTAACTTAAAATTAAAAAAGCCATCATGGTTTACAAAACCTAGCGCTATGGTTGTTTTTTCATTCATACTTTTATCATATTTTCTAGTAACAGGAGGTTAGGATTACGTGGATCGTTGAATGCTTTATAACTTTTCTTTCATTTATAGAGAATTACTTACGATTAATTAATCTTTTAAAGGTATAATATATGACGTAATTGTGGAACCACCTAGCGTAGGTTCAACGTCCGACGAACATGGTCATACACGTCCTGTAAGTAAATATACATGGAATAACTTTGTATTAATATTTAACAATTTCTCCAATATCACATTTGTTTATTGCAGGTGGCATTCATGTCGTATCGTGTGAACGGTCAATATATCATGGAAGGATTAGCATCTAGTTTTCTTTTTACTTTAGGTGGAATTGGGTTTATAGTATTAGATCAGACGCATAGTCCGTCGACCCCTAAGCTTAACAGAATTCTTCTAATATGCGTTGGATTTATTAGCGTCATTGTATCATTTATTACCTGTTGGATTTTCATGAGGATGAAATTACCGTAAGATTTTTATTATTTTTACAATGATAAGAGATAGAGGGCTAATTGTATTCTTTAACATGAAATTAATTAATTTATTTTCAGGGGATACCTGCAATCATAAAATTAACATGGCTGAAAGTTACGTGAATTGAAATTTAACACTTTTTGTGTATGTAAAATATACCATGTCCGAGAAAAGCAAATTGCAGTTTGTGTTACTTTATTGTTTATCAGAGTATGTTAAAAAGAATATGATTCACAAATGATATTATTATGAATATATTTTTTAAATACATCTTAGAAAATACAGAATTGTTGTAAGTTTGTAGAAATGTCTTTCCTTGTACAGAGAATTTTTTGAGAGTGTGCATTTTTCAGATAATTAGATATACTACATATGTTCATGGCGTGGTCATAGGTAAAGTATTTATTGTATCTTGAATTCTCCACCCTTTCAAACAACATGCACATCTTAACTAATTACTCTCTTCCTGAGATTAATTTATGAACTTTTAAAAAATATGTAAATTAACGTAGAAAAGTTAATAATTTATTGATTAAAGCAGACATACAATCGTAAATATTCCGACATTCGATATTTGTTAATAACTTTTTAATTACAAGCGGAATGATTATAAAATATATCCTTTAATATCGCCAAGGGTCTGTGCTATATTATTAAATTCTAAAAGTTCATAATTTAATTACGAGAAAAGAGTAATTAGCGAATAATTAAGCTATGGGTCGATTAATCGAATTGGCGGGAAAATGTTCTTGTCGATCGTTGACCTTTTTTATTCCGAGATTCTGATACTTTTTAGTAGTTACGTAGGTGTGCAATGTATAAGATTTCGTTTAGTTCATTCTTTTCTAAGAAAAAAATTTATTTGATCTTTTTATATAAAATTTAAACGTGATCTGGCATAGTGTGCGAAAATGGAACGAAGAGCTTCTGGTGCATTCGGTGCCCGGTCTAGTAACACTGAATCTGAGAGCTTTAGTAATAACTGTAATCGGTTTTTACATTACAAGCCTAACGATCTGTCAGTCTGAACGCCGACTACAGTCAACTTTCATTACTATTGACAGAATCATTTGTGGTACGGGATATCTAATCTCTTCCTAAATCACACTCACTATTTCGCCACACCAAACTTACTCTACTTTCGTCAACATTGCTCCTAGTAAGTAACACGTCGATTTTATAATTTCTTGTTGAGAAACTACAAATGAAAAATTGAAAAAATAAATTCGCAAAAGTGCTCGTTAAGTCGTCTGAACAAGAAGAAAGTTACTCTGAAAAGTTAACCAGGCCAGTGTTACCAGATCGCGTATCAGGTCACTTCTCCAAGGGAAATGGTTACCAGGCTCTGCGTAATGCACCAGTATATGAACACTATCCAAACGGCCCGCACATCCAATATATAGAAATCAGTGGCCTAGGTATCTAGTAGGTCCTGTATATACATGCATGACAGATGTAGTAATCCTGTGTGTAGGCGTATGATATACGATAGAATTTCATTAAACATTTTCCAAGCATAAACGAAACGTCAAAGTTACTTTTAAAAGTTTTTGTACTAAAATGTTCGATCATCATTATCTGTTTTTTATTATTATTATGTGAAACGAATTACACAGAGGGGATATAAGATACTGTAAAGAAACGGACATGCAGTAATTTTTTACATCGCTTACTAGAAGAGTCGATACAATTGGTTTTATAATAATGGGTAAGTTTAAAATATACATGTTTTAAAAACTGTTTTACATGCATGCATTTCAGAAGATACTATGGAAGCACAAAAATGGCATCAACATTTATCTTTATTGAGGGAACAGTACGTTAATTTATATAATACAAACGCAGAACTTCAACGTGAATATGCTATTGTTACTGCTGATAAACAAGAGTCAGGATTTATTGGAAGACTCTTGGTAACAATAGCATCGTTGTACGGTCAACATCGCTACAGGTCTGTAATGTTTTGAAATAAATTGTTTGCAATCGTTAAATTGTAATTGATAAATTGTTTTGTTTTATAGTGACATAACTATTAAATTAATGAATCAAGAAATACCTGCTCATAAATTTATTTTGTCGGCTAGAACAGAATTTTTCAGCGATTCGACGCTCTCCGAAGTAACTACTCTAGGTAAAATAATAAAGGGTCGATAAGATATTTGTTTATACATAATTAAGTTCTAAGACACGTATTTGTAGATTGGACTTATTTGGACTCCAAAGTTGGATTAGTGTTACTAAAATGGATTTATACAGGAAAAGTATCTCAAGAGAATTTAACATTGGATCTAATGAAAGCAGCATCCAATTTTCAATTGTTAGAATTGGTCGAACAATGCGAGAAATATCTAATTGGAATCGTGGGACTCAAAGATTGCGTACAATTATATGCAGCTGCTGAAGAATTAGGGGTCCAAAAATTAAAAGAACATTGCAGTTCCTTGATTTCGGCGCATTGGGTAAGATAAAAACAATCTGTTGATTTCTTTTAGTACTAACTGTAAGATAATTTTATCGAAACTGTACATTTAGGAAGATTTAACTGGAGAAGATTTTAAGGAAATGCCTGGTACATTGTTGTACAAATTATTACAAACAAAAAGTAAATACCCATTACATGCTGCTGTTCGACTGATGAGAGAAGACGTGGTTTTTTTATATTTAGTGGAAAATAATTCAGGGGTAAGTTATAGATTTTAAGATGATATAAATTATATTTATTCTTACACTGTGGATATTACATTTAAAATGTGACATAACACGCGTATTAATATTTATATCGACAATTATATTTTGGTGATCTGATTTTATTGCTTTCCGCCTTTTAACAGATCAGACTTAAATACTTTTTCTCGTCACGAACGTGAACGTTAGATACTCGAAATTTTTTCAATTTTTTTTACAATTTGTAAATGTTCTGGTATGTTTGAGTACTATTTCAGTTTATTTATTTAAATATTTTTATATCACATGTTTATTATCCTTTTAAATTTTGACAATTTAATTTTACAATGCTTTGCTTACCATTTATATTCTATGCATAACTAGAAAGAAAAGTATTTTATAAAAATATCCTTATAAGACTAAAATTACTTAGAGTACAAATTTTATATCAGTGTTACGAATATCAACGTAGCTATTAATAGAAAAATGTGATACATGTTCGTCGTTTTAATTGATTTTGACGAATTGCATAAATGAAAACTACAAAAGCAATATTCTGGTGGACCTCCCGGAGCACCTCGGTCTTCGCCGATAAAACAATCTTCTTCATAAGCCGTTTTGTGAATTTCTTCTTTGTTTTGCCATTTCTTCTCTACTTTGCTATAGACGGGAAGTGTACTCTTTTGAGGTGCACAATCTCTTTCTACAGCCATGATTATAGACGCTGTCAAAGACACGGAATCAATAGTACTTCGATAATACATTAAGTATAATAATACTTCTTCTCATTTCTATGGTTTGAAATAAAATAAAAATTCACTTACTTTTGAATTTGTGGTAAATAGTTTTTTTCCTGCAAAGTGTCGACGAAGGACAGTACACTTGAAATCGTTGACTACCATCAAATTGCGAACATAGCAAATTATTTTCTTCGTGTACCGATGGCGACACAAGACATTTGAAGCATGAAATACCGTCTGCCGTTATCGGTATTATCGTATCTAAAACTATTAAATATTTTCATAATTTAAAGAAAACTGGCGAAAAATTCTATGCTAATTTTAACGTAGAATATAATAAATGGAAAATAAATGAATAAACTTTTGTATATAAAACACAAACATCCTAAATGTGTACATACACACAAAAATTGCAGCGATTGATACACTTTGTCTCAACTTTATTTGGAAAGTCATCTCGATTACATTTGAATTAAAATCGATTAATGGTAAATTATTTTATATTTATTTTAGAAGAAAATTTTTTTTAACATTATTTACGTCTGTTATTAGATAATCTTCGTGTATATTCTATTTAGTTTTTTTTAGTTACGGCTTAGTTTAATTCGTCGTCGTCGTTAGAAAATCCTGAAACAATTTAATTGATTAAAGATAAGATTATTCAACTTTACAAACTATACTTTTATAACTTGTATATAATTAATAAACATTTTTCTGTTAGATGCAAATTTATAATGATATAATTTGTACAATTTCTATATAACTTTTTGTACAGATAAAAAATTTAATCGAATATGTTAGTCATTTAGTTTATAAAATTGATATTTAAATATTTTATATTGAAATTTTAGTAAATAATAATTATATCGAAATTAATTATAACATTATCTTGAAGAAAAATATATTAGTGCTGAATCAATATTGTTTTTAAATAGACGATTACGAAAATATTAAAATTGGATTGTTAGTTGCAATAATTATTGTTACATAATATATAAATTTTAGTCGGTACATAGCTATTTTATTTCATATATTATTACAAGCATTAGTACATTAATGTAACGTTTTTTTAAATAAGAAGAAAAATGTTCACAAAGTCGATATATTTGAAAAAAGTGATTAATTTATTAAACAAATAATTACAAGATGCGAGGTACTCGACTTTTAATAAAAAAAAAAAAAGAAAGTAGACTTACAAATCTAAGGTATTTATGTACAGATATCAATGTTTGTATGTACAAAGAGACTCGCGGAGATTCGTAGTTAGGTGTTTAAAAATTATTTAAAGATATCGTAAAGAATTCTAAGACATTATTCGATTAATCACCGACACTCGTTCCCAATAACACTTTATTAACGTTCACTGCATGTCACATTGCAACATCAGAAATTTCTATTAATCGTTGGCTATTTTGCGACAGAATACACTTCCTTGGCCAGAAGCTGATTGTGGTTAGATGAATGTATCATGCGACACGTCATCCCCCTTCTGTCCTTTACAGCCACATTTTCCGTTATATCGAAACATAATCTTCGTGTTCCTTTCCGCTTACTTTTCTATACGGGCGTTTATGTTGTTTAACACTAAAAAAATGCAAGAACAGTTATATATATATACATACGTACGCGTGCATCCGCTGGGCGTATGCGCAATATATATTCCACCATAGAATCAAAATAGCGGTTCTCAACCTGTTTTTTAATACAGTTCTAGACAAATTTTTTTCGTGTAATTTAAATATCTGGTACGATATGCTATATTATGTGTGCACGAACGATGTGCATGGCATAATAAAATAAATAAATTGTTGCAACAAACATATATTTTTATCATTAAACAGAATTAAATATATTTTGTATTTGTTTCAGTTATCGAAGGCTGTTAATGCCCTTGATCAAAAAGGGGAAGTGCCTTTAGAAGTTGCTTTAAAAACACATCAACCATCGTTGGCTCGTATTTTGGTTGGACACGGGGCTGACTTAAGCGCAAAAGATTCGAGGGGTCTTTCTTTGCTCCAAGCTGCAATTTTCAAGGGAGATTCTTATTCGGCAGAGTTTATAATAGAGCAACTGGAAACTAGCGGTAATATACAACAGTTATGCGAGACTGTAAAGATCACAGGAAACGCACGGGACACAAAACATTTCGAGGAGTTGGAAGGATGCTCGGCTTTGCATTTGGTGGTAAAGCATAAAACAGAAAATATGTTAGCAATTGGATCTCAATTACTTCGCGCCGGTATCGATCCTAATTTGCAAAATAATAGAGGATGGTATAATTTCTTAGTAATTTCTATTCCACCGGAAATTGTTTTTAATACCTTTACTATCGCCACCTTTTACTTTGCAGGACTGCTTTGCATAGCTGTATCTGGGAAAAGAATGAAACTCTTTTTGATATTTTACTAGAATGTCCGAGCATAAACTTGGATAAAATTACTAACGAGAACGATACTCCGTTATGTATCGCGTTGAAAATAGAACCGTTCGTCGAATATTTTGCTACGAAACTTTTATCAAAGGGTGCAGCTCCTAATCCCATATACAAAAACACAGGGGACACTTTGCTCCACGTTTTGACCAGAGAATGCAAAGAAGAAGCGGCGTTATTTTTAATTGATCATTGCAAGGATAATTTAATGAAAAAAAATAACGACGGATGCTTGGTATTGCACGAGGCTTGTAAAGTTGGCTCGAGAAATTTAACTCAAGCTTTATTAAAGAATGATTTCCCGGTAGACGAAGTTACATTCTCTACCGGCGATGCACCAATACATTTTGCTGTATCAAATTTATATTTTGATATAGTAGTCGAATTATTAAATGCTCCCAATTCAAAGTCTCAAATAAATTTAAAAAATAACGATAACGAAACACCTTTGAGCTTAGCTATAAAAGCTCCGTTTAAGAAAGGTAAAGATATTGTTTTGGCTTTGATAAAAGCCGGAGCAAATATTAATCAATGTAACGAAGAAGGTCTGACATTATTGCATCAAGCAATATTGAAAGAGGATTCAGCAACGGCAATCTTTTTATTAGAAAACGGTGCAGGCATGAATGCTAGGTAAACAGAGTTACACGGAGTAAGAACGAAATCGTAGCACGATCGGACGAAAAGTAATTTTTTTATTCTCGTGAAAATTCATTTAAAAGGAACTTAAAAGAAACTGTAAACTTATTGTGTTGTCGTCTCTTCCGTTACCCGGTTGTGCTATGGTTTTTCCTTACTTTGTATAAACATAGTATTATCCTTGAAGAATCGCTTCTAAAATCCTGAATAATTGAGATCTTTTATTTGCTTAGGACTGCAAATGGAGAGACACCGTTGCAACTTTCTGTACATTGTAGACTGGGTGAAGTTGTAGAGGCTCTTTGTAAAAGAGGCGTAGATACTTCAGTGGGATGCCCATTGTGGGATGCGCTGGATTCAGACCAAGAGGATATAGCATCTATTCTAGTTAAGTATGGAGCCGATACTGATTGTTGGAGCCCTGGTCCAGACGGTTGTCAACAAACATTATTACATAGAGCAATCGATGATAACAAGGAAGATATTGCACAATTCCTTATAAGAAGGTATCCAATACATTTGGAATGCTAGATCGATTTATTTTTTGGGCTGCTCGTAGTCATAATTTATATTTCAGTGGATGTGACTTGAATGCACCAAGGAGACCTGGTCTAGATGGCGCAGGAGGCGACGAAGCAAAGGACGAATGTACCCCGTTGCATTTGTGCTGTCAATGGGGTCTGGAACAAGTTGTTCAGACACTTATAGAACATGGCGCTAATGTGAATGCTCGAGACGCTGAAGGGAAAACTCCGGTTCACGTGGCCATACAAAATCAACATTCACAAATTATTTCTTTGTTGCTTTGTCATCCCAGCATAGATTTAAATAAACGAGATAAGAAAGGTTTAACACCGTTTGCAACAGCCTTAACGTTTCGGAACAACAAAGCCGCTCAAGCAATATTGGAACGACTGCCCAAAGCTGCCGAACAATACGACAACAAAGGCAGAAACTTTTTACACACTGCCATACAAAAAATTGACATGGAAAGCATTTTGTTCCTGTTATCTATACAGGTGAACATTTTTAAGCGACATATTCCGAATTATGAGAATAAATACATTTTAAAACACTTGGAAAAAAGAGTCGAACGAACCGGAGGATTGTTATTTTTTTAGGTAGATGTGAATTCCCGAGTTCACGATGTGACGCAAACTCCACCGTTGCATCTCGCTGCAGTTTCTGGAAATGAAATATTAGTACGAAGTTTAATTTTGGCCGATGCGCGCGTTAACGATACGGACGCGAACAGAAATACTGCGTTACATGCTGCGGCAAAGGCCGGCCATGCTATGATTGTATCCGCTTTGCTACAGGTAATGTAAGACAATTTATATATTTGTACATAAGAATATTATTATAACAAATTAGTATCTCCATTATTAAAGAAATTTTGGTTTAGACAATTTTGAAAAAAAATAATAAGATTCATTTTTCATTTCTTGTAGAACAATATTAATTTCGATGCAGTAAATGCAGACGGTGACAATGCATTGCACGTAGCTGTAAGAGAAGGCCATGTGTCGGTTGTAAGAGCACTCCTGACTGAATGCACGCTGGACGCAGAAGCAGTGAATCTCAAAGGAAGAAATCCCCTACACGAATTAGCCAGATGCGGTAAAGATAACGCTGCAACTATCTGTGAACTTTTCTTGGAATGTATGTCACAATACCCAGTAAATAATGCAGGTAAAGAATAAGATATAAAAATATCTTATTAAAAGACACGCATATTTTTGTCGCCAAAATAAAATTGCGTCCAACTAGAATTTCAATTTCGATAATAATAAACTGAATTAAAATAAATATTCCGTTTAAGATTTAGAAGGTAACACTCCGTTACTGATCGCCTACATGAAAGGCAACGGCCAGCTTTGCCGTACATTGGTAAAGGCTGGCGCATGTTTGGGGTCCATGAACAAAGAAGGCATTACGATTTTTAACTATCAAGTAGCGACAAAGCAATTACTATACAGACTGCTGGATTCTTTGACTCAAGAGGCACCGTGGGCAGATAAAGACCTTTGTCTGGAGTGTGGTACAAAATTTTCTCTCACAATGCGAAAACATCATTGGTACAGAAATTATGAAATAATTATACAAAGATACGTATAAATGTATATAGGATTTATGTAAGACTAATTAGAAAAAATTTTTTTCTAGCCGCCACTGTGGTCGAATTTTGTGCAATAAATGTTCTGGTCAAGATGTTCCGATTGTAAAATTTGGATTGAATAAACCGGTACGTGTATGTGCAGTATGTTTTGATGTATTACAAGTAGGTGTTGAGTGAAAGAAACGTAAATAATAAAAATACATTCATATGTAAATAAAATAGATGTCATTCCATATGCATTTTTCATGAAAGATATACTGAGAGTCTTGTATAATTCTATATGAATTTTAGTATGTATATTTTACTGTATTATATGATTACTCTTGTTGAAAATTTGTTAAATTTATAGTTATTAAATTTTAAATACAGATAAAAATGAAGGAAAGTTGACGGAAATTAATACTAATTGATAAATTATCGTTTATTCCTAATGTTAATTGTACATCTATAATGCATGAAATTAATTTATGACACCTCTTAATATAGATCACCCACGTTTAATGAAAGTATGATCTTATTTGAGCTTGCTAAAAAGCGTTTCCGCGACACAGTGATCTACGCATTCTACATAATCGATTAATTCTTCGAGACATGTTTCTTGCGTTTCAGTCCTCGAATTGACACGGTCGTTACATGTGTCAAGTTTTTCTTTCATAGTATGGCATTTAGCTTTTATGGCACATTGTTCCTGTAAAAAAATAATTATTTATAATAATTATATATTGGAAAAAATGTTATAAATTTTCCATAAACATAACTGGTTAGTTCGAAATAATTAACTTTGCTATAATTTGTATTATTACTTAACTATTTATACTTAAAATTTATACTTCTAAACGATAATTTGTATCGAATTTAAAATTATAAATCGTTCGAATTACAACAAACATTTACAGTAATAAATGAGCTTTCTAAATGATAATAAGAAACCGGGTAAGCTACATTCTTCAAATTTTTCCTCGTTCATATCTTTGTATTTAAGAAAAGAATATAATATTAATTTTAACAATGGAATGCTAATATCTATGTAGAATTTTGTAAAAACAAATTTTGATTTATTACCAATGAGAATATTACATAACTATTTTTACTTACACGAAGAACTTTCTGAGGATCAACCAGCTCCTCGTCGTCTGCTTTCACAACTGGGATCAGATTGTTAAAGAAACTTTGCAAGAAAGACATATTATTGAAAATAGTGTTTACTTCGATTCGAAATTAATGGGAAATATTTAACGAGTTCCGACAGAGAAGTATAGACACGAAGAGGCGAGAAATGTCGGTTTCAATTGCTTGTTTCACAAATGTATCATACTTCATGCCATTCTTCTGTAAGTTTCTCCTGCCTTTAAGGCGCATTTTCACGAGTTCCACATTTGTGGCGGCTCACATTCCACTCGGAATGTTGGCGCCTAGGAATATTTCTAACCCTCTCTCTCTCTCTTTCTAGTCTCGTTTGTCAACCTCTTTCCAAAGATTTTCATTCAAACTAATTATTAATAAATAATTATTGGAGACGATACTTCTCTTAGTCGTTGCGTTAAAAATATCTGTGGTGTTACTTACCGTACTCGCCACTAGAGGGCTCGTTCGAGCGCTTGCGTGAGCTTGCTTTCGTTTCTATATAAAATACGTTTCATTGTCCTTGTTGCTTCGTGTTTACATCATGTCGGATGACCGTTCTTTAAAAACGTAGATGTACAAAAACAATTCTGTAAATTATTCTTCCATATATTTCGTCTGTTATTACATATCTTGAAATGTCAATATACAATCTATACGTCTATATTGCTTATAAAAGATTATCGTGTATATCCATTAAACGAATTTACTAACCCCATGACAAATAAATTTTCTTCGAAAGTACACACGGCTGAAGAGTAAGCTTCATTTGGTTGTTTTCACAAATTTTTATTACAAATATATGTTTGATTGTATCCTTTGATAGCTTGATATTAATAATACTATATGTCTAAAAATATATACATGTATATTATAATATGTATAAGGAGATATATAGATAAATGTAATAATAATTATGTTATTTTGTACTCTATGTTGTACTTTTACATTTCGACGAAGATTGAATCTGTACATTTATAATATTATTTGAAAAGGTTAAGGAAAGTAAAATATACATACTATGTTAGTCTGAAATTTACGTACAAGTGTTAATAAACTTTACAACAGCACGAGACACAGCCCAGAACTATCAATGTCCTATCAAAACTGGTCCACAAATTGTAAACAATAGTTTGTATTCTTTATCAATCAAGCTGCCCAACTTTCTATTTATTTATGTACACTGGAATAGAAAATAACAGAAAAAGAAATTATATTTAACAGTTTGCTAAAATTGTAAATCGCGTTGAAAGGCTGTCCACTATAAAATGCAAAAGTTTACAAAAAATGATCAGAGAAAGTCGAGTTTCAATTTGTGTTTAAAAAATACAGTAGCGTCCACATAAGTGACCGGATTTTTGCCCACATAAGTGACCAGAGTTATTTCCAACAATTCTTAGAAGCCAAGCGACTTCTAACGTCGAGCATGCCTGGGAAAAAATTTTAATGGGAGAGTCTAGAGGCCCGGAATAAGACGAAAATGAAGAATATCAATTTGTTGAGGCTTCGTTAAAAAATTAATTTAAAAAATTTCAAATCATTCACGGAAAAATTATTTTCGTTTACGGGAGTCAATTGCAACCATTTTTGGTCAATAGACGTACCCCCGAAATCCTACGCACTTTCGAGAAAAAAATTCGAGAAGATGTGAAATTTTTCGGCGAAATAAAAAATTTTCAAATCGTTATAAAAAAATTATTTTTAGTCGCAGGGGACAATTGCAATAATTTCTGGTCAATAGACATACCCCCGAAATCCTAAGCGCTTTCGAGAAAAAAAATTCTTTACCGAAAATATACTGTATGGCGGGAAATGTTCCCATAACTTTGTAACGATGCCTCAATTAACAAATTAGTATCCTCGATTTTCGTATTATTTTAGCCTCTAGAATCTCTCGATACGATGCCTCAATTAACAAATTAGTATCCTTGATTTTCGTATTATTTTAGCTTTTAGAATCTCCCGTTAAATCCCATTGAGTCATTCATGAGGGCGCCACTGTAACAGGAGCCAATGTTTCGATTGCACTTTGATTCACGCGATTAGAGTCGTAAACAGGGACTAGAATTGACCAGTGGAAACTAGATACGTAATTAATAATCACTAAGGTCGTGTCTCGTACAAGAATTGTCGATCGTTATGCTCGGATGGTACCAAAGAGTGAACAGGCGAGGATAACGTCGACGGCGAAGTAGCAACGCACGGAGTGTGATAATCGTAACGGTAATAAGCGAACGATTCCCATCGAGTAGGGTGCTGGGCATCGAAGGACGTGGTCGTCGTGACTGGCGCGCTGCTAGCGTAACAGCTTCTCTCGGGTACGTTCGGTACGTAGCTATATTGCGGCTCCAAAAGACTCTGCAAATATCGTATGTAGGTGATCGCGTGCCTCAGCGATTCGATCTTGGACAGTTTCTTCCCGGGCCGTTTGCAGATCGGCAGATTCGATCGTAGAAGCTCGTACGCGCGATTCATGTCCCGCATTCTCGTCCGTTCTCGATCGCAGGCCGATTTCTTGTAATCTGAAAACCAACCACCGACTCGATTAGAACATCGAAGGTGATGTTATTTTCATCTGAAAAATAATATCCAATGTTTTTTTCGATTCGTCAACGCTAGAACCACCAAAAGAAATTGAAACGACAGACACGCGAATAAATATATATAGTGCGATGGAAATAAGTGTTTATATATTCTCTTATAGAAAATTACGATAAATTTTTTACAAGTTTTGTTTGAAATTATGAATGGGTAATTTTGACTTTGGTAGTTCTAGTGTTGAGAAAACGTTGTAGGTTGTAAATAACGAGACAGCGATTTAGATTTATATACTAATATAATTGTAATCAATTCGGTGTTCGGTGTAACAGTCTTGGTAATTGCATACAATAGTATCGGTTGTAAATGATCGAATATATATATAGATCGATTCAGAGAAGAATTAAGAGCGATTTATAAGAAAGAAGAAAATTCAGATTCTTCTTTTCTATCTCTTCAATTATTCCGGTCCAATTTTCTCGCACTGTTCTACGAACTGCAACGGCTCCCAAAGGATTCTCTAAGTAATTCTTCTCTTTTGTGGGATTTTTTTTTTTAATTGAAAGTTTAAAGTCGCATCAAGTGCAAAGGTTATCAGCGACTATGTTAAGAATTGCGGGACGTTAGGGGTATGTGATTGGGTACTGTGCTGCCACAAGAGAGTCTTCATAGTTTATCAAGTAATCCGATTTTTCGTGATCTTAAGACCATCGAGAGCTGAGAATTCGAAAACGGAGGATCGCTACCTGTAATCGTCGTCGGATGCGTAACAAATACTCTGTGAATTGCAATTCCCCACTCCGTCTCTCGCGATCGGTGACACGATTCGTATCGGTATACTACAGAACGTGAAATTTTGTATTTTTTTATTTTTTTCCGCACCTTTTTCCGTTTGCGATGCTTCCCGTTGTACCGACTTAATGTTGGTTTCGTGAAGTATTTCTAAATGCGGATGAGTATTAATTACTTCCGGTTCGGGGACTCGGATCACAAACACTCGATCGCTATTTTCCTGGCGATCCTCGTAGCTCCCATCTTGCCACGTTCTCCTTATGGATTGTCGGCAAATTATTTCTAAATTCTCTGTAAATAAATATTCCGTAAAATGTGCATATCAGATCTGTTCAGCGAGTCTTGGTCTCTTAAATAAACTCGTAATTCGCGTACATTATATAAAATAAGTATCTGGAATTTGTAAATAAAACTCAAATTGCTTGCTTGATCATCGAAATTTATTTTGTCGCCATCAGGAGCAATGCGCATGCGCCAACGTTTCTCCCAGTCTTCAAAACACTTCTTAAACGCTGAAGAAGGTAGCGCCTTGTGCTCCTTCTGTGAATTTTCTTTTATGGCCTCTGTCGACTCAAAACGCCTTCCTCGAAGGGGTAATTTGAGTTTTGGAAATAAGAGAAAGTCAGAGGGGGCCATATCTGGCTTCTTCTTATTTCTTAAACTCAAATTACTCCTTCGAGGATGGCGTTTTGAGTCGATAGAGGCCATAAAAGAAAATTCGCAGAAGGCGCTACCTTCTTCAGCGTTTAAAAAGTGTTTTGAAGACTGGGAGAAGCGTTGGCGTATGTGCATTGCTTCTGATGGGGCCTAATTTGAATGATTAAGTAAGCAATTTGAGTTTTATTTACAAATTCCAGGTACTTATTGTACATAATGTTATGACACTTTGTTCTATCAACGAAACTCTAACTTTTGCCCGTGTTCATAAGCCTGGTCGACTCATAGAAGCCTAAACAGAGAAAATTCGGTACATTTAACAATTTTGCTTCGACGAAGGCGAAAATGCAAGCCAGTCAGCTGAAATTGCGAATGGCGTTTATGGTCCAGGTACACTGTCGCAGCCAATGTCGAAGTGATCGAAGCAGAGCGACGTGTTAGCAGTCGTAACACCGTCCAAGAGCTAGAGATCGACCAGAAAACAGTCTTAAACCATTTGCGTAAAGCTGGATTGAAAAAAAGAAGCTCGATGTTCGAGTTCGCCAAACGGAACGAAATCGAATGGCAACAAATTATAAAATAAAACGGTGCATATTTTGTCCAAGTTGCACAATCCGAACCATGTAAAATAAAGTCGTGAAACAAACGTGGGAACAATGGATTTCTTTTCCCCCCACCTAATATTAATTTCTGATGCTTTCAGTTTTATACTTGATAGCGAAGTCGTTGTTTCGTCTTATCCTTTTAGAGTAACATTGTTTCTAACGAGATAAATATACCTGATCCATTTCTGACTAATTGATCCTGCAAGTACTGGTTGACCGCCGGTAACTTGGACGGAGAACTTTCTTCCTGGCTCAGCACCTCTTGCTGTTGCTTAGAGTTTTTGTCTAAATCCAACAGTATCGGCGAGTGCGCGCAGTCCTCGTTATTGCTATCGTTTTCCGACTGAAAAACACCGTGTCACTCCTTTTTTTATTACGTTCATCGTAAGAACAAAAGACCCTAGTACTCATCATTAACCCTTTGCGCTCCGAATTATATTTCAATTTTGCTACCAGCAGCTCCCAACAGAAAACAAAGCAATTTGAACAAACAGAGGTGCAAACAAATTCAATTGAATATCTGTTTTATTTACGCTATTGTAGTATTTTGTAATTTCTAAGTGTACGATATCTCTTTGGTTTTGAACTTGGAAAGGGAGCTCCTGAGATAATAACTGACGACGAGTCGTACTCGACATAGGAGTGCAAAGGGTTAAATCTGCTAATCGTAAGAATCATCTTGCATAGCAAATTGTCCAGTTAAACGAAAGATAGATAATTACATTTGAGGGGAATCCCGTAGCCTCGCGGTTGCCAAATACAGTAACGAGCAAAACATTTTAACAAAAATAATTTTTTATTCGATATTTCCAAGACAAAATACTTAGTATTATCTGCAATTTTCTGGCTTTTCAAAACGAATTTAACATTTGCAATACCATTATTAGACAGAGGCTTCAAAGTTGTTGCATTTTGTTTCTTTTGTATTCCACGTGCAGCAAATATCGAATAGAAAATTAGTTTTGTTAAATTGACGTATGCATGATCAGTTTTGCTCCTTGCTGTACAATATGCGAACACTTGGGAACATTTGGTGAAGGTATTCGTTGTTCGTGCATCTTTCAATGTACATGTTACGCGTGTCTGATCGAAAAGAGAAAAGAAAATGTAACTTTCTCCCTGAAGCGATCTCGGTTTTGGTAAGAAATTCTTCTCGCGCTGGTCGATGAGGGGGTTGAAAATGAGCAGCGGTTACCTCTTTCCTCGACAATTTGTTGGCGTATTCCTCCGAATCCATGTTGTACGATCGATCACGCGTCGGTTAAATAGCTCGTCGCGGCCGAGAAGAAGGTAGAGGATCGTCGAGGATCCACCTTCTTCGAGAAACTCTCCTAGGGCATGTGTCAGACACGACTGTCGAACGCGTTGGTCGTCGGATAAGATGTGGATCGGTCACAGACAGTCGTTATTAATGTTAATTTTATCCATTTATTAAGTATTCAGGTGTTCCGACAGAGGCTCTCAGTTCGTGGAAGGGCAAGGCTATAGAGATAGTCCCGAGAAAGCGTAGATCCCGTACCCGGGATCTCTGCTTATATTATTCATTGACCACGGTTGCAATTGCTGTTTCGTGATTTCATGTGGGTCGTTTGAACGGGGTTGAACCGACAATTTTCGGCAAATTTAAGGCGAACGTCGTCGTCGCGATTCGATGCTGATGCTCGGATAACATTATCCCCGTAGCGTTGAGACCCACTGGGATGATCGGAATAAAAGTGGGAATACAAACATTGGAACATAATAGACGCTCGCTCGATGGAAATACTAATGAGTCGAACCGTGCAAGTATAACGAATTGTGAAGAATAGCGATCGTTTTCGACGATGCAGTGGGATACGGTGGCTTTCGAAAATATTAACGCGTGTCAACCGGGAGGAAAGTCGATGACAAGGTATATCGTAAGATACCCTGAAGGCTCTTCGTCTTTAGTAACAACGAATTGTAGGGATCCATTTTTTTTTTTAGACAGTCTAGACTAGAATTTTTATTATGTTCTATTTAAAAAATTTCCGCCCATTCTCGATAGGGGAACGAACAAGCGAACGGAACGTCCGTCGAAAATGTTTTATGGTTTCCTTGCAAGAAATGTACAAAGGAAGCTTATGCTTTTAATCGTGTTTGAATGAATGTAAATTCATGAATTCGCAGCCATTAGCTCGGTGTTCATCACCGATTACCAGGTCTCACCACGTGGAGGTTGCTGCGAGAAGAGACCCGAAGAGCGATACTTTTGTCCACTTAAGTGACCGCGCTGTCTCCATCGATGCCCGTTATCCCGATCGCGGACCATTAAACGGGCATTACTCTACCTAATTCACTCTATATCTATATAAATCAAGACGCCATCTACCACAAAACGCCCAAGTTTGTCGCGGAATAGTTCTTGCTTTCAACGCTAGATGGAGCTCATTTTTCCGACCTCAAGCCCCCTGGTGCTAAAACGCCCAAGCTTGTCGAGAAAGCCATCTAGCGTTGACGAAACGAACTATTCCACGACAAACTTGGGCGTTTTAACACCAGGGGGCCAGAGGTCGGTAAATGAGCGCCATCTAGCGTTGAAAGTAAGGAACTATTCCACGACAAACTTGGGCGTTTCGCCGTAGATGGCAGTGCAAATCGTGTACCACCGATGGGTCACGATTTCTTTAACTTGTAGACAGAGATGCCAGAAAAGCACCGCCGGGTGCACACGCACACATGCCAGATACGCGTACGTGAGCTCGTGGAGTTTCGGAAAGTCGACAAAGGCAAACGTGACGTGAGGTCGAATGTCAGTTGTTCAAGAACGAGAAGGCAAATGTGAGCCTTCCTCTCTCGACTCCCACGAGATGGTCCGAAATTACTTCGGGCAGCTTCGGAGAATCGAGAAAGAGGGCATGTGTCAGTTTGCCTTTGTCGACTTGCCGAAACTCCACGAGCACAGGTACGCGTGATCTGGCATGTGTGCGTAGGGCACCGTCGATGCTTTTCTGGCACCTCTGCTTGTAGACAAGGAGGATCATGGACAAAGTAAACGGACAACTGGGCAAGAATTCAGTCACTTTATGTAGCTTTAGACACTGTTTATTAATTAGACTGAAGTACATATAGTCTCAAGTTAATGTGTATTATGGTTGATGTGTTGTGAAACCGTGTATTTACTCAAAGAAACGTAGAGACTAGGAATACGTGTTGCAGTGCCAAACACGGGTTACCGGTGTCTTCCACACTTGGCGTGGAAGTGGGACACTTGGGTCTTCAAACACTTGGTTGTCCAATGGAGCAAACACGTCAATCTGTTTTTATATTTTTTTAGATATGTGTTAATAAAGGGCATTCAATAAATTACACTGTATATTATTCATATATATTTTTATTATTATCACAGAATTTAAGTAACAGAACATTAATAAAAAGTTTGTCATAAGAGTATACTATACATTTTTATTCCTAATTATCCATATCCACCCACTCCTAATATATGAAATTAGGCCTTTCAATGTGTACTGCTTTAGACCATGCTGGATTAGATTATTAAGTCATTACTAATACTATATGTATCATTATTATGTAAATTAATGTAAGCCTACATTGTAGAGGAGGAAAATGAAATGACATGTGGGAATAATTGTAATAAAATGAATGCAAATTTCGGTATGATTCATGTCGATATGTACGGTTGCCATGACGGCGAGATACAAACGTTTCCTTCAGATACACCGTAATGTACTGATTTATCTTTCAAAAAATCCTTCGACGAAAAAGTAGGAGTCGAACATGGCCATAAATAATAACATAGAGACAGTTTTAAGTGTGCTAGGGTGGGAAGATGGATTTCGAATACCGGTGGCGAACGAGGAGAACAGACGATTAGAGGAAGAAGTAACATTCATTTGTATCACAATTATTTCATTTACTTTGCATCCATCAGTCTTTCTTATGGATTTACATGCATGCTTTTGTTTCCTTTTTATTATCATCATAGTAAACTATTGCACGTTCGAACGTACAAGCACAGACGAGGTATATGCGAGTAGACCTTACATCCAATGCATTTTTTCGGTCCATTTCTATGGGGCTCTGGAGCGGTAAAGAACTTCTTTTCACTAAAGAATTTTTTTCTCGAAAGTACGTAGAAATTCGGAGGTATGTGTATTCATCAAAAATGATTGCAATTGACCCCTGCGATCGAAAATAATTTTTCCAGAGTGATTCGAAACTTTTCAATTTTGTCAAAAAATTTAGGCACCTACTCGAATTTTTTTCTCGAAAGTGAGTAGGATTTCGGGGGTATGCCTATTCACCAAAAATGATTGCAATTGACCCCCGCAACTGAAAATAATTTTTCCAGAACGATTTGAAATTTTTTAATTTTGTCGAAAAATTTCACACCTTCTCGAATTTTTTTCTCGAAAGTGGGTAGGATTTCGGGGGTATGTCTATTCACCAAAAATGATTGCAATCGATCCTCACAACCGAAAATAATTTTTCCAGAACGATTTGAAATATTTTAATTTCGCCAAAAAATGTATTCGCTATTGTAGGTGTCATAGTCGTTTGAAAATTTACTTAAACTAACTAAAACTAGGAACTTAACTAGATGACGTTTGCTACGCCTGCGATATTAGCCGCCACAAGTTTCTCAACTGACCGTTATCCATGAGAAGAGGACGCTAAAATCACCATAGAATTTTCAGGTCGATATGGCAGTCAGATTGGGCCACGAAAGTCCACAAGGTGAACGATCTATTCGTATACCTCGTCTGTGGTACAAGTAAATCAGTGTCGTAAAAAAACTAGAAACAGATTGTAACGTATAAATTGTTATGGACAGATCGAAAGAAAAATGAAATTGAAGAAAAGTTTGAGCGCGAGACTTGTATCTACGGAAGAAAGACTAAATATGATGAAAACCCGTATTAATAACTTAACCATAGAACACGATATGAATCAGAAACTTTTAAACACGCATTCGATGCAATTGGAGAACGAGAATCATCATTACCGACTGAGCTGCAACACCGAGTCGAGCCTGCGCCAGGAGGCACGAGAATTTGAAAAGGAATGCAAGCAAGTTAACGAGACAGTGTCGAACATTACGAAAGAATTGGAAAAAGTAACGAGAAAGATAGAATTGTCGAAGAAGACGGTCGAGTACGACGAAAAGAGTCTACGAGAATGGGAGGAAACGTTGAATCGAAACGAGGACAATAATCAACTGATAGAACAATACATGAAAGAGGATGCGAAAGAATACAAGGTATACAGAATGGAAAATGATATATATCGATTATTTAAGGGTCGAGTTACTAGCTAATTTGTCTGGTTTCTTGCGATACAAGGAACTGGAGCTAAGAAGGCAGAAACTCAGTACGGAATTGCAGTTATATCGCGATGCGATTATTAAGAGAAATAACGAGGGACGAGAGATGGAGATTATTCTCGATCGAACGACGAAATTGTACGAGCAAGTATTAACAGAGTACAGACAAATGTTCAATCAATGGAAGGAGAGCGTAATTATGTTGCAACAGAGGAACGACGATATTAAAAATGTTCTTCGAGTACGATTAAAAATTAAAATATTATTTCTTTTATTGTTATTTATTTCTTCATAATTCTACTACTATTTTGCTAAATAAGGTTTAAACGATTAGAAATTATTTTGTACAGGAAACCGAAACGTTGCAAGAGATCGTAGAGGATAAGAAAAATACGCTCGAGGAATCGGAAAATTTTTTAAAGGAGCAAAACGAAAATAACAAACAAATCGAACAGTCGATCACGATATTAGAGAAGGACCTTTTCAATATGAAAGAAGAAGAATCCAAATTGAAAGAGACGTTTAATACGTACGAAAACCAGGTACAAAAGGAAACAGAAGGAATAAATGAAGTATTTAATTTGTAATATTTTAATTTTTAAATTCCAGCTCGTTATACAAAAGAACGTTGTAAAAGAATTGACGCAACGCGTGGAACAAGTCCAGGCTGACATAAAACGAAAAGAGGTGGAAATAAAAAATAAGAACGCAAAGATAGAGAAATTGAACGAACAAGTAATCGATTTAAATGCAAAGTTGCAAGTTGTCGACAGTCAAAAGTTAAATGTCGAGGAAAAGGCGAAGGAGCTGGAAAATATAATCGAGGTATTTATAAAAATCTAAAAAAAAAATTTTTATAATTTTATACGTTTATTGCACGTCGATGTAATTTTTAGGAACAAGAGAAGAAAAAAGTTGCAACGATCAAGGAAGTTAACCGATTGCAAACTGCAAATTTACGTATAACGAATCAGATTAAACAGCTGGAAAACGAGAGTAAAATTTTAAAGACGCAGCACGAGAACGAGTCGAAAAAGTCCGAGCATTTTGATAAATTGTACGCCAAGAATGAAAAGGATTTAGACGAGAGGAAAGAAGTATCGTACCAAGTGGAGTTCGAATTGCAAAAGTCGGAAATGAAATTGGACAGATTGAAGGGGAACGAGCACGATAAGTCCGAAGCGGAAAAGAAACAAAAAAGAATCGAGGAACTGCAGAGCACATTGAACGAGAAGACAGAGGTTTCAAAGTTGTTGCAAAAACAGATAGCGAGTTTAGAAGTATGTCGATCTTTTATGAATTTTAATGAGAGATTCTAGAGGCCAAAATAGTTAGTATTATTTTGGCCCCTAGAATCTCCCATTAAAATTTTTCCCAGAGGTCACCCTGTATAAGTTAAACATGTTTTTTTATTCCGCAGTACGACATGAGAAAACTGTCAACCAGTATATCGAACGACAATGATCAATTAAACTATTTGAGAAATAAAAGGCAAGATCTTGTTCTGCTCATGGACGCGGGAGAGAAACGATTAAAATCTGCCCAAACGCGTTACGAAGAGAAACAGGTGGAGGAAAGTATACTGCGACTGAAGGTGTCGCAGATGGAAAAAATGATATCGAACTTTGGGAATAATGTTTACGACTTGAAAAGATATCGACTCGAATTGGAAGCTGTAAGTTTTTAATGGAACATGTCTAATAAAAATAAGCAATAATTAGCGCGAGAAATAGATAGATCAATCCACGATCGATTGTGCTAGGCCTCTTGGTCCCTATGTTTCGAGGCTTGCGTCTACTGAGCATGCGCGTGGGAGAGGGGACTGAAATGAACAGTAAACAATGTAGCGTGGTAGAGTGTGGTTGCGTTTTGTTTTTAGAATCTGACAATTAGTATGTTCATATTAAAATTTCTATTACCAGAATTTGTAATGTTTTAATGCGTTTTGGAATAGTAATATACTATTAGAATAATTGTGCTATGATTGTTTAGGCAATACAAAAACGTAAAGCGGAAATAGCGATACAAAGGGAATCGCTGATTGCGCAGAAACGAATCGCTACGAACGAATGCTCGGAATTAAAGAACGTTATTGCCGAAAGAAAGATACGAATAAAGCAATTGCAGACAAGATACGATAATGGCGTAGCTGTATTAGGAACGAATCCTGACGGTACACCGGTGAATACAATCAATTTGAAGCTTCAGAATGCACAAGAAAAATACCTCTTACAAGAGCAAGGCGATAAATTGGACGAAACGATCAGGAAAGCGGAACAGGAAATACAAGCGATGGAAAATACACTACGAATGATAAATGTCTGCAACGACAAATATAAGGCAACCTTAAACGCCGACGAGCAAAATAAAGACGAATTAGAAGAACATAAGGAATTGGACCAACAGCTACAGAACGCGAAGGAAAGTTTAAAAGAAAAACAAGGAGAAGTACAACGCCTAACGGACAATTTACAGGTATCTCGTAATAAATTTGATTTTTGTTGTATCGTTATTCTTTTTATAATTAAATGGCTGTGACAGAAACTGCAAAACGAATATGCCGAAATCCTTAAAGAGATAGACGAGGCTGAAGAACGGAAAAAGAATAAATATCAATATTTACTCGAGCTGAAACAACAAATCCAAGATCAGAAGGGGAAAGTATCAAGGGCTGATAAAAGTTTGAGGTGCGCTCAAAAAGATATTCAACAAATATTTGCAACCACAGGTGATAAAACAGTATTGATACAGGAGGTTTGTCGACTACTAAATATTTCATAGTAATCGTATGTATAGTATATTTAATATACATACTTGGATAATAATTGTGTTAACCGCAGAAAGAGATGGAACTGCGTGAAATTCAAGAACAAAATTCTATCGTTTTGCAAGATATTGCAGAATTTACGATTCATCACGTGGAGGCAGAAGCTTATATTAAAAAACTCTTAGCTGCTAAAAATATAGAGCTGCCCGCTGCTCCAATATTTAATCAAACACCGACATCGAGCCAATGTCTCAGTACTAAAAATTCGATGGACTGTCTGCCGAAGAGTACTAGTCGCGGAATCGTCGTTGCTTCGTCCAGGGAAAGTATCGGAAACATAGTCAATATACAACCTGAATTTCAACGTACGTTTACAAGTCTTAAGATTGTTGTACATCTTCTTTTTACGAAGTTAGTCCAAACCCTTACGACATCGTTATTGTTTCAGCAATCTCGACGAATGCTTCGTCAAAAAGTGTAACGAAGCGCGAGCAGCAACCGGTGAAGACCTCTTTCCAAACACAATCTACAAACAGAATTTCTTAATATAATTTGCTAAATATTGTATATTAATTTTTTTCTTATTATTTATACTCGGTTGTAAGAAAGAAATAGATAAAATAAACGACACGATTTGTTTCATATCTTCCGCTTGCATTTTTAAAATACCCAAGCCATAGATCGCGTGCATGCAGTTAAAAATAACGTTCTTTTATATATAAAAGTGATATACATACATTGTTATCAGACAGTATCAGTAGAAACGGACAAAGGGGTTAGGATGCAGGGCCCTTAGCAACGATGATGAGAGGGGCCAAGTGATGCAGCGGGTAAGTAGAAAACCCGGACCCAATGGAAAGTGCCGTCGGTTGAGTACCCATTGGAGGAGAAGAAAAAGAGGGCGTGTCGAGCGTGCAATGATACAGGACGAACTCCGAGTGTGTGGCCAGATTTGGCACAATTGAGTACATCAACGACGAACTTGTAGCCTAAATGTAAATATGTATGCTCAATTTTGCGTTGGAAAAACCAGTAATTTTACATTTTCAGTTAAATATAAACCAATATTTAACGTTATTTTATTTTTCTTTCGCTAAATGATTTAATCCATTCTCCCGCCAATTTTCACTACCAATACAGGAGCTCAATTTTAAGAGTAACCGTATGTGCTACCAGATGAATCGAATTTTCGTTCATATGTATTTAAGATTGAAGTAGTCACTATTTAAATATTGATATTTATTTTCCAGAAAAGTCAGTAAAATTAATTAGGGGGGAAAATTCTAGGGGAGACGATTATGGACAGAAGTAATATCGATTACACTGATTAGCGAATTGTAAACCGTAGTTCGAATTCTTTACGATCAAACTCTTTTCCTATTTATTTGTTTATTTACACATATTCTGTAATAGGAAATAATAGAGACAGAATTATTTAGCTTTAGTTTGAAAAGTATAAGGCACGATTTATTTAATTTTCTTTAATTGATAAGAAATCCTCTGGGAAAGTCATTATGTGTGAAGAAAGTAACAAAAAACAATTTTTTATGTCGATTCTTTTTATTATTTATTAATTAAAATAGAATTTCATTGGTCTTTTCAACGACATAACCTATATGGCACATTCATCTGAATACAAAAAAATCAAAAAATCAATTTTCTTAAAGTTAGATAATTTATGTTGGTATTGAACCTGTTTTTAAAGCGAAAAAATGGAAAATTTACAAGTTTATAACGTTTGATAGGAAGATTAGCTTGTCTCTTTAGATAAATTAACTTTATATCGATGAAAAAAATATAAATAAAACCTGAAATGAAAATTTTAGATTTAGTTCTTGATGTAGCTTAAGCTTAAGATGATTAAAGATGAAGTATTTCAATTAATAAAATGATGCATAAAATATTCAGAATTGAACATGAAATATCTCTAGGTTTCTTCACGAATTTTGATGGTACAAGAATAGGTATAAAATATGCGAATGTGTTAAAAGAAACATCTTTGGAAAGTACATTTCATTTATTTTTTCAACATAAATACCGAACATAATTTACCTAATTTTAAGTTTCGTTAAGATTGCCTATTTGATTATTACTATAGATGTTTGTTGTTTTTTTCGCATTGAATAACAATATCTGAGTTTAGCCCATATACCTAAACACATATTTTGCAACCGAGTATCATTTTTTTCGATTGAAAATTTATAAATACTTCTTACTATGTTTCTTGAAATTTTTAACTGCCCTTGCTGAATTAAACTTAAAGCAATATATAATTTACAACGAGCGACCATAAGAGGATCTTCGAGGCGGAGTGCTAATATAAACTGCTTTGTAGAAATTTTTCTTGCTACTTCTGCCTGTGTAAAAATACGTTACTCGTGAATTTATGTTATTACATCATTTTAGAAGCATATTATTATTTATTTGAAAAGAAAATGCAATCTGTAATTTGTTAATATCGGTTGTATCAAGCCTATCTTTAATCAAAACATAAATAGCTGAGCAAGTTCATGCATTTACGTACGCAATGTTGAAATTTGTCTCCTAAAGCAGAGAAGGCTCCACCTAAAGTAGATAAACAAGACATAGCATGATTGATTTCTTTCCTTTCTAATGCCATCCGTGTTATCCTTTCATTCCTGAAGCAATTAAAGTATATATCGTTACATATTGTTACATATTGTTTCATGTGTTATGGATACAAGACCGCAATGAAAATTTACCAATTGTAATCTAAGAATTGTTTCTTTGGTGTACGTAATTTCATTAAGATTATCGCTAAATTTATGTTATTCGAAAACTTGTACGCTAAATATTGTGACAATTTTCTAAACACAGCTCTACGATACGTCTGTGACTTTATTATTGTTACAACATACGCTGATAGAAGATAAGCACTATATCCTCTTTTATTTAAACGAATTCTATTTATTTCTACAATATTATTTTCGTTACATTTATTTATATTAGCATCCGTTCGATCTATAACGTTCTTTTCTCGTAATTTTTGTTCGTATCTAATTGCAGAATAAGGTGTAACAATAACACTGTCGAAAATTGTGTTGCCTCTATGAATAATCAATTTTATCGAGTTATCCATTTTCTTTAATTTGTAAAAACAGCTGGCCCTTTAAATGGATTAAAATGTCGCATTAAATGTATGTACGTTACAATATAACGATGAAAATAATACACGTTAAGAATATTTATAACGAATAGTTTGGCAAACACTATTTTACTTTTACCAGTATTGGTTATAAATGTTATATAGGTAAGAAGAAAAGGCAATCTATATTCTGAAAAATAATCAAATCGACATATACTTCCAACATTTATAGTACTTTTTGAAATATTTTGTTCGATATGCAACTTTCTGAATACACGTTTCGAGGTTACAAATTTAATTGAACGTACAGTAACATACTACGCGCGATGCGCATGATAAAGAAGCAGAAATTCTAGGGATAACATGTGATAATGCAAATCACTCGACGAAGCTATTTTCATTTTTTTAAATTTTCAAACGATCATCATGATTTAAGGATGTACAATGAAATTTCACTGAATTATGTCGGGATACTCGTAATAATATTCAAATAATATACTATAATAATCTTGGGATAACCCTTTTAGAATCACTTGAAGCGTGAGTCGAAGTAAACTGTTTCAAAATTTGTAATAATCATAAATAACTACGCTTCTAATGACGATACTTTTTCATGCATGCACATTATATAAAGTATATCTGTAGATTTTAAATATTTTTAGATGCATGCTGTAGAAAACAATTGTTTTAAACATTGTTACGTCCATTTGAACAAAGTGCTTTTATCGATTGTATAATGTAAAAAGAGCTCAGATTAAAAATTAACATGAATATTATATCTGTACATAGAAGTAACGAACAAAAATGGAAATAACATATTGGCTTAAACGAGTAATTTCTGTTTAAATTATGGTTAAATTATCTATCAAGTGATTTCTTTTTAAACAGTCGATTAAAAGAATATTGAAAACAATCTTGCATCTTGGTTGTTAGATTTTATATATTGCGATTATGCAACTATGTGAAAATCGATTAAAAACGCGACGATACGATTGGAATATATTTTTACGATATTGGGATACATGCAAATTAAAGATATCAGAAATAAATAATAGTTTTCTTTACAGAATATTTATAAACGATGTTTACTGTTCAAGACGATTTAATTATTCATTACAATTGTTGCACAATCTATAATTATTTAAAAGCAGGAAAATGGAAAAAATATATACATAAAATGTTATTCGGAAAAGTTTAGTTGCATTTTAAGCAATCGATTATTAGAATATATGTTACAACCTATAAAATAAAATTATTGGATATGGTTCAGGGGAATGTGGAATGCGTTTTGCGCCACTGTGCGCAGTGTACCAGGGCGCAGTTATTGGCATTTCCCAAAATTTAACCGACCAGTCAGGCCGAGGAATCCGAACACGCCTCTGCGGTGGACCAATCAGAGCCCCGGTACCTATTGTTGCGGTATAGTAATTGGGGCAACGTATGCCAATTGAAATTTAATTTGCCGCGTAATATTTATAACAAAATGAAAAAGGGACTGGATGGAAAAATTCGTACCTTTTTTAAAGTGGCCTTCGACTCGATCTTTCGATTAGATTCGATGTTATAAAGAGTAGGGTCGGGAGGTAAGCGCTTGACTCGTACGTCGCTGGATGTCTACGAGTACCCCACCTTGCAATTCGGCCTAAGCTTTGACGAGATATCTCTATTGGTATTGGGGTCTCCGACTCGATCGTGGCAGGTTGGATTTACCCCGTTTTGTCACTGAGAAAATAGCCTTATTCGATAGATACGTTTTACCAGTGGTATAAATCGAAGCATATTAATTCGTTTGTTTCTCAGTAAACATTTTAAGGAAACTTTTCAGCGTTAGACAGGTTACGATTCATTTTAATAAGTGCAGCGTCTCGTTGCTGACATTTCTTACGTTAGACACGCGACGGCAAGGTATGGCGTTTTTGAGAACGGTGCCGCGTTGTAGTGCCGGTAAAAAGCTAAGGAAGTGTGTGCCACTTCCCGTCGGGTTTCTCGAGAACGTAACGAAGCCATCGGTGCAGTTGGTGCAGGTGCACGAACGTGAATACACCGGCGCTACTGCTAACGTGAAGCCGGTTCCACGACAGATCGACCCCTTGGATTTGAAGTTTAACAATCCCGTAGCAGCTTTCAAAAGCAAAACCACGAAAGAGCTTCTTCGTGCTTACGTCGTTTATCAACTATGTTCGATCGGGTATATCGCAGAGAACAATATGACGGTAAGTTCCCATCAGTTCATATATGTATGTACCTATATGCCGTACACGATGACGTTATACGAAAATTATATCCGGTATATTTCTCATAAACGATACGATCCTTCGTTTTCCTCGTAATACATTTTCCAAATCGCATGAAAATGTATCACGTTTATTCTTGCGTGTACCGTGTCCATACGTTTTTCCTGCCGGCTACTACGACACTGGAGAAGGTTATCCTAAAAGATTTCGTCTTTTCCATTAAGATTCGTGTCAAGCAATCGTATAGAATCAACATAAGTGCCAATATCGTTTTCATAGAGATTCTTGTAGGTTGTTCGACTTTACCGTTGATCGACCAAACCGTTTCATTTTTTAATCTTGGTCGTTTTCTTATGTTCAAGATTCAGTAATCGTATTCTCCAACTGTCGATTCGTCGATTCAAAAATAAATCAAAAACCCTTTGTAGCGTGTATTTTTATGAAGCAAAAAAAAAAGAAAAAGAGAAATTGGTTTTTCGATACTAATCTCATTATCAAAACCTTTTTGTGGTAAATCAATAACGGTTTCGTAATACGAGTGACATATGCGTAACTCGAGTAGCAATAATTTGTAAAATCGTGATCCTCGCCATTGTTTAAGCGTTACGGTGGATAGTATAGTAATAAACGGTAATGTGAAAATGTAGGTTTCAGAGCAATGAATCTGTCGTTAGGATTACATTGATAAGATTTGTGTTATTCGCGATTCCGCCAGGCGGAAGTCGTGCGTGGTTTTTGTTTGTTAATTACACGGCACGTACGTGTACACGTTGAAAGAAATGTGTCGGATCGGAAGCAACGTTGATAGTATGTAATGGATACGAAACGTTTCGCTTGGAAATCCCGACAGCCAGAAAACGGTTCGTTAGCTTGGATTTCTCGGGGGATATAAATTTTTTGTATTAATCGGTAGACAGGACAGTGACTTTTTATTAAGAGCATTGGTACTCGTACTCGATTTGTATGTATGACGACGTGGCACGCCGCGTTATTGATTTTAGTAATGCTTAATATGTACATTGAATCGACCTAGCAATTTTGTCGCAAACTTATACCAACCAATTACGTAACTTTCTAGGAATGATCGGTCGAAATGATTATAAAAAAAAATCCATCGTTTTACCGTGCTTCCTAGACTTTGATATTTATCAATTTTTTTTTTATTCCCACTTCTGGTCTTTTTTTTTTTACGTTCATTCGTGCAAGATGCGCGCGTCATTTAACAATACAGGTTTCGCGTTCGAAATTCAACTTTTTCCACAAAATTATTTCCCCAAGCTTTCGTAAAAAGAATCAAAACGAACGCAAAATTTATTCTTGAAGTATTTTAGATTTCACTTTATGTAATATAAAAATGAGAATTCATAATTATGTACGAGTATAATATGAAAATCGTATAGTAATTTATCGTATATTTATTCATAGAATAATTGCAGTTTTTAATAAATTGTTTTATTTTTAAATTTTAATAATACTGCTATGTATTTTTATAAAATGTAATTATATACGTAACCCTTGTATTATGGTTTACAGTTAACAGAAATTTGAAGAGTGTGTGTGGGGCGGGGCATTGGATTCAGAATGACGCAATTTTGAAGTTTAATTCAATATCTTTTGTGATCTAAAGAAATATATCAAATACTTCATAAATGTTCTTGGAGGAAACGTAGTCCAATTACGTAATTTTCAATAATTTCATTGTCCACCATTAGGATAGTATTATTGGTGTTTACGACAGTTCCTGTTTTTCAATGGTTTTTCTAAACAAGATAGTAGTTTTAAAATATTCATACTTTTGTAAAATATTGTCGTGTCGCGTGTCTGTTCGATCGGAAAGCTTAATAACTGTCTGTTCGTCTACCTGGCAAATCTGATCGAGATTTCTATGTCGTATAAATTTGTTGATAAACACTGTCAAGCTATCGCAGGTGTTTATCTACAAGAGCACGTTTGCAAACACACTTGAAACGAGTCAAGAACTGTTTATAAACATTACAAGTGACTTTCGTCGTATTTTGTCGATTGTTCGATACAAACGAACATTTCAAGCAAACATTTCATTAAAAATACTATGTAAAAAACTGCAAAAATGTACGACATTTAATTTAAAGAAGAGGTTAGCACTTGTTTGCTTTCTGGCAAGCTCTAAATAAAATTTTCATTTCTAGCGTCTCAAAGATGCACTTAAAAATGTAAATGCACTTTTTGTTTCTTTTTTTTTTTTGTTGAAATATGTAAAAATGGACAAATTTGAACATTTGTATTCCAACAGTAGAAAACACATATTTGAAATAACAAAAGTTTGTTTCTTTGCTGCACCCATATACTATGCGTTACTTTGGGTATATCGATCGAAACGCGTAGGTGTAAAAATCCTGTTGTTAATTCCGTCCATTTATTTTATTGTTGCTACCATTGTACGTATTGTTATACGTAACGAAAATTTGTCAAGTATATGTGTACGCACGTAGCATAAGGCTGCATGATTCATTTCCTACGTCGAACGTCTAAACCGTGCCGCCGTATTGATTATTATTGATTTTTGAAGTGCAACTCGAGTCGCAGTCTCTCGCTGTTAGTCGGGCGTATCTGCTACGTTACGCGAGCTTTTTTTACAAGAATTGTTTATAATATAATAGTAGACGAACGAGACTGTTAATGCTAATTTGTTGATGGAGACTTCGTTAAAAAGTTATTAACGATTAAAGTTCCGCCCCTACTGAATTTTTTTCTAGAAAGTGGGTAGGATTTCGGGGGTAGGTCTATTCACCAAAAATTATTTTAATTGACCCCCGCAACCGAAAATAATTTTTCCAAAACGATTTGAAATTTTTTTTTTCCGTCGAAAAATTTCACACCTACTCGAATTTTTTTCTCGAAAGTGGGCAAGAATTCAGGGTTATGTCTATTCACCAAAAATGCTTGTAATTGACCCCTGTAACTAAATATGATTTTTTTAGTATGATTTGACATTTTTTAATTTCGTCCAAAAGTTTCAGTACCTACTCGAATTTTTTTCTCGAAAATGGGTAGGATTTCGGGGGTATGTGTATTCACCGAAAATGATTGTAATTTAGCATCGCAACTAAAAATAATTTTTTCAGCGATACTGATGATGGTTAGAAAAATTGGTTTTGCAAGGATATCTCCGGTTTTATAGTCTACTGTAGTTTTCGAAGATCGTAGGAGGCGAATAGCGCCGGCGCTAGGTGAAAATGTGTGGAATAGAGATAGGTATAGCGAAAGTTAGTGCGTCGTTGCATTGGTGCGTTCAGTGCACCTAACCCAGACTGTGTAACCCTGAAAGGCCAACTCAAAAGTGAACTGTAGACCGTTACGTCGTGGAACTGGTTGTTCAGACAGTTGCCAGACGATATTGCACTGTTTCGAAATCTTTCCATAAACATTACGTCGTCTACAGCTGGGTCGTTCAATACCGATCGAACCACGAGAGCGGTTCCGCGCTTAAAAACGAACAGGTAATTGATACAAGGGAACGAGTATCGATTCGTTCGCGCGCCCAGTCATTCTACCAAGAATTGCAAAATTCTACCTTTTTTTTTTTCCGAACATTTTTAAGTCCGAATAATTTGCTTCGTATCTCGAAAATGAACGTGACCAGATAATGAAAATTCCACGCGCGCCACAGATCGATATATCTTAAGTGATATTAAACCGTAAGTTATCCTCCAATCTAGATCTGAATCTTAAATACGAACAAATATCGATATATTAACGGATCTTAATTCGTACGTTTCATTTTTATTTCTTTATCGATCACGATCACTCGGAATTTTCGGTAAAACCTGATAACGGTTTTCTATTTAATTACCAATTTGATCCGTTCAATGAATTTTGATAAGCTATTTTACAATCTAATACAGCGTGTATCTGTTTATGCGTATATTATATACAGAGTGTTCGGCCAACCTTGGGAAAAATTTTAATGGGGAATTCTAGAGATCAAAATAAGACGAAAATCAAGAATACCAATTTGATGATGGAGGCTTCGTTAAAAAGTTATTAACGTTTAAAGTTAAAGTGTGCAGCGCGCACGGTTGCCGTCTCACAGGCGCAACTATAAACGTTAATAACTTTTTAACGAAGCCTCAATTAAAAAATTACTATTCTTGATTTTCGTCTTATTTTGGCCTCTAGAATCACCTATTAAAATTTTTCCCAGGGTTGGCCGAACACCCTGTATGCATATATTTATATGTATACTTATACGAACTTTTTTTATGTATTTGATTTTAATAACACACGGTATAAGTTTGGTCCCAACCTTTTTGGACACCCTGTACATAAGATCACCGAATGAATATCGCGCTAGTAACATATAGAAGGAGGATTTTAATTATTTAAATATTAATTGCAATTGAATTCCGCGGTACGTGTTGCGATCGATCGATCGATCGATTTCCAACGGTGCTGCAAGGTATAATAAGCTGTACGCGTTATGCAACCGTCCTGGAAAGGTTAATTCTACGACACGAAAATATTTGCTGGATTAGGTGACGATTTATGGTTGATCCGTTGTATATACGCAGATGTAATGAAAGAAAGAGAAAGGGGACCCCGGTGTTCTTCATTGAATTCGAGCGAAACGACACGTGATAGTAGTCTCAAGGTCGACCAGTTCATCCGAAATTACTTTACAGATAGTAGGTTCAGAGAATTTCTGGAATAGCAAACTTTCGTGGAACAATATTAACTGATTATCGTTGATCATTAAAAATCGTTTTAAAGAAATAATATAATATAGAGCAACAATGGTCACTGTTAATTAATAATGCTGTAAAATAAGAGGTAATTAAATTATCGAACATTTCTATATTCGACGCTGTAATTCGAACAAATGTCGAGTGTCTGTCTAGACGAAGATCATCGAACGTGTTAATATTTGTCTAATCGTTAAAAGTTCGTAGCTCGATGAGAGTTTAAATGTCGTAGTGAGGGAAGAAAAAAAACTATTCGTG